GCACAACAACATTGACCCAGTGTCAGTTTGGCCTTCTCCTCCTCCTGAGAACTTGATGGAAGAAGAGAATCATGGTGATCACTATTAGAGATTGCTGCTATCACTCTCCTTATTCTTATTTCCTATGTTTTTCCTTACCAGACTGCTCATTACTATTTATTATTCTCTTATTTTACTAAATTGATTTTGTTTTATTTTATATGTTGTTTGTTGTCAGGGGACACCAACATTGAAGACCAGAAGGAAATGTAGTGAGGATTCCAGTATCTTATTAGAACAAAGATTGTTCTGATCTGAGGCACAAACCATCCCAAAGCTACTATTCTTGAGCTATATAAACCATCTGTAGCCCCTGCATCTTGCTTATTACCTTCATGCACCATTGCTCTTTTCTATACACTTGTTCCTTACTACCAGTTTAGCTATTAGTTAGAGAATATGAAGATTTCTTGTTCATGAAATGTGCTACTGTTTCTCATTAGAGCTGCCTGTGTTAGTACAGGGCTCTTTAGTACTATTACTCCTTGCAAGCTTAGGTGTCTGTTAGAACATATCTATCTCTACACTTACTACTCAACCATACCCTTACTATGTGGTGATTTTTCACCTTTCTTGTGCTCTCACCATATCAACCAACTCGCCTACTTTGACGAGGCATCCCATCGTACCCCACTCCATTAGTAGCAGGCCAGACTCTTTATTTATGAATACATATGGATCTGTATGCTTTAGTGGCTTTAAACTGATCTCTATAAGAGCTTTTATAAAGATCTTCTGCTAAAGATGTCCTGCTTGCTTCAGTTTATACAGAGCTTGCCAGAGTCTGCAGATGAAGTCTTTTCTTTCTGTTTCAGTTAAAAGGCTTATGTAGATCTTATGATGCTTAAGTATGGTATGCAAGTAGACTGTAACTATATTAACTTGTTTGCAGTGCATATCTTCAACTGCTATTTTTATAAGTGCAAGCTTGATAGCTGATTTAGTGACTACAGATGCAGCAGTCTTGTCAAAATTAAGACTAGAGTGTTGGAAATTACTGCATATGATCTATCTAGCATAGAAGAAGGTAACATAGCTGTCAGCATTCACTTTCAAGTCAAAAACTTATTTACCAGATAGAATCTTAGCTATAGAATCTATTGAATCTATCTTAACTAGCTCTCAAGTATTGACAGCTTCTAGCTTCTCAATTTGTTTTTCCATAGCACTCTTCCATTTGCTGGCATATTTGCTAGTTATAGCTTCTTTGTAGTTGTGTGGAATCTTAACTTTGTAAGCTAGCAGGTTGGCTGCAAGATAGAAAGCATAATCTCCATATAGTCTTGGTGATTTGTCTTTAGTTGTATGGCTTGATATGTGTCTTGTGGGCTGAGAGTTCAGCTTCATTAAAGTCATAGGTTCTGGTTCACATGTAGGCATGGATTTAGTGCTCTGTCCTGGTTCTTCCAATGCATCTCTGAATATCTTGTTGTGGATTTGGCTCTTAATCAAGTTATTGTTGCTATCTCTATTATATAGAGGCTCTGGTGTTTCTTTAATAGTCTTATGAACAGGCTTTTGAAATCTCACCATGTGTTCAGATGCCAGAGAAGTCTTCTAAGATGATAATATTATTATTTGAAGCTGTGGGCTGTGTATTTACTTCTGTATCCAGAAAGATATTAGAATCTCAGAGTTCTTAATCAGATTAGCTTCTTGAGCATGTGCCTCTGTAGACTCTTGTGTTGAAGCTGGTAGAAGTCTAGTAGCAGCTTGCTTTGTCACTTTTATAGCTTTCTGCTTTGGAAAGCTTGAAATTATAAAGAATTCTGTAAATCTATTCTTTGGCTTAAGATCTTTCTTTTTTGGGAGGTCTGGGATGGCATTGATATTCTTGTTGAACTTGGCATTGTGTGTATGTATAATTTTGCCAGTCTTCAGAATCCAGATCTTATAAATATGTCCATTCTTGCCTTTATATCTGACTAGGCAATCAAGTTGAGCCCTGGGTTTTATTTTATATGCCTTATTGTAGTTTGCTCTATTCTCTGGTGAAATATGTGTGTAGACTATACATCTGTAAGCTTGTAGATGCTGTAGATTTGGCTTCTTTTTCCAAAAGAGCTTGTATGGTAATTCTCCACCTCCAGCTGAAGAAATTCTATTCATAATATAGCAAGCAGTTTGCAAGGCCAGATTCCAGACTTCTTATAGAAGCTTTGCTTCTAAAATCATGACATAACTTATTTCTACTAAATAGCCACTGATTTGTTCTGCTACACTATTTTGCTCAGGTGTGTATGAAGTAGTCACTTTGCATTTAATTTCATGAGCTGGGGCAAATTCCTTCTTAAATAGTGAAAATTCAGTGCCTCCATCCATTTGTACAGTATTCATGTAGAAATCTAGTAGATTCCTGAGCCTCTTGACATGCTTCTGGAGACTACATGAAGCTTCAGCTTTACTCTTAAGTAGTATAACTCATTTAAAACACATGCAGTCATCCACAATTATTAGAGCATATTTGAAGGCTTGAAAACTTGTTGACTTTATGGTTTGAAGATCAATGTGGATCTTCTGTTCAGGAACTGTAGACTGGATCTGTGGTGTTCAGAATATCTGCTGTTTTGATCTTTATAGTGCACATGCTTTGCAATGGAAAGTATCTTGATCTTCTATTTTGATTTTCTGGTCTTTTGCTGCTTTTTGTGTGGTAGAGAATGCACAGTGTCCCAGCTGTTTATGGAGAAGCTCCAGCATGAGCTTTATAGTAGCATACATCTGTTGAATAACTTTCTCTTGCTGATGAAGTGGCTCTGTCTCAAGAATTATAACACTATCACTTTTCTTAGCATATCCTACTAGTTTGTGGTCTCTTTGTGTTTGCAGTGTGTGGTCTACTTCTGTAAAGTAGAGATTCAACTTTTTGGTCAACTGGTTTGTGGAAAGCAAATTTGTGCCTAACTTCAGATTATATCATGCATATATATGGATCTTGTTGACAATGCCATTCTGGACAATGTATCTAATGTGTACTATGCCACTACTCTTTATGAAAATAATTTCTTCATTTGAAGTCCTGTACCAATAATCTGTAGTAGAATCAAAGCTAGTAAAGTAGGCTTTATTGTAACAAATCAAGTGGCTGCAGCATGTGTCAACAAGTCAGGTTTCCAGACCAACAGCTCTTTCAGATATGGATGCTATCAAGCCAGGTCTGAATGCCATGCTAGTGAAGCTATTTTTAAATCTTATTATAAGATGATTTTCTCCTGTATTATTCTTAGCATCTTTACTGAAATTTGGTTGCTGAGATTTAAATTAGCTCTGGTTTTTCTGTTCAGAATTTGTGTGTCATCTTTCTTTGGGCCTTGATCTCATTTATAAATGTGGCTTTGGCTTCCATCCTTGATATCTCTTGTCAGTAAAAAGGTGAGGGCATTGTTGTATGGCATGATCTGGAGTCTCATAATATCCACAGTTGTTATCTATTTTGCTAGGTATTTTTTCATATAAGAATTTGATATGGTCATTCCACAAGACTCTCTTCTGTAAAGCATATTTCTGTATGATTTGCTTGTTGGGGGCAGTCTTTTTGAATTTGGTTTGTCCAGCTATATATATTCTGCTTGAAACTTTCATATATTTCTTTGCCTCCTGTACAAGATTCCTCATATTCTCATATATTATGTCACTTGGGTTTGTATTTTGAACTATTAATAGCACACTATCTGTGTAGTTCTTATTAATCACTTGTACACCCTTAATTATCTTGTTAATTACTAGAGAAGAATGTAATGGATAAGGGGCTCACAATGCCCTCTGGTATTATTCAAGCAGTATGTTGAGATATTATGTAACTGATCCATAGTTATGTTGACATGTGTAGAAATAATTCTTCACCACATGAATGCATGTATTTTTATCAGGCTTTAGAAAAAGCTGCTTTGTGTAGAATATTATAAGAGCAGAGTCATTAATGTCATCTCTATAGTACTTGCTGATCTGATCTCAAGCATCATCTTTCATACTTAAGCTGAGTCATGTAGTGAAGAATATCATAGCACTTTACTATTTGATTTATATATCTTTAGAAGCCTCTGTAGGCTCTGACATTACTGTATTATATAGAATCCCTCAGTCATAGTGGTTTAGCTGCAACCTGACAATGTTTAACCAAGTATTCACATTTTTCTTGCCTTGTAGCATGAAGATTGACTGAATTGTTGTTTTAGTGATATCTGTAACTATTTTGTCTGCTATATTGAAATTTCTTTTAATTTAGGGAGTTGTTTCTCTGAACTGGTGGCCTGCAATGCTGCCCTGTAGAAAGCCAACCCATCATATAATGTCCACTGGCTGTGAATGTGCACCTGTATTGGTGCTAGTATTCTTCATATGTCTTACTGGACTCATATTTCTGGAGATTGGATTGGGGATTGGAGCTGAGAAGCTCTCCAGATCAATATTCATTGTTCTGTCAAGAATTTTTCCTCTTTTGGCAACTCCAAAGGCTTTAAAGATTCCTAAAGAAGGACTCAGAATCTCTTGAAAGAATCTACAAGACTACTAATTATATATGGAAGCTATAGGAACCATGGAACATGAACTCAATAGATGTGCATGCCCTCACTCCTCTCATCCAAAGAATTGTGGGATGAGAAGTGAGACAAAAACTCTGCATCAGATCAAAGAAGATCTGAGCCACTAAGCTGGAGACTAACTACATAGAGACTAGTGTCTCGACAATTTTTCGTCTTCTTTTTTATTTCCACGCCACATTGCTTCTGGGCACAGATCACTACCCTCGTTCGAAAGAAAAGTGCACCGCCAACCAAAAACATCACGATTCACCCAAAACCTAGCTTTTATAGCACATTAGGGAATTCCTGGCTCCTAGACCAAGATTTTTGGACCAAAACATAAATATGTTCTGAATATTTACCAGGATCTCTGTGCATGGAAATGTGAGATTTCAGTCTAACCTAGCAGGTGTGATATTTACCACACTAGCTATTTAGTTATTCCCCTAGCTTCGCCTCCCGAATCAGGATTGCTCCAAGAAGTGCTCCACATACAAATACCGCCATGAGCCAGAAGCTGGCCTGGACTGCCCAGCCATAACACATTCTTACCGCCTCCCGGAGTGCTGCGTCAGAGAGTTCGTCAATATAGCTTAAGCTCTCCCTGACTTTGCGAGCTATCTCCTCGGCGTCTCCGATACCATGCAGCCTTTCAAACAAGTATGTTTTCAGAAGAGCCTGTATGACTGTTGCGGAAATCGAGACTCCAATCCCGGAGCCTAGAGACCGGAAGAGATAGAGACACGCTATTCCAACTGCCTGGTCTTCCGGCACGGCATTGGCAACTGCATTAGGGCTGTGAGCTCGGGGAAAGGAAATTTTCAATAGGGAAAGGCCTTACTCAGAGCAACCAGTGTGCTTGTTCCCCCTATACCATTACCAAACCCGTATACAACCATTCCGACCCAAATACCCCATATACTTGCCCCAACAAGGCCGGTGAAAAGTATGACGGGAACAGTTCCGATCAGGAACATGAGGTAGCAGCAAATTGTGAGCCACCGGTAGCGGCATGTTCGACGCATGATCTGCAAATGCCGTGGAACTGATTAGAAATCGAGGTTGATGCATTTTTCGAGGACGTGGTCGTTTATACTCACCCATCCTGCGAAGAGAGAACCACAAACGTTTGCAAGGATACCAGGCAATAAACGCACTCCTGCTGCCGTTGCGGATAGTGACTCCACGGCTTGCCAATACAATGGGAGATTGTATGTCAAGGCTATATACGTGCCAAACGCGAAGAAGTTACACAATAGGCATGCCAATATGGGACGTGAAAATACAATTTGCAGTGGAGCAAAGGGTTGACACGTCGTTTTGGCCTCATTGAAGAGGAATAGCCCGAAAAAGACAATGGATGCGACCACATTTCCGTATGCCATCGGATCTCCCCAGGAGTCGTTGCTTCCTCGATCTAGACCAAGAAACAACGTCGCTATGGCGGTTACCAAGAGAAGAGCTCCCAGAAAGTCGACCTGCTTTATATTTTTTCTCCAATGGTGGTCCAAAGGGCGTTCTCGCAGAACAAATAGAACGTTCAAGAACGCAAGAATGCTCACAGGGACCTGCAAAAGGAACGACCTTCAATCACTAAAGTCAGCCACCACTTTGCTCGCAAACGGCGCCCGGGGCACTGACCTACCATCTCCATCCCAAGGTGTCGGCTAATGCACCGCCTAGAGGAGCTCCCAACCCTGCTCCCGATGCATACACAATGTTGTTATATCCCTGCCACGTACCACGATCTCGAAGGGGTACCACATCTGAGAGCAATATAGCTACTACCGTGGTCATCCCACCTCCTCCAATGCCTGTAAAGGCGCGAGCTATAATCAATTCTTTCATTGATCTAGCAAGGCCGCACCACAAGCAGCCCACTGCGAACAGGCCAAAGGAGAAACATAACGCTGCCTTGCGCCCAAATAGATCGCTGATCCTCCCGTAGAGAGGCTGAAAAGCGGTCAGCGTGAGGAAATATCTGTTCCACCCCGTCAGCCCGTATTTACTCCTGCGTTTAGGAAACGAGAGCTTATTCACGCAGTAGCTATCCAGCTTGTCTGATTCAAGGCAGCAAACTCGTTGCCAATCTTCCCGTACGATGCAACAACAAGGGTTTGATCCGCTGCTGAGAGGAATATCCCGATTGCCAGGGCAGGCATTGTCCACCAGACGCTTCTGGCGACATCGGGATTTGGACCCTTCCTTTCTGAACTTTGCTGGACTGCGCCGTCGGCCGGACAAGTACCATTTTCGCAGTGGGATGAAAGGAGAGGTGATGTTTCAGTGGGCATTTCCGATGCTTCTTTACCATCGGCGTTCCAATTAGAATTTTGAAGTGATGAACCATTCAACGACAGTCGACACGTCGGGTTGTAGTCCTCGATTTCTTCTTCAAGTCAGTCTGGAAGACAGAGGATTCGTAGCCCAATTCTTTGTTTGGGAAAACGAAAAAAAAAGAAAATAAAAATAAAAATAACACCGTCTACTCCGTACTTTGTCTTCCGTATACAGTACTACACCGGCCAGCGATGAGCATAAATACGTCACCGTCAGTACTCCTGGAAGCCGCTTAAGCACGGAATGACATAGAGCTATTAAAGATCGGGTACAACATTACCACCCCGACTGGACGTGCATAAGTAGGTGTTGACAGTGGCGAACAACCCTGTCATCCGAGGTGGTTAATCTTTATGGCGTCGGGTCATCCCTATGCGGACAAAGGCTGAGCTGAAAATTTCCCGGCAAAATTCACCTGACAGCCCTTAAGAGTGATGGGTCTTGTGCAGGGGATAGAAGACTGCCAAGGGCTTGAATTGAATGACAGAAAATTTCGTATATTTGCGCTCTATCAGCACGCCACATACGCGCGTCTACGAACCCATCACCCAATAGCTCAATTCGTTTGTGGGAAACACCGGCTTTGTCCGTGGAACCAGCCGTTTTTATAAAATGCCGAGAAAGTTGTCAAACCAATGGATATAACCCGAGAGCGTTTCGGCTCAAATACAGAGTACAGAAAAGGGGTTCTTGCGGAGGACTCTTTCGCGAACGAGGCACTGACCACCCTTCCGTTGCACAACACCGCAGAGCCATGATCTTCGGATGCATGAGATCTGCTTTGCATATTGCACTGTAGATCCTAGTGGAGTGCGATCTGCATAACTTTGTGCGTGATCTACAGAGGCACTCTCCTCCGTACGGAAGAGCGATTGTGATGATGTCGTCTGTACTCCATATGAGAACATGTATGGAGTACCGCGCAGACAGCTTTCAAAGCTCCGAACACGCAGCCTACAAAGGTTCCCCACCCCATCGGGAGTCCACTCCGGAAACAGAAGTATCTGATGTGCAGTGCGGACTGGGCAGAGCCGAACACACGCCAGCATTATTAGTACGGAGAGTTGGGAAATATTTACACCTGATAGCAGGCTGGTGCTTTCGTTTCCAGTGGGAACACCAGGGTCTTGCGGCGTCCTACGTTTTATCCATGGCGCCTCGAGATGCAAACAGTTGGATTTGGTTATCTCTGCTTCTCTGGCGTTAGAGAAGATTCTCAATTGAAAGGCTGCACTTCATTGACAAGCAAAGATTTTGTCTGTCACTTCCACAGCAGAACCCCCGTGTTCACTGACGCACTGATGTCGACCCCATGATATCTGATTCGCAAGCCATATTCAATCAAAGCACTCACGTGTACTAGCAACTACCATGTCAGAACAGGGGTGACCTGAAACCAAGACTGCGGTTCGGAATCTGCCCCGAGAATCGTGGATTTAGAGGGGAAATATTAACAGCAAGTTTGAATGAAGTCTAGTCAGGCAAGGTCGCACGGTCAAAGAGGATCGGTTAGTTCTGTCCCTTATACTCCAGTTTGTCCCACCGATAAAGTAAGCGGGATCCACGGCAGCTTAGGGTCTCGATCCCCATCCTCGAAGAATGAGTTCGGTTTACTAGGGATGATGAAAATGCAGTCAAAGCGATGGTGTCAGAAGTTCTAAGCCATCATTCCACAGCAACCAACGGTTCTACCGTAGCCCCTATGCAACATCGAAACAACGCCCTTGGTGGCTTCATTGTTTTCCGCATTCAACTCAACTTTTCCCTTCCGATAGAGGGCTCATTGATCATACAGTTGCGGAAGCGAAAAAGGCGACGCATATGCTCACTGCATGTATTGATAACTGGAAGACGCATTAGAGAATGTCAATATGAGGTGGCAGCTATTAGGGCTATAATGACTCATGGATTAAAATTGTATGTTTTCTGAGTATCACACATATTTACCCGCAAAACACCGCCTCGTTCCGTACGGTAGTCCTCCCGTTGGGTTAGAATGGGATATTCATCATGCACGGGACGACGATGGCACGGTTGGCTATATACTGCAGCACATGGCACAGAATAATCCACCTCGTCCGAGAAACGGCCCGGGTCTTGCAAAGTAAGAACGGAAGCGTTGGCGACTTGTAGGTCGGCATACATTTGGTATGCCGCCACTCGAAATAGCAACAACAGCAAATCCCAGGGTATCGGCCAGTTCACCGTAGCATTTGAAGAGCCTTTTGAGCATAGTTGGGACGCGAGGCCCTTGTTCTGAACCTGAACAGCAAATTGACTTTCATCTTGATTCTCTTGGATGAGATCGGGTTCCAATTATACTCCATCCCGAAGTTCAAAACCAGCCGAGGAACCTCTGGAGCAAATTGAAGACTGTGAAACCGATGGAAGCTGGTAACTATGTCTCAATAAATCAATATCCAGAAAAGTCACAGTGACTACTCCGTAGATGGCATCGGACTTGTATTTCTAGTCTAAGCCCGTGTCGCCGCGGAGTGCGTCATCGCGAGGCCGCCCTCTATGCTTCTTCTTGTTTCCGGGCGTAATAGTTGGCAGTAAGGCAAGATTAGCCTTCGTATGCCAGGGGCTGCATGCATTTCGTTGAGGGGCCGGCTTTTGTGGACGAAAGCCCGGTATCAAATCATTACAGAGAGTTGGAGCCATGATCATTCGACAAAGACCTTTTTCCGGTGCTCTCCGATTCGACTAACTTCTACTCCATAGTTACAGCCTTCTAAGAACCAATCACAATCTCGCCATAATTTCATTTTCCGCCGTATGCTTATTTCTCAAAACCCCGTCTACGAGCCGTCCAACTTGCCTTGCAGAGCCAAATGCGAGAGACCACCCCGCGCCACCATGTCCATATGCGTGAACAACCTTGCTTGGCCTTCCACTACCTGTTTTCCTCGTTTCGTGCTCCACGCGAACATTTTTCATTCGATATGGACGAGTTCCTTGCGCCAACGGGTATTTTGGATCCAGTCGTGCATTTTTCAAAACGGGAAGCAAGTCCTCGCACCGTTTACGCATGTCCTGTATATCGCGGGATTCAGGTGTTAAGTCAACCCGCCATTGGTTGGGCTGTGTAATGGACCCGAGGATAAGGATGTTGTCGTTTCTAGGTACAATAAAAGCCATGTCTTTGAAATTCCCATCCGCCCTGCTCTCCGTAGACACAAGCATAGCATTATTGACCCGCGGGAAGTCCGTTCCGTCATTGATGACCCGCAGTACTGCACCACGGAGGTGGTAAACTGTGTTGTCGGAAGCCGTCTCTGATCCCATAACCCCTGTTGCGTTCACAATCGCGTCGGCGTGATAGGTTCGTAAGAGATGTCGTTCCTGGTCGAGTAGATCGCCATGGATTGTGTCAGTGTGCAATTGCGCTCCTTTGCTTTTGACTAGCCTCATCAAAAAGGACATCGCCACATCTGTGTCGATAATCGGTGCCATATGCTCGTAGGCGTCCTTTAAGCCACCATGGGAATTCACGTTCACTCCATATTTGTCCAGCAATTCCATTCCCCAATGGAATCCTTCCAGCTTGCTGCCCAAAACAAGTTCCATCTTCTTGGACTTCACCACATCGTCCACGATACGGTTTGTGTGGAAGGAAGTGCACATGGTCACTTTTATACCGAACGCTGCAGCGAGCTCTTCGCTCTCTGTCATTTTGCAGTAGATTTTCAGGCTTTCCAGTGCCCATTTTTGCACCATTTCAAGTTTCTCCTGAACTGCCTGGGGGCCGCAACCGGCTGGAGGCAATTCCCAGAGCGCACCTGCAATCTGGGAAGTGAGTCGTTGTTCAGAACCGAACGTTGCCCATTCTTTGGACACGATCGTGACACGATAACCGCGATCTAAAAGCAGCCATGCCGTCGTCAAGCCTGTCACTCCTCCACCGATGATCAAAATATGAGGAGATGAAGGTGTTGCTGTATGAAGTGTTTCACGGCCTGCAAAGAAATCCTCACTGATCAGGAGAGGTTCCTTAGGCAGAGATGTCGGACAAGAACGGGTTTTCGAGAAGGGTCTTCTTTCCATATCTAACCTGATTTCAACTAAGAGCAGGTAAACAAGGGTTCGGACGTGAAAATCACAGGAAGGGTTCACGGATGTTTGTAAATTGGGATCTCAAGGTTCGAGTTTGCTCCTGATGGAACTTCCGTTTTTATATCCATTTCGTCCCGGTTCAACAAAACCTGTCTCGGTAAGAATCTGATACATTGACTTGAATCCCTCGGGAATAACGTAGCGCAACGTATCAAGCCACTTGTAAGGTGTTTCGTACCTTCCAGCCCGCCAAGGTGGGAAGATCTCTGTCTGGGGACACAACTGTCAGGTCCGGCAGCAAGCCTTCTGTGCGACTAAAAAGTTTCAGCATAAACCAGCACAATCGCAGGATCAGCTCCTCATAGCCATTCATCTGCGCACATAGTGATATCTGTGATGACAGGGAAAAACATCCTGGCGAATATCTGCACGGGTGTGAAAATGGCTTAGTACTGTCCGAAGCTGATTGGATAGAATGATCTTTGCAGTTCATTTGAATATTGGCGGCCATCATTGCTATGAATTAGGCTTGATTGTCTCTAGAAAAAGCTGAAGCCTAAGGTTTTGGCTTGTGTTGATGCACAGGCGTGGAGGTGCCAAGTGATATGGCGTTCATGCATAAGGACGGTCAGTTCAGTTGGCGACATGCGGATGGTTTTTTACAGGCAACTGGGTAACCATTCACTGGGGTTACCTGTGGCTGTCTGACGAATGCATCCGACAACTGCACACCAAGAGATAGTTGAAAGGATTTGAGACGGCCAATTGCGTGGCCAATCTTGATTCAGGCCGGAAGAAAAGTCGCGTACCCACACCGCAAGGACCTCAATTTGTATCAATGGCGAGGACCATCAGCTGAATCGTGTTGCTGGTTGGGGACTCTGAATAATGACTCTCATGCAGGGATCGTAAGACAGCAAACTTGATTCGAACGTGGTTCGACCAAGAGCTCTGAAGGGTCATCAAGCTGCTGTCAAACGCGGTAGTATATCGATGTTTAAAACCAAAAACGCTTCCCGCGACGACCAATTTTTTTTCTCTTTCTCATACTCGGTTATCAAGGTTGCCCTACATTTCCTGGTGATCGAGGCTTAGTCCCTCGTTGCGCACCCCCAGAGTAGGACAGAGGCTTCCCGCCGGGAGGTGATGATCTTGCCTGGACTTGGAGAGTGCAGGACAGTCGCGAGGAGAGGTCTCCTGCGCTCTGGACATATTAGTGGAACTGCCATCCACCTCGGTATCTAAAGTAGAGATATATCGCGTATGTGCACCAGTAACCGTTCCCGACTACCGGTCTCCTCTATAGCTATCACGAAGAAAATAAATCTGCTAAAAAAAAAAAAAAAAAAAAAAAGAAAGAAAGAAAGAAAGAAAGAAAGAAAGAAAAAGAAAAGAAAAAAAAAGACGACGACGACGGTGTATGTCCATACATGCAGCAGAGCAAATAGCCCCATAAGTCAAAAACATCAATGCCAAACCAATATGCCAACATCCTAAAGTCGTATTGTTTAAACAAAAAAAGGAAAAGAAAAAGAAGAAAAGAAAAGAAAAGAAAAGAAAGAAAAGGCTCACTTAAAAAGTGTATGGGAATTAATATGTGCATCGCAAAACCTAAATAGGGGTGTGTTGTCACAAGGCAGTTATGACTGTTCGGAATCATATGTTTGGGGATAATTGGTCGTACTTAACGCACCACTCAACACTGCTAATGCTAGCCTGCAGGAAGCTACGAGCCTCGAGACCCATCCAGACACGGAGCATTGAAGTGTCACCTTCACGAACAGACTTAAGAAGGGTTGTACCGGAGCCAAGTTGGCGGAGGATGGGGAGGGCACTATTCAAGAGACCGAATGTCAGCCAAGAAGAAACACGGGTAAGGGCCGCGAAGATGTGACACACCTCTTGAATAAATCAAGGTCCGGATCCAAGCTTCTTCCGATTCCCTCCAGCAGCAAAATGGAAATGACAACATTCACAAAGTCCCCTTCAAGTCGTACGTGGTGTGCTCGAACTAGATACAAAACTTCACTCAAAACGTCTCCGATTTTGACATTGCCCAATGCAAATGTCCGGCCCTTGACCCCAAGAACAAGATGTTGCATCTTCAAGGCGAAGATTTCTGGGTTGAGAACCGCATCCGGCTGTCTGGAACGCTCAACCATGAGATGACCTGCTTTATACCCGTCGAACTCGGCGATGGCCCGGAATAAATCTAGAAAATTGCGCCGGTTCGCGTTGTTAAGCTGGGTTACCAGACCCGTGTCGATAAATATGATCTGCGGTCTGTAGCCTTCAGCATCTATCTTCTCAAGTTCGCGAGTCCAGGCTTCAGGGTTGCCCTCCCATGCTGCAAGCCTGGAAAGGACCTTCTCTGGTGCATCGGGGAGAGCATCATGTCTGGTACTTGGGGCCAGTTGGTGGCCTCTGATGGACAAGTCTAATTGCCCAGGCTTATAGAAGCGAACCATGATGTTGCCTGGATGAAGATCGGCATGGACAAAGTTGTCGATAAGGAGCATGTGTAAGAATGCATCAAGGCCTTCACGAGAAATTTCACGGTCATAGACACCACCCCCATTTTTGAGGAACGTTGTGAGAGGAATTCCTTGTGCAAACTCCTCGACAAGTACCTCTCTCGTGGTATATTCTATATACGGATAGGGGAACCAGGCTGTAGTTCGTGACTTGAAATGCTCTCGAAATAGAGATAAATTGCTCGCCTCAATCCGGAGATCCAATTGTAATTTCATCATCTCGCCAAATTTCTGAACTTCATCAGGCAATGATAACCATTCCATAGTTGGAATGGCATTAATCACACGGGCAAAAAACATCATTATTTGCAAATCGCGTCGAACGATCCTGTCCACTCGAGGATGAAGCACCTTGACTGCGACATAGGAAGAAGGGACCCGCTGCGGAGTGCTTTTCACCAAGACGTCGACATTCTTGCGAACCTTTTCGCGTAATTTTACAGGCTTATCGGCTATATTCCTCTCGTTCAAGGCCGAGAGGTCAGGCCGAAGCTTAGCCTTGTAGACCTGTGCAATGGCACCCACACCCAGAGGTTCCATATCAAACTCTTCGAATATATCTTCAAATGGAAGCCCATTGAAAGCTTTCCGAATGGTCCGCTTGGTAACATGAAATGAATGCGCTGGTGCGTGGGAATGCAGAGAAGACATCAGTGCACATAATTCTGGCGGGAATATGTCAGACCTCGACGCTGCCCATTGCCCCAGCTGGAGTCCATTGAGAAGGAATATTAGCATACGCTCCATCCCTTCAGGCTTGCCTAATCGTGACGTAGAGGGCATTCACACCTTGATAAACGCAGGACCTGCGCGCTCCATCGCCGACACTAGGAACTCGTACCACCATAGGGTACCGGTCCTCTCATCATCCCGATCTCTTATCCTCCGTCCAAACCATATTATGGGAACCGTCACAATCACGGGTACGAATATAGCCACCAGATGTAAGAACCGCATTCCAGTCGCAGCCACCTCAAACACATATCTCTCCAGGAATATATACACATGCCACAGGCCCCTCATTATGGCATTCGCGTCCTCCGGTACGGATTTCTGGGCCTCCTCACTGGACGCGGCAAGCATCTCTAGCTCACCCGTTGTGTCATCGTCACTATTTCCATTTTCCGCAATATCGAGAAGAGCAACGGGAGTCAGCGCAGCCAGCAGCGCAGCGCTTATCGCTGAAGAGCGGTTCCAATTGCGCTTCCATACGAATCGCCATTTCCAGACGGGACTGTGTACCGGAGAAGGAGGAAATATGAACCGAGTAGACGGGTTGGGGTGGAAATATCGACACCGCGGAGTAGCTCTAGGCAGGCTTCGAAAACATTGATGACGGATGCAAAATCGGCCGGCGGTGAGGGCCGTTTTCATGTTCTCATGAGATGAGTGTAACCAATGGTCATCGATGCGGCGACAATGCTCGGGTATTTCGTCGTGTGTATGAAGAAATTCAAGGACGTTGGCCGTCCGTCCTCTGCGGCGGGCGAGCAGGTGTGCTTTTTTAGCTTGTGAAGAGCAAAGCTTGGCCGAGAGTCAAATCTAACCCGCTAGTTAAGTAACTAGTTACGTCACATGTTCCTTCGTCCAAGCTTTTTCTGGAGGCTCATATTAGCTGATATATCCCAGCGCGATCACGGCAGAGCATTGTTGTCTACACTCAAGATAAATAGATATTTAAATAATACACATGTCTGAATATATGTGGGCGACCGTGTTCGATTGGAAACACCAAAAAGAAAAAAAAAAAAAAGAAAAGAAAAGAAAAATCCCGACGCCGGCCTCACCCAAATGCATGCTATGCCAAACCAAGCGAACCCCCAACTCCGTCTATATGAGCTTTTAGTTTTGAAATTCTATCAAAAATCTATGCAGCAGTCGGTTTCCGAATTCGTAGCAGGATCTTTCGAGATATCACCCGATGGCCAACGCGGCGCCACCCGTGTGTCTCCTCTCACCGCGCCCATGCTTCCGTCGAATACCTTATGAAGGGCGCTGACAAAAGTCTTGGACACCCTATCATTCATATAAGGAAACCGGTACAGGAGTCTGCGCCTTTTCGGGGACACGTCTCGTGATTCACCTTTCAACCCACCCCGATAGAAGCAGACGGCTCTCCGTAGCTTGTAAGCCGCAAGGTCCTTGACAGCCAAGTTGATAAACTAAAATGAGAATCCGTTAGCCACTTTCGCGAACGATTTAGAACATTGGGAGTAAATATACTTCGTCCAAGAATGATTTGCACGTCGAAAATACTCGACTAGAACTCTGCCTGATGTCGAACGGATGATCTTCGGGCAAGCTATACTGCAGCCATGGGTATAAGTACAACATATTCTCATTCTGTTTCAGGTTTTCCGCAAACAAACAGGCCATCATTGATGGAATCAACGTTGCAGTGTCAAGATATACATTTCCAGACCGGCCCGACGTTAGGAGCGATGAGAATATGGCGACGCCGTTGACCCTCAGGCTTATATTCCGAAGAGCCGTTCCTGGCAGGGCTTGTATTTCACTTGTTGTTGCTGTGTTCCATATACCCCTTTGCTCCCTCTCTGCGATGTTTGGAAGCAACGCACGCAGTAGAAGGCTTTTTATGAGAGACTGCGAAGTGGAATTCATATTCAATGCGTGTCCGCCAATCACGTTGCTTCGAGAAGGGTTGGGGATAATTCCCGCATCGAAAAGCATCTCTTCCACCCGGAGGACGGACTCCCATATCTTCAAAAACATGGGGTATCTAATGAATTTGGATCTGCAGGCAAGTTGAGCCTTGGATTCGCCATGCTTATTCCATTGCTCATTGGTGTACTTGAATGCATTGATGACGCCAATGTGGTCACTGACGCTATCCCTGATGAATTGAAAAAATGGACCTTGGGCCGATTCAGTGTGGGCACGTCGGCGGTCGAAAATAGACGCCTTATCGGAGGTCAAATCCACAGCAGCAGCAGATATGAGTAAGGGCTCAAGACAGCGAAATATGACACCTAGAACAACTAGTTTGCCCGCTGTGGGCGATAGTGGAAGCGATGAAACAATTCGCCCTAATGGAGTCAACCTGTCCCATTGGTCAATGAGATTCAATGCCTGAAGTTTACGAGTCATTTCAAAGATGTGCTCTCGCGATGGTGGCTCTATTAGTCCCGATAGAATATCAGATATAGATCCACTCGAAGGGAAGAGGACTTTTGCATGTAGACACGCCCGATCAAACTCGAGGCGACGGATATGAGGGGTTGAATGCGGCTGTAACGATGCTTCTCTCTCCTTGCTGAACAGGGCATAGTATTTCCCATTTTCTTTGTGGCTTGCAAGCATCACTCGGTCTTGTAGCCAAGATTTATAGATCCAGCGGCGGACCTGTGACGTGGTTGAACTCCTCGGATGATGCAATTTTTCCGTCATGAAACCGGCATCCACTACAAAACAGACACTTTCGGCAAGGGAAAAACCAGCCGTGCCAGTTGAAAGAATGATCGTTCGACTGGTCCGATCATCTGCGGAGGATCCACCACTTTTGTCGGGAGAATGCTTGAATATTCGGTATTTACCCCTATTGCTCGTATCGTTCTCTATCATCCTGACCAGCAACTGATTCACACGTTCAATATCATCTTGATCCGGAAGAAGGGCTAGAATTGCACCCGTTTCTGTAGTTTGGGCGATGTGGTCAATAGCAGCTGCCACCAATCCAATAGGGGTTGGGGGAACCTCTTCCTGAAGGTGAGGTACAATATCTTGCTCTCCATTGACAGGAGAATTGTCCTCACTTAGTTGGAGACCATCTTCCCACCAAGAGTCACGCATGATCTCTTGTCCTTCATTGATAAACAGGTTTTCCTTGCTCGTCTGAAGAACCTCCTCCCACCAAGAGTCTGGTATACTCTCCTGTTCTCCACTGATATGCGAATTGTCATCATTTAGCCGGAGACCCTCTTCCCACAAAGAGCCAGGTATAATATCTTGTTCTCCATTAATAGGTGAGTTCTCTTCACTCATCCGAAGGCCCTCTTCATATGGTAATGGCCGCGCAACTTCAATATTCTCAAGGGACAGATATCGAGCGGTCTGAGGCTCAGCTAATAAAGAATGATAGCCACGAACCGAACGCAACTGCTCCAGTATGCTATTCAAGTAAACCTTATCGGCCGGATGATCATTGGTTTGAATACGGACAGACGGACAAGCAAAGTCCTCCCTAGATGGTTGGACCCGAAAATAACTCGCGAATAACTCAACGTCAAAATCCAAGCCCATAACGATCAATTTAGGAACTGGCTTTCCTTGATTTGCTCTCTCCGAGACTTTCGACTTCACGTACGCTAGTAGAAGATCGGTTGAGATAGTTCGCTTCTCAACATCATCTATGATCACATGAGAAGCAGTCTCAAAAATTCCATTCGATTCATCGCTTAGCAGATCCAAAAGCATTTCATGCGTGTAGTATGAGATGCTGCCAGCTAGCGTTGGGAGCTTAGGGCCAAATGAGTCACCGTATCCGACTGTGCTGCCCAGTGTTTGAGAACGCTCCAAGGCAACTCGCCCAGCATTTCCTTTCACGGTGGATAGTCTATCCTTAGAGACAAAGATATTACACAAAGCTCCTGTTCCCTGCATTATAGCGTGATCAAAAAGGATCTGCGGAACCTGAGTAGACTTTCCGCTTCCAAAGGCGCCCGTGATAAAGCTATAGTCATTTTGGTCTACCATCCGAATGATATCTGTTTTGTAGCGATAAACAGGTAGCCTCCGCGACAGAGTACGGGGATGAGGGCTTTGTTGTTCCTCCAGCCAAGAAAGGTGATCCCTAAGTTGGTGTGACCTCTGCTCGAGATCGGAATGAAGAACGTTACCAAAGCGGAGTTCTCCTTTCAGATTACTTGGTTCAATATTTTGTACCCTGTCAACCATCTTGCGCCGGGAATAATTCAGATTCTTCGACAGAAACTTCATTTCCTCGACAACATTCCGATTCATTGAAAGCTTCTTTCGTCTTCTTGCGTATTTTCGGTAATACACATCCCAAAGACTCGGATCTTGACGGATAAGTGTAATCGCCGCGGCTAAATTTGCAATTTTACGGACCTGTCTGTCCTCAAAAGCAATAACAGGCTCAGGGATAAGCTCATTTCGAACATATATTGAGGCAATGTACGCAGATTTCTCAGGACTAATGGGTTGCTTATCCACTTTGACACGAACGCAGTTCCGTAAGCTTTTGGAGAATTCGTAGAAGTCAATAAAGCCCTCAACTTCCCACGCAGCAATCGAATCACTGCAAGTTTGCTTCGTGCTGTTTATCACAGAGAAAATTGCCCTTTTCTTGTTGAAATCATGGATTGCCCGTTTTACTGCTTCATCAAACGAGTTGGCGGTGGTGGTGACACTTAAAGATTGTTCCTCGAGCGAAATCGTAACTTCAAAGTTGTAGCCGTCGCTTTGCAAAGAGTCACGCACCATTCTAAATTGAAATATAGGAACGCATAGGAAACGGGCAGCATAATCGTATATTCCTTTCAAGTCAGCTAGGCTGGCCTTATGATCGAATATGGCTTTCAGAAGACGACGATTGTGGAGTTCTGAGACTAAATATGTAAATGCGACATGTTTTGCATTCGCCTAGCATGTGTATTAACTCTGGCGGCCCCGAGTAACCGGGATAAAAGGGTTAACAGCCACCCACCTCTGAGTCCCCTTTTCCAGAAACTTTGATCACTGTGCGAAGAAGCGGTATGGAACACGTAACCAAGCACATAACATCAACAGGCCCAAGCGCCCGAAATTCCATTTGGAACTCCGCGCTGACAGCCGATTCCAGTAGTTCACGAATGCGAACTGGGTTAGCTTCGATACCCTTTAGGGCAGGATAATCGTCGACATTTGCGAATCCAATGGGGGTTTCCACTCCGTTGGAAGCCTCTGCCCATTTCAAGCGTTGATCATGCGCCGGGTGGAATTCGCGAAGCATGTCCGCGGTGACATCATCATTAAATACACCTTTCGATACAGCACTATACTTCCGGTTCAACAAATGTTTGGAGCTCCAATGTCCCTTTGAAACCGGAATGAGTCCCGACCGCAAGCTGCGTCTGGCCGAACTCACTGCGAGGGAACGTGTGGCGGGAATAGAGTCTGGAGAACGCATCGAACGCCATGGGGTCGGACATCTTCGAGGACAACGATGCAGGCGGCGCTAATTGACAGAATTTCAGTTAGACCTCCCAATACACGGTGGCATTCGAAAGTAGAACGCGCTCACCACAGCCGTTTGCATCTCGCCCAGTTTTAGCATTAAAATTCCACCAAGACCCTCCTTTCATCCGAGTCTCAGCTTCGCCAGGCGACAATTTTCGAAAGTCATAGGATTAATGGCAAAAGCTACCATCTCCACTATTGTCTCTTCATCCCTCAAACCCAAGCATCATTCCAGGAATTCAAGATCCGCTCGAAGCTGGCGGCGTCCATCCATCCAGGTTGATAGCCGGTCGAAGGTTATTCCGTCCCGAAAAGTAGTTCAGAGGCATCTTGGCTCTACGCTTCGCTTCGTTCTGCCAGGGAGCGAATTCATCGGTAAACATATGGAGTACAGACTATATTGTTCACTACGGCGATGCACCGACCCAGAGGGATCGACCTTGCAGTATGTTGCTCCCTACGACTAGTTGGAAATTTATGTGATTCTGCTTGACATTAATTGACGCATGGGCGACCGCCCAAGTCATCCGGGTCGTTCCCTTCCATATATCTCCAGAGCCTGCTAATTTCGCGAACGGTTTTGAAAGTCGTTCCCACGGTGCTAACCATATCCTCATTAATTGACATGCAACGGCCGTTCTCCGCAAAACATGCCCTCGCAGGCACATTCAATACCCGGTGGGCGAACTGGTCTCGTGCGTCTGGCGTTGCTTCATCCACCTCAACGACCTGGTCTAAAAACCCTAGCTCCTCGTTGTTATGTTGAGCTTCAAGGGGAGGAAACATGAAGTCCAGGTAATGCTGGTTTAACATATGACCCGTGGCACCCATGCGGATGAAAATTTTGCCGGCAAATCTATTCTCCAAAATTGTGCGAACATTGTACAAAACTCCCCATCTAGGAACAAGGTCTTCACTATTGACATAATGCTCGATATATGGTATCACCCCGGTGCGAGCAGTACCAGAGCAAGGGTTAATTGCACGGAGAGGATTGTTGAAATGAGATGCCGCCGACCCAAACGTGTATACTTCCAGCTTTGCCATGTTCTCTGCAGGAACGTCCGTGAACAGCAGGTCGAGGACCATGGATAAGATAATCCCTCCTTGAGAATGACCGATGAGGACAACCTTGTGAACGGTTGGATCGACCAAGAACGCCTTTACCTGATCATAGGTAAATCGGATGCTATAGGTATTGAATGAAAACGATCGTTGGATAATGCATTCGAGCAGGTCACCAACGAGTCCGTACGTGGCATTGTGTATGCCAATTATAGGACGGCCAAAAATTGCTGCAAGGCGGTCACAGTTCTGCTTGAGCCCGTAATGACTGAAAAGAATGATTAGTGCGAATGTTAAAGCCTGTCATAAGCAGGATGGGAGCCTACGATTGAAGAATTCCATTAACAAAGACCCAGCGTTCTTTTTTCCGTCTCGCTGCATTTATGATATTGTCACCCTCCAGGCTCGAATATACAATATCCGGCCCACGCAACGGAGCACACAACAGCCAGACTAGCCCTAGGAGGAGCCCAGCTACAGGAATACTGAGCAATCCAGGAAGCACCCAATACGACAGGCTCATCAGAGTAAAGGCCAAGGACTCCAAGACGGTCACGACTACCAAAACTACGAGATTGATCGAATTTCGGCCTTTCAAACTCAGCTCATCGGTGTTTCGGCCGGTGGAAAACGGCCGAAAAAGGTTTGGTAGAAGTGGTAAGACGCCAGTCAAGGTCCGCACATCTCGGCACATCAAGGCGACGGGGTTGTTTCGCGTTGTTGGTGGACTCGTGAGAGCGGTTTTGTCGATCTGTTCTGGAATGTAACAAACGCGATGCCGTCGCGGCCTGCGGGTTTCTGATGGTGTCCGGAACTCAGACATTGCTCAAAGCTATCTCCTAAGCAGTCCTGGACTTAATGCAAATATTAAAAATAACGGCTAATTTGCAGAAGCTGCTGCCGTGAGGCTTCGACTTTGAAGGATTTAGGACGTCTCTCGAAGAAGCGACGAGCCTTCAAGCTTTTAAGGAAATGGACTTGCTTTTTCCTCAAAACTTTTAGGCATTGGCTACCGTATCTTAGGAGTATTCGGGAGTGGCACTCTCTAAAATAAGATAACGTCCAACTCATCCGATCTGTCAAGTCAACTAGTACAGTAAAATAAGCAAATCGTTATATGCTCAGATGACCTCTCCGAATCGATCACCATATCAAGGCGACATTACAAACCCAGCCCCATCTTATGGGCATCCGTTACATCTGGAGAGTGTCATGAAGCCAAGCTATTATATTCATTTCCAATCCTCTGTAGTACGGAATAGACAAATTGGAGGCCGGACTCTACCCTGGCGAGCATAAGGCTGAAGCTGGCAGGGCACTGTTGCCTTGGGGCTGTCGATCATTGAAATTCTTATCTGCAGTGTCAAGCATAACTGTCTCCATGTGATGGATTCTTCCTCATGTGACTGTTGTGCTGTTGAAAGACTGTATCGTCGCTACTTCTCGCCGAAATAATATGGGTGTGAGGCAAATTAATCTTATGGCTTAATGTAACATTACTTGGGGACAAATGGATAACATATATACCTATACAAACAAGAAAAGAACTGAGAGAGGAGAACCAGGCCTGACGGTCATCATTATGCACCCATTCCCTTCAACCACTGCGAAAACTCCAAGTCAGGCTTGTTTTGATCCGGCCTGAGAAAGATAGAGAGGCAAATATGAAAGCTCCGAGAGGTCAAATGGCATGCCTCTGACAAAATAGAAACGTCACACTATTAAGACAATGGAGGGAAAGAAAATACAAAAATGAGATCCAAAGACCCAAGGCTAAGACACCGTACCCCATTTTGCTCTTGTGCTTTGAAGCCCTGAGAATGATTTATCGGGCTTACAATCATGATCGAAAGTTGGGTATATATTTGAGATTTCTTTTAGTGTGACTCTCTTACGGAGCCTCCGCTAGCTCTCCACCATACATCGCCGCCCCATTTCATTAATCGCTCGACAGCAGCGGTAGGTGAATCAAGAGCGGGTCGGATATCGAGGTAGAACACCGGCTCGCCAGTTGGCTCAGGTGGACCAGAGTAATAATCAATCACGTAGCGAACCTCTTTCGGTCCCCACGGCGTGTTGCGCAAGACGTACCAGTCATGACGATCGAATGGCGGAGGAGTGCTACCAAGTTCAACCAGGTCAGACTAAACTTTTCTCGGAAAAAGAAAAACCGCCCACTCTTCAAGGGGAAGAGTTGAGCACTTACCCAAACTTCGCTGGATACACCCATCCCAACAACTGCAAGATCGAAGCCTTAGGCGTCCTCTCCTGCGGCCGTCCCATAAACCTCACCAACTTCGGTTGCTCAGCTGATACCCCCAGGACTCTCTCCTTCTCCAACTCCGTCTCCAAATTCTCCGAACCACGCCGACATTTGTCCCACCCACTCTTCAACCCATTGGAAAACGTATTCTCCCACTGCACAATCTCTTCCCATGCACCCTCATTCAAAAAATTATGCACCGCAACCATCGCTTCGACCGCATGCTGCGGTGTGTCTGTGTATCCCTTACGCAGCATGGCGTTATACATCTGTTGCGGGGAGGGATACTCCCAGTTCCCGCCTGCGCCATCAGCACGAGGAATCGAAGAGAGCTCTCGCTCAACGGGCAAGTCAACGGACTGGTTAGGCGCGCGGGATTGCGAGATATTCGAGAACATGTAATTCAAGGGATTTAACTTTGAAAGGGTTGATTGCTGTTCGTCTGGATATGAGGCAGATGGAGGCGAATCGGATTTCGCGGACGACGGAGCGACGTAGAAGGGGGAGTCAGATGCGCGAACGGGACATGAGGATTGGGACTGGTTCTGATCGGGTGTACTATGCATTACCGGGCATGTGGACTAAGTTAATTTCCCCATAAGTGATCCGAATATCATTTCTGAGAAAAATTTGTGTATGCCGTGCTCACCTGGCGCGAATTTGATGGAGCAACTTGGGTCTGCGCGGTGGGAGTGTGCCCACCAGAAGGTGAAGCCCAAAACCATCCCATTGTGATTATTTCAAATATCCAATTCTTGATAAGATAAGAGCTGTTGCTATTCTTGGTAAAACCCCTAAACCTAGTGTGTTGAAGGAAATCTGGACAAATTCACGATCGAGTCGGCCCAAAAAAAGATCTTCGATTAGATATTAAGCTACGTTCACGTGATATGACATAAGGCCCCAAGAGAATGTCGTCGAACTGACTCTCCGTAACTGACGGACTGATACGCAAGTGATTTCGGGAGTACTCCGTAGTCAAGACGTAAAAGCTACACACGCTATTACATTAGTTAAGATAGGACATCAGTCAAGCCCTGAGTCCCGCTAAGGTCACCCAGTGAAGAAAAGGAACGAAGGAGGAAATTTCGGGAGAAGGCGCATTTGGACCGTAGTGCTCAGAGCCAATTCACTACATTCCAAGAAATAAGAGACACCACCGTTCGCTATACAAATCTTAACGATCACGAGGAATGTCAGACAGCTACTGCTGCAGCATCGTCTCTATTCGTTTTTGATTTCAGTATCCTCTTCAAAAACCACCGAAATAGTCATAGCATCGTTCCATATCCTTCTCCAAAATCCCAAATGGCAATGAGGCACATAAATATGCCCACGAAGCACATCCTCGACTTTGTTCCAGTCCTTCCAGCCCCGTAGCATCGCGATATGCCTAATTCTATGCAAAAACCACGGACGCTCCAACTGGTCGCCTGCTTGAAAGGCACCGAGGAAGGCAGCCCAAGCTAAGAGGTCGAGTACATCATCACCCAGTCTAGTCGGCCTGTCCGGTGGACACCTCTCAAGAACCGCCTTTACATGGGTTGTTATGGCTCTTCCAACGCCGGAATTGGGCGGTGCAACTACGCAACCGGTGCTAATGTAGCAGATACAAGCTAAGCGGGCAACGTTTTCTACCGGGGGTATGGTGGCATCGTTCTTGGTGCCGGCCTTGCTGAATATCCGATAGGGATAATCCAGGAGCTCGTGCTCTAGTTCATGGACACGAAGGCGGTAAAACTCAAGCTCTTCACTCGTAAGGCCTATGGAGTCTTCGCGGTTAAAATTCTCAAGAAGCACCATCTCACGTATTTTTGCAATTACTGCCTTCAACGTATCGCTGAGGTAGGGACTGTTCTGTAACCTAGACGTTACCCGGTTTAAAGGGGACTTTTTAGCGGGAGCTATTCGGGACGCAAGAGCAGGGGACATTGGCTGTATATCCCACGTTATCGGGTAGTATGGACGACGCAACAGTCCGCATGCAATTTTAACGTCGCACCTAGAATCGCAAGTCAGATATGGAACTGAATAGCCACTTAATGGAAACTACTAACAGCAAAACACCGCCGAGAGTGCGAGTTGCTTCGAAGCTCGGCGACCCAATTCCTCCTCTGGATTCCACCATCTTCTTCACACCCTCAAAATGCATTTGAGCCTCATTAAACAATCCAATCGTTACCTACGCCAAAGTCAGTCGACGAAGACGAAAGGGCCATAGAGAGAAAGGAGTGAATGTGGCTCGATAACAACCGCGGTAAAGAAGAAACGCACAGCAGCAGATATTAAAAATATGACAGTCTCGAAGGCCGCGGAATCTGCAGCGGTCTCAGGATTGTGTAGCTTTTTGTTCATTTCCCTAAGGGCCTGCGCCTTCATGACATATAGATCTGCCTCAGGCACAACCCTGTTGTCCATCTGCGAATAATCAACGATCTCCGTACGCAGAATGGCTTTGTGTGCCGCGGCCAGGCATAGATTCGAGAAAAATGGCCCAGGCTCAGCCATTGCATTCGCGACAAAGAGTCCTATCCTGGTGTGGGCTTCTTTAGGATGTCTCGCCTCGACCGGGAACGTCATCGGTAGCATTACAAGCGCCACTTTGCCTTGTAAGTGATGGGCACAGCAGACAATTACAATAACACGTAAAGAAATGAAAGAGGTGGTATGAAGAGGTAAAGTATGCGAAGACGATATGCTTCTATACTCCTTTCCATATTGCCGGAAATAGAAATGTATCCAACCAAGGTAGGGGATGTGTCCTGTGTCAATTTGTTTGTAATAGATCAAGATGAACAAGTATCAGAACAACCCGGACTAATCCACTGTATTGAGTGTACTTAATCCATAAGGTTTTTATCAAGTTCTGATAATTAAAGAAAAAGGGTCAGAAAGACAGAAAGAAGGAAAGTCCTCTTGCAACTTACAATGCTTCATAAGCCTGTCAACAACGGGTTTGATGTCATCAAAGCCGGGTAGGCTCCAGAAGGGATCAAAGTACGATACCCCCGGTTCCGAGAACGGGCTCGGAACGTGGTCCGACAGGGAGCCAATAATGGGTGGATTCCATGAGGGAGGTTTTCTTGACCTTGTGGGTATTACAATAGTTGACCCAACACCAAGGGGTGCACCCGAACGGGGCCGTAGTAACTGTCTACCGGATTCGGGAGATTTGGCATCGGGGCTTGCCTGAACCTTTTTGTCTCTTTTAGAAACCCGTTTTAAGCCGGCAAGTCGTTCTCGCCGGCGTACGTCGCGCATTACATGGGATCGAATCGCCTTTCTGGCGTTCGCATCCTTGATGCGTTTAGAAGCTAAGTTGTCATCGTGATCGATAAACGTAAAGGAGGGTAAGTCGTTAGCAGGGATTGGCTTTTTTGGACCTAAACCCGGAAAAAGCGCGATTTCAACGTTAGTGGATCTGGGTGTTACATTCTCCAATTGAGAAAAGAAAACTAAATATGGAGAAGATCTTTGGTGTGTTTGTTGTTTCTGATCCCTTTTTTTTTTTTTTTTTTGGTGGTTGCAGCGGTTCTTAAGGTTAAGTCTCCGAAGACCCACCAATGAATTCCTGTAAACCCCGACTTATCGAGACGAAATGGCCCGTGGGGGAAGCTGTGCTGGGGGCAAAGACAATGCTCAAGAGCAAAAACCAGGTGACTCGTAAAAATAAGAAAGGGGAAAGGGGCTAGAAAGGAAGATCCGGCAATTGGTGTAATGGTCCAGATTGAGACAAAAAAGGGCGCTCAAAATTGTGCTGTACCACTACCCGGGGCGGAGAACACGGAGAGGCCAAAGAATGAGACAGAGACATGTATCTTGACCAAACCTACAGGGAGCTTGACGGGATGACGCGCTGCTCTTCCCTTGCCTGGCGGGCTGGTCCATCGTGGCCAGACAAAAAGAGAGATCTCAGCGTCAGCCAAGGCCCAGAGTTATGCAGGAGAGGAGCGTTCCTTGCGATACGTCAAAAGGAGACCGGGAGCGAACGGCCATGTGGCCCCGTTTGCTCCGTTGCACTGTTTGTGCCTGCACGGGAGATGAACACGGCTAGCAACCTGCGATAGCCCTAAGCGGAGTAGTGCATTACTCGGGAGGCCTGGATTTGGGGGGGGGGGGGGGGAGTTGGGATGGACCAGGGTGTCGCGGAGGGGGACGAGATGCCTGGAGGGAACTGATCGGTTGTGTGGGGGTGGGGGTGTACACAAAAATGGAGTGTTCGACAAATGACTAAGGTGATTGACGATACATACGATGAAAGCTCTCGGCAGCGAAGAAGACGGTGAAGGGATGGAGAACGGGGAGTTGGATGATGTTTGGGTAGGGTTAGGATTTAGTTTGACTCGAGCCATCCTGGATGAAGATCCCATTGCTGGAGTGGCTGCTGACTCGCTGACGGGCGCACGGAGGACTTGCTTTTTCTCTTCTCGACATCAACTTCACGCCCGCTGTCGGCTCTTGCGCCAGAAGGCCGTTTTGAGTCGAAGTCCTCGCCCCGGGGGAACATCCAATGGATCGACGAGCAAAGCCCTTCTGCAGACGGAATGGCCCCCGGCGAAGTGGATGCTCGACTCCAGCGAAAATCTCATAAGCCTGCGCCTAACGCGGCCTGTTTCTGTTTCTCACAGATCATTCGCCACCTCCAACAATTGCCCGATCGGGACGCTCCAGGCTCTTCGCGTGTCCGAAGCCGAACAGTGAACAATGAACAATGAACAATGAACCATCATCACGAACAGCCACCATCCCGGCAGATGCAAGTAGGCAAGGATCCTCGCTCGAATCACCCGCCCATATGCAATGTCTCGCGTCTGGGGCCCATCGAGAATCGGATTTGCACCTCGGAAGTAACCTTCCCCTGAGCTTGCTCCCATCCCCTCCTCTCGCAAATATACACTGTCGTCACGTCTCCCTTTCTCCAAAGACCATATTTAACTAACTTATTGACTGTATCGCGATTATAAGAAATAAATATATAAATCTACCAAGCCTTTCGATGGATTCTCTGTAGATACAGTACACACATGAAATACATGCACCACTCCGTAGGCTACGACAAGGGTATATCGTCGTGGCAGCCCTCGCTGCTTTTCAGGGCAGCACGAAAAATTATCAAAAAAAAATAAAAAAAAAAAAAAAAAAATCGGTCTACAATCCATTAACAAAAACAAGAAAAAAAGGAAAAAAAAAGGAAAAAATAAAAAATAAAATAAAATAAAACGCTAGATGCATCCGAATCCCATCGCTGAATTTCAACTCTTTCCATCCCAGTCCCAACCACATGAAATATTGCCGAATGTCGCAGTGGACATGAAGAGGTGTGGAGTCCGTTTGCTGCGCAGTCCTGGCTCCGTTTGAATAGGCGAAAGGAAAGAAAGGCTCCCGGACCACAAAGATGCGCTACGAACAGTGCTTTAGACACGAATGTCGTCGAACAGCCGTGCTAACAAGGCGTAGCCTAGGACCATCAGGACTCCAACCCAAACCTTGTGCCGACGGAACCAGCTTTGACCGACATCACGGGCGACTTGCCCTCCCTCCATGACAGCCCCTATGCTCGCAGTGCTCCCCGCGGGCCGACGACGCAGCGCACTTGTCTCTGGAGCGCAGCTCGTGGCTGCGGCGTTGGGATCAGGGAGGATCTGGCCGGTGGCGACGTCAATACGGTTGTCTTTCATCCACTTCCAATTCTCCTCGTCCAGCTCGGGCCATTCTGCCCGAAACTTTTTCCCACCGTCTCCCGCTTTGATGTTTGCGATGCCTTTGATGGTCGACGTCACGCCGGGAACGGCATTAGAATGGGATCCCCCGCCCGTTGAATTCCACCATCGTGACCGTGCAGCGAGTAGTTTGCGTTCCGGATCAGATGCACTGACGCTTCCTGTCGTCATTTCCTCACTGGTCATGAAGGACAAGAGTCCTATCAAGATCGTCGAAACTTCCCACGCTGGGTTGAATGACTTGGGGTGGAAATCGCTGATGCTGAGACAGAGTCGAGAGGAGGGCTGGAACCGACCGCTCGGGGTGTGCATGCGGATGGCAGGCGGTGCAAATGGATAGTCTGGTGGGAACATCAACGTTCCCCAGTACTGGCCATTTTCATATGGTGTCTGCGGGGGACCTTGAAGGATGTAGTGCCATCTATGAAGCGATATGATTAGAAACCAGATTCGAGAGAAATGGGCGCTGAAAATTTCTCACTCTAGGATGTTTGACTCTGAGGGATGAGCAGTGATATAGGGCGGAGGGTTCTTTTGAATGTTTTGGTATTCGCGCGTCAACTGATAGAACAAAGTGTTAGCGCTCTCCGTGATGGCCTTGCCTTTGGTGAACTGACCCGCCTAGTCGCCGCCTTGTTTGCCATGCCGGCAGATTGGACGAGGGGTTTCGGGGGTGGGTGTCAACAAACAATTTCTGATTTTGGGAATGGAGACGAGATGTCCAATCTTTGCCCCAGAAAAATGAAAGTCTGACAAAGGAGTGAATAGCGGCGGTTGTTCGATGAAGCGTGATGTAAATCCACCTTACTTGTAGCCATCCCGAAGAAGTTGGACCTTACAAGGGCCAAGGGCCGGTGTCACGTGAGCAGACAGGAAGTTATCGAGAACATCTGGTGGTGATGGCCCCAAAGAGTGCGACTTTGCGCAGACATTGAGCCATTGACGGAGCCGAAATGGCGTCTCCACTTCAAGATGACGACGGCGTATGTGGCACTTTGTTTTAATCTCTATTCTCGTTCCGGCGGGACTGGTTCGATGCGCTGACGGCACTCTGACCAAAATAGATTTTCGAGCGGCTTCGGAAACAGAACGAAGATCCGAAAGTCTTGGAGGAACGGCAGCAGGCTGTGAATGAGAGGATACATGCGATATATCAAAAAGCGCAAACGAGATTAGCAGAGCTGGTTAGAACTCCCGGATGTTTTACCCGCCTGATTGCTATGAAATACGGCCATTAAGATCTTACTTTCATACCCGCCTCTAGATTGATCAAAATTCCACCCTACCATGCACTATTTCGTCGGTCCAAGTACTAAATGCCTCGCATACTCGGAAAGACTTTCTGGAGAAGGTCCTCAGTCCTCTGTTAAGCTCCAATAAGGACCATCCCTACACTCTCGCCGAAGCTCTCCAGGAAGTTGGCGCCTGCACTGATAAACTCCACAAGTTTGGTAAGTTGAGCCATTGGAAGCTCACATATCTCTGTAATCACCTGCTTTTGATATTAAATAATTCGGACTTCAGATATCTTTCAGCAGCCGATATCCGTATACCTCGACAAGCCCTCCCAGACTGACCCGTCCACCACACCGACTGACCTGGACGTTTACCTATCCGTCAAGGAGAGATCTCGATTCCTTCTCAAAACCGGCACGGATCTAGGAAATGCCGAGGGCTCCGCGTACGCAAACGCTCTATGGCGCAACATATTTGGCGGAGCGGAAACGCTAAACCTCAATGCCTCCTTGGGAACCCGAACAAGGTCGGCTTACCAAGCGACGTTTGAAACTCCTATCCTCAGTGACCCTGACTTTCGATTTGAAATCGGTGCCCTTGCAAGTGATACACAAAAGTCATGGGCTAGTCATGAGGAAGTGGTCAAGGGTGCATGGAGCAGACTCCGTTGGATGAGTGCCGCCGGTCATCGCCATGAGCTAGGATTGAATGGATTCTGGAGGCAGGTTACTGGCCTTGCAGGCAGCGCCTCTCCGTCCGTGCGCGAAAATGCCGGCGACAGCGTGAAAACAAGCATTTCACACACTTGGACTAAGGATCAGCGAGACAATCCCATCCTACCGACAAAGGGTTTCTACGCTAAAACATTAAATGAACTGGCGGGATGGGGCCCCTTGAAAGGTGATGTCTCATTTTGGAAATCAGAGATAGAGACCCAGGCAGCGGTCCCCGTACCGATTCCAGGACTAAAGGGCGATAGCGGCATCAGTTTCACCGCTGGCTTCCGTGCCGGCCTTATTTATCCGCTAGGCATGGACTCCAACTCCAAGCCCCAACTCTCTCGGATCAACGACCGATTCCAGCTAGGAGGTCCGACGGATGTACGAGGTTTCAGAATTTCAGGACTTGGTCCGCGCGAAGGTCCAGACGCGCTAGGCGGTGACGTTTACGCTGCCGGCAGTGCTAATTTGCTGTGTCCTCTTCCACGCGTCGGTGCTGACAAGCCTTTCCGGCTCCAAGCCTTTGTCAATGCCGGGCGGTTACTGGCTCTGAAGACACCGCAAGGTGCCTCTCCCACCTCTCCGCAAGAGGTCAGAGAGAGCGTAGCTAGCACGCTTTCGGAGCTCGCAAATGGCCTTCCCAGCACGGCCGCCGGTGTCGGCCTGGTGTTTGCTCACCCAGTGGCAAGGTTTGAGCTGAATTTCTCCTTGCCTCTTGTCTTACGAAAGGGGGAGGAGGGTAGGAAGGGGCTACAGCTTGGTATTGGAATCAGCTTCCTGTAGAATATGCTGTAATCTTGTACTTTAGAAAAAATACATGGCAAAACTAAATTCTTCCTGAAGGCTTTCCATTACCGTTCTACCTTCAAAAGCCGTGTCGGTGGTGTGTCGTCGAGATAAAGTCATAAACAGCGCCAGGGTTGCTACAAACAAGTTTTTAATAATTAGAAACGTAGAGCCAACAGCCTGTTGCTATTTCTATCGCAGCAACAAAAAGGGGGTTGCCTGCGTGCCTGGGCTGACTTGCTTTTCGAGTTTCCACCGTGGCACACATCACTTCACCAACAACCACACAAGTTCGTTCATCAAGCTTCGAAACACCGCTTCAAACCTGATTCCCACCACGCCATATACCCTCAAAGCAACTGAACCATCTCATTTAGAATACATATCGCCGATACTCGCTCTCGCGACCCGCTCGATCAACCGTCGCGCTAGCTCCCTATAACCAACCTCGGCCGCAATGGCCCAATTCTACTCGCAGCAACCACAACAGCCCTACGGCGTTCCCCCCCAACAATCCGCACAGAACCTTCAATTCTACTCTACATCGTACTCATCAGTCTCCGGACACACCACACCGTCACAGGCAACATATGGCGGCTATGGCATGACATCTAGTTCCGCCCCCGCGTTCCCCGTCGGTGGTGGAGCAGGCGGCTACGGCGGTGGTGGTTACGGAGGCTCAGCCGCTGGTGTGAGTGGAAGGATGGGCGAGCAGGGTGGTTTGAGAATGGGATGGCTGGCAGCTTTTGGAACGGAAGGATATGAAGGAGAGCCACCCTTGTTGGAAGAACTGGGGGTCAATTTTGAGCATATAAGAACAAAGGTTGGTTGAGCTCAGTTGAGCTCAGTTGAGCTGTCTGGGAGCGCGAAGTCAAGTTTCGAAACCTGCTTTCGACCTCGACAATGGAATTACATGTCTTGCATTTTACCAATGCACCAAATCGCTGACCATCTATCAGACACTCACCGTCTTGAATCCCTTTGCCCACATCGATCAACACCTGATGGACGACAGCGACCTCTACGGTGCCCTCCTCTACATCCTACTTTACGGCACATTCCTCCTTCTCTCCGGTAAAGTGTTCTACGGCTACATCTACGGCGTCGCTGTCTTCGGCACCGTTGCCCTTCATGTCATTCTCAGCCTTATGTCTCCCACCCTCGACACCCCCAGTCCCACCGACGTCTCATCCACCGACCCCAGCGGCTACCACCCACACCACAAACCAAATCCTAACGCAGGACATTTCTCATCGACGTTAACATTCCCTCGTTCCGCCAGCGTGCTGGGTTATTGCTTCCTTCCACTTGTGCTAACAAGCCTAGTGGGCATTCTCATTCCTATGGATACGATGTTCGGATATCTCCTCACCACCGCCGCCGTGGGGTGGTGTACGTATAGTAGTTCAGGAATGTTTTGCGCTGTTGCGAGGATGAGAGGCATGAGAGCTTTGGTGGCTTATCCGTTGGCGCTGTTTTACGTGGTGTTTGGGATTATGGGAATCTTCTCGTCGAGAGGAAGTGGTACTTTGGCCGCGACAACCGCTGGCACTTGAAGAAGAAGAATAAAGAAAAAGAGGGTGGTTCACCCACAGCATTTTCTCACCTTTTTTTTTTTTTTTTTTTTTTTTTTTTTTTTGGTTGGTTTTGGGGGGGTTTGTCTCGATTTTATAGCGGGGAACGCATCGGGTTCTTCGAAAATTGGTCAGAGAATGTTTACCTCGGGTTCGCCGAGAATATGAGTCTCGCCGTGTTGTGATATGACGGACAAGAATTGATGGCGGACCAGCGAGATCGAAAAACAAAGGGGCATACTATAGGTAAATTCTGTTCGAGTTTTACAGGTGATGTTGGCGTGGATATATGTACGGATCTCCTATTATATGGTGTCCTTGCATCTGGTATTTCCGCGTATATGTATACCCAAATACTATGTGATAATGATATACTTGGACTTTGTACTCTATTTCTAATGCAAAGAGATATTTTAATCGCCAGATGCCCAACATATCTAATGCACTATTTATGCAGACTGTCATATCATCATCACAAGAAAGTCCATGCTGGGATATATCCGTAACTACCATTTCAAAGTGTGTGCTTGCCACTCAATTACTTCTGATCACCAAATTTCTCGCCTTTCTTCGGCGCCCAATTCTTTAACCAATCCTTTGCCCGATCAATATCACCGCCAGCTTCCTGAATCGCCGCAACGCCCCAGCCCAATTCGTAACCCGCCTCCGAAGCAAGTAACTCTGCCAATTTCCTCCTCGTCTGATTATTTTCATCAGAGCAGAAATACAAAGGCGAAGTATTCTCCAGATCTTGGCCGCCTACGGGAATCGAAACCGCGTTGATCAATGGCTTAACCAACGCCAGCGCCTCCTTCGCGGACACGCTGCTGATGCCCATGTTTGCCCGGCCAGTCTTGCAGTACTCGTTTCGACACCAGGATTTGCCGCAGCCACTAAGCATTTGGGACAAGTATCGCCTCTCTATGCGGCGCCGTAATGCTTTGCCTTCTGGATCGTACAAATCGACGTAAAGAGGGCCGAAGCAGACGTTGCATAGGCCTAGGGAATTGTCGGCTACTTTACCTCTTTTGACCGGGTCATCCAAGGTGCTGCAGCAGTTGGGATTATTGCATACTCGGGGTGGGGGGCGGGAAACGCGTTCAAGGTCATGGTGGCGGAGATGGGTGTTCATGTCTCGGAGGCGGATAATTCTATTGCATAGATGGCACTCCGTCGTACGCGTGCCGTCGACGAATTCATGCGGTGTCAAGTTCGATAAAAGAACCTCGGGATCGAGGACGTCCGGGTCAGTGTCGCCCTTTTGTGGGACGACGAGGTGACAGAATTGGCAGAGAATAAGCTTCTCTGGACAAACTGTGGTGCGATGGTGAGCGAGGTCGGGCAAATTCCGGGCTTTATAATGACATTTCGAGCACGGCTCTTCTGTATGGAAGATAGTATCATGTTTTGCCTTACTATATGCATCATTTCCGTTGGCTTCATCATGAGGGCAATGCCAATGGCTCTGCCACTCTGCGGATCGTTTCTGGAAAACCTTTTGACATTTCGGGCATAATACATTATTCCGGAGACAAAAATTTTCGTGCAACACTATGGTTGTTTTGGGAACCCACTGATGACAATTTTTGCATTGCTCGTCTTCAGTATTCTGGGAGCCAAACTGAGGGTCGGAAAGCCCTAGCTGCTCTCCCTTTGTAGACGCGCTAGTACGCAAGGAAAAGTCCCAGGCTTGACCTTCCTTGCCCATTCCCTCCTCCGGTGGGCGGGCAAATATCGAGATGTAGATCGCCTCCGCACCCTCAAGTTCAATATTAGTGGGTTGAATCTGAACGTGTTTCGGAAACTCGGTTGAGAAATCACCAAAGACGTGCTCATCTTCTCTAGGCCGATTTCTCTGCCGAGAAGAAAAGGGGCTAACGAAGAGGTCAATGTCGGTATTGTCCTCCGCATCCAACTCGATTTCAATGGGCTCTGAGCGGTCCCATTCCGGTAATTCATAGTCAACGTATTGGCCCACGACTATCTCGGCACTAAGCTGCTTCCCAAATTGTAATTTTCCACCTTTAGCCAAAGATTTGGTCCTCAGCTTTTCCCTGCGCCTTCTCTCTGACTCCAGAGCTTGCTCTTCGTCCAGGGGTTCTATGTCGACTTCCAAGTCCGTATCAACAACGCAGATGGCGTCACCCTCCGGTTGTACCTTGTCCACAAGGAGTTGAAATACCTCGTCAGGGCGCCCATGGACCGCCAATGACTCCCCCACGGTTAGAGTAGTAAAATTTGCCCCCAGATAACGCTCCAGCAGAGCTTTCCAATCTTCGGTATCATATCCCGGTTCTAAGGGGCGTAATCGAACATACGTCCCCTTGGGAAGCTGTACGGCATGGATAGTAAGTCTGGGATGATCATGGCCCAATATTCGGCCACTGTCTTCAGCAGCATGCTCGCCTTGTCCAAGGTCCGATAAGCGGGGATGCGACTCGAGTTCCGGCTGGTGTATTCCAAGACTTTGAAGTAGGAAGGGGCTCAGGGCAACTTCGTTCTCTTCGGCGGAGAATTCGAGGATACCCGAATGAATGACGCGGCCATTTTTGGGGTTCACTATACGGAATGTGAGAGGGTACGGAAGCTCCCGACCTTGGTTGCGGCCTTCAATGTTGACGAAGGAGGTGGAGGGTGTATAACGGTTGAAGGATTCAAACACAGAAGGGCTATAGTCGCGCGAAGAGGACGGGGCGGGGAGAGCACTCAGAATGCTCTCCAGGGCTGAAGGAGGGAGACATATTTTATCACCACGGAGCTTCTTTGGGGAGCGATTCGGCGGCGCGACGAAGTAAGAAGCAGACCACTTCAGCGGGTTCTCCATGGGTTGGGCTCGCGCAGGCGTGTGCTATGAGGTGAGAGAAAGGAAAGATTATAGAATCGGAAGGTATGAGCAGGGTTCCAGCCCGGCCATCATCTTCATCGACCGCTATGCTTTGCCAAAACCACCCTCGACAGCGATACTGCGACAAACTTCCAGAAGCATCTCATCGCCAAGATGATGTAATCAGCGGCTCCGCTCAACTATCGGCTGTTTGCTTTGTTTGCAATTCCTTATGTAAGTAGAGATCACGTGAATCTATCAGAGCCAGGACTAAGCCCAGTGTATCCATTCGACGTCTTTTTTGTGAACCTTCTTTCAATTCGGCGGCTTGTTAAATTCAATACTCCGTACGGAGTACAGAGCCTCTCACTAATTCCTTAAACTGTTGCATGATTACAAATGCGTTTTCCTATGCTCGTCAAACAACACTTGTTGAACCTGTATTCCTAACATACGCATTAGCGGTTTTGGAGTGAACATAGCTAGCAATGTTCAGGTGCTGACCAAAACTAGGAAACCAAAGCAGTTATCACTTAATTTCTACAAATTGCGACCAGATCAAGGACAGCTGAGCCCGTAACAATCCATACTTTGCTAGTTTTGCTTTTCTGGATCCCTGTTGAATCGCGAAATTAATACTTTGCATGGTCTTGGTCATGGTTTGATACAATCGTTCCCCCAAGATGGGCACAATGCCTCTCCGTATTTGGTATCTGAATATAGAAAGATTTGACTGAGTGAGGTATGTATGAATGTTATGTATGTAAAAAAGTCAGCGCCTTTCCATCCGAAAGCAATAGAAGAAGCGCATAGCCCGAGGAACTCCTGTACCGAAATAAGAAGAATGGAGATGTATCTAGGTAGTAGCACCGAGACCGAACAACCATCCGCTCCAATCGTGCTCCAACAAATGTTACTCTGCTCCCCCTTGACAAAACAAACCACACAGCCGAAATACCTATTCCACCCACGATGTCATGCTAATAATCCGTGAAAACGATAAGGCTAAAAAGGAAAGGAAGGAAAAAAAAAAAAATCAAGAACCTCTTAAGTCCGATTTGGAAACATCATGAGCGCGAATTGTCCGTAGAAAGAGTCATTGATTAAACGAGTATCGAGTGAACATTGATAGAGTAGGTAGAAAATGAATAGTCGTATCCGAGAGTGGAGAATAGCGTGGAGACAAAAGGCCGATGAAAAAGGCAGTAAAAGGAATCAAAGCGAAGAGACGATAAGAAGAAACGATGGGTATAGTGCGCGGGGGCATAATGGGCGAATCGCTCAATTCGGTGGCCCTTGATGAAAGAAACAAAAGAGTCAAGTCGAACGCGGGTTAATTGTTGGGATCTGGGTCTAACTTTGCGTTCGGTATCCCCTCCCCCATTGGATATGGTGTAGAACGTGGTATCTGGGCCAAATGCGAGTAGAAAGGATGGCCACTATTCGCTGGTGATGTTAATGACATCAACCCCTTTTACAGGGTTAGACCCTGCCACCACGTCTTGGTGTATTACACCAGTCACACTAAGTGATATCAGTACTATCCCGCCGGCCGTTGATAGGGAGATTTGCCCAAAGCGTACCTTGGTCTGGGAACAGCCATCGTTGTGGTCTAGGCAAAATCCTCCTTGGCAGATTTCGCAGGTGCGAATAACCTCGATCATACAGCGAGTGCACTGGCAGGAGGAGTTTGATTAGAAAGACGTGCATCCTATTAATGACATGTATGGAACTATAACTTACCGTGGGCCCGCACTCCCAGCAGTCTCTGGCAACACATTGCCTAGGATGCTGTCAAGATAGTCAGCTTACAGTTATCAAGGAGATGTGCAGAGTCTATGCTGTAAGGAAATCCGTGCCCGTCGCTAAGGTATTGTAGCGGCAAGGGCTGTGAAAAATGTAGAGATAGCGCTCCAGCAAAGGGCAACGAGGCATACTCTTCATTTCCACTTCATGTGGAAGGAGCCTGGGAAGTGAGAGCGAATATTCCAGCCTCCGGTCACGGATCGACGAGATAATTTCGACATTCAATACAGAGACCATCAAATACCTTTAAAAATTCGCACTCCTTGGATTGTTCCATGCCAGCAAACATACCCGGCGGCTGATATGCAGTACCAGGGGTTCTGAGAATCTCAGGGTCTTGCAAGCAGTCGGAGCACCACCATCGGTTACATCGGCGACACAAGCGATTCCGGACGCAGTCTTCGCATTGCATGATCAGCGTAGGTGATTCATTCTTGTACACCGCGGGATTCTTGGCGACGGCGATCCGAGAAGAATGTAGTGGAGGGGGTGCAAGCAGTGGGAAATACTCTTCCGGAGAGTAGCCCCAGACAGCGGGGCCTTCAGGAGCAGTGCCACATCCTTCACATCCTCTTGGTCCAAGCGCGACGGTAGCAATTGCTGGTTGAAGGTATGAACCTATCGGCTTGGAATTTTCCCCAGTGAAGGAATTCGGATCATGTCTCGGGCTTCGGCAGAGAACGGCATCGAATGAGATTAGTCTTTCACAGAGTTGCAATGTTTGGGCCCATCCATTGGTTATTGTGCCTTTGAGTACCTGACCAGAAGGTTTATACCATTCGTGGCGATGCTGAACATCCTTTTCCGAGTGATGAGGGTGATATGCGTGGTTTGTGTGGTGGCCAGTCTGGGCCAGGTCGGGCCGATGCCGCTTGCCAAGGGTCGTCTGGTGGCACGAAGGCTGATCAGAATCTTTCGGACTGAAATGGTAGATGCCCTTCAGTCTTGGCGTGCCCTTTGCGCGACCAGGTCTTACCGCATACTGCAGTGTCTGCATCAATTTACGTTCGTTCAAGTTCAGACAGCCACGAATGGACAGGATGGAAACATTGAAACGATCGTTCAAGACAATTTCGGCGACTAAATCCGCTGGAACAGAAAGACCGTCCAATATCAAGGTGCGGACATCTTGGAGGATAGCTCTTCGTCCTAAGTCGTCGAAAATTCCTCTAAGTGGGCCGGAGTAGAACTCATCTTCAGTTAGAGACTCGTCGATGCGTTCATTCCTCCAGACGGTGCCTCCGCGATCGATGGGGCTGATAAGCGGGACTTGGGCACCACGAGACTGGGTCAAGTCCAGATGACGGAAGACGTAAGGCGTATCCATGACAAGAGATCTCATGGTCCTGTTGGTCGATGCCAGGGAGAGCAATGACGCGACTGACATGTACGGGGCCAGATGGTCGATCACAAGGGAATTCGACAAAATGTCTGCCAAGGCAGTACAGTTTCGAGATGGTTTTCGAGCAGTCATGCTGCTATAGCGCACAAAAGAATCATCTATCAAAGGCAGGAAAGAATGGTTGCTTTGCTTGCGTGAAGCACATCCAACCAAGTGGACTTTGTACGCTTCCATAGCACCAGCGGTGACGTTTTCGGCAACGGGAACCGTCGGTTCAGCTTGGACTTGCTGAAGCGCGGCCCTCGCCTTGACCAGTTCAGCCTCCAGGAGATCGATAGTAGACTGCAGGACAACCGGCATTGCGCTGGCGTTGATAGGGTTAATAGCCGTCAGTAGAGTAGCCCATAGCTCCCCCTGTGCCATATCACCCTTCTGTTCCAGCAACAAAGGCGAGCAGGGAGGTGAAGTGTAACTGCTGCAGCAGCTGCAAACCAACAACTGCCAGAGAGTTGAGCAGGAGCTTGTCAACTTTCTGGTTCTAACAAGACCAGCCTTCGACACGTGTAAAAAAGTATCCGGATGCTGTTGAAGTTAAAACTTTGGGCTCCAGGCCAAATGATGACAACAGACAGAGAAGAGGAGCCTAAAAATTAGAAAGAAAAGAAAAGAAAAGGGAAAAAAAAAAAAAGGTTGTCAACAATTATGAAGTGGAAAAGGATGCTGAGGATCGTGTACGGAGTAGAAACAGTTGCAGAAGACAAGAGAGCCGAGAAGTTTGACTCAGGTGGCGACGCGATATTAAATCAGGGAGACTTTGGGGGGGAACAAAGCGAAATCTGGGGGAGTTTGCAAGAGAGCTGCAAAAAAGCAATATAAAGCTTGATGGGGATGATAAGAGTAATAGCGGAGCGTAAGAAGAATTGGATCGTATTAGATATTATGATTAACTACTGGCCTATGAACGAGGCGATGGTTGGGAAGCCAGAAAAGAGGCCACCTGTTGGTTGGCATCTGCTCCAGAAGGGAGGACAAAGACCCAAAACCTTTGCGGTGAGAGGAAAAGGGAATGTTCAGCAGAGAGGCCCAGGATCATGGGGCCGCAACAGTGGAAGCAACGTGGGTTCTCAACAATCAAGGAGAGCTCCAGCTCGGCATGCGACCAAGACTAACGCATGTATCAACTAGCTCGCTGGACTAGTGAGCTGATGGCGGGATGGTTTCACTTGATGGTTGAATGGAAGGGGAGCTCCCTTGTCAAAATGGTGCAGCGGCAGTATTGGCCAGAATGCCGGCGTCGCGAGGATGCCCCATCTTGTCCGTATAAGTTACTCCGTACAGAGACACACATCGAGGCCATGGAGGAGTCCCGGACACACAGTTGGGATGCTCACGGGAGGCGTCTGTTCCCGCATAAACTTCAGCCTTCACATGCAACTACAAGGGCGCGACATGTAACTCATCTCAAGAGGCGAAATGCAGCAGAACGGGTCAGTTGCATCTCCCGCATCTTGAAATGACCGGCATAACCAAATAAGGCGACAAGACAAACCCACAGGGGCCGGCAGACACCGAACTCACTAAACCACCCAAGCGATCCCACACACCAGATGGGCCTGGGGTTCTCGGCGTGCATCCTTACTGTACATCATAATTTATACCGCTTCGCCTGCGCTGGGCGGACAGTTTGGCATCACGCTTGTTGAGACAGTGGGCAACGGGCTCCACCGCCAAACTGCCAACTGCCAACTGCCAACCATGGAGTCCGGAGAACCCCCTTCAGGATACATAATGTATACAGGGAAACCCGACTGATAATAGTAACAGGACCCCGACCTCCATCAAGCTTTGCCTGACGTCCTCCCGTTCGCAGCTTGCGTGGACACTCTGTCAGCCCGACCGCCTGCTCTGCCCTGGCTTCCACACCCCCCCAAGGTGGCCGACCATTCATCATCAGCGCTGCGAGAGGCGTGCATAATTGATGGGTAGTGGCACGTCTGGATTGTGGTGTTACTTTTCATAATAGAAAATTGCTTTACTCTAGCCCGCAAGATGATTTAGATGATATTGTTCATTACTCATGTTTCAACGAGTCCTCATTTGCCGCAAAATTTAGAATCTCATCGGGATGCCGCTCGATTTTCATCCTAGCAACGAGATCGTAACCTTGAAACCCAAGAGGTGCCATGTGCATCATTTCATAATGTACAGTGAGAAGCCCGCTTGCCCCACAGATGGCCTCGTGAGGCAAAACGCATGTAATCCTGGTTCATTCTAGCTTTCGTGGCAGCTACTTATCTGGTTCTTTTCGGTCGATACTGAAATAATATAGCATCTCGCGCGGGGGATAGGCATTATAATTGATCCTGTTCGCTTCAAATATACCATTCATGTACCACCTACGCTGTCTACTTCCAGAGTTTTCCAAGACTGACCTCCTTGTCGTCATGCTTGTTGAGGATCTTCGCTGTCGCAAGGTCGAAGTCTTCTTGCGTAACATGTACACGTCGCTCTCGTAGGGCATACATCCCTGCTTCGGTGCAAACTCCCTTGAGTTCTGCGCCTGAGCACCCGTTCATCTTCTCCGCTATCTTTGTCAGATTGATTCCACGGGTAAGGTTCATCGAGCGGGAGTGGATTCGGAGGATGTCTGCACGTGCCTCGACACTATATGAAGCCCCAGGTGGTGAGATAGATGCGAGAGGAGGAAGAAAGCGATCACTTACCTCGGTGGTGGGAACTCAATCTTTCTATCGATCCGTCCCGGTCGGAGAAGGGCAGGGTCAAGGATATCCAAGCGATTCGTCGCCATAATAACCTTGATGTTCTTTGTCGGCTCAAAACCATCTAATTGGTTGAGAAGTTCCAACATCGTTCTCTGTACCTCAGAGTCACCTCCACTGCTCCCTTCCACACGACTCGATCCAATGCTATCGATTTCGTCCATAAATATGATGCTGGGTGCATGTTCTCTTGCCATGACAAACAGCTCTCGGACCATTCTACTCCCCTCACCAATATACTTCTGCACTAGCTCGGATCCACTGACGCGAATGAATTTGCAGTCCGTGTGGTGAGCAACCGCTCGAGCCAGAAGCGTTTTCCCAGTTCCTGGGGGGCCATATAACAGGACACCCTTTGGCTGGGCGATACCTAAGGATTCAAAGAGCTCGGGGTGCTTCAAACCAAGCTCGATCACTTCTTTAATCTCTTTGATTTGCTGGTCAAGACCTCCGATCATATCGTATGTACTATCCGGTACTTTTTCGACCATCATAAGGGAGACGAGGGGGTCAACGGACGAAGGTAGCATCTTCTCTAGCTTGTACGAGTCGGACATTAACGACACACGTTTGCCAACCGTGAGTTTTGCAATATCGACACCATCGGCAACATCGACGACTGCACCTTGTTAGCCTCTTGTAAAAGCGAAAACTCAATAGATGTGAACTCACCGTATTTGCCTTCTGGATGGACTTTGACCAAAACCTTTTTCGTCGACATCACCTTCACAACTTCACCGACGTACGAACCAGGCTGTTGCAATAAGCCCAATTCCTCCCGTAATAGCCGTACTCTCGAGTTGTAATCATTTCTCTGTGCTTCTAATCGTCTCAAAACAGCCTGGCCCTTGATGATTTCGAGCTTCATGCTCTCTATCTTGTTGCGGAAGTAGTTGTCAAGCGCCATTTTGACGACGATGCGGAAGGGTGATATGGGAGTTGGCTGAAGTAAAAACGGCTATGCCAGCGACAGGAACCGAGAGAAGTGAAACTATGCCCGTCCTTTCTCTATAGCTGGCGAAGGAGAAGCGCGAAGTCGAATGGGAGCCCAAGAGGCGAATGTCAATGGAATGCTTGTTGTCCGCCTGTTGCTGGAAGCTTCAGGTCATGATTAGTCAACAAGAGCTTTGCCAGCGGCACACTAGCCACGAGAACTATTCTAGAAGCGGTTTGGCGCCTTGAGCTTCTGGCGTTAACATCCGAGCCTTGCGCATGTGTTTGTCCCGTTTGTTTATGGCTTGATCGACGTTCGCCGGCATGACCAGCAACCATCACGACGTGAAGGTCATGCGGGAGGTTTTACTGAAGGATTGCACCATGCATCCATGACGGATTCCTTTTGTGGGTAAACCAGGAAACTGTTTGTGCAACAGACCCCAAGACTGCCGGTTACGCTATCTGGCGTCTATAAACACTTCAGTTTCGGCGTCTCCTCGACAACCCTGCCCACTGAGAGCCGCAGTTTAGCTACCATTGCCGGGCGTCTATCCACTCAGCTGGACTCGCTTCTCTTCAATGTTGAAGAATTAGTTGAGGTCTTCTGTTACTGCCTCTGATATGCACAACTTGAAGCTTGCGTATGAATCAAATTCCCAGTCTGCAGACGTGGCTCGCGTCCTACTTCCTAGCTGAACTTAGCGTATTTCCAGGGCGAGACCATGGCTTCCCACAATGGTGACAGTGACGCTTTGCGCGAGATTTCTGGTTCCTCTTCAGCATCCCCCACCGAAAGATATATCAGCGAAGGTCGTGGCAGCTCATCGGGAGAGGCGAGCATACCACGCCCAGGACCGTCCTATGGTGCGACTTTTTGATATCCCTTTTTTTGCGACTTAATCACATATGTTAGCTGATGGTTTTGAATCCAGGTACCATTGACCGGTCCCCATTGGCTGTACCGTTAGAAAGCGGGCCGGAGTGTCAAAGCTTTCAAGCGTCATCAAGCGTCCCTGACTTCTTGCGAGGTCCAGGACTTGACCCTCAAAATCCCGAACGAACACCTAGAAAACCCCCCACAGTGCGACGTGCGTCGTCTAAACCTTACAGAGGTCAAGAATTTTCAGTTGATGACGACGTCTCCGAATATGAAGAAGATAACGCCTTACGGAAAGCATCTTCAAGGACTCCAGCCAGGCCGTATGGAACATTAAGGAGAAGGCTCAACCCGCAGTCACCTGTCCTGCAGCAAGTCGAGTCCGGAGATGAGGACCAAGCGAACAATCAGGATGACAGAGATGATTCAGGATCGCCCGAAAACAACGGCGGTGATGACAATGGTGAAGATGACGAGGGAAGTACTAGTGATGCCGAAAGCTTTACTCTCAAAGATCGTCAGCAGGCAATTAACCAAACCCACCCATTTGGCATTAGAATCTGGAAGCCTGCTCTATATAAGAAATTCCGCTCTGTTCAGAGAACTGCCGAAGGAGACATCCATTCTGCGCCTGGAGAAGGGGTAAATAACTTGCTTTTTATTGTTAACCTCTTGTGGACAATTCTTTTCGGGTGGTGGCTAGCTCTAGTTGCCTTGCTTGGCGCGTGCGCCTGCTTTTTGGTAGGTTTTATGCCCGACGCTGCCGCATACGGGAAAGTATTCTTTGGCCTTTCGGGGTACCTAGTGTACCCTTTCGGGTCTTTTGTCCGTCTTCAGTCCGATGAAAACTATGCTGAGGAAGATGAAGGTGAAGGCCGAAGCATCAGTGAGTACGAACAATGGCAAAGTGGGGATCTAGAACACGGCAGGCTGTTTTTTGGTCCAGTGGGCCGTCGGTCACTAGTTGGTCGCCGAAGAAATAGCCTGGACTCCTCAGGAGAATATGAGAGTCTCCTTGGTCGCCCAGGAAGAGGCCAGCGATCCGACAGTCCAACTTATAAGAACAAAAGACGTTTCTTCGGCCGAGGGGAATGGACCTTGGGAAGAGCCATATTCTACAGTTTCTTTTATTTGCTTGTTGGACCCCTAATGCTTGTCGTGTCACTCACATGCTGGATGCTGGTTTTCTGGATACCAATGGGCCGTGTAATGATTATCCTACTGCACCATCTGCGTCGACATCCTCTGGCCGTCTCATTCCACTTGGACAGTACATACACGAGATCCCCTACGCACCCACCCTCGTCCATTCTTCTCTGCACATATCGAGCTGCCGGGCTCAAATATTGGAAATATACAGTTGACGGGACGAACATATTTTTCATCAACCTGCTAGGGGTTGTCGTTTTTTCCATTCTGGATTATTGGCTCCTCCACCGGACTCTTCAAATCGAGGCGTGGGTTACCAACACTGGCCTGATATTCATGCTCGCGCTTCTTTCTATTATTCCCTTGGCATACTTTATCGGACAGGCCGTAGCATCGATTTCTGCCCAGTCATCAATGGGTCTTGGTGCGGCTGTAAATGCCTTCTTCTCAACCGTTGTGGAGGTGTATCTGTACTGTGTTGCTCTCACCGAAGGAAAAGCCCGGCTTGTGGAAGGTAGCATTGTCGGCAGCATCTTCGCCGGAATTCTCTTTCTCCCAGGACTGTCCATGTGCTTTGGGGCCATCAAACGCAAAACTCAGCGATTTAATGTCAAATCAGCTGGTGTTACCTCAACGATGCTTTTGTTTGCTACTGTTGCTGCATTTGGCCCGACATTATTCTATCAGATATATGGAAGTGTAAGTCCATAAACATGTTGGAAGTTTACCTTGCTGCGAAACTAATAGCTTATTTTTTAGCATGAACTCTACTGCCATCCATGCTCATCACCACGTCTACCAAGTGACAAAGACTGTCGTCGATGTTATTTCTCTGAACTCCCTTCCTTTAAGAATAAGTTCTTCATCCAAGCAGTGCAACCTTATTCTTGGTTTGCTGCTACATTGTTATTCCTCTGCTATGTCATTGGTCTTTGGTTTACCCTGCGCACACATGCTGCAGTAATTTGGTCTACTGAACTTGATGAAAAAAAGGTAGCTCCTCCGCAAGAGCCTCCAGGGGCTCCCCAAAAAACACATGGTGCTGTTAATGGCCGACAGCCGCCTCAAGGACACAACGCCAAGGGGTCTGTTCGAGACTCCCAGCTCTATGCTCGCATCCTGGGACAATCCCTAAAACAAGTCGGCCTATCACCCAAGGATGATGATGAGGGACTACAGCAACCCAAACAGCAGCCAGCTAGTGATGGACAAGCCTCTCTTCCTCATGTCGTACCCCCAAAGAGCAACGAACCCCACTCTCTTAATCTGAGATTACCAGGGCTATCTGAGGAGCAGAATGAAGTCTTCGTTCGCCAAGTTACCGAAGTAGCAGCGACAGCTGCAACCTTCGCCGCTCGTGATGCATCTCGACACCCAAGGAAGGCCTCGGTTACTGCTCATACTTCCGGACCGCATGGACATAAGCCCGTTGTTGGCCAGCCTGGCAGTGCCCCTGAAGATATCAATGAAGCTGCAGTTTTCCATGAGCCACATCCACCAACCGGTGGGCACGATGCGCCCAACTGGAGCAAATTGAAAAGCTCCGTTATACTTCTCAGTGCTACACTATTATATGCAATTATAGCAGAAATCCTTGTCAATACGGTTGATGTGGTTCTTGAAAGCGTTGATGTAGATGAAAAGTTCCTTGGGATTACGCTCTTTTCGCTCATTCCCAACACAACGGAATTTTTGGTAAACGCTCATGTTCCAATCCATTCGATATACGGAGGATTTACTAACCTACCCTGTGCACTGTGTAGAACGCTATTTCTTTCGCTATGAATGGCAATATCGCTCTCTCAATGGAAATCGGCTCCGCATACGCCCTTCAAGTCTGCCTTTTACAGATCCCCGCTCTCGTCTTATTCAGCGCTATCCACAACCGATTCTATGTTGATCCATCTGAGCTCCTCAGCCATAGTTTTAAGTACGGCTCCTCCCTCCCAAAACGTCTCTTTCTTCGAGTACTGCCCTACATCGCGTTTTATCTCACTAACACTCAAACTAAACAGTCTAATTTTCCCGCAATGGGACATGATTACCGTGATTCTTTGCGTTTTCCTGCTTTCGTATGTTTACGGCGAAGGAAAAAGCAATTATTTCAAAGGCTCTATTTTACTACTTACGTATCTGTTTGTAATTATGGGGTTCTTCTTGACAAGGTATAATACCATGGAAGCCAACGGTGTTGATCGGTTCGATACCTTGGCTTTGGGGAGAGGGGCTGTACTACTTACCTCTCCGAGAAGTAAAGGAATGTGAGCTTTGCGTATCACAGAGGGCAAGCGGATGATATGATGGTGACATTGGTGAGGATAAGTTGTGTAGGGTGAACGTCTTGCTGCGGCGTGCTGACCGAGGCACTCTGTATATCTTTGAGAAGGTTACGTTAAAACAAGGTGATGCACATGACCTTTTTTTTTATTTTTTATTTTTATTTTTATTTTTATTTTTATTTTTTTTTTTGGGGTGTTGGGGGGGGGGGGGGGGGTGGTTTCTATAGTCATATCCAAAGGGGCTTGTTCTGTATGATAGCTAATTTTTACTTTTTAAGAGTCCGGTCTCAACAAAGAATTTTGGCATTCATTTTCTAAGTATGCATTGATTCGTTTTCTCATGGTCCCAAATTCGAGACTTCCATATAATCCTCTAAGACCACCAGTCCAAAGTCCTGATGATGCTAAGTACTCCAGCCTACGATTGCCGCATCCACATTCTTCCGGTATTCCTGTTGCTGGTAGCACTGCTCCAAAAACACTTTATACTTCACCTCTAGCAATGCTTTTTCAAACTTATCCTTTGTCGGATGCACTGCTTTACCAGGCTTGCTCATTCGGTCCATAATATCCCACAAGTCTTCAGTTTTACCGTCTTTATCCGCACTGGCAGCTTTAGCGCCAAGCATAGCAGCACCGTGACACACAGCTGCATGCACATATCGAGGTATCAACACGGGCATGTCACAAGCCGAAGCAATAAGCGACATAAGGATATCATTCTGGCACTGGGAGCCAGACATAAAAATGGACGTGATATTGTGACCAGCTTTGTTCATAGTCTCGACAATTTGCCGTGTCTGAAGGGCGATGAATTCTAGAGTGGCATAGTAGTAGAGAGCAAGGCCGCTGACTGACTTATCGCTCGATAAACCGATAACGGAGCCTGACATGGTAGGATCTGCAATTGGCGAACGGTTGCCGAAGAGGTCGCCGTAAAAGAAGAAATGACGACCCAAGTAAGAGACACTAGGAGCATTGGACTCCGCAACTAATTCTTTGAGATGTTCGTTGAGGTAATCGTAGATGTTTGTGTGATAGGACTCAGCGATCGAGAGCGCTTGATTGAATGCAGGATGGGTTTCGATAACGTGCTTGAGCAGTTCGCCAGTGGCTGATTGGCCACCTTCAGCCATCCAGTAGCCCGGGATAATCGTGTCGCGATATGGACCCCACACTCCAGGGACAAAGACCGGATTAGGTGACATGGCAAGATGGCATGTAGAGGTTCCAGCCACGGCAGCAAGTCGCGTGAACGCTTGAGTTTTGTCATTCTTTGCCGCATCGGAGCTGAGTAGATCAGCGCTCAGTTGAACCTTTGCACCAACGGTGCCGATCCACCCAGCGTATGCATCAATGACACCACTTCCAACAGCGATTCCTGGAGGGAGACCGAGCTCACTCGCGGCCTTTTCACAGAGCGTACCAACCAACTCTCCAGCACTAAGATATTCTCCGTTCTATGCAGGTCGTTAGGCTGGAATTTACTATATTGTACGGCGTATATTGGCGGGTGCTGGGTCAGAAGGTAGAGGTAAATACTTACTTGGCCAATGACGCCGCCCATTCTCCTGAAATTGTCCTTTGTAAGGTCCTCCAGCCCGATGTCCCTCAGAAAATCTTCCTGCCACCCCTTCACGCTGCCATCCACACCGACAGGGACATATCCCTGCTTGCAGACTACACTGCAAAAGCTCCTCTTTTCATTTCCTGTGGCAAGGTGGGTCAAAGCATCGGCGAGATCGTAGAACTTGCACCGGTCGAAAAGCTCCTTCGGCATGTTATTTTTCAGCCACAAAACCTTAGGAATTTCCATCTCGATGGACATCTTCCCTCCCACATAGCGAAGCAAATTGTGGCCTGTAGCATTGATCTTTTCTGTCTCTTGGACGGGTCGATGGTCGAGCCACAGGATGATGTTGCGCTCGGTATCAAAATTGGGACCAGTCACGGACACGGGCTCGTCGGTATCCTCTGCAAACACTGCTAGGGAGCAAGTGGCGTCGAATGCGATACCTTTGATTGATCCTGGGTTAATGTTGTGCTGACTTATAGCACGCTGGACTGAAATGCAGATGCAACGCCAGATGTCGGTTGTAGATTGTTCCTACGTTTCGATGATCAATCAGCATATGCCAGTATCAGGCGCTAGGTCACAAGTCTTGGAGAGAGAGAGTGCCATCATGACGATGAGCGGACACCTACATAGTATCCCTGCTGGGGCTGCCATAAACCAATATTTTCTGAGGCTAAGCCGACGATGTCACCTTTATCATCGATGATGCAAGCGCGCGCGCTTCCAGTTCCCACGTCGACACCGATAAAGTGATCCATCTGGACACTGATCTCGTTGCGAGGATCCATGCTCGCCTGCCTCGACGACGCCTGGCGAGAGGAGCGGCGGTAGGGGAGGGATGTTGTCATTTTGAAAGAGGGTGGGAGAGCAAGTTTTGTAGTTGAGTTTCGGGTCGATATTTGGCTCGGCAAGTGCCGCTGACGGAAGTGAAGTTGGAAATGTGCCGCGTGGACTGCTGGCTGCCAAGTATGCCTGGAACTGCGATCGAATTGTTAGAGCGACTGTGTCCAACTAAGTCCATGATACATACGAGCTTTGAGCAACCTTGGGTCGACGGTCAGGAGGACGCGGCAGAGGGTGAGGTAATTCGCCCATGCAGCCCTCGCGGTCTTTGCGCTACGTACCTCTGGTAAGTTCACGATTAAATTGCTCTGTTCCAGCTCCAATGTCAGAACAACATCCAAAGCAGCGATGGACTTGACTGAGCAAATGATGGACGGATTTGCTTGCGTTGTATGTGTACTGAGACAGCTGCTTTGGCTGATTTTTGCCCAGAACAATGTCTTACCAAGGGCTTTTTAAAAAGGAATTTCTCTGTCTTTGTCTGCCAGGTCACCGAAGAGAGATTTGAGTGTATCAAACCCGGTGGATGCTTGCATCAGTATCCACACTTTCTGCAAAAGCTTATCTCGACCGACATCTACTGGAGGACTCCGTTTCCAAGAGCAGCCCCCCCCTCCCGGAGTTACCATGTCACAACGCATTCACTGCTCGACGAAGGGTCTGCATCAGTCGATGCGACTGCGATGAAGCCCAAATCCGCCAGCGGAAATGGTGAATCCCAGCCCCTGTGATACGAGATAAGGCACTTCATTACACTGCATTGCGTTGTATCGAATGCCCAGTCAGGGCTCGTCACGCACACCGACATGTTATCTCAAACCAGTGCCCCAAGCCCAGATCTCCAGCGGCACTTCCCAATCCATCCTCTCCGGAGCTCGCGGCCGAACTCGAGGGCAGCTTGATGTGGACCATTCTCCACAAGCGAACCCTGCCACTTCAACTGATCAGCGGCACGAATGCGTTCAGGTGACCCACTGGCGGAGACCCGAGGCAAGGCTGGAACGCAGACAAGGCCAATCACGGCCATATCTTTTCCAGCGCCGACCATCGTGGCCGGGGAAGCGTGCGCGTTGGCTCCGTCAAAGTCCGCCCCAGAAAACATGCTTGGAGGCAAGATTAGATAAGATAATCCCGGCGACTTGTTTTGCCGGCGCCGTCCCCCCGGCCTAGGGAATTCCAATACAATACGGTAAAATTCTGAAAATTTTAATAGCTAGACCAAAACTGGAATAGCTAATGCGATATCATGCCTTTCCATTTTAAGACTAGCGCTTATTGGCCAAATATCGTAGAGACGGAATACGGAGTACACAGGAGGGAAGAGCTTCGCAGCTCTGATGTCGGATACAAGTCTGAGGGAGACTGGGAAGCCCACGAGCACCGCTGCCTTGAAACTTCCAAAGGATCTCGACAGCCAATTAGGCTGCCCGGTGATTAGTTAGAATGCACTGGCCTGAAGCTCTCTCGTTCCTCCTCATTTCCCTCCTCTCCTTCGTATCCTCCGTGGCGGCCTCAACTTCCACTTCACCCCAAAACACCGACATATTCTACTGGCCGCTCTCCGCATCCTCTCCCTCACAAGCCTCCCGGCTCGCAGAAGTTTCCTACGATCCCGTCACTCTCCAAACATCCGTCCGCTCATATACTCCACCCCAAAAACAGTCAAATGAGGACCTACTGCGCATTGGCCTATTCACCGATGCGTCACAGGAGCACTGGGTGGGAAGCTTAACGTCCTTTTCAGCATTCAACAACAGCGCAATCACTCCCAATCTAAGCTTATATCTCAGCCTAGATAATGAGGTTTATAGCGTCGCGGTTTCTGCTTCGGCCTTGTCAGCTAGCGAAGGGAATCAGAATCTCAATGTCGAGATAGTCAGACCGACTCCCGCCCCCACACCGCATTTAAACAGACCCATTGTACTGAAGGAGGATGGAAAAGAAACCGAGGAGATTATTGAGAAATCATTTATACAAAAGTATGGACCTGCTCACCAGCTTTTTTCCCCTTTATTCTACCACTTCAACTACGCTTCCTCTGTGCAAGTCTGACAAGTATCGTTTAGGTATTGGTGGGCTATCCCAATTGTATTGTTCTTGGTGATAGGGGGTGGAGGCGAGGCGAAATGAGCCAGGTCCTTCCATCTACATCACAAAAGGCGTGGATATAAACAGAATTCAAAAAAAGTTACCAATTGATCCTCTTGGGCATTAACTTGGTTCGATGGAGCTACAGATCTAGAACTCAGAGATACCACATACACACTGCAAAACGCAAAAACTCGTTTACTGGCTTCACCCTTCCAAGTCTTGTGATAGAAGACTCGACCAAAGCATTCTCCAGGCTTTGGACGGCAAACACTAGATGAATCTGTCACGATCCGACTCCCCATATGTCTCAACCTTAAATTTCTATCCGGAAGTTCAGAGATAATTGCTGAACCCTCAGCCAATTTTAGCTTCCTTTCGGCTGCCGTCTCATAGTTGAGCCCTCTCGCTCAATTTTTTTTAATTTTTATTTTTATTTTTATTTTTATTTTTTTTGGATTTCTTCATGATTTCTTCAATATCTGCAAACTTCAAGTTTATCTTTCCTTTCTTGCATTTTGTGCTTCGTGGGGTCTCTATTCGACTAACAGCTGCTGGATAACTTTCCTCTCGGGCAGATCGTCTGGCCTTGAATGAATTCCATTCTGTTGAATATGCGAGAGATTTCTCGACATACTACGCGGATAACTCATAAATCTAGAAGACATGAAATTCAAATTTTCTGGTGTGGTAAAGCATTCCGAAGCCTGCACGGGGTATTTTCACCTGAGATAAATTTTATGCTCTCCGCGTCATGAAATCCTATGGCACTACTACATTTCTTCATTTTCTGTGAATGAGTATTGTTATTTGCGAGAAGAAACTGAACTACCTTTTCTCAAGCACAGATGCACTCTGTAGGTAGATGGAAACCCTCGAAATCCCCTTTCCCTTTACCAGTTGTATTGAGAGAGCTGGACAGTTAACTACTCCTCCGAAGATGAGAATAGACTAGCCCAAGTGCCGGTTGTTCGGGGTGGCTGGGTGTGGAAGCCACCCTACCCATTTTTTTTCATCTTCTGGTTTTTTCTTCACTTCGATGGAGTTTCCACTCCTCGAAAGTCGTCGTTAATGTTGGTAGAGCTATCTCTTGTCCTTCCCGCCTCATCCCGAGTGTCGCGCCTGGATTTAGTTCTGGTTACTTTGCCGCCGTCTGTACCATGAGGCTTCCATCCGTCCCAGGGTTGGTAGATATGATTTCGCCATCACCGTCGGCCACCCGCTCGACTGATCTCGTTGCTGGCAGAGTGTAGATGCTCCCCTTCACTCGAATTACATCTGAATAGTGCCCACCTCTACGAAAGGCCAAACGTTTAAGATTTTGCAACGCGGGGCTGAGAAATTTTAGCTTTTCTAAAGCATGACTGCGTTCAACTTTTGACTCCGTCGTTTCCGCTGCAATAGCTTCTAGGGTCTTATCATCGAGGTTCGTTATCACTTCAGGGTTGAAAATAAGAGGCAGTTTCTTGAGAATACATTGCTCAATGGCCAAAACCGCAAAATTGTCCACGACCGTTTTCATCGCAACCTACATGTGTAGGGTTATATTGAGATATTTGGATATGAGGGGGCTCCCATACTAACCTTGTAATAGGCTTCCATGTAGCATATCGCCTCCGATGCCGCGTACCGATCCATGTCTTGTTCTGTTTGCCGGGACAGGGCGGCCAAGAGGTCGTTTAGAGAAAAGTTTCTTCCTATGCACCGATTCCCATCGAAATTTCCCAAAGCAAAAAGTCACGTAAGCAAGTCTCAGTGTCTCTTTTGTTTCTCTCCTCACGAATCTTTTGGATATTATCTATGAAATAGTGGTTATAAGTGATTGGGTGACCCTTTTTGTGGGGCTGGAGAATCTCCAGGGCTTTTTTTTTCAGGGTGTCGGTGCAGCTCTCCATGGCTGGTGCTATGATTTCCATCTGAACAGCTTGCTGTGTCGTATCATCTGCACAATACGCTAGTGTGAGTTTTAGGAACTGCTGGGTCGCGTCTAATATCCTTTCAGCATAGCCTAGGATGATTTGCTCCCACTGACTTGCTTGTTCATAAAATAGATCACCGATTATCAGAGGATTAAATGTCCCGGGTAACTCCCTTCCCTTGCTTCGTTTCATTAGGGCATGGACTTCGCTGGTGAATTCGTCCCTTCTTATCTGCTGCGGAAAAGCTGAGTCGTCAGGCGTACTGTCGTCGTCCAAGATGGTTCGCTTGTGTCCCTTTTTCCGCATATCAGAGGCGAGCTCTCCTAGAATATTGCTCACGACTGCACGGAGGCGATGGCTATATCCTGTCTCAGAACTCGCATCACCAAAAAAATCGTCGCTATACACGCCGTCGATGGAAGCCTGCACTAGCGAAGTGAATAACTGGCTGATGCGAATCAAATGCAGCCACTGTTCGTTGACGGTGGACCGCGATGGACCAAGTCTTTCTAAGGTTCTCTCGCAGGTCTTGATGCCCTCTTCCACGTCTTTCCTCAAATCAGGTAGCTCGGAGATGATGTGATCTCTTAAGATGGCGCTCAGCCGGGGCTTCAACGCGCCAATACCCAGGATAGATGGTGGAAGCGAAGTCCACGCTCCTTCAGAGAAGAACTCCTTTTCCTTTTCGTCGCGTTCCTCGGCTGTGGAATCTCTTGTCTGATAGTCGCGATTTCGCAAAACGTGCCAACCAAGCCGAAAGACGATGTCTTCGTTGCTTGCTAGGTCAACAAAACTCTTTTCGTTTTCAGATCCACGGTGGAGCGTGTCCGGCTTTGTGATAATTCCAAGCGTCCGAAGCCCTTTTGGATCATGATTCCTCGCGAGTTTCGTGATAATCTGGTTGGCGAGGTCATTTTTGGCAGAAACCACCGCAAGAATAATGCTGCGGCGATTCTTCATGTATGAGTTTACGAGCGAAGATATCATGGCAACATCCGATGCTGAGTGCTGGCGCGTCTCAGAATGAACCACCCCCGGCAGGTCAACAAGAGTCAGGTGTGACTGATGGGGCCCACATATCTCAACCCGAAGTATGTCGTCGCTGATTGACCTCGCGTCCTTATCAAGGCCCATCGCCGTCTTTGCAGCCTCTATGACATTAGGAACATCCGCAACATCTGCAATAGGTGCACTGAATGCTTTTAGCTTCTGCTTTTCGTCATCTGGTCTCTCACTGCCTGGAATTATTTCCACTTTCGGCTTTTCTTCATTTCCCCGACGCAGAACAAGTTCAGTTGCGAAACGCGTGCAGAGGTTTTCTTTGATTGGAAATCGAATGCCAGAGACGGCTTCGAGGACAGAACTCTTTCCGGATGATTGGTCGCCACAGACTATGAGTTGGGGTAGATGAACATAACGACCGATGCCCGCTGATCGAAGCGAGTCGATCACATCAAGTAGCTTCCCATGATCTTCGAATTGCAGAAGAATCTTCTGTGGTAAATCATTGACCCCATTCATCGTGACAACGATTAAAAAGACGATAGTATTTTTTAAGAAAGCAAGAACCTAGAATCAAGCGGGCAAGACCAGGCTACCTTTATAAAATCAATCCTATATGGAGTTCTCGATATATGCAATGAATTTATCGACCTTTTTTTGCTTTCGAAGTCCTTCCCTCCTCTTATAGAGAATGCGGGCCTACTTCTGACGAGTCAATATTTTATTTTATTTTTTATTTTTATTTTTACTTTTTTTTCTTTTGCTCTTTTGGACTCATCGCGCGGCAGCAAGGGAAAGGAGCTGCGGCTCTGATGTGGGTATTCCTGTGATGAGCGACCCATGGAGGCGCGCCACGCTATTCCAACCATCATCGCGGACAGCCCAGTTTGATATACATTGCAGGGCGCTACCAATCGGAGCTGGGAGCAACGTACCGCGCGTTGCATGCGCTGAATCGGTCACGGAAAGATAGTCAAGCCCAAAAATGAGATGCAGGAACGAAAAGGTGTAATTCTAGCAATTAATGCCTCTGGGGTATTGTTGTCCTTCAAACTCCATACATACAATGCTTAACAGAATAAGGAACACCATTGATCAATGCACCCCCTCCTCCATGCCACGGTCCGGGGATTTCAAATCGACGGAAAAAATATTCAAGGGATCGAGCTGTGAAAAAGGATCTTTCTCTATTAGGATGAATCCAACCGCCTCTCAAGTATCAATCATTCCCACATCCTGTAGGTTGCTGGTACCGACTGCTGGACCAGAACCCTTACTTGTCTCCCCCATTGAAATCTTAGCATCCATATCCAGAAACTTCTTCACCTTAAAGCCCTTCCCAGCGGGGCCCAGATCCCACCTCATCAACCCCCTATCAGTCAAGGCAATAAGTTCATCCTCACTCTGCGAAAATTTCAAATTGAAACACACCGCGTCAGGTTGAAGAACAATCGGTTTTAACTCGACGAAACCGTGTTCTGATTTCATATTCTCCGGGTAATATTCCCATTCCTTTCCCTGCTGGCCTTCAATGATTACTTGGGGGTTCAGCGCCCAAATGTAGATCACGTTCCAGTTTGCGATGGCTATCCGTTTTCCCCGTGGCGAAGTGGCAACGAGTCCGGAGAGGGAGCTTTCACTGTTCTGGTAGCCCCAAAGACGGGCCATGGCAACCCACTGGTTGAAACGTCTGCCGCGGTCCAGGTTGGGCACGTGTTGGCAGCGAGAAGAGCGACAACGAGCTTCTGAGCGAAGCAGGCAAGCAATGGTCCACTTTTCCGATTCATGACGTGCTATGCCGAGGGTGAGGTATTGCCAGCGGCACATTTGGCGGTATGAGTCTGCTTGGTAGGTTTCATGAGTACAGAAAAAGGGAATGCCGATGGAGAACCTAAGTAGTCTGTGGCCCAAGGTGACGTTGCAAGCGTTCTTCATCCAGCTGTGTCGTTGTTGAGCTGCGGTATCTAAAGCGAGCAAATCCCCGTATCTGTTGTATAGCGTAGATGACGGATGGTAATAAAGAACCTGAGACGCGTTATCATTCAGTTCAAGCCGTACGATAGGCGGTATGCATTGCAAAATGTTAGAGGCAGGGTCTGCATCTATGATAGGTTTAGAGCTGTACATTGCATCTATCAACTTTATTAGCATTTGATAACGATCGGACGCCAAGCAGGTGACGCAAGCACGGCCTTCTCGGAAAGAAAAGTTGCACAAACGGTCGTACTCACACGTCCTTCCATCTTCCTCGACGGACGCGTCTTTAACTAAAGTATACATAAGCACCTGCCCCTGCAAGGGATACCGTTCATGCTGCCACGCTATGACTGCCATAGACGGATTCTGAACATCGATAGCGGTAGGGTGGAATCCTTCAACAGGCTGTAGCACTCCCACCGTAACCCGGGGCACCCTGGCGAACCCGGATATATCGGGATAAGTCACAAGATGAAACTCGGCCTGCCGATAAGATTCCAGAGCTTCCTTTGCAAATGGGTGAGCGCGTCCGGCTTGACATGACTCTTCGATCGGCTCGTATTTCTGGAGAACGGCGAGAGATCCATCCTTGCAAAAGACCGTCTTGATTACCTCCACACGCCCGGGTTGATCGTACGGCACCTCGAGAATGCTTCGTAGTTTTGCCTCCTTGGACTGGATATGATAAAGCAGCACACGGCTGCCTCCCTTCTCGACCAGGGCAGTATTGGGATCCTCGCCCTCGCGCAATGCCGAAGTACAATTGTCGATAATCCCACATTTGAAGATATAATTGGTCAAGTCAGAGTGGAAATTGGCACCATATAAGTGTTCCGCTGTGCGCGCCTTGAGGACGCGGAACAGCTCCTCGGTCTTCAGGTCATTGAGGGATGTCCTGGCGCCAGGAGTCCGCTTAAGGTGGTTCTTGATGACTTCACGACATGACGAAGCAATAGTATATAGTGTCTGACATGTTGAAGAGAGTTGAAGGAAGCTTGGGGTGGAACAATGAAATAAGATGAGCTGCAGCAACTCGGGTGGAAGATCAAGGAGCTCCAATGGGCGCAGGCGATCCATGATGCTGGATGATGCTGGAGAGAAGTAGAGACACAAGCAAGAAGGGGTTAGACTCGTAGATAAATTCTTGAGGGTTGGAAGAAATAATAAGAGGAGTAAGAGGACTAGTTGCCGGGCCGTGTGTCAAAAGCAATGCAAGGGATTGTTGACAGGTTGGATGCCACAGTCAGGCGGAATCTGAGGTGAAAATGGTGAGGTTGATCAAGCCATCTGCACCTCCATGCCACAATTAAATGCTGAGCCTTAGGAAAACCCCCTCAGAGCTGAGCAGCTCCTCCTGGCCGTTCCCCCAATTTATATATGCTGACGGGAGTCTTGTTGAAGCTGGTTGATCGCTGGAGAGTTTCGCAGGCAGAAACAACCCGGGGTCCTGATTGGTGGGAGGCTCACCGCAGTGCCTAACGCTGGCTGAGCTCCCAGCGCCGCATCGGCCAGGCAACACACTCAGAGCCTGATGGGGCTTCTAGAGAGCTGGGTTTTCCAGCTGTGAAGTGCAAGGTTCCAAATTCTGATGTGGCAGTGAATTTTTTTTTTTTTTTTTGGAGCAACACTGGATGAGCGCGCAGAGTTTAGACACCCAAGTCTATCTGACTGATTAGCTAACAATACCTCGCAATCGTCCGAAAAGAATACTATTTAACTAGCCAGCTGTCCTGCTGCTAGCAAAGAACAGAAGCAAAAACATAGCAAGGAATGCTGAATACACTGTAAGGATTCTAGGTTCATAACGTCATCAGGTGGTGGACATTCGTCCCTCAGAATCAAACCCCACGTTGGGTTCCATGAGCATGCTGTAGCGGTAGTAGGTAACAAGGCTGAACATAGGTCTTTTGATCCCACTTCCCCAAACACCACCAATCCTGCTTCCAGCAAGAATGCAATACCTTTGCCAAAAGAACAAATCATTACGCTGAACACCGATCCTCCAATCTTTAAACCTGATTATTGTCAATTCTCTTTATTTTCCGGCTGGGATGCCAACCATTCTAGAATACTTTCATAGCATAATACAAACTGCCGTAGGCTTTGCACCATACTCAGTCGTTGGCAACGGAAATCTTCGACTGTGCTGGCTATCAAATCGAGGTCATCACGGTACACCCAGCCATCTTCACCTTCACCACGTCTCCTTTGCCGTTTGAGCATGTCAATAACACTGTCAATTGTGCAGAAGGTGCCTGTTCGACCACAGCCTGCACTACAGTGGACAATGATCTTTCGTGGATCTGGAGGTTCGGGGTCCTGTATGCATTCCGGCCCTCTGCCATTACTGGCGTTTGAAAATTTGTTCGTCTCTTCAATGACTCGAAGGAGATGCGCCGGCCGGGAAGGGGTGCCGAAATCAGGCCAGTGCGAGTATTGGATCTGTGTGATTTCCCGTAAGGGCTCAAAAGGTAGAGATTCGTGGATTATGGTGAGGTGCCGGACGATCATATAGAGCTCCTCGAACGAACTCGGACCTGTTGACTCCCGCCGGCTATGTGTGCGTTTGTTTGGAGATAGCGGTGAGACATGTAGAGGGACTTTATATTCATTCATCAGTGTCACCCTAAATGGGCCATAAGCGTTTGATTGCCAATACGGATGGCACTTCAGTTGCAGCCCTTCCGACTCGGCAGTCAACATGACGATCAATCGAGCATCTTGCTCCCAAACGACGTGCCAAAAGTCCTTCAAACTCACCAGTTAGGACAGTTCCAGGAGGCCGAGGTCGGCCCGGTAAATGGGGACCCGGGGGGGGGGGGGCACTCACCTTGAATGTGCTTGGAAGCGGCGCCTGCGTGGCAATGTAAAGCTTGTTCGACCGACTGGCCTTCACGTAACTCGCATTTACATAGTCGCAGGACCCCTGGACGGTACTTCCCAATCTAACACGACAATGTTCGTAAGGATAAATATTGTTATATCGATTCTTATTGCCCTGTTCAAGTCCTGCAATACGATAGGACGACTTTGAGCCTTGTGCTGTCGCGCTGCCGTATGTCCCGGAATCCGACAATGCTTCTTGCATGCGGCATTGCTCTGCTTTTTCAATCGCCAGAAATTTGTTGGATACTGATTTGCCATTGTCCTGAACATCAGCTGCCTTGGCGAGCCATGAAGGCAATGAGTTTCTCGCTCGCTCTGTCAGTGTTGATGGAAGTTTTATGGGTATTTGCCCAACTCCATTCACCAATTCAGTACTCTGGCGAATACTGTTGTACATTGGATTGAGAGAGGGTGTAGAGGGGGGAATAAGACATCCTCCCGATATTGACGATGGTCCTGAAAATGATAGACTAATGGATAAAGGTTGCTTTGGTGGTTTCATAGGAGTTTCGTCTGGTTTTTTCTCGACTAAGTCCGGAAACTGGACGGAGAACTGCGAGAATCCTCCCCGCAAAATCATTGGTTCTCCACTCCATCCTTCGTTTGTGAATTTCTTTAGGACGTTTACCAGAGCAGACGCATCTTTGATAAGGGTTGTAGCCGCGTCGTACACGACAATCTGCGAGCTATTGTGCCAATTGGAGAATTTTTCTTTTTCGTCGTCACCTGCAAGGGTATCTTTAAGTTTCTCCAAATTGAATGACGGCCTCTTAAGTAAGGTTGTCGGAATGCACAAGTTCAGAGAACCTTTAATTCTACCCTGAGAATACTGTGGGTAGGGGCGGATATCTAATACCAGAGTCACGTCCGACTTGGTGCTTAACAAATCTTTGCAGCATTGACTCGAAATCATCTTTACGCTACCATTGTCAACTGACGCCGGAGAGGTCTCGGATCGTTGAAGACTTGGTAGGCCCGAACCGTACGGGGAGAGCGCTGGCGCAGACGTCATTGCTGGTAGGCTGCCCTGGTCGAATGGGCGTGATGGGCCAGGACGTGTGACATGGACTGTCGGTATTGGTGGTTGAAGTGGGCTAGATTTCCGGTCCTGGGGGGATTTCAGCTGGTGTCCTTCTTTTTGGATCAACTTTTGGCTTTCCCGTACTGGGGTTTGTTCAGCGTTACCAAACTGCCCCTTCCATGGCCACGCTGGGGGAGTGTAGAACGGTGTCGCCGCCACGCCGGAGGTTTTGTCACTATCATGGTGCTGTGTAGACAATGTACTCGAACTTTGCCAGCTCGCGGGGAGGATATTCGAGCCTGAAACGTCCGGCCCGGGTGTTGATTGAAAGGGCCTCTGACCCCTTGTATAGATGCTGGGATGTACCAGCGGTGTGGCATCTCTAGAGATCTGGGGGGGGAAATGAATATGAAATGTGCTACTATCGCCGACTATGTTGAAGTAGCTGGGGCTTGCGTCACGTAGTGGCTGCGAATCGATATTATTGTTTCCAGCCCGGAAGGGCGTTGCAGCTTGGCCCACAGAAGGCGGTGTGGTAATTTCGTGCCTTCCGCTGGGTGTGGTCGAAGGGAAGCCTCCAGGGCTCCATGACCCTGAAGGCGAAGGTTTCGAAACTGTTGTCGTCGACATATCAGACAATTCAGCATGTAGAGCCAGGCTTTATCTGCCGTATTCTCTACTAAGGAAGTATGCAAGGCTGATAATTCAGCGCTGTCGCCATACTTCCTTCCTTAAAACCAGGTACGTTGTAGTGACCGGGTGCGTGCAATCTTATATGGAGCGATCGCCCGGGTCCGGGTGAATGAGGGCTTGGGTTTGAAATCGAGGAAACCGTCGAGGGAGGGCTTCAGGATATCGCTCAGAAGGAGATAACCAATCGTTTTAGGTTGCGGCTGGAATGTGTGGCCAACCGCGTCGAAAGATACTCGAGGTGTCTTTGCTTTTGTTTCCAGGGGGGAGGGGGGAAAGAATGAGTCTTGTGCGACAGTGAGGGGATTAGGTGGATACACAAAAAGCGATAACTGAGGATGGTGGCATGAGTTAGCAACGAAGGAGCGTCACAAAGGCATGGTGAAGTTATATAAAGGATGAAGCAGCAAGGACAATGGCTTGCCACGGGATGAGGGTTGAAGGAAGCCAAAAAATTAGATGATACATAGGGGGGGGTGGGTGGGTGTCAGCGGAGGAGGAGGTGGTGTGGGCGTGGAAGTTAGATCGTTTAGTGAACAAAGTTTAGTTTGCGGGTTGGCTATTATGACGTTATGCCGAAGGCCGCGCTTCGATGGCCAGGGCCTAGCCACTCTCGCCACTGACACCACCAACCGCCAACCACCAACGAACGAACGCAGGAACCAAGGCAGTGTGGGATACCGGGTACCTCCCAGGCACCACACGGTCGCAGTGCCGAGCGGGTAATGGCAATATGGAAATGCAATCGTACCACGAGCAGGCAGCTGGCTTGTCATGCGGGAGCCATCGCAGCCATTCACTTCTGTCCTCACTTCCAAGTCGCTCTTCTCGGACCTACGAGGCACAAGCGCAATATGCAGCGGCAGTCGGCAGGAAGGGACTGTACATTTCAAAAAAAAAAAAAAAGAGAAAAAAAAAAAAGAGAAAAAAAAAAAAGGAAAAAGGGAAAAGACTTCGCCCCAACGCTCTTCTCTCGTTTTTTTCCGGACTCGTAGGTTCGAGAATCGAAATAGCAACTCCTTTGGCCTTCACGATATCGCGACGGTAGAAACCGGCAGACGGCGCCAACTGGAGCGAAGACAGACCGGCGGGAAGAGATTTTCCTCCCAGCCGCGCGCGCAGAAAAAGGGGAAGGTTTCCCTCCAGCGCAGCCGCCGGTCAGTTACATAATCACAGCCGAGCCAACTTGAACTTAGGTAATCGCCAAAAAGTCTATCCCAGTTGCTTCTCGCCCGCAAGCGGCGCTGCTCGATCGTTCTCGGCGGCGGATTCTTGCCGTATACGGAGCGCTTCGGCCCTTTGCTGGCTGATCCCATGATGAAGCTTCGGGTCCAGGCAAAAGCCACTACGGAGTACGGAGTACACTAAGTTACAACTACAACCTTACTCTCTCCACATGCAGCCACTTTGGTTTTCGTCCAGCACACTCGGCAGAGCTATGTGCTTGATAGTGTGCCGTCGACTCCAACTCTCTTTTTAAAAGGCGGAGGACAGGACAGAGTCTGGGGTTGCCGCGGTTTTGATGTATCCACCCCCAGAGTATGGAGTATGGAGCGTGGCTTGATTGTAACGAACCCCTTGCACTCCGTACGGGGGCATTAGAACGGAGTTACGGAGTATCCTCGAGGATCATCTGCATACCGCCCCCACGCGCGGCATCATGGAAAAGAAAGCGCCCTGTGCCGAATTGATGGAAGAACGACGTTTGTACACTTTACTAGGCGATCCGCTCGACCTCTGCGAGGCGAGTGACGTAGTCGGAAGGCTCCGTCAATCAAAAAGCAATGAAATGTTTATTATCATTTCTGGGTCAGTGCGCGGTTTGACTTGTCTTCAATTTCGGAACCAAGCCTCGAGCCAAACCTTCCAAGAGTTTGGAGATGTCTAGAACTTTGCCGCCACAAACCTACTTCCAGAGAGTCATATGTCGGGGCCTCTCGTTCAGAGACGTGAGCTTGACTTCAAATTACATTCCTAGAATTATCTTGTCAGTCAAGGTAGGGAGGCCTGATGCGATAACCAACCAATACCCCTTGGCGATATGTAATCCAACTTCCGAAGAAACAGGGTAAAATCGCAGCCAGCATTGAGACATTGCACCTTCGACTCGGGTCGTTTGGTCAAAAATTTCCCGCGAGTGAAAGAAGGTCCTCCAAGAAATGCCCTCTTGGTATGGCGCATCTTCTTCGTCCACAGATCGGTGGCTTGACGTATTGAACCTTCAAAAAGGTACATCACGGGGCGGGAAGCTTCAGTTCAACCTTACCTTTCCAGCCCTGTTTTCTGGATCAACAGTTTCGCGGATTAACGTAAGGCCGTACAATGGGTTCATCATACCTTGGTTCATTGAGCGAATAGTGGAAAAATTTGGGCAAATCTTAGACCAGTGGCGCAGTGGTTAGCGTTGTCCACTTATGTGTCTCCTGCCATAAGTTCACTTTTCGTGGCACGATACTCATGCCATGGACGGGTCCCGGGTTCGAATCCCGGTTGGTCTACTGGTTTATTTTTTATTATTTTTTATTATTATTTCGTTTTATTACATCTTCGTCTCGATCTCCGTCTATCGAGGTGCTATCTTCAGAGGAGGAAATTATATGCATTTCTGTCTCATTCGCAGGTATGAGCAATCAACCTGGTCACTTGGCGCGGCTGCCAGGGGTGAAAGCCTGAAAGGTCTCGCCGTCTAACCACGCAACAGACACCCCGTCCCTATCGCCTTCGAGAGCCAGAACTTGTTTGCAAGAGGAGAAGAGGCGGCCAGAAAGATACTGTGAGGTTGGTTTCAGAACTAACCTTCTCTCTACAACCTTACTCCGGCTAGCTTCAAAGGCGCCTGTCTAGATTTTGAGATTATCGATTTGGTCTTGCAATATACAGCAGATCAGGTACATACATGCATCTTGAGCGTAGGCAGGTACCGCATATCATACACACCAACAAATCTTCATTCCAAGGAATTCAATCCTGCCAAGAGAAACCTACTGGCCCTGATTTATTCTCGTTGATCATGCCCGCTTCGAACAGGGAACTGCCAAATTCCGAGGTGCTTGCAAAGAGAGATAAGCTGCTCTCAGCTGACGCAATTGCAACGGCTGTGGTGTCGCGTGGCTTCGGATATTGTTGCACCGGGCCGCAAGAGCTTTGACGCCCTTGGAAGAAACAGCCATGCTGAGTTTCTCACGGGATCCTTCGCCCATCTCCACAATTATGGCAATTGACAAAGCAGCAATTGTTATAATCGCCCTAAATGTTCCGGGTCGTGTGGAGCGGTAGTGAGAGGAGTGGCGGAATCTGGTATTCGAGTTCGCTCTTCAATTAACTGAGCCTACCATCGGGTTCTCCCTTCCATCGCTGCACTCGCTTTTGCTCCCAATTGTCCAAATCTTTCGCCATTAGTCTCTAAAAAAAAAAGGGGGGGGGGAAGGGAATAGTTAGCGTTTCAATTTCATCTCGAATTTAGGGAGAGCCTGGAATTCCCGGCATACGTAATATTCTTCTTTTTCACTGCCCAAAACTCTTCTCCGTGGATTCATTTTAATATCATTCTCCCCATCACCGTCGGGGCCCTTGATCCCAAGAGCCAATGCTTCTTGCTGGCTGACTTGCTGGACCTTCCGGTCATGCCGCTCGTACCGTAGAGCAGTTGCAGGAGTCAAAACAAAAGAGCCGGCAACCATCAGACTAAGGAACGGAAGACCAAATAGTAAAAATGGGTGCTTGGATAAATGTGCTCGGTACATTTGGCCGATCCGGTCGCCGAGGGTTGAACCTGCGGATGTCGACGGCCTGAACCGCTTTGTTTGGAAAACAGGCATGGTTATTGGGTCGGATTAATCGGACAACTGACTTGAATTGGAACTTATAGCACTTGCAATAAAGGGTCTTCCTAGGGAAATAGGTAATTGATGGTCAGTCCATAGATTGCCCTGTTGGTCCCTCCTGCTCGAGACAGGGCTCATGGAAAAAGAAACTATGGTCGGGTGATAGTAATTCCGTGGCCTAGCGAACTTTAACTGAAGCTTCCAGTCGCACCAGTAAACAATCGTGATCAGCCTTTGGTTGGTGAGCTGCCTGGAACACATCACTGAAGAGTGAGGTCGTTGTCGCTCAGGCTTCCTAAGGGGTTGGATCGAATAGTATTACTTGATACTGATCTGTGATTGTTTGAATCTTTAAGGTCTCAATTCTGAAGTTGCGCCTGCCATCATGTTTCAAGGACTTGGCCAGTCCTCTTCGGCTGGATCCCTCTTTACGACCACTGCGAACACTCAACAACCTGCGAAAAGAGGGCTATTCGATAGCCCAACTACATCGCAACCAGCCAAGCCATCCCCATTCGCAACTACGGGCACAAGTTTAGGTCTTGGAGCCGGGCCCGGCGCACCCCAATCTGCACCTGGGGCCGCAAGCATCTACTCCAGCGGCAATCCCAATCCCGCGGGAGCTACCAATGTCGCATCTACGCAGTCTACATTTGGCTCCTCGATACTGGGACAATCATTTGCACCAGGTGGCCAATCACAGCTGGGCCAGCCGGTAAACCCAGCGCTCGCAGGTCAGTCCGTCTTGTCCACCCAGACTACACAGCCCGCGTATTTCAGCAGTTTGTTGGAGCGTGGGAAGAAACGACCTCACCCATCGAGCCTCAAGACCACCCAAGTGGAGCTTCCAAATCTACAATTGGGTCTCGATGATATTCGAAGAACTGCTCGTGGCCTAGGGGTCAGAGAAGCAGCTGGCCGCCTGGGCGCTGATGCAAAACCGTGAGTAAAATCACCTTCAAAAATTTGATAAGGCTACATTTAACGGAAAATTGCGCTGACGCTTTATCTACCTGTTGTCTAGGCACTACTCACTTACCGCATCGGGAATATCTCCGGGTCAGGTTTTGCATGATTTGAGAGAGTTGGATAAACAAGGACCGCCTCCCAACGTGATGAGAGACGATGAGCCCTTTGACCCGGATAATCAGAAGTTCCTACGACGGATGCAACAGCGTGGTCGGGATGTTATGATCGCCGATAGCTTTGCGAGAGTTCGACGGGATTTCGACGCATTTTTAGAGGAGAAGGTCAACTTGAACTGGGATGAGCAACGCCATAAGATCTTTGAGCACTTTGGTTTAGCTCCTAAGAGTGAAGCAAGCGCTGATCGTCTTGGAGAAACGACGCGCGACAGTGGCGCATTCGGGGCGTCAAAAAGTGTTAGATTTGGAGCAGATTTAGGTCAACGGCCGGCATCAAGCACAAGACGGAGCGTATTTGGACGTTCGGCTCTTTCAAAGTCTGTAATTGGGTCTACCATCAGCGGTGGTGATGCTGCACAGATATTTTCTCCTACCGCCTCGAGTTTGCAGGCTGCGGATACACGCTTCTTAAGGGAGAAAATGGGACATTTTGCAACAAAGGTTCAACGCCTCAATGAAGCAAGGTCTCAAGAGAGGGCGTTTCCTGTTCTGCACGAGTTTGCTGAGACTGAAAAACTGACAATATCCGACGTATGTTTATCACAATCACAACCCCCCTTGCTGGCTCTATATTGACTCTTTGTTTAGGTTCCTCGCCAACTTTTCGAAGCCTATCAAGCATTAATAAGTATTACTGACGAAAATCCAAATATAGTTGATTTTGCGGAGCCAGGTGCAATAAAGGAGCGCCAGTTTTCGCAGGATTATCTGGATGAGAATGTGAACTCCAATGAATCAGTGCGTATGAGGAAAAGGATTGTGGAGGGCTCGAGAAGGTACTTGGAACAGGCGTTCTATAGGGAAATAGAGAATGCAATCGCCAAGAACCCCAGAGAAGCCCAATTAGGCGGAATCCCATCCATAACCAACAAAATTCGAGCCTACATTCGACTGAAGGCTGCACGGAAGGACCTTGCACCGGATGGAATAGAGCTGCAAATGGTCGACCAGGACTATTGTTGGGTGCTCATATTCTACCTCCTCCGCTGTGGGTTTGTCTCCGAGGCCGCTGAATACGTGAGCACGGACCAGGGGTTCCGGTCTATGGATTACAAGTTCGTTACTTATATGACGACCTATGCTCAGCAACGCCGCCTGCCTAGAGACCTACAACAGAAGATCAATGGAGAGTACCAACAACGACTCCGAAACGCCCCTGAGAATACCGTGGACCCGTACCGGATGGCTTGCTACAAGATCATTGGTCGATGTGATCTTAGCCAGAGGCGACTCGAGGGAATGAGCCAAGGAGTGGAAGATTGGATGTGGTTGCAGTTTACCTTGGCTCGAGAGGACAGTCGTGCTGAAGAAATCGCAGGCGATATGTTTGGATTGCAAGAGATCCAGCAGGATATCTCGGAAATCGGTCAGCGAATATTTGTAAAAGGCCAGGAGGCGGCTGGCGGATACGGGACCTACTTTTTGCTGCAGATCCTGGGTGGTATGTTTGAACATGCAGTATCTTATCTCGGAAACTATGCGCCTATTAACGCCGTCCACTTCGGAATTGCGCTGGACTATTACGGCCTGCTTCGCGTGTCAGACTACTATACTTCTGGCGAAGAACTGCGTAAGTTAATTTCTAGTGTGGACATTGAGGATTCTAGACGTTTGGCTAACTTTGTTATAGTGTCCTTCACTACGAAACAACTACCACAGATCAACTTTGCTTTCCTTATCACCCAATATACTCGGGAATTCCGCACAGGCAACGTCGAAGCTGCCGTTGACTATTTCACCTTGATTTGTTTGAATGCAGATCTTCCAGGAGAACTAGGGAAGTCGCAGGCATCAGTGTGCCATGAAGCGTTGCGGGAGTTTATTCTGGAAACTCGCGATTTTGCCAAATTACTTGGAGATATCAAATCGGACGGTACTAGAATCAGAGGCGCGATAGAGCAACGCTTGAAACTTATTAAACTTGACGACCAGGAGGAGTTTCTCAGAACAATCACAGTCCAGGCGGCTGCCGTTGCCGACGACAAAGGCCTCACTGCGGATGCGGTGCTCTTGTATCACTTGGCTGAAGATTATGATAATGTCGTGGTGATCCTCAACCGGTCTCTTTCGGATGCAGTGGCAGTGAATCTAGGTAGCGCGGCTCTGAGACTTCAGCAGCCTAAACCTGGCGCAGCTCAGCAAACACAGAGAGATGGCCAGCAAGTCACCCCAGCCGAGGCCGCAAGTAGCTTCAGCCTTACTTCTGTTGAAGATCCAGTGACTCTTGCGCAGAATATGATTGGCCTCTATAATACCAATGCCATGTATTACCAGAAGATACATCCGATTAACCGTGAAGCATGCGGCATACTACTTCGCATGATGGATGCGAAGAGTAAAGTCGAAGCAGGGAAGTGGGCCCAAGCGCTCGATGTAAGATTCCCAATGCCACCCCCCGAGATAAAATGTTTATGGCGTGTGATCCTAACTGCGTTGCCAGGATATCAACAATTTACAAATCTTGCCGCTAAGCGCTCGCGGATCTGTTGCGTATACTCGAAGTGCTGCACAGGCGTTTTCGGCTCTACCAGCCGTTATTGCACGGAACGGAGGTAATCTTATCATGTGGAGCATTACATGTATCAGCCGAGAGCGCGAAAGGTTACAACAGGGCGTGTATGAGAATGATATGCGGCAGAGCTTGGCAGACCAGCTTCTGAGCATGGCTAAGGATTTGATGGTGTTTGCAGGTATGATCAAATATAAGCTGCCGCCTGGTGTGTACGAAGCACTGGCGAAAGCAGCGGGCGACATGGCGGGGGTGTAGTGCATCGGCCCCAACTTATTCCCCATTGTCCATGACTTGATTCCTGGAGTAGCTCGAGTTCGCCGAAATATAGCGTATTTGCTTGACTAGTTTAGCGGGAATATACGAGACATCTTGCATTTCAAGTTCTTTGCCTTATCTTCGAATCGGGTGGCCATTTCCACTCATCACGATCGTAACTCTTTGAAGTGGATAGATTGCAATACCGCAGGAAACTACGACAAACAATAGCTGCTTACGGAGGACAGCTCAAGGTGTTTGGCGATCGCATTTCTCTTCTCCCCAAAGCGAGCTTTGGACGCATCATTTTCACTTCTCTCGCTGACAATTTTCTTTCCTCTCCTCCACATCTACCGTCTCAATTCATTCTCACCCCATTCATTTTTTTTTTTTTTTTTTTTTTTTTTTTCTTAATTCACTATTTTGATTTGCCCACTCACCCTCCTTTTGTCCCTTTATTTGAACAGCCTGGCCTTGTGTCGTCATTACATTGCCAACTCACTTGCCCAAGCCTTGCACTACTGTCCTCTAGGCTATCGATCCTGCAGGTCGTCACCAAGAACCGACGAGCTGATTTGCCGACTCTGGCTTACTAATACCCGATTGCGGTGGAGGGGCAATTAGTCAGCGTGTTAGTTGCACCCACAATAATCAGGTTCCTTCTTGCAGAATGCTGGACGAACGCTTGTTTACACGTCCACCAAAGCCTCAAAGGCCCATGCAGCCTAACATGCTATAGTCTTCGAGAACAAAATTTCTTTCTCCGATTTCTCCTGATCTACAGCCGGAACTCAGGGTTTCGGAGTTGTGGCCCGCGTCATCCCCATCGTCACCTCCCGGTTCGGTACGCTTATCGTCTGGTGGATCTAGAGAAAGCCGAGCACTGACATTAAAGATAGACATGGAAGCAGCTACTAGCACAGAAAAGGAACCGGAAACCGGCCCACCGACGGCAGATGGTGATGTTGAGATGGGAAATGGCACCGCGGCTGCTGGAGACACTTCGGAAGACGAAGATTCAAAATTGCAGAGTGATATACAGGCGCAGCTCGCGGCGGAGACGCGGGATAGCGCCGCTGCACAGCCGTCCAACTCAACATCCGAAGAAATATCTCAAACAGGCTTGGTAGTCAGTGAAGCGACGGACTCCGATAGCGCAAAATCTTACGAAGTGCCTCCGAACATTGCGCGTATCAGACAGGAGATGTTCGAACTGCGACAGCCGATTGAGTTGAGTCTGGAGGAGTACAACCTCTACTGGCCATTCATTGATAATGTGTGGGTGAAGCAGCGATCTAGCACGACGCGTGATAAAACTGCAACGTCAGACTACTATTGCTGTCGCCAGCGCAAACAGCCGACCAGGCGCAATGAAGAAAAGGCACAAGGCCAGCCGTATCCTGAGGGGAAAAGGAGGCATAGAGCAGTGCGAGAGGGGCCTGTCTGCGGTTTTCAGATCAAAGTTGTCAAAACTGAGGGCACGTTTGCGTCCGTTACAATTTCCCGACAAACTAATTGCAGTGCGAATCATTCGCATGACTTGGACCACATGGATAAAGTCAAGCGCAATTCTGGATTATTGTCGTTTATAAAACAGGAGGCAGAGAAGGCATATATCCCAGCCTCAATCCTGGCGAAATTTCGTGAGGATCCAGATGCATTAGCGGCTATCGGAGGCAGGTTCCTGAGTGGGGTGGACGTGCGCAATGTCTGCGCCAAATGGCGCGCTGCAAACCCCAACGCAGAACTGAAGACACATCAAGGCTACTTGTTTCAAAATGGAATCGGTGTCTACAAAGTTGGCTCTCGCCCAGCATGCCCGGGTGCCGCGCAAATTACGCCGCAACCCAAAATCACACTAACATCCCACGCCCCTGATGCACTCGCGTTCCCATCATTTTCATTAGAGTTTCTGCAACCATATCTTCCCACTCGGGAGGAGAACCGCAAGTTCCCACACGTTACACTGACCTATGCGCAGTCTATGGATGGGAAAATTTCTTTAGCGCCTGGTGTTCAGACGGTACTATCAGGGCCAGAATCCAAGCTAATGACGCATTATCTTCGATCACGTCATGATGCGATATTGATTGGAGTTGGGACCGCTCTTGCTGACAATCCTGGACTGAACTGTCGCTTAGAAGGCGCCGGCGGCTATGGGGGCCTGGGCAAGATGTGGCAACCAAGGCCAGTGATAGTAGATCCCACTGGTCGGTGGCCGATTAACCCGGAATGTAGAATCCTAAAAACCGCGTTGGCTGGTAAGGGAAAGGCCCCCTGGGTCGTGGTCTCGCCATGCGCGAATATCTCGGCTGACCGAATCTTGCTTCTAAAGAAACATGGGGGTGATTTTCTAAGGATTTCGGAATTCAATCCATCCTGGCGTCTGCAATGGTCTACGATATTTGGGGCTTTAGCTGCTGAAGGCATCAACAGCATTATGGTTGAAGGAGGTGGAGTGGTTCTTAGTGAATTACTCAACCCAGAATATGAGGACTTTGTTGATTCCGTCATTGTTACTGTTGCCCCAACTTATCTAGGCCGTGGCGGCGTGGGTGTGGCCCCGGATTCTAAAAGAGATGAATACGGAAAGCCGAAAGTCTCGCTCAAACCAAAAGAACCGAAATGGCACGCGCTGGGTCAAGATGTGATCATGTGCAGCAAAGTACGGGTTCCTCCTCCTCCACCAATCCTTCCAGGAATCGAAGATGCAGCCCTCGGGCTTTCGGGCGAGTGAAGAACCATGTCGCGTCGGTTCTCCTAAAATATCGCCAAGATATTGGGTGGACTGGTCCTTATCAGTCAAAGCAAACTACGCTTGGAGAATGTATGATTGTTGGGTTTACCTTGCCACGCCTCCAGGAACATTGCATACCTCGCTTGTCACGAAAAACGACCACCTCTTATGCTTCTCACATTCTTCTGCTAGCTTGTCGAGATCAAACAGCTCACCAATGGGACACCCCCACCCAGCAAGGAGGACTTCGTGCAATTTCAAATGTTCCGGGGGTGCTGGTAGAAGGAGAAAATGATCAGTATTCACTCTTTGTCAAATCGGCCTTTGAGTATTTGGGAATTCCTACGGTAGGCTTCGAATGCGGGATGGTCACCAGCGACTGCCGAAAAATTCTCCCAGATCCACTCTAGCATGTCTTCTGTTTGCTCAACACCGATAAGTGAATGCATCTTTTGCTTTGCAAGCTCACTGAGTTCTGCAGTCGACAGCTTGTTGAATTCAAGCATATACCCTGTCTCATTATTAGCAATTATGGACTCCTGGTTTCAAGCGAACTGCTTGTCGATGTAAATGGGGTGAAGCTTGCCAACTCGGATGAAAAGAATGTCTCCGAATTTGATTTCTGTTCCCTGGGACTCCGCAACCGCCTTCAAATGTTTCAATGGTATGGGGCTTGTTTTGAAGATGTCAATGTCAATATTGTTCGCCAGTCGCCACTTGTGGTAGTCTAAGAGGATGCCACGGCCAACAATTCCCTTTTCCGCCCAGGCTAAATTGATATTGCAGTCAGCTAGGGAACCTTTCCAGGTTATATCAGCAGCCAAACGGACCTTGAACCCCATTCGCATTATTCTTATTGGGTCCGGCGATATCATCCATGGTGACGCCGTTATAGAATCTTTTCTCCTTTTGATATGCGACATGTCGCAGCCCATCCCCTTAAGGTGTCACTGATCGTCAGATTACCGGAGCGTCTTGGAAGAACTCCATCCGGTACTTGTCACCGGCAACGGGGCACCGCAGGCTGGTGAACTTACATTGGCTGCTGCTCTGGGTATTAAATGTCCAAATATCATCGTAGACTATTCTCGGGGATCTCTGGACGATTTGCTTTTGAAAAACTTGTCGTCCAAACAAAGGAATGTCTCCCTGTGCATCAAGAGGCCAATTCATGGAGACTCTGCCATAGGTTAAGTCGGCTTAGATCACAGCTGAGTTGCCAACGCAGCGAAAGTACAGATTCATGGAAGTGCATGTGTTCTAAAATTCACAATGCACTATATGCCACATATCACATCGGATAATATCTGATACCCAAAAAAAAAAAAAAAAAAAAAAAAAAAAAAGAGAAAAAAGAAAAGAAAAAAGGAAAAAAAGAAAAAACAAAAAACAAATACATAAATAGAATTCCATTAATGAAAGCGAGCATGAGAATATCTGGTTGTTGATGGGGCAACAATCCGTTTCCCAACGTACCTAACTCCGCTTTGAATTTCCTTCGCCGCCTCCTTGACAGTTTCATTGGTCTGGCGATTCAAAAAGCCTAGCTGGTCATCTTTGCCGTAAAGGCCCCATGCTGAGTAGGGCGGGTCGTCCTTGTTCAGCGGAAGATCAGAGAATTTGGGAAGATTTGCTGGGCGCCCGCTCATGGTGTTTATAGGCTGAGGAACTCACGTTTCACGCTCCTAAGTGGAAGATAGAGCCAAGTAGTACCAGCTGGACCAAGTGGCCGTTCTGTGGGCTTTTATATTCCCCTCTATCTTTCGGCGAAGGGAAGAAGGGAAATGCGGGGAATACGCGGAGTGTGTTACCGAGGCCTTGAGCCGTGGGCTGCGGAGAGAGAGGAATGAATACTCGACACAAACTCTTGTATCTGAGGCATATTTCATGGACTAGGTGAGGTGTACGTAGGGATGTCGATTCACCATATGTTCAATATTAGCGGAAGGGGTGGTTCATGATATCTACAGCGATGGGGTGGTTGTCGATCGCATCAAATTCCTGAAAACCAACTTTCACCCATAACTTTGCGATACAGAGATTGTGAGGCTCATCGACTAACACTGATGCTTCTCTTCCATACGTACAACTGCTCATATCAATTACTTTTTTGGTCCCGATCATTTACGGAGCGTCATGAAGCCATTCGTCCACTTATCGATTAACCCTTCATACTACTGAGCTCTGACTGACGGTAACTATCATGTGTTTTTTCAATATCATACTTGCCAAATAGAACATTGGCTATCACCCTCTTCAGCTTGTCATACTTCATGAGACGGCAGCTCATCCGTAATACTGGCTACGTGGGATGCCGTTGAATGAATTGGTCGCCATAGGGTCATATCATTTCACTGTACATATTAAATACCATGCCATAAAAAATCGTAATTTCAAAGAGAAGCAGCCTCCAAGGCCAAGCGGATTCTCGACTGGGCTCGCAAGCTAAAAAGAAAGGGAACCAGCCACGTATTTCAAACTAGCTGGAGCACTGAGAACCCTGATATAAACACTGTGTTCTTCGTAACGAGAGCTCCATCCCGGCCTCCAGAACGAAGAGAGCCCTTCGACGGACTCTTGAATTTCTCCGGGGTTGAATCCATTGGGGTCGCCGCTTTCATCAAGCCGCGGCGCCATTGGGCCAAGACTATTCGATGAACATAACTGCGGTAGATGCCTTGTCCACGTTTGAATAGGATCAAAGAAGAAAGCATTTTCTCACAATATCAGCTGGCCAATTATTCCCAAGTCATTGTCTTGTTGATTGAGGAGGCTGTGTTGCGTCCAAAGATAGATGATATAAGCAGAACCCCGGTTGCCAAAAACCCAAACAAGCTGCACTCCCCAAAACTCACAAAAAAAAAAAAAACAACCACAACAGACACAAAAAATCCAAAATATTTAACAGACCATCAACCATTTACCTATTCTTCTTGTGTCTAAGACTTCAGTTTTTGGTTTTTGAGTCATATCCACACCTTTTATTCCTTTCTCAAGAGCCTCCGCTTCGTTTCCCACGCGGCCTTTGTTAACAATGGCGCCCCGGAAGGCCGCAGCGACCAGATCTTCGACGCGTATCAAAAGCGCCCCAACCACTACAACTGCCATCGCGCCAAAGAAGGCTGGCGTTAAGAAAGCGACTGCGGTCCCCACTGCTACGAAGAAGCAGAAAGCGAGTGCAGCTGCTCTCAAGTCTACTAAAGCTGCCAGCACCAAGGCTACTGCTGCCAAGGATACAACCACCAAAGCTCCGCGCAAAGCAAAGGCTGATGAGGCCCCTGTTTCCAAGAAGCGCAAGGTTGTCTCTGAAGATGAAACCGAACCAAGGCCCAAGAAAGCTCGGGCTGCCAAAGAAGAAGCTCCCAAGCCGAAGAGGACTCGCGTCACAGCGTCGCCCGCTGTTAAACCCCCTAAGCCAAAAGTCGTGATTAACGAAGCCCCTACCGAAAAATTGAACATTTATGTCTTTGGCGAAGGCAGCTCTGGTGAACTCGGACTCGGAACCGCGAAGAATGCGGTTGACGTGAAAAGACCTCGTCTTAACCCACTTTTGCTGGCTGATAAAATTGGTGTTGTCCAAATTGCGACCGGTGGGATGCATTGTGTTGCGCTTACCCACGACAACAAAATCTACACCTGGGGGGTCAATGATCAGGGTGCTTTGGGTCGTGACACCACCTGGGAGGGCAAGTTAAAGGATATCGACGACGCTGGCAGCGATTCTGACTCGGACGATGGAAGTGACAGCGGCATGAACCCCAAGGAGGCCACTCCAACTCCAATTCCGGCTGATTATTTCCCGGAAGGAACCATTTTTGTTGAGGTTGCTGCTGGAGATAGCTCTTCATTCGCTCTCACTGATGATGGTTTTGTTTATGGTTGGGGTACATTCCGCGTAAGTTCTGCCTCTATCATTATGGCCTAGTGCCCCTATTAACGTTACATGTCTTCTAGGGAAATGAAGGCATTCTAGGTTTTGATGCCACCACCCGTGTTCAGACTACTCCTAAACTTATTCCATCTCTCAAGAAGATCAAACACATTGCTTGTGGTGATAACCACGCTCTCGCACTAGATACAAAAGGTGCCGTATTTGCTTGGGGTTCTGGACAGCAGAACCAACTTGGTCGTCGCATTGTTGAGCGTACCAAGCTGAACGGGCTTCACCCACGTGAATTCGGATTGCCCAAGAATATCACCTATATTGACTGTGGATCATTCCACTCTTTTGCGATTCACCAGACTGGCAAAGTTTACAGTTGGGGTTTGAATAGCTATGGCGAAACCGGCATTCCTCAAGGTGCTGGATCCGACGAAGCAGTCATTTTGCACCCGGAGGTTGTGAAGTCTTTGAAGGATAAAAATGTTATCCAACTTTGCGGTGGTTCCCATCATTCTCTTGCTGTTACCAAAGATGGAGAGTGTCTTGTTTGGGGTCGCGTTGACGGCTTCCAGACCGGCTTGGATATCAAAAGTCTTCCTGATGATGCAGTTATTAAGGATGATAGAGATCGTGCCCGTATTCTCTCTGTCCCCACCGCTGTTCCTGGCATCGATGCCAAATTTGTTGCTGCAGGTGCGGATCATTCAATTGCTATTGCGAAAGATGGACGTGCCTGGACTTGGGGCTTTTCTGCAAATTACCAGACCGGCCAGGGCACTGATGACGATATCGAGGTTGCTACTGTCGTTGATAATACGGCTGTGAGAGGCAAGATGTTGAACTGGGCTGGTGCCGGTGGACAATATTCTGTTCTTGCTGGACCTGCGGTTACCGTCAATGGCGTTGCTGCAAACGCTGATGCTCCGAATGGAAACGTTCAGGGAGCGAACTAGATTTCTCGACTCTTAAAGGTTTGATTAGTTTCTTTGGCTTTTTTTTTTTTCCCTTCCCTTTTCGGATATCTCTTCCCTTGTTTCTTTGGGATTTGTTTTGACATCTGTTGATTGTTCGTGCTGCATGTTATTTGAATGGTTTTATCTGGTTGAGTTGTCTCTTTAACGTATATCTCCTTTCGCCGTTTCATGTCCTGTTTTAGTGTTTGCTGGTTGTCTTTGCTGTGAGTCCAGATAAATGTTCTGGTTGGTTTGATTTGTTATTTCAAAGATTTTTTAATCCTTTTTCTTTTTCTTGTGATTCCAGAGGCTTTCTCACTGGAAGCTCTTTGAATTTCTTTCTTGCGTTTGCGCTGCGTTGCTATTTTTTCCTCGATGGTTGCGGGTGCTTTGTTCCCTTGTCGTTAGTGTGCTCTAGAGTCCGATTTGATTTTCTACTTTAAATTGGAGACTTTAGAAATTTCCTGCTTTCTATTGGGCGTCTACATGCTGCAAAATTGACTTGATTCTGATTGATATATTTCGTATTTTGTGTTTCGTTGGGATTAGGAGTTACATTTAATTGAATAAGAGTATCCCAGCTCTCTTACAATCCGAATTCATTCAACATATGTAATTCATCATCGAAATCATCCGCAGCTGGGCGATTCACTTCTAGGTGACCAGTTTTCGGTGCACGCGCAGGTGTATTTTCTGCCTCGGCGAGAAGGGCGTCTAAGTCGTCCTCTTCGTCCGCTGGTGGGGCATTTGGCTTTAGTATTCCTAACCCATGGGCCGTATTTTGCATTGTGCTTTCTTGCTCTGCAAGAAATGTGTCGAGGTCATCTTCTTCGGGTACTTGTGAGGCTTGGACTGGAGGATCGATGTCCATGCCTTCATTTCCAGGGACGAAAAGATCATCATCGTCGTCGGCATTGTTCCTTAATGAGATTGCCTTGCCACCGCCAAAGATGGATGGTATTTCTGAGTCGGAAAGACGCTTAGGGCTATGAGTGCTCTCTGCTTGATCGTTCCGATGAGCTTCCATAGCTGGAGCGCTCTGCTCCAGTGTTCGTTGAAAGATGGAAGGAATTGTTGGATCTGCCGTGTCTTTGTCGCCTCTATTATCGCTATTGGGGTCGAGGGAGGTGGCATTACTGTCGTATAAATTTCGGCCGGGCTTGCCTTCATCAATCCACTCTTTCCGCATGACCTGCATGCGTTTTGTGTGGCCCAGCTTTTCAATGATTGACAGGCCGTCCGCGAACTTTGCGCGCGGGTATAGGTCGTCTAGCCAAAGCTGGTAGAAGTTCAGAAGACGTGCAACATCCGAAAACTATACCAAGTGCACATCGTCAGAAGGAAAGAAACGTGGCGTTGAGATAGGAAGAGAATAGGAAGTCAAACCTCGTGACGCTTTCCCTTAAACTTTAGCTTCGTTTTTGCAGATTTTCGTAGCTTAGGAATTCCCGCCTGGGAAAGTAGTCTATTTTGTAAGGGGTGAGCCGTTGAATAACCTTTGAGCGGATATATCATAGACGGGGGGTAAGCTGGATATACCGGTTTTCATCGAGCTTCACTGGTGGTGCTCTTTTCCTAGTGATTTTAATTTCTTCGAGGCCAACTAGGTCATCGTTCTTATTCTCCGTACTCCCCGTTCCCGTTCCAGAAGCCCTCCCGTCATTTTTCTCTTCTTCTGGATCGCGCAATAGATCTTCGATTCCGGCATCGTAGTTAAAAAGGTCATCAAAGGCTGTGTCTTCCGCCATCGCGGCGACAAAAGGGGTATCGGGGGCGAGTTTTGTGACCACGAGAGATACGCAAGCTAATTGGGTTGATATCGGCTAGACCTTATTGAATAGGTGACCTTACACGCACATATAAGAGCAGCGCAACTCCGCAGTCGTTTGTCGCCGTTGTCCAGCATCGTGGTGGTTCCTCGTTTCTCGGATGACGCGACGCGTTAAGAGTAAACTCAATGGCGATGGTTATTGGCTAGAATTTAAGTATTTTCCACCAATAGATATGCACTATACTCAACCAATCACAACGACGATAACGCGGCAATTAGCTTGTCACGTGGGCCAATATCCAACCTTACCCAATTGGCCGATCTCAAGCCGTCAAGGAACATCCGATTATTGCCAACGACAGCTGCTCAATTGCAGACAACTCGGGCGGTCTACTAAAGCAATTGCCTTTTCTAGTTCGACTTCAAAATGGCTGCTGACCATGGCAGGCCGCTTGTACCCCCCAAGCAACTTAGAACTGACTACCCGGTACGGATAGGATGCCTTGTTTTACCAATTGAAATGTTCGCATTGATACGAGAGTGCTGACTTGTTTGCCATTATAGCTTATAGATTCTGATCCGTATGTTCTGCCTTTGTGGCGTGCCCCCCGTCGAGCGATATCTAACGATGCCAAATTTGCAGACATGTAAAACGAGTGTTCGGATATGCCAGAACGTCCGATTGGGCGCTGGGAGGTGCTACTGCCATCCTCGGCCCCCTCACATTTGCCATTATGGAGAGAGTACAGCCGGCTCACTCGGGTAAAATCAATTTCGCCAGATGTATGCGCTTGGCGGGTGGTATAGGATTGGTCGCCGGTGCTATTACAGTTTATCAGAGATCTTGCAGTGAGCTTCCTACTGAAAGCCTTATCCTGGGAAATGGGTTGGAATTAATTGCGGCATATTGTGGCTAGATCGATTCTACGGACTTTCGGAGAATAAGAGAGAAGAAGAAATGGATATGAGAGAAATGGTTGATAAAGTGAAGAGAGGAGAGCCTCTATACGGAGAGTCCTCGCTGTCCCCTTACATGCAGGGTGTCGCTGCGAGAAATTCGCGATACTCGAGCTTGTTTATCCACGTCATTCCTTGGTTCAATGTTGTGAACCATAACCAGGTAAATATCCTGGATAATTCGTTATTGGGAGTGTTTGCTAATCACCAACCAAACAGCATGGTGTCGACACTGCGAAATACTACCGCCAAGCGGAGCGGGAACTAGAAGCCGAACGCATGCAGAAGGAGGGCCTTTAGAATGCGATTAGCTAAAGAGACATATTACACCTTTCTCTACTAAAAGCTCAGATTCCTCTGTGTACTTGTACATACCTTCATGGCTCGAAATGCTAGTTTTCCTTTGTTAAGGGCAATTGTGTTCAGTGTCAATGCATGTGGTGAATTTTCACCCCACGTGCAACATCATGCTGTCTGAAAAGATGGTGCCAGTGACGTCGGCTCATCAGCGTCGTCAAGTTTCCTCTTCAATTCACGGTTGGACTTTGGCCGTGGATTGGGTGCTAGGGAGGTGGATCAGTAACGGCTATGTGTAAACAAAAAGAGGTCTTCGGACCTTTTTCATTTTCTTGGATATAAAAACGGCGTAGGAGCATGATCGCCTCGTTGCGGAATATGCCGCCATACACTGTATATGGCGGATCAATTGCCCGGCTTTTGATTTTTATTTTTTAATCGTTAGCGTCAGAGCCAAAAAAAAAAAAAAAAAAAAAAAAAGGAAGAAAAAAAAAAAGGGGAGAGATTAAAGTCCTGACTCTGAATGCAAATTTAAAACTCCTCCAGTTCCCCCGAAGCGATCATTTACGCAGCCAAAGAAAACACGTCGGATATAATTTTGCCTCAGCAACGAGGCACACATGATACACGGTTCAACCGTCACGTAAAGATCCGTCGTCCGAAATATGGATCGTGGATAGGATCTCAAGGCCTCTTCAATTGCCAGGAACTCAGCATGTCTTGTCCCCTGCTCAGGATAAGTATGCGACTTCTCAAAGCAACATGCACGACGCATAGCCATACATACATTCAAAGACCTATTGGTGTCGTTCATTCCGCGGCCAATTACTTTGCCGTCATGCACCAGGACGCAGCCAACGGGTGTTTCGCCTATCGCAAGAGCTTGCTCGGCCTTTCCACCTACATTAGTTCATAGTTACTCTGTCATGGCTGGATTTTTTTAAAAAAAAAAGAAATTTAGATAAAATGTACCATTTGCAAAGCCTCTCTCATGAATTGCTCATGTGCCGGGTCGTCAGCGCTGGTATCCGCCATGGTCAAAGCTGAAGAACGGGACGGTTTCGCTTGTAGCCTCCCAGTCGTCATACGCCTTACACGTCTACTTGTATTTAATCTGTTCAGATGCCAGAAAAGCGACCTTTCTCGATATAACATGGATTTTGCTGGATAATATCACCCATACATTCCTGAAAATCGATGGAAGCGCTGCTTAGTCATGGTAGGTGCGGCTCAGCCCTTATCGCGATTTCGCCGCGTCGAGTCCACCAAATTTAGAATATCAGGCTGGACAGCATCTCTCCCCACACGCCCAACCCCGCATCCTCTCTTGTTCGTTGTATCCTATTGTTTTCCTCTCTTTATTGACTGCTCTGCTTGAAGTTTTCCGCTTCTCGATGTAGCATGCGATGGAATCCACATGGCTGCACATAATGAAACGAAGCCGGGTCGCTCTGGACAGCATTCTGTGAGTAATCTTGGGGAACCCGCCTCTTCACTCATTGCCGCTCACCTAGCACCTCACCTCGCGCCAGGGAGGAATGGGGATCATGGCATTGAGCGCGAAACATTTTCTCAATTGCGCCGAGAAATCTTTGATCAAGATGAAAACGGCCAGGTTAATCTTGATGACAACCTAAGTGATATCCATACTTTGATTTGCGTGGTCATCAAAGCTGGTCTTGAGCCCTTGCTTAAAAGACGGAAGGCCAATGTGCCAAAAGGGGATGTTCTCGGGCAAGTTGTGGATTGCCTCGATATCGTGCAAATGGCCATACAAAAGGCGCCGCACGTTTTACGCGAGCCGTGCGATCCTGGCATTCTGGGTCAGGACACTGCTGGGGCGCCTTTGTTTACCTGGATTATTCCTTTTCACCTAGCCTTACTCTGTGCCTGGGATGAAAAAGCTGTGCGGGAAAAAATTTGTCGTGTGTTGTCCATTATTTATACTTGCCAGTTCAAGGCTAGCAGATCATGGCACTCTTCTAGATCAATCATCTGGTTTCTTAGAGCATGTGTGATAGGTTAGTATTTGTTAGTGTGGTATAGCTATGGCATGGCTGCTGATGTCGCTTAGACCTGATTGTATCTATCGAAAATACCGGCGCATCTGGTGGTCGTGAGGTTGCAATTACACCTCTCTACTTTCCGTCGTGGTCAAATGTATTCGCCAACTGCTTAGAGACACTCAATATCCCTCGGTCTGCAGTTACTCGACGACCACTTGGTAGTCTTTTCGTCGTCGCAAAGACATGTTTCCAAGTTTTAGAATCATTTTGCAGCCCCATTTCGACGCCAGCGTTCCATTCACGTGCTTATTTTTTTCGAGAATGCATCCTATGGAATCTTCAATGCTATCAAAGATTATGGAAGTCGATTTTTATATGGTTTGAGTTGGCAGAAACCCAGCTGCAAGAGGAGCATGCCGTGAACCTTCTCACAGACTTGATTTTCCTCGCGAAACGATGTTTCTCATGCTCCCAACGGCTTGGTCTAGGTCTTGACGAGAGAGTTATGCGTGCGCTAGTCCAAAACGGCGCGGATATGTTATCATCGACCAAATTACAACGCAGCTTTGATCTACAACATGCTCTAAGCCAGCTGTTGAGTGAGGTTATGCGAGCGTCGCATAGCTGTCCCACAGCACACGAACTCATTGCAGAGCATTTCCTTGAAGATTTGGAGGAACTCACGTCAGATGCAGATAAGTTTGCAGCGTTGCATCAGTCCTTTCAGGTTGCGTTGCATCCACTGGTGTCCGTTCTCTCAAAGCACTGCTAATATCTTCAATAGCACGTAACTGTTAGGGTAGTGCAGGGGGACTATTATGCTCCCGGACCGTCATCTAAATTTCAACGGCGCACCTCTTCTCAGTCAGTCCTTCGTGCCCGGGAAAGTACTGTGATCAATGAATATGTCCCACCCGAAAATGGGCTGAATCCTAGCACCCCCGACTCTGAGAGAGCTCGCAAACGCCCCCGCCTTATGGACATGGGAAAAGCCAACAGCGTACTTGACATTCCACAGATGGTTACAAATGCTATCTGTACCATAGTAGGATCTTTACCCGTAAATAGACTCGAAGATATGGATCCTTCAATCATGTAAGTTGTTGTGTTGCTTGACCATCAATTTCTGCTAACCTTCATAGGGATGCCTTTCCTGACCTATCCGCTAATGAGAAATGTGAAACTCTGCTTCATCTTGGTCACCTTGCTTGTGCCTTGTCTGGTAGTATAACTATTGAGGAGCGTATGGATGTACCTAGTTCTATATATCGATGCGCAATTTGCGACAGTAGTGGTTGGAAAACCGCAAGTGCTATATGCAAACAAAGGCAGAGGTTTGACGAGTTACGCGCAACCCTGGCCAGTTTGATACCCACGCTCCGCAGGTTTGCAGAATGTCGGGTTGCGGGAATGCTAGCTCTGCAAAACATATTGATCCATGACTCGAAAAGTGAAGGCTCGCAACTGGGAGGGGCGCCATATGGAGAATTTTGCCTGCAATCTCTCTGTAGTTCCGTGCGAGAGCTCAGAATCGCTGCCGGGTAGGCATCACCCTATTCCAACATCGGTGATTCTCAATTCTGACCTTTGTTTAGGAAAACAATGGCCATCTTTTTAAGAGCGCCGCTCGATGAAGACGTTCGCCGGAATAATTTTGTTATAGCATTGAAGTACCTCCAACAGCTCCAAGAGAAGAATGAACTATCTGTACAGGAAACGTGTATTATGGTGCTACGGCGCATTGCAGAGTGAGTTGATATCTTGTGGAAATAAAGTTTCCCAGTGCGTTGACAATTTTAGGGTATCTGGTGATGAGGAAATGAATATTGTTCTCCTCCGTCTTCTGGAGTATTTGGGCCATACCAGCCCTTTTATTAGTGGAGTCGCATACACCGAGGTAAGTCTGTCTAAGCTTCTACTTTTTCTTTTGGCGTTCACTGATATTTGAAGCTGTCGAAACTAGCCCAACACCTGGCACTTACTCCTGCCGCCCTTTTTCGACCCTTCTGGAGAACGTTATCAGTGCTAGTAATAAAGCATCTGCAGACAAGGCCGCATATGGCAGATCTTTTATGTGACTTAATCGGAATGAAAGTCGATAACTTTTTGCGACTAACAGAAGTACACATCTTGCCATATCTTGTTATGACCCGCAAGAAAGATATCATCGCCAGAATTGCGCGGACCTACGAGGACAAAACCGTTTTTCAACTTTGTACTACTGGTGTCAACATTGCGGCTATCCTGTGTCTTTTATTGACTCAGGAGTTTTCCGACTTAGAAACCATGGTCCCAACTATTCTCTCTGAAGTGGCCCCAGGGTTTAAAGATCAAGATCTCGCAGCCCTGGTCAGAATGGAACCGATCTTAATTGCCTGTGAACTTCTAAAGGGAATTGGCGATTCCTCAGCAGGTGAAGAATCCAAGGTACGAAATCAAGACTAATTTACGAATTATCGCTAAGCTTTTCGCAGCACTACAAAGCTTTAGAGCTTGTAGCGTCGGTTACACCCCTCCTACCCGGCCAGGAGAGTTCTTCTGGGATAATTAATCCACTCACTGCCTTTCTGGAAGGGCATGTCCTTGGAATAATTACCGAATTCGCGAATGTGATTAACGATTTTCAGATACGACAGTCTATAGTAGAGAAAAAACGCAGTGTAATCGCGATAGGCCAAATGGTAAAAATAGCTGGCGCCAGCATCAGTATAGCCTTACCACAGGTCAGTATTGGGATAATCCACTCCTTTGAAACCTTTGGCGTTGAACTAAAATTATATCTAGATATGTGCTTGCCTTCGTTCAGCTCTTGACATGGAAGAGTTACGGGAGCACGCCTTTTCTTCTTGGTGCACCATGGTCACCTTACTCGACGACATAGATGTTGAAGCTTTGATTGACCAAAGTTTTGCGATAATCGTAAAAAACTGGACAAAATTTCGGGCGCCGTCTCGGCAAAAAGCGATTGAACTTGTTGAGCACATATTGGAAAAGTGCCAGGAGCTTGTTGCAAATACATTTACCACCATGCCGTCTCTTGCGTCAATACCAGAAATGGCGAATTTCTCTAAAAAGATCTCGGATTTAAAAGAAGGAATGGACATTCGGAGCCAGTTCGAAACTTTTTGTCTTCGATGCCAGAACGAAAACCAAGTTGTTGTCGAGCAAGCACTTGAAGAGCTAGTTCCACAGCTGCGAAAACATGAAGAATTTATTCACCGAGCTGCAATCAACGAGCAGCCGAATCAAAATATTGCCGGCCGGCTGACACGGTCATTACTCGATTGTTGTGCGAAATTCAACCCGACGTCTGAAAATATCATGTTATTATCCGCCAAATGTCTCGGTATTATCGGATGCCTCGACCCTAGCCGCATTGATCTGGTGAAAGAGAAAAAGGATATCCTCGTCCTCTCCAATTTCCAAAGAGCGGATGAGACGGTTGATTTTGCACTATTTTTCTTGCATCATGTCCTGGTCGAAGCTTTCCTTTCTGCATCTAATACTCGATCACAGGGTTTTCTTGCCTATGCCATGCAATCACTCCTAAAATACTGCGGCTTGACTTCGGTGGTACCACCGCGTACTCAGGACCTTGAATCGGGGGAGATGTATCGACGCTGGCTGTCGCTTCCAGAATATGTGAGAAACACTCTGACGCCTTTCCTTAGCTCGAAATATACGGTGATCATAGGAGCTATCAGCACATCCTGCAACTATCCATTATTTTCGTCCAATATTAGCCACCCGGAGTGGCTTCGTACATTTGTGCTAGATCTGTTACAAAAAGGCAATGATACAAACACTAGGATGATTTTCAATATAAGCAGTCGGATTATTCGGAGTCAGGATATCTCTATTGCAGCTTTCCTTCTCCCGTTTGCTGCACTTAATGCCGCAATCAGTGACGACGATGAAATTCGACAATGCATACGAAAAGAACTCGCCAATGTCTTAGAATATACACTTCCGGAGCATAATCATCATATGCAAGAGAATATCTTGTTGTGCAGTGAGGTTCGTTTGGATTGGATTTGGCTGTGGCTGCTGCTAACCATATTATGTAGAGTGTATTCGGTGTGCTAGACTACTTGTCGCGCTGGGTACAAGGCAAAAAGCGAGAGCTTACAGGCTCCACTACAAGTCGTGATCGCAGAGAAACAATGGACGAACGCACGGTCCAGGTGAAACGGGTGGAAGCATTGCTATCTTCTATCCCGGCCGAAGTTATTTCTCGACGCGCTGTTGAGTGCAAATCTTACGCCCGGGCGCTCTTTCACTGGGAGCAGTACATTAGGCAGCAGAGGTCCAAAACGGTAACGGATTCTTCCGAGTTGGAGTCTCTTTATCAGAAGCTACAGGATATCTACACACAAATTGATGAACCAGATGGCATTGAAGGTATTTCCTCCCATCTCCACGTCCTTAATATCGATCAACAGATTCTCGAACACCGCAAAGCTGGGCGATGGGTTGCCGCCCAAACCTGGTACGAGCTTCAACTAAATAAGACACCGGAAGATATTGATGTTCAGATGAATTTGTTAACATGTTTGAAGGAGTCTGGGCAGCATGGTAAGCATCCTTAGCGGTATCATATAGCTAGTATTATGCTTACATTTTGATAGACGTCCTTCTAAACCAATTTGGTTCATTGAAAACCACCGAAGCCACGCTGCCAAAGATGCTGCCATTTGCCGTGGAGGCCTCGTGGGTAACCAGCAAATGGGACCGGTTGGAAACCTACCTTGCACAGCGCCCCAAACATGGAGTTGGGGATTTCACGATTGGTGTTGGGTCTGCGTTGGCTGCAATTCGCGCGAGAGATCAATCATTTAAGAACAAAATCAATGAGTTGCGCCTAAATGTTGCTAAAGGCCTGACATCAAATTCAGTTTCTTCGTTTCAAGCAAGCCATGATAGTATCTCAAAACTACATGTTCTTGCGGAGATGGAACTCCTAACCAATATGGAGTCCGAGTCTTCCCCCTCTCGTGAAACGCTATTTGATACTCTCGATCGAAGATTGGCGATTCTTGGGGGCTGCATTTCGGATAAGCAATATATTCTTGGTCTCAGACGAGCAATCATGGAATTACTGTGCGTACTGTTCCACATCCATGCTTGCTGCTTAGGCTTCATGAGAAGTATTATTTCTAGGTGGTTTTGGAGCTAACTCATGCTGATAAGGCCTCCATTCAATGAGCTGGATGTCGCCTCCATTTGGTTGATCATCTCCAGACTCGCACGGAAAGCTAACTCTACAGAGCAAGCGTTCAACGCTGTCCTTCATGCCGCCCAATTGAAGGACAAATCCGCAACTATTGAATACGCCAGATTGTTGTGGAAGGAGGGCCATCATAGGAAAGCAATCAGAACTCTTGAAAGTGCTATTGCGGCTAACGCATTCGGATCCTTCGATAAAAGCCCCGGGGAAGATTTGACTGAGACTTCCACTGCAGACGATCAGCATAAACAGAACATGCTCACTGCGCGGGTAAGTTGAAACTGGAGATTGCGTGTAAAAGTTATCCTAATAGTCTCAGGCACATCTTCTCCTCGCTAGATGGATGGACAGCGCCGGTCAGACTCAATCAGAAGTCATAATTCAAAAGTATCGACAGGCTATCAAGTTTCATACAAGGTTGGTTGAATAGCACAGCTCATGTAGCCGCATTTTTGTTGACAACTAGCCTCTAGATGGGAAAAGGCTCATTACTACCTTGGAAAGCATTATGCAAAGATATTGGATTCCGAAAAAGCCAAGCCTATTGGAAAAGAAGCTCAAATATAGTGCGTATACACCTTAATACTTCTATTCCTCTGTTAATCCGAAGGATAGCCTGAGTGGCGAAGCGGCCAAGTTGGTAATTGATAACTACCTACGATCCCTTGCCCATGGGAATAAGTATGTGTTCCAAACTTTACCGAAGGCTCTAACATTGTGGCTTGAGCATGCATCCGCAGTGAACCTGCCATTTGATCCTAAAAGGGGGGATAACGAGTAGGTGGACCAAAAAATAGAAATTTTGCAAAAATGCTAATGATTATACAAGGGAATTCCAAAAGCACAATATGACGCAGCGCAAAAGAAGCCTCGATGACATGAATGCCCAGTTTCGCAAATATATCAACAGAATCCCGGCTGCACTGGTATGGTATTCTTCTCAAGCTGGCGAGTTCTTGGTAGCTAATGATAGAAGTTATTTACCATTCTGCCACAAGTTGTCACACGCATATGCCACTCGAATAACACGGTCTACAACATTTTAACACAAATCGTGGTGAAGACGGTCCATGCGTTTCCTCAGCAGGGGTTGTGGACTCTTCTCGCGGTCTTGAAATCTTCCACGAAGGATCGGGCGTCTAGGGGGTTGGCTTGCATTCATAAAATAACCGTTAGTAATTTTCAGTTAGCTTTTAATACTTAACTTTACTGACGGGTCTCAGGAAACTGCAAAAAAGCAGAAAACAGATATCTCAGCAGCGGATATTCGGGTAATCATGAATCAGGGGCAGAAATTCTCGGACGAACTTTTGAAATTATGCGGTGCACCAGTCGAAGATAGGGTAATGAAAGTTAGTTTGGCTCGTCATTTGGGTTTTAATCATCGAGTGGCTCCTTGTCGACTTGTTATCCCTCTGGAAACGACCTTGACTCCTATCTTACCTGCGAGTCACGAGACAAACTTCTTAAAGACATTCCGAGCGTTTGCAAACGACCCAATAACTATCGAAAGTATGCTATGTGACCTTGTTCTAGCTGACATATCCAGTACTAACTCTCTTTGCAGCGGTGCTCGACGAAGGCCTTGTCCTTCTCTCAATGCAAAGACCACGGAAAATAAGCATTCGAGGCTCTGATGGCAAAGTATATAGCCTTCTCTGCAAACCGAAAGATGATCTCCGCAAAGATCAACGCTTGATGGAGTACAATACTATGATTAATCGATTCTTGAAGAGGGACGTAGAATCGAATAAGCGCCGCTTATATATCAAAACATATGCTGTTACGCCGCTGAACGAGCGGTGTGGCCTTATTGAATGGGTTGATGGGCTGCGGCCTTTGAGAGAGATCGTCACAAAGCTGCTGAAGGCGCGTGGCATTATGATAAATGTAAGCTTTCCGAAATCCAACGACGAGGACTCCCGGACTAAAACCTGGTCACAGTACACTGAGATCAAGCATTATTTGACGGAAACGTCCTCAAGCGATTCAAAGCTTGCGGCATTCTCGAAGCTCTTGACGAAGTAAATTACAGCTCTTGAAATGACCTTAGGGAATATATGCTTACATGACTGGCTAGGTATCCTCCTGTTTTGCATGAGTGGTTTGTTGAGATGTTCCCCGAACCGTCAGCATGGCTTACAGCCAGACTGAGATATACGAGATCCTGCGCTGTAATGTCTATGGTTGGTTCTTCATTAGGGTGAGTATCCGAGATTGTGTTGGTAGTCGTTGCATTTAGCTTATGCATTACAGGCTTGGGGACAGACACGGAGAAAATATTCTCTTCGAAGAAGGAACAGGAGAAATCCTTCATGTTGACTTCAACTGTCTTTTCGACAAGGTACGCTGTTTCTATCTGCTGTATTTTTCAGATGATGGTCTGCCTAACTTTCATATTTACCAGGGTTTGACACTCGAGATGCCCGAATTGGTACCGTTTCGACTCACTCATAATATGATTGATGCATTCGGAGCGTATGGATATAATGGTTTGTTCTTCTCCAAACCATCGTTAGCATAAAGAATTGTTCTCCCTAATCAGTGCACGATGCCTTAGGTCCGTTTCGAAAGACCTGCGAGCTTACCCAGGGTCTACTACGCCAAAATGAAGACTCCCTAATGACCATTCTCGAAACATTCCTCCATGATCCGACGACAGATTTTATCGATAAGAAGGTAAGCCTCCCCCCCTTATCCGTAAATTATGAGCATGCTTGCTAACAAGCGGAATAGAAACGAACCAACCCACGCGTTCCTGATACCCCTGAGGCCGTTCTCGAGTTTGTCAGGAATAGACTTCGCGGCCTGTTACCAGGCGAATCTGTTCCTCTATCCGTTGGCGGACAGGTAGACGAGTTAATAATACAAGCAACAAGCATAAGGAATTTGGCAGCGATGTATATTGGATGGTGTGCTTTCTTCTAAGCGGACTGCATATATTCTTCACAAGAGTACATGATCTGTAGGAATTTTAGTCGAATAACGAACTAGCTACTAATGGCTGTGTACATGTGGGAGTGTTTGAAATACTATGAAGATTATCCCTTTTTTTTTTTTTTTTTTTTTTTTTTTTTTTTTTTTTTTGCCCCTTTGCTTCTTGCGATGGTCGAAATCTCCTGGTGTACGGAGTACAGAAGCCCCGGCTTGAAATAAGCTACTAACGCATGATACCACCCAAACCTCTAGGAAAGAAGTAGAAAATCCCAGTCAAACTCCATTTGTCTCAAGCACTGTAAAATACGACTAAGCACTTTTCTTGAATCATCTCCGGCTGTATCTTGAGCGACTTGGGCTTCGACTCCTGTTGCTCAGGCTATCGTAACTTGAACCCCGTCTTGTTCGCCTAGGCGAATCATAGCTGTCTCTTCTACCTCTTCTTCGCGGTGGAGTCGGTGATCGTGATGAATATAACGGAGATCTAGCCGGTGGTGGTGGCGACCTTGTACGCGATCTCGACCTCGATACAGACCTTGGCCGATACAAATCATGTCTGTCCATGCCTCGCGGCGCTCTGAATCGCCTACGTGGAGGAGATCGATACCGTGAAGGTGCTGGGTATACCGGTCGTCGAGGTTCGGGGCGCGTGGATATCCGTGCTGGAGGTGGTGAGCGGGAGAATGTGCGGCGGGGAAGAACGATGGAAACACTGAGGACGGCGCCGTCTAGTTGGCCTTCGTGCATGTGGGCGATTGCTGACTCGGCATCAGCGGCATCGTAATAGCATATATACGCTGTCCCGCGGTTTGTCATAACTGCCATGTCTGTTAACATTGAAAGACAAAACCAGCAAAAGGGCTACGGAAGAGCATACATTGGCGATTCATTGGTAAGTCAATGCTCTGAATGTCACCATAGGCACCGAATATTTCACGAAGGTGATCCTCATTCACGTTCTTGGTCAATTTCTCAACGACAATCTGAACACGACCGTCAGTGCTCATCTCAAGCAAGATTTCCGCGGCTCGCGACTTTGCAAGAAAGCATTACCTTTGTGCTCCGTCTTGGCGGACTTGGGCTTCGTGAATAGCTCCTATCGCGATATCTTCCTCCATGTCTATCTCTGCTCGGGGTTCGGGACGAGTACGGGCTTCTGCTGTCTGTTCTTGATAGCGATCTGCCTCTTCCACGTCCATTGCGCCTGGGGCTGGGGCTTCGAGACCGAGGTGTCAACGATCTCGTTCGCAACCGGGGAGTTCTAGAGCGTGAGCGCGAGCGCGAGCGTGCGCGAGGAGATGGTGAACGACGCGGTGAAACTGATCGGGAGCGGCCAGAGGAGACAGATCTAGAGCGGTCTCGAGGAGGAGGGGAGCGGCTGCGCGAGGGCGAGATAGAGCGAGAAATAGAGCGTCGCGTCGGCATCTTCGCCGAAAGTAGAGCTCAAGGGGGTTTAAGATTCGAAGGAGGAATTGGAAGCAAAAGTCGTGTTTCGCCTCAGCTGCTTTTGGCTTTGAGTAGCAACTAGCTAGGTTCTCTGCAGTTGACGCTCCGTGCCAAGCTTTTCTTAAATTTAAGTCACTCGACCGCGCTACGTCAAAACTGTGTTGCATTGAAGCTTTGTGTCGAAGTGTTGAGAGCTACTTTTTAAACCCGATGAGTAGTGGAGATGATATGAGATGCATATACTTTTTGCCTCATTAAGCAAAGTGTCGAAGAGCATCTCAAAGCGGCTCCTATGGCTCAGTTGGTAGAGCGCATCACTAGTAATGATGAGGTCCTCAGTTCGAATCTGAGTGGGAGCACTTGAAAGTTTCTTTTTGTGCTTCTCTTTTGAAGCCGAGATTAACGGCTGGCTTCTCCTCTCACAATGGGAGGGAGGGCAATGAAACATCGGAGGCCTTGGGCCGAATTTTTTTATCTGTGTGTCGACCCGAACTGCCAACTAATAAGGGCACGCTTGTCCGCCCGTACGTGAGGCAGCACACGGCATCGCCATCAACAACCAACTGCTTACTACCTGGCTACTTCTCGCTCCCGACGCGAACCCTCTATCCTTCCCACCCAGAACTCCAGTCACTTCAAATCACCAGCAGCACTCATGGCTCAGTTGGTAGAGCGCGTCACTAGTAGGACGAATCAATCCGTGATGACGAGGTCCAGAGTTCGACTCTCTGTGGGTGCAAAACTATCATGCAGGGCAATTGGAACTCGTCCGATTCCACTTCTCCTTTTATTTTTTTTTTTTTATTTTTATTTTGTTCTTTTCTTTTCTGTTCCCTCCCTCTTTTTTGGAAAAAGCAGGCATAGTATTGCCGACAGGACCATTCTTTTTCTCATACCAAGTCTAGCACCATGAATTGTGCAGCCATACACGTCTTCTACTCCCTACACGCAAGCATAGAGCGAATCTGGGGGTGGAGAGCGGAGTTCCGCCTCATGCGGTAATGAACTCACAAGAATCACTCGATGTTTTTGTCCATGGTCCGAATCCGATCCATCTGTATCACTAAGTACTCCGTGCGTTGTGGGGGAGCGCCAATAATAGACTGCCCGGAGTAATTTACTTGGGCTTGAGGCAAAACCCTAACCCTACACATGAAATTGTCATAAGCTCATCAGTAGTTGACATATTTATGCGCTGTTGTTGCAGTGCGGCCTTCATAACCCCAAGCTAACAACTCAAAAATCAATTTAGGCTCGTCTCCAACAGGATATGGAAGCTAAAGCATTGCGCCACCGATCCCATGGAGGTTCCGGTCCGCATGATATGGAGCACACGGGGGCCTATCTATTCCCAAACTCCTTGCTCCATCTATCGTACTCCCTGATTACCGCCGGGGATATCTGTTTCGGAACCTGTCCAAGCGCTTTCTCAAAATGCTCCCATTTTATCTTGCCCTCTTCACCAAGCTCCTCTTCTTCATCCAGCGCAGCATCTGCCGCCGTCTCACAAACATTCACCAATTCTGCTCCCGAGTATCCTTCGGTCCGCGATGCCAGTGCGATGGGGTCAACCTCGTCGTGAACCTCGGATTTACTGAACCAGATGTCGAGTATCTCCTTGCGAGCCTCCATGTCAGGCAGGCCAACATAGAGAATGTTATCTAATCTCCCCGGTCGCATTAGTGCTGGATCTAGAGTCTCCGGCTTATTAGTCGCTGCCACAACGAGGACGTTCTTCAACTCCTCGATGCCATCCATTTCGTTGAGTAGAGTTGTGAGCACATTAATGCCACTCTGAGAGCCTGGTCCTCGCCGCCCGGCAATGGCGTCGATCTCGTCGAAAAAGATAATGCTGGGTCGGGCGGCTCGAGCCTTTCGAAATATTTCTCTCAGTGCCCTCTCGGATTCACCAACGTACATACTCAAGATTTCCGCACCCTTGACGGCCAAGAAGTTCAATCCGGCCTCGGTCGCGAGAGCCTTCACAGTTAGTGTCTTGGAGCAGCCTGGCGGCCCGTATAGTAGCACACCCTTCTTGCCGCTGACATTGAAACGCTTCATTCGCTCGGGATGCTGTAAAAGGGGTTATAAACTAAATGCAAACTTGGTATGGCAGAATTGAATCACGTACCCTCAGAGGCCGTTCTACAGCCTTCTGGAGATATCTCTTGATCTCTCGCTGCCCGCCAATGTCTTTCCACCTCACTGCAGGCGTCTCCAAGAATACTTCCCTCATGGCCGTTGGCCGAGTTTCTTGTAATGCCAACGCTACATCTTCCTCCCGTATCTCAAGTGGAATCCTCGATGGTTCCTCCGGCTCCGGATTCTCAGCCGGAGCCTGGTTTTGATCTAGCCCTGCCTCTTCCTTGACGGATTGGGAAAGCTGACGCGTCTGGGCTTTCCTACACGAAAGCTGCAGCAATGAAAACAGATCCGCACCAACGTAGCCATGTGTCTGAGCGGCTATTTTTGCCAGGAGATCATCACAAGGCTGATCAGCCGATCCTCGCAGCGCCCTAAGGATCTCGGCTCGATCATTTCCGGTTGGTACTGGTAATTCAATTTCAATTCCTAAACGATGTGGAGTTCTTAAGGTGTCATCCACGTCATTCGGATGTCTGGTGCATGCAACCACAAGGACATGATTATTCTGAAGTGAATCCAGGTTTTCGCACAGCACGGATGCCATGGACATAGCATCGTTCGAACCACGTCTTGGCGCAAGGAAGTCCAGCTGGTCTATAGCAATGAGGCTGGGCTGAGATTTGAGTGCCTCAGCGAATATTTTCCGAAGTTTAGCTTCCCCGTCCACCGTTGATCGGCCGATTATGGAGCTTTTCACGGTAAAGACGTTTCTCCATCCGGCGGCTTCAATTTTAGCTAACAGCGAAGTCTTCCCGGTTCCCTTCGAACCGTAAATGAGGATCCCGCCGCTATTTTTAAAAAAAGATGGCATATCAATCTTTTGTGCCTCCGCCGTAAAATCTCTCAGTCTCTCGTTGATCTGTTTGATCTGTGGACCGAGTCCGCCCAAACCAGACGAATCGACCTCAAGTCCAGACTTCGGCGTAGGTACAGAATTCACGGATCCAATCTTCACTTTCGATTCTGAAGTGAAACGGGCAATGGTGTTTGCACTCCGCTCCCTTCCAGGATCAATCTCCACGACTTTGAAGGTCCTCCGGCACTTTTTAAGCTCGCATTCAAAAACCATATCTACGGCCAGGATCTCACACTTGGAAAGAGGATGCTCCAGGGCCCATTCCCAGTACGGCTGATCTTTTTCGTCCAGCTTTACACATGTCGAAGTCGCCGCCGGATCACTGCACTCTTCCAGACGAACGACGCCTATGTCCCTCAACGAGTCCTCGGCTCTGGTGACGGTCACCTTATCACCGAGTTTGAATCCGTATAGCGTCTGCAGGAGTTTTGATGTCTGGACGACATTGTCGTGTATCCTTTCAGGGGCGGACCAGGCAATTGCGGTCTTGGGTGGACCTCCATCGAGCCGCAGTTGACATGGTTCCCCTACTATGCAGTGGACCTGGAGAAGGGACGCTGGGGACATAAAAATCCGGAATGCATCCTTGGAGTCGTTCCTTGGCTGGCGTGCCACGGGGCGGACTGTGAATTTGGGCCCTTCTGCCATGCTGAGAGAAGCTTCGTGGTCTTCGGGGTAGTCGCAGTAGAGGGGATTTGAACGGAAGAAGTCAACTTGGGGGATTTAAGATGGATTGTACCCTTTCAGACGCCAACAGGGCGCGTATGAAGCTACGCGCAGTCGTGTGCTGTTCAGGGAGACTTTTTGCTGGTGGTTGTTTGCTCTTTGGGGAGGGGGATTTAAGTTAGCTTTTGTACGGTGGCGAAATCAAAACATCGGCAGTCATCTCATCATCTCTTGTCGTGGATGAAGACGGGAAGAAAACACATTGGCAACGGATGCCAGGGTTCGGACAACAGTTGTCATTCTCTGGAGGTGCACTGTATCCTGGAGAATGCAGACATCCAATGAAGGGTTTTCCGCTGGTGGGGCACGCAACGACGAGTTTCTTTTTTGCTGGCTCGAGTGCGACACAAATTCCATCGCTTGTGTAAGCGGAAAGCAATGTCTTAGAAGGACCTTTTTGATGGAAATATCGAATGTAGCACTGCGTATGCATGTACAAACCTGCTAAACTGAGATATCCTCTTCGCAGGCGGATAGTGTAATATAGCTACATAACTACGGAGTGACGAGCCGGCCGCAGATTGGATATAATCAAGCTCCAGAGTTTCAGTGGCTTCGGCCAACCTTCTCAATAGCCCCAAAAAAGCCTTTCCCCCTCCGTTCACGATCGACCTTGGTGGTGGCCAGCAGCCATTGCACAGCATTGCAAGGAGACCTGTAGCTAAGCGAAAATGGCCGTGGTACGGATGACATCCACTCGCCTGTTGCTGCGTCCTCACATCTTCCCAAAGCCGACGGCCAGCCCATTCAGAAATCGCCCCTTGTCAACTGTCAACGTCAAGCAATCAAGGCCAATGTCGTTGGCTCCATCTTCCGGGCCATCTTCAAATCCCCGCATCCAATATTCAGAAGGATGCGACCCGTCCGTCGCCCAGCCGGAGCTCGAGGCATTGCTCAGCAAAGAAGCAGGCAGATGGGAACTATGCCAAGATGCTCAAGGCATTAAGAGGGAATACAGGTTCAAATCATTTAAAAAGGCCTGGGTGCGTCTCTTCCGCTCCCTCGAAGGGATCCTTTCATGACCTTCTAGCATGGATGCAGGCTGGTTGGTTAATCTAGCCCCGTGTCACGGATAGGCCTTCGTGGCGGCTGTCGCGGAACAATGCAGTGTCGAAAAACACCATCCTGAATGGACCAACGTATGTGCCTCGACATTTTCATCCGGCCGCGAGGCTTTTCAATATCCGGCTTACTCTTCCTTCTCTATTTCCAGGTATATAACCGGGTTTCAATTACCTGGACCACCCACCGTCCACGCGGGCTTAGCCTCAAAGACCTGAGAATGGCCAGGTTCTGCGACGAGCAAGCATCCTTGCATGAGGAGATAGTGGTCCCTCCTCCGTTCCCCGAGCAGTCACAGTGACGGCGCCTAGCGCGTGGTAGCAAGACCCTATCAGATATGATTTGATCAATTTGAAAATGGGATTCTTCGACACTAACGATTTCATCATGTAGTTATTATTAAGTATACGGAATATCTATCTACATCATAGGTAACAGGGCAAAGCTAAGAAACAAGGTAGCTTGCTACAACGTAAGGTTCTGGAAAACAACATCCCCTGGAAAACCATGACTAGCCGCCCCGAGCAAAGGTTTTAGAAAAGTACAAGACAAGGTGGAATCATTATGAACGTATAAAAGAGCCGTTATCGCGAAAAGGGAGCACGACGGAAAAAGAATCAAGGAAAAACGATAGTAAACGGCAAACTCCGCCTAGCACCCAAACATTAAAAGGTTTGTTAGTCGAAACGTGGTAATGGTAGAATCTGCATCGATTAGAAACACTCTCCATTGCCGAAATTGAAGCGAAAGCGTGGTTCATTCGGGGTTTATTCTCAGTTTTTCACTCGGTCTTTTTCGCGACCTTTGACTTCTCTCTCCGGCGCTGGACAGCTTCGGGGCTATATTCGGTATCAAGGAGGTAGTCCCACCATCTGAAGCTGCTGGAGTAGTTTCCGACGAACTTTTCGTGATGAAGGTCATGATGGTCAGCGCCCGCCCAGAAAGGGAGGAAGTGATGCAAGCTCCATGGGAACTCGTAACCGCTGTGCGCGTCAATGGCTTGGAACAATCGAAGGACGATCCAGATGTACATAGTTAGGATGTGGAGGTCGCCGGTGAATGCACACCACAAGATCGGGCATCCGACAGTGCCAAATCCGAGAGCCATGACTTCGATAGGAGAAGCGTATTCAGCGGCAAGTCCGAATGGGGCAGAGTACTGGTGATGGATCTTGTGCACGGATTTGTAGAGTGGACCCCAGTGGAAGGCACGGTGAGAGAAATAATGCCATGTATCTTCGAGCACAAAGAATATAGCAATCTGATACATCATCTTCCAGATCGAGGGAAACGGAACACCGGTTGCAAGACCGAAATATTGAGCCATCGGGTGGAAGAGCCTGCCAAATCAATTAGCGATGAGTCGATGGAACGGCTATCCTAGGTCAATATACGTACCAAATCTGAGGCAACTCGACAGTAAAATGACTGAGGAGGACTAATTTCGCACAGTTCCATTGTTCCTGGATTGTTGGGATTTTGTTCTTGACGAGGCATCAGCTAGAGTTCGAGAGAATTTGCGTGCAATGACATTTTTGACTCACGTGCTGAATCTTCCAGCGGTTGAAATATTTTATTCTGTCGATGATGATCCAAGGTAGCGATCGGCCGAAGTAGACGACCTCGTGCATGACGAAGGACATGATGCCTGTCGCAAGGACATCATTCTGCATATAGGCGTACCACGCCGCCCATAGTCGTTCAGCGACGTTCAGATGAGTGTTGTACTTCGAGATCTCCTCGAACTGGCCCCAATAGGAGGTGGGAGGCGGCGAGAGAAGGGTGGTCGAGTTCCTGCAAAACAGGCGGTAAGTCAGACAGGGCCAGGGCCAGGGCCAGGGCCAGCGAGCAGAAGGGAGCAGAGCAACTCACATCTTGGTTGCCCGAATTGATCAGCGTAGCCAGCAGCGGAGGGGCAGGCCGGTGGAAGCGGAATCAACTGGTGATGGAGAGTGCTGTCTGCCAGTTGAGTTGTGCTCGTGGGGGGGTTGGCGGAAGAAATAAATAAAATCAGATAAAGAAGCCGGGAAGGGATTATTGGATTCTTGGGGGGAGTTTGGAAGTTTGGGAGTAAGGGGGTTCATTTCGGTACTGGCTTTGTCAGCCTGGCGGGGCCGCAGGCGCAGCAGCCAATGGGGCGCGAGGATTGCGTAAGGTACCCGGTATTGCAGTCGATCCGGAACCAGACACGCTGCGAGCCGGATCGTTCGACCAGGCGTGGCCTGATACCGTAATTACCAGCGCGTTATCTTCCAGCGCCAAGCCACAGGCTGAGATCACGTGCAATGTGGCCCAGGCCAATCAGTGGCGCTACGTCATCTGTTATCTGATCGAGCCATCACGGCTTTGCAGCTCAAATCCTCCGGAAACACCCTCCTTCTGTCGTTTCAGGCTCAATGTCCTGCTGAGATCGGGATTTGGTCTCGTCCAATTACCAGAATCACGGGTATATTTTATCCATGTGCATAACATGATCGACAGGGTTCTGGAATTGCCCCGGCTGTAACGCACGATTCAAATTTTTGGGTGTGGAAAATGTCACTCGTCGAGGAGTAAGCTTCTGGAACACCATGCCATCCTCCCACATCCCGCCAATCGGCCCAATACGGGGAAAACTTTCTGGTGCACAGTTCCATGTGGCTGATTCCAATTCATATCACATAGTCACGTACGACGTCTGGATCTCTACCTCGACAAGCTGCACTTACGAGCGTTCGACTCAGCGCAGCCGTCGAGCACGGACCAGGATGAGTCCGTAAAAATAGCCCATCACCTATTCGCTCCGCCCGTTGCCGCGCTCGCCGGAATCGCGAGAGCTTTGTCGGCGGGATCTTCCTCCGGCCCGCTCTTGAAGCCCTCCAAACTTCTGGATCTGTTGCGCCAGGTCTGCCGGCTGAGGTCTGATCTGGAGCACAGCGAAGCCGGGTTGGATGATGGTTACGCCCCAGACCTCGTGTGGATGGTGGCGGCAAAGGCCACCGTTCAGGCATTCGCCATCGTGGTCAACGCGTTATTGGAAGAGACTGCTCCGCTGAGTGAGGGTATCTGGTACTGGGATGGTGTTCTGGGATCATACTTCAATAGTGGCCTGTATGCCATTCAGACCTCGCCATTGCGATTCGGCAACCGGATCAAGGACATCTATCACCATGTCTGCCGGCTACGACCTCAGTCGCGCTTCGAATTGGACAGTTCAACCCTGTCAGCGCGCTGGGGCACGTTTTACCAGCTCGTGCGAGAGAGTGTGAGGCAGCAGAGCATGTCACAAGCCAAGCAGTTAATGCTGTCTCCCTTCCAGTTATGTAGGTCAGAGGCCAGGCGGAATAGGCGAAGCTTGAGGAAGATGCGGGAGCTGAATGCTTGTGCCGTCGGCCTCTTGATGGAAGAAGCCCTGCTGTTCGATTTCGACGAAGAGGATACCGATACCAACACTGCCAATGCCAATCCAGAGGACTGGCAAGATACTGTTTTCCGGACGACTCTACTCATACGAACTATTCTCAATAATGTTAATGATCTCAGCAATGATTTTAACGGATTTGAAGACAATGTGTTTGCCAGTGTTGATGCAGTCGACGCACCATTTATTGAAGAGAGCCATCAAAAGCCTTTGTTTGATCAAGCTTTCAGTGTCATCCAGCAGCTTATAGATATTTTGGAAGAACAATTGCCGCACCAACGACTTTTGTCACGGGGTCTTACCCGTCAGTATGGGCGTCCTTCTCGGCTCGTTCGCTATTGGCTTCCTGCATCTGCATTTCTGTTCTCTTCCAGTACCATTCTGAATATATTGACAAATAGACGTGCAGAGTTGGTCACTTGGGTCCGAGAACTGGGAACTACAATGAAAGATTTCTGGGTGAACTGGGTCATTGAGCCCTTGAATCAACTGGTTGGAACAATACGCCATGACGAGAAGAGCGAAGTGGCCTTGATGAGCAAAGGCAGCTTGCAATCAGACTTTGCTAGCCTAGAGCGTATGGTTGTGGATTACGCCATCCGGCATCCTGAGCATGGACCCGACCGCGCGTTCACTCCTGCTGAGCTCGAGCAAATCCGGTCGGGTGTCAGGGAAGGAGATCTCACTCTCGTCCTAAAGGCCTATGAGCGGGATTTGCAGAGCCCTTTTATGGGTGCTGTTCGAGGGGACTTGATTACAACCTTGCTTATACAGATTCAGAAAACCAAGGTGGACGTCGAAGTTGCAATGAGTGGGATTGATTCTCTCCTCCAAAGCCAACAGCTAGTTTTTGCGTACGTTATTCTATCAGTTCAGGAGACAAACCTACTCTTATTCTAACCGCTGGTCTAGTTTCATCGGCCTGACTCCTGGTATCCTTGTCTCCTATTCGGCTATCACCTGGCTCACCAATGTTTTTGGTAGTCAGAAGGGACTACGACGGGGTAAGAGGCGTGAAGAAGCAAGACGGTCACTACGGTTAGTCCCTCTGTTAGTCGACTAGAACCGCACATGACTAATTTCTCGTCGCGTTTAGAGCGGTCAATCGCATCCTAGCCTCTTCAGTGCCTACCCCAACGGGAGTATTATCTTATAAGGACCACGGCCTATTGATCTGCGAGGCGGAGATCCTTCGTCGAAGAGCATATGCAGTTTTACCTGGACACATATATCACGAGTTCCATGAGGACCTGACCGACCTTCTGAATGTTAGTTCTGGTATCGTCCAACAATTGAGGGTTTTAGAGCAAATCCGATGGGCGTATTCCCGATGGATCTGTTAGTGAAATGACGAAAAATATCGCTTCACGTATCAAAGGAAAAAAAAAAAAAAAAAAAAAAAAAAAAAAAAAAAAAAAAAAAAAATTAAAATGGCGCAGAGAGAGCTCAGATGTGGCATGCCCAACAGTTCATCCAGTTTTTAGGATTCAAGGTGTTTCTTATTCAAGCATTGCATGGCATGATGGTCGATAGCATATGTCCTTAGCAGGATCATTGTGGAGTTGATGTTGATGTGGATTTTTATCAGTCTATGTGCTACATATGTGCGTATGTATTTATGTACGGCATACTATACATATTTTTCACCGATGTGATAAACAACGCATGCTGGAGTTTAATGTTTTGGTCGCAGGCTATGTATTGCCACCACTGGACATGCCCCCTAGCAGAGTAGCAGTGGGATCAAGCCGCTGGTTGCTGGTAAAGCGCCCATGGCCACCCAGAACTCTACAGTAGGAAGAAGCTTTCAGGGGGAAAGACAACAAGCCGAAAGCTGCTCCAGCTAGCTACAAGGTCATGTGACCGTCTCGAGACCGACCCAAATCCCAACGTCACAACCTTCAACTCAACCCTGTTGTCCTTGATAACCTCGCGGTCTCCGGAGAACATTTGGTCCCTTACAGATCTCCCGAGGTTTTCTGCTGTGGGACAATAAGTCAACCGTCCAACTGTCACTATTATCCTCCGTTACCGTTTCGATACTCTGCATTGTTGCCGAAGAACCCTACCAATCCTGCCTAGCTACCCGCCAACATTCCTCTGTGCCTATACTCCATTCCACCCTTACCCTGCTTGACATTTACATGTTTCAAAGCCGAAACCCCAACGCCATCCAGAAATTCCTCCGTGTACACCAGAGTTATCGCCAGTCTGAATAGTCACTGCGTGAAGTAGCAAAAGACTGGCTTCCAAAGTTTAACTGCTAGGATTTCCTTAGCCACAGGACCATTGGAAAGACTCGCCCGTCTCGCAATACGGGCCGACTGCATTGCTGCCTCACTCGCAGGCCGGATTTCCCCTGGCATATTGCGTTGCAGACCTCCCCTGTTCCGTCGCCGTATTTAATAGGCGACTTCCCTTCCTACCGTCATAACCCCGTTCTTGTTTCCTTCTCTTTGCCGCCATGGCTGGCACACGGAACTACGATTTTTTGGTATGCAAATAGCCTTCTCTAATATTTCTGTTTCTCTGGTTGGGCCTGCTTTCAATGCTAACAAGAACTGATCACATACAGATCAAGCTCCTGCTTATCGGAGACTCAGGAGTGGGTAAATCCTGCTGCCTGCTACGATTCAGCGAAGACTCATTTACACCTTCTTTCATCACCACTATTGGTATCGACTTCAAGATTCGCACCATAGACCTGGGAGGCAAGCGAGTGAAACTCCAAATATGGGATACAGCGGGTCAAGAGAGATTCCGGACAATCACAACGGCTTATTATCGCGGTGCGATGGGTATATTGCTTGTTTACGATGTTACAGATGAAAGATCTTTTAACAGTGAGTCGTGACTCTCCGACTTTTCTTTCCTCGACCGTCGGATCTGAGTTTCTAATCTCTTTGTTGCTATAGATATTCGAACATGGTTCTCCAACGTTGAGCAACACGCTTCCGAGGGCGTACACAAGATGTTGATTGGAAACAAGTGTGACTGGGAAGAGAAACGAGCCGTATCTACCGAGCAAGGCCAGCAGCTGGCTGATGAGCTAGGCATCCCCTTTTTGGAAGTTTCCGCGAAGAATAACATCAACGTCGACAAAGCATTTTACACCCTCGCTTCGGAGATAAAGAAGGTCATGGATACATCGAAGGCTGAGCAGTCTGCTTCACATAACGTCAGTATAGATCAAGGCACGGGGTCCGGGACAGGGCTCGCGAACAAGTGCTGTTAAATGGGTTGGGTGCTAGAGGGAGGGTTGAGAGAGCATTTGATGTCAGTTCCTTCCTCGCAGATGATTTGTCTGTATAATTTTATATCCTTCTTCTTTTTATCGCGTATGATTACCCCTGAAGAGACAAGACTTTATGCCCTGTGTCAGGTTGATCAGGTTGCCCGCCTTTTTTTTTTTACTTTTTTTGTGTCATTTGCCGCTTCATTCTGTCCCCTTCGTTATTTGTTTTTTATCTATGATGTTCCAAGGATGTGTCTCTTAGGTATGGATGTTTGCTGCTTTACCCTGATCGGGATAGATTACTGCTTCCAATGTTATGTCAGGCAAATGTTAAGAGTACCTGTGTGGCCTTGAATCAGGACCTGTTCTTTTGGATGGCACACAAGGGTCACGAGGAGGGTGAAGAGTCCTTTTCATTACAGATATTTTAACTTAATGTGTTTATGGAATTGGTTCTAAACATGGCAGAGGTACCATCCTCGGTAGTCTGTGCCCAGGAGCAGTTCTGTGTTGGTCTGCATTTTCACGAGTCTTACACCTGAAGAATTTAAACTCAATTGACTTCATTATTCGTGCCCCCAGCCAAAGGCCTTTTTAATATACTCCGTATGTATAAACATACATACACTCTATTATGATCAACAAGACGATAGCCCAAGGAGTAGAATAGGTTGTTCCGTCACCTTAATGGCCGCTATATAACACGGGGAAGGGGGACTTGCTTGCAGGCTACTCACACTTGATGGATGGGCAGCGAGGGTGATCTTCCTATATATGTAGCGCAGTTGCAGCAGTATCAGTGCTTCCAACGATCAGGAGGGAGAAGTCTCGAAACCCCTATGTCCTGGCCAGATTATGAGTCTATATTCCTAAAAACTAATAGAAGGGGAGTCTTCGATATTACGGCGGTGTTTTAAGGCCTTATAGGCAGGGGATTTAGGCTATAATGTCAGGGTAAGTAGGTGATACTCTCATAGAGTCCATCCGATCTCTTAGGTACGAGTACAGGCATACATTTGGAAGGGCATCGTGACCAGGATTTAGGTTAAGCCGGCCCGCAGAGACTAGAGCCACCTGTGTTAGGTAATCCAACCAGCACCTCGCTCACGTGACCCACATAGATTAGCCGAGATTCCCCTTTAGGTAGCTTAGTGAATGACAAGCATACAAGTCCTCCATCAGGTTATAGCCCTTTGCGCTGAAGAGCAAGCGTATAAGGTTGATTTACAGCTCAATTGGATATTGAAGCTTACGATCAACATCCTGAACGGTTATCCTTGTGGATAACGAGGTTTTACGAGCACAAGAGAGAGCGTACGTTGAGATAGACGCCTCCTATACGTGCAACCCCTGTAGCTTTCTAGCACCGAGCTGGGGAGCGAGTTGAACCCTGTAGCTTTCTGGCACGCGACCAGAGAGTGAGCGAAACGCCTGCTAAACGCACCTAGCAAGCAAATCGAGCACCTGGCAACGCCAAAGCCATGGTGAACCGTACGGATGAACCGGAGCACCGAACTCCTGACCGGGAGGCTCCAACAAACCTCCCTACACCCCAAACCGAGCTTAGGCGGTCGAGTAGGCTCAGAGGCAGCCCGCCAAACGACGAGCAGGAGCCTAGGGAGGAGAGTGAACTCCAAATGTTGCGCAGAATGATGCTGAATCAACAGGAGATGATGCAAAAGCAACAGGAGTCGATGCAAAGGCAACAGGAGACAGTACAACAGCTGGCACAGCAAGTGAACCTCCTATCAGGCCAAGCAAGCACCGCAAACGCACCTGCAACGATGCAGGAGAACCTAGAGCACGAAGCTCAACAAGAAGAAGAAGAGGACCGAGAAATAGACTCTGATGAGGAACTAGAAGAATATGTCGGCAACCTTATAGACACAAATACGCGAATCGGCAGAGCAATCACCCAATTCACGAAGATCACGAAGACGGTGAAGAAGCCTATGACCCTGGCTGGAGCCAGCAACTACCTAGCATGGAGCAAAGCCATCCTAAAGGTAGCCCGCCAAGTAGGTGTTGAGAAGATTATCCTGGAAAGGCAAGAGACTTCACCACGGCCAGAGCGCTTGAAGATTTCACAATACTGGAATGTTCAGAATAATTGGCTACACGGCCTAATCGACAGCACAATATCTGCACAAGCCAGAGAACACTTCGAGGAATCGGATAGCCTTAGTGCCTACAAACTCTGGGAAGCTGTAAGGACAGCCTTCCAAGAGAGACCTGAGATACAGCGGGAAAGCCTACTTACGGAGTTAGTAAGAATGACACCACAATCCGCTGGCTCAGAAAGGAATTATATAGAGAGATTCCTAGCAATCCGTGGGGAATTTGAGAGATTAGGGTTCAAACAACTGGACCACACCCTACATGATATCTTAAAGATGAACATTACGTCCCGATGGAGAGAGTTCATACAGAACCGATTTGATATGGCATGCCAGAGCGGAACGAACCTACCGGAGAAGGATCTGGAAGGCCTACTGAAGGATATCCTCCACCGAATCCCCAAGAAAGACCAGAAGAAAGGCGGATCTACAAAGCCAAATACAAATGCAACAAGCTCGGATCCCCAAAAGTCTTACAAAAATACGAACTCCGAATCCAATCCAGAGAAGAGCTCACTGCAGAACTGGAACTGCTATATTTGTGGCAAACCTGGCCATTTGGCTAAATTTTGCAAATCTAACAAGAATTCGAAGCCTAACGAGCCTAAGGAAGACTCTAAAGGCAAAGGCAAGGAAACAACTACGGTTGCAACGGACAAGATCCATTCGGTTCACGAAGCAGCCTTCTCTATGAAAGAAGCGCGCGAATCCACAGACAAATGGATCCTTGACTCTGGAGCCGGATCCCACGCGACCTCACGTACGGATCTAGTTCAAATGGACCCAAAGAGCCATGCAACACAACTGCTTATGGCGAACGGTTCGAAATCAGTCACCAGAGGATTTGGCACGGCCAGTATCCAAACTGACAACGGAGAATTGAGCATTGGGGGGGTTAGAATTGTGCCTGACCTCCAGGTTAACCTCATAAGCTTTGGGAAGCTTATACGAGACGGCTTTACAGTGGAACAGCTTTATGTCGACGGAGAACACATCTTCCTACTAGAATCAGCAGATAAAACACAGAGCTTCGAAGCCGTGCTTAACGAGGATGACATCCTAGTCCTACGAACGCCTAGGATACGCAATTTACTGGCATACGCGTTTCCAGTACCTACGAAACTCCTAGAGCCCTGCTATGTAACAGCAACTCTGGAGAATAAAGATAGAGATGACGCGCTTTTGGCACCGAATCACCTGGCAAAGACGCCAGAAATCAAGGAGGATACGATGGCCAATTGGCACAAACGCTGGGGGCATCTCAACGCCCACGATATAGCTATTCTAGCTAGAGATCCGAGAATGGCAATGCGAATAAAGGGAGTAAAGAAGCTAGGGTTCTGTGAAACCTGTGCTAAAGCTAAGCAAGCTCGCAACCCATTCGAACCTAGAACACGCTCTACAAAGCCTGGAGCTAAAATTTTTATTGACATTGCAGGTGGCGGCCGTACCCTATCCACAGACTCCGATCCTCCAAGCTACGGCGGAGCGAAGTATTTCCTACTTATAACGGACGATGCCACACGATACAGGTGGATCTACCTCCTGAAGGAGCGGGTAGAAGCCCCAGAAACCCTGAAGAACTGGATCAACATGATCGAAGTGTCTACCGAACGAAAGGTCGGCACTATACTGTCCGATGGAGCTCCCGAATTGACGAGCCAACAACTGGCTGAATTCTACAGGAGCAAGGGCATACAACAGGAGATTACGTGCCCATATACACCTCAACAAGATGGAACGAGTGAACGAGGAATACGACTTCTTTGCGAGCGAACAAGAAGCGTACTTATAGACTCAGGACTACCCAATGAGTTATGGGGCGAAGCTCTCGCCACAGTCTCCATGATGGTGAATCTATCGCCTACCTCAGTGCCTCTATACGGATGCAAGAACACGAAGCCGTTGACACCCTTTGAAGCCTGGACGGGTCACCAACCCCATTGCAGATGGGTCCATAGGTGGGGATGTGACGCCTACGTGAAGATTTTGAACGAATCCTCGAAGCTCCAACCTAGGTCCAAGAAGGTCAAATTTGTAGGATATCGTGGCATGCACACCTACAGGCTTTGGGACCCAGAAACGAACAGTATAATGATCTCGCGAGATGTTATATTCGACGAGAAATTGGATCAAATCCCTACGAATTCGCTAACCGAAGCCGAATACGTTGAACTCCCGGAGGAGTACGATTACATAGATCCATTGAATGGCTGGCAACACAAGCTACTAGCTTACCTTGCGAAGGAGAAGCCAGAAATCATGAAGAAGCTCGCGGACGGCGAATTAGAGGCTTTAGAGCCCACATACCTGGGCGAAGAGCAAGAAATCCTCTCGGATGCTACGGAGGAAGAAGAGGCAAATGGAGCTGAGCTTCCAGTGCTCAGTACGCGTACAGATATACCAAAATCCATCGCCGAAGCCAAACGCTCTGAAGAGTGGCTTTATTGGAAGGAGGCTCTAGATGTTGAAGTCTCCAAATTACAAGAGAAAGGCACCTGGATCCTAGTCGAGAAGGAACCCCAAATGCAGATCCTCTCTGGCAAATGGGTATTCGATAGGAAGCTCAACAACACGGGTGGCACAGTACGATTCAAAGCCCGTTGGGTCGTACGTGGATTCGAACAGCAAGAAGGCGTTCACTACAAGAAGACCTACGCAGCAGTTGTTAGTGGACCTACAACGAGAGCCTTCTTTGCTATCTCAACAGCCAAGAACTGGAAGGTCAGAGTCTTTGACTTCGTGACAGCCTTCCTAAATGGAACTCTTCCAGAGGACGAACGTGTATACGTTCAACTACCCACTGGATTCAAGCACGGGCGGGGTAACCTAGTAGGGCTCTTACGCCAGGGACTCTACGGGTTGAAACAAGCTGCTAGGCTTTGGTATCAAGCAGCTACTGGCTATCTGAAATCTCTAGGATTCCAGATCTCTCCATACGATGCGGGGTTACTCTACCACAAGAGGAAGCAAATCTACCTAACCCTACACGTCGACGACTGCCGTATAATGGGACCCAACGAAGCCGAAATAGAATGGCTCATTGAGAAGCTTCAGGAACGCTTCGAGATCAAGGAGGTTACGGAACAAGGCCGTTACCTAGGCATGCGGGTTCAAAAGCAGCCGAATGGAGACCTTTTTGTGAACCAGGAACAGTATATCGAGGATCTACTGACTGAATATGGAATGGAAGACTGTAAACCTTCCAAAACGCCAATGAAGAAAGGAATAAGCATCGAATTCGCGCCAGATCAGACCCTCAAAGATGGAGTTGACGAGCAGGCTACGCCTACGAATTACAGGAAAGGCCTGGGCTCTCTACAGTTCCTAGTTACGTGTACGAGGCCGGATATTGCATTCGCAGTCAATTATCTGGCGAGATTCAACAGCAGGCCCAATAGGGAAAGCTGGGCGGCGTTCAAGCAGATCCTACGCTACCTCAAGGGCACAAAATCGAAAGGAATAGTCTTCAAAAGGGATATGGATCCTGAAGGCTTGAAACCGGCGGCCAGTTCGGATTCTGACTGGGCTGGAGCCGACCCTGCGTACAAATCCACCAGCGGCTACATTATTACCATGAACGGAGCTCCAATATCGTGGAGATCACAGCGCCAGACGTCCGTCTCGAAATCAACGACCGAAGCGGAGTATTTGGCAGCTAGCGAAGCTGCTTGTGAACTAGTTTGGATCAACGACCTGTTGATAGACGCCGGGGTGATTAGCGAAGGCTCAGCAAAGCTAAGGAGCTCAAAATTAAGTGTTGACAACAAGGGAGCGGTTGACTTAGCCAAAGCTGAAGCTATAACGCGAAGAGCACGCCATATTGAGATTCGGCACCATATGCTAAGAGACTGGGTTCAAAAGGACGAAATCTCAATCGAGCACGTTGGAACCGACGCGAATAAAGCTGACGGGCTCACGAAGGCTCTTGCAATGGATCCCTACGCTCAATTCGTGAGCGCGATAGGGGTGACGAGTTGATACAGGAAAATATGGAGGTTTATCAGTGAAGCCAGCGAAAATACGATATCGCGGCGAAACGGAGCTAAGCCTAAAGAAGGAATAAATCTGGATTCTGTAATTAATTTTTATCGCGGATTTGAGAGATTTGGAAGCTTTGGATCTTTGTGGCTCTCGCTCGCTGCTGGAGCTCGTTGCATGGGGGGGTGTTAGGTAATCCAACCAGCACCTCGCTCACGTGACCCACATAGATTAGCCGAGATTCCCCTTTAGGTAGCTTAGTGAATGACAAGCATACAAGTCCTCCATCAACCTGAATACCACCAGCATCCTTCTTGTACCTGTTCCGCTCATGTTCTCCCCATATTCAGAACACGTAACTGATCTGCGTGCATATACATACATATACGGAGTACGGAGTACTCCGTACTTCGTGGCTGATTTGATGATCCCTCTCGGGACGCCTTTTAAGTTATCTTATCTTATCAGTCCGGGACAATTTCCCGCAATCCTCGGCGGGTATCCACGCCCACCAGAGCCTCGAGCCCTGTCCATGGATCGGGGTTCCTCAGCAAGCGTCTCAACCATCCAGACCACACGTTGTTCTCTTTCGCCGTTGATTTTATTACACTCTCATTAATTCACCAACAAAGGCAAAGAAGGTTTAAATCTTCGAAGTAACGGCTCTGCGGCTGCCAATCGTTTATGGCGAGTCCATCATACAATGCCGTATTCCGAGGCTATCGAGACTGGAATTTTTTGGGTTTCACAACCCTCTGCCGCTGATGCCCTATGTGGATGGTCGTTGCTTTACTACCCGTTCACACAGTCCGCCACCCCCAGCCTCTCGCAAAGAGTTCTGTAAGCTTACTGAGGAGACTAAAATTGAATGTGTGACTAAATTTCCAATGCGGTGTTGCCTGCACCACTGACAAGGTGGCATTGTTGCGGACTGCAAAGTCGCTTTTAGGATAGCACTCAGCATAAGAGAGAGGGGGAGAGAGAGAACCACAACTCCCAGGTTGTTGCTATAAATATTATTGTGCTTGCCCCAGTAGCCCAAATCGTCCTAGGGTGGCAGCATGGCAATTGCTAGGTTGTATGGCCCTCTGTATGTCAACTATAGTGTGGATGATGCAGACCCTTTTCTCCGCGTAAACCATGATTATTTGTGCGAGACAGTCTCATAAAGCAACCCCTCTGATCTCCAAGGGAAAATTGATTACCACTTACTATGGCTCACACTCTCTTGAGCTATCTGTTGAGAACGGGGACCTGATTGAGTTGGCTCCTGGACCCTCCACGCATGAGCGTCAACAACAGGATTTCTCAGTGGGAGAGGAAACTCATTCCGAAACATATTATTCGATGAGGAATCAATTATGTATGCCCGCGATGTGGGTCTGGCTTGTTGATTTACATCCAAGGAATGTTGTGGTGGAGCGGGATAACAAAGCAAAAAAAAAAAAAAGAAAAAGAAAAAAAAAAAAAAAAAAAAAAAAAAGCCGGATCAGGAGGATCGTCCTTCTGGACTTTGAGTGGAATAAGGTTTCTCAGCACTGCAAGCCAGGCCTACCTGGAACCTATATATCGCCATTGCTCCGGTCACACGAGGTATCATGTCCGCTGGCCAAGTTCAAGGAATGGGTAAACTGGAATTATCAACCCCAGTTTGAAACTGAATATGCTCATACGGCGTCTTCGTTCACGCCGTATATGGAGATGTTATGGCATCCGGACAGGCCATATGTTTTCAAGGATGAAGTTTAGCATTGTTGAGTTGCTTAGGCCACAGTTTGGTTTGGATAGCTTCATTTCTTTTTCTTTTTTTTTTTTTTTGGCGATGTTACTCTGCTAGATTCTAGAAAGATGTCCTCTACGGCAAGTGCCCGGCGGTTTCTGAAGCTCCGATCATCCCCTATATCTTCATGTAACAGACCTAGCTGTCCAGAAATTGGGCCGTTTGTGTCGCCCTTGGTCACCTCTAAAGGGCTGGGAGGAAGTGTGCCCTGCTGATATGCCAGAACATAATTAAGCAAAACATCCATAATGATCATTGCAAACGGCCTGTAAGCCTCCAACAGGAAGGTGAACAAGTATGAATTTAAGCATGTCTCACCAGAGAGTATAGGGTACCTTACCTTACATATTACAGATACGCTACTCCGTACATTTTGAAGTAGGGATATCAATCGGAGCTGTCTGACAATTGTATCTGGGACATCCACATATAAATAAGGATGGCAATGTGCAGGAGTATGATATTGCTATATTTGTCAATACCCATCCCGGAACAAACACTCAACATGCAGCAGTGGCGGAGGGTCGCAGTTCGGTAATCCCGTAAATTTCGGCAACGGCCTCCGGTGCCAGGTCCGCACAAATCTTCTTGCTTCCGACGAGTTCTCAAACAAAATGCGCCAGTTGCCTATTCCATTCAGAATCTTGGCGTCTTCTTCAGAATCCAAGATCCTATGCGGCGTATCGTTCGTTAGAGGGGAGATAGGCCTCAGCGTTTCAGCGAGGCGCCACGGTACTCTGCGATTTTCAGCATCCCAGTGAACGAAGGAGACGATATGCCGTGTGGATATATTGGGTATCTGGCGGGTGTCGAGGGATATTTGGACGGGGTATGTTCGGCGTTCCTTTTGCTTTTGGGCGAGGATGTTGTTGTGTGTCTTAATGACTTCTTGTAAATGGCCGCTGAATGGCGCAAGGTAAGCGAGCACTGATGGGTATTGCCAAGGGCTACTGATCGTGTAGTCTTGAAGTGTGAAGCCGCGAGAGCCGTGAACAGTATAGGCCGGCGGGAGTTGTAGTTTTGATTCAGACGTTATCGGTAGATGATGGCGAAGGAGGACTCGCAGATTGTGAATGCGAGCCTGGTATTCTTGTGCTGCGGCAGGAGTTGCAAAGATAAGAATCCAACCGTGTTTACGACGGAGTGTTTGAGGGTCTCGTGCTGGGATGACTGTATAAATCGTTCAGCAGGTAAAGTCAATTACGCAAAAGGTGGTATTCCTCACTTTCTTCCAGTCCGCCACCGCTTGTCCACCCTTCAATATGTTTTCCCGGGTCAAGGAGCCGCCTGAAATCACGTTCAACCAGAGAAATCGGCACAGCGGACAGTACCAAGGCAGTTTTATGTTTTCGTCGACTCTCAACAGGATCTGTGATCTGCAATTGGCCCAGTTCATCAATCTTGACACCTAGGTCCGTGCGTGGATCAGGAATCCTGGACAGCGAAAAGAGTTCGAATAGTTCGGACCGCTCCCGCGTCATGCGCTCGGGGTCATAACCCATCTTCGGTTCATCTTTCTGGTCATTGACGCCGGCGGTGTCTCGGCTCCTTTCGTTTCTGGATGCGGTTTCGTGGTGTATGGAGGATCCTGTGGGCGGTGAGGTTTGGCGCATGTCCGTAAACCCGCGAGGTATTGAGTAGATAGCCATAGAATTCCGTCGCGGGCTTTTCCATAATGAAAATAGCCCTGACGGTCGCAGCCGCTGCGTGGACATCTCTTGGTATGCGGCCCAAACCCAGGCACCGGGTTCTGCGATTCCTGATCGATCTGCAATGATATTTCAGAGAGTGGGAATCGCTATCTTCGAACGCACCATAAAACCAGTAATCTCAACGTTCCATGCTCATTAAGCTACTTCTTGTTCAGTTCAATTGCTCACTCTCAATTTATCGTCTGAGAGACCTCGCGAAGTTACTTTGACTTTGAGCAAGCCACTGCGACCAATGTCGAGGAAATTGGCTAACCTGTTTAGGAATAGTTCAACTAACTAGTTGACTAATCTGTCTGATTAGGATGTGGCTTTAACGTGGCTGGGTTTCGTACGCTGCGAGCAAGAAACTGCTGCCCAGAGCTCGGCCCGACCTTGCATAGCTAATTCAAAATCCGACCCACCAGGGAGGTCGCTTAAAGGCATACGGGCCATTTGCGCTCTATCACGTACATCGAACGTCACAGTTGCATTGCTTAACAAGGTAACCGACATCCAAGTGCTCCAGCTGCCATCAGCCTGACGCTATTTCATCCGTCAATGTCCCCTTTGCATGTCTCATTACCCCCCCATCTCCCCACGTCATAATTCCCTTCATCCACCCAATCCCAGAATCCCACCACACCTGGCGTTCAGGATGAATCTTTTCGAGACTCTCCTCATCCAGACTGCCCATGGTTATATCGATCAGTGGTGAAATAGGCGATGACGCCGGTCTTTCGAAATAATAAGTCAGGGTTGTCCCACATCGGGAGCAAAAGCTCCGGGTGACATCGCGAGACGACTTATAATGAGAAATATACGTCTCATGGCACACGGAAGATTTTCCGTCGGATGCGCAGGCTTCCAAAGTTGTGAGGTGAATGGGCGGTTTGGCTACATCTCCTTCTCCAGCATCATTCTTGTGCAACGGAAGAACGGTCCATTCCACCCAACTGTGCGGGGAAATGCACCAGGCCTGCACGACGGTTCCCGCAGCATGGCGACAGTCTGAGCAATGATCGAAGCCAATTAATGGGAATGTGGTGGGAACGCGGGGCTGGCTTCGTCTGTCATCGTCGTGCTTGTGTTGCCCCGGGAGCGGTGGCAGGCGCGTGTCCACCGCTCCTGGGAGGATAGGACGATCCTCCCGTTGCGGAACGTTGATGGTGTAGCGAATGGCTTTGCAGAAGCATCCTCCTGTAAGGATAAACGGCTCGGACGGGGCATAAGCCATTATGGTAGGTTATGGCAAAATGCGTTGCGGAGTTCCTTGCTATGCTGTGCTATGGCTTGAAGTGTTACTGTGGTCTTCAGCGCTGTTGGACAAAATTTCGTTTCTGACGCGAGTTATCGTCTTGTTGTTTTTGAAGTATTTGGTTGTCCAGGAAATATCGATATTTCCTGGTGAAATGTATCGATTTATATACCTCTCCGACTTGTGGCTCGTATTGACCCCACTCATCCACATATGTACGACTGCTGCCTGGACTGAGTTTCGTCATGACAAAGCTTCTCTTTATTCAGTATATCCCGAGCAATAAAAATACACGGACTTTTTTGATTTTGTCAACGAATCCATTCAAGTTTCTCGCATGACCCCATCTTCTCGGCGTGCTGTCTGATCCTGTCCGGTATCCAGCCAGATTTGCAAGAGGAGGTCGAGACCCCCCGCTTTGCCGTTCTGGAAGTGAAGCATTTACCGGACCTGTGAGAGTATTGCAGGCATGCCGAATTGTCCACGCAAAGCGCCTTGCACTGATCCTCTGACGGTACATTGTGTTCCTCTTCTGAGAAGTTGTCCCAATTATCCCGCGGGGACGACAGACCGGGCTGTATGAGGCGCGTAAACACATCTTGGTGGAGAAGAATCGAGCTGGTGTTCTAACCACGACTCAGCATTGTATATGCATATTTTAAGACATCGAGACTCACGTTTTTGAACCACTGTTGGCTGAATCTCCACATTATTTCCACGTCGCTTGGAGTCATATGATGATAAGAGACCACGGGATAACACCACGGCTCTGCAAAATGATTGAGATCCCATACTCTTGCTGTTTGCAGCATTGGCCATGACTTGGTAAGAGGGATACCGGCATCTGCCATGGCTTTCCCCAAAATTCCATCTCCTGCCCACTGATGTGCGGTGTAATCTTCCAGCTGTGTAGCTCTAGAAGCCCTATACTGCGAAAATTTCTCCATTGCTGAATTAGAAATGACGAATCCAGACCCGCCATAGCCAAATAATATGTTTCCTAACAGCATCTCTGTGCCCAGATAATACGGTTTTGAAGGATCGAACCTTTCAAGCCAAGCAAGGAGATTCTGCCAAACTATATATGTATCCGCTTCCATGAAAACAAACCATTTCGCATCCGGCCGAACTTCTAGCGCCTCGTCAATCATAGGGATGAATTTCCACTTATCGAGCTTCCACCCGGGATTGTTCGGTTTTCCGGACGGCCCGCTCACATCATCCATCATCAAGTCGCTTGGCCTTAATCCGTCCCTCCCTAACTTTTTGATTCTGTTGTAGAGTTCGAAGTCTGGATTGAAGCGTTTGACATCTTTACTGACAGTACGCAGGACATCGTAGGTCTGCACTCCTGAAATATCCTCCTCAAAGTCAGAAAATATAGCGAAGTGTGGCACGCAACTAAGTGTGGTCTCCAAATGCATGGGAACTTTCTCCAGAGCTTCTGTAACGCCGGTTTTCATGATGACCAATATATCTTCCATTCCTGGAACAGCATCGCAGCCGCTTTGGATGATTTTGGGTGCATTTTTGATGAAGGGACGCTGAAGTAGATCATGGTAGGTCAATAGCTGATGAAGCAGAATAATAAAGGGAATGGGGGAAAGAATGAAAACCCAGCAACGCCAGCGGCCAAACCAATTGTATATCGCCATTTGTTACATCAAAACTGATGAGTAGAGCGATAAACAATACCAAAGTAGACACACAAACATGAATTGAAAGGAAAAAAAGGGAGGATGAAAATAAGAGTTGAAAAGGGGACGAGGGCCTGTAAGTGCAGGCCCGTTGGAAGCTTCGAATATACCAGTATGTTAATCATCTATTATCCCACATTCCACACCCCATTCAGGCGTCCAAGGGGGGAATGCCGTTGCAAGACCGAGCCAATCGGCTTTTATGCACCTTGCACGAGCTTATGGCTGTTCGGCTCACTGGGATGGTAGAACACATGTATTCATTCTCGATGTGGACATCCCATGCAGGGAGGCGGCAGCTCAAACAACCCAACACGGCTCCCTGCCGGAGTGGGGTGTCATCAACAACATGCATCTCCGATACAGCTGGAAGGGTTTGTCTCATGTCACCCTTTTGCCCCATGCACAGGAAGCCAACATGGGGGATATGCGAGACTGTTGTCATTCATACAGTGGTGAGCTGCGCGATTTGGGAATCACAAATCTCTGACCAATTCAGTAAACATGGGTTGCCGTTAGCCGTTCTTCTCCCAGAAAGATTCGGGGACATATCCGATCAACTTCCCGATGCCCTATCCCCTGTGCATTAACGCATTTTTCGGCGCAGATCGAATCATACTCAGGGTGAGTACGTATTCCGCGGTCCAGTCGACGCTGTTTCACAACATAGGCACAGAAATTGAGCTAGGAGTGGGAGTATGGTCCCTGTATATAATGGTGTAGATCCTTGTAAGACCTCCTTTCCAGCGAAGTAAGAGATCGTCGATGGCGCAAGGAATGTGTAACTCAGCAAACTACGGAGTAACCGTCAAGTACTCTGTACACATGCAGTTACATCGCCCTCTGCTCTGTATTCTGATAAGATGCTTGCCGGTATGTTCTGACCTGCTGTAGGTTCTGGGAGTATGCGCATATTCCACTGGGATGATTTCACTGACATGATTCTGTGGAGGATAGATCAATGGTGGGAATCAAGGACCCTGGAGTTCTGAAGTGATGAGAACGTCGGCATGTTTACCGGTTAATTAGTTAATGTAAGCTTAGCGAGTGTACCAGCTCACGAGGAAGTTTCTCTGTCGTTAAGCAGTCAATTAACTAGCCAATGGCAGGACGGAGGCTAGCAGACTAGCGCATTCTCTTCAACGATCTTCCTTTTCCTCCGCTGGTTTCCTGCTACTTCGCCCACTGATTTCTCCTCCTGAATTACAATGTCAAAGTGTGTCATTCTATGGACTCCATACTAAACAGAAAATCGTTATATATTATGGTGGCTACAATTAAATAGTTTGTTAATATCACAGTGTTACCTAATCAAAGGTGCGTGAGATGCACTGGCCTCTAACCCCCCAGTGGTCTGGTCCAAACGCTTTGCAGTCAGAGACTCAGAGAAACATAAAAACAATGCAAAAACATTAAATGCCTAGGTGCCTGAGGCTATCCCCGACACTGGGGATAACTCAGAACTGTTTCAATTTCAACAGACCTGATACCATAGACAAGTGAACAACGCGAGAGACTTGAGAGTATGTGTGATGAAGCAATCCAGAAATTTATGACCAGTGACCAATAGGATGGGACAGTTACATGAATCAGTAGCTTGGATATTATTTGTTCATGACCTGTAACTTCATATACACATTTTGTTGGATTGGTGAAGCTAGCATCATGCATAATATTTTCCTATGTTGCTGCAGTATTTACCCTCTTTTCTACTTTTAGTACTGACTGCTTCAACTATTATCCTCTCGCGAGTGCTCTCTTGATCCAAATACCATAAAGTATTAAAGGTCTAGCTAACCAAATTTAATCCCTTATTGATTATGTCTCGTAACTATGACCACTGCCTAGTGAAGCCCTAACACATATTCTCTTTGAGAGAACTACTCACATTCGCGCTTCAAGATCATGTACTAATTTCTTCCTGTGTTCATGTAATTAAAACACTTTCCAAAATCATAGTGTAGACCCTAGGTACATTTAGGACATCCATGGCTACTTAGACAAAGATTGCTCAATCCTCTCCAAAACTTTGCCAACAAGAATCTTCATGGCAGGCTCTAACTTGGCAGACTGCTCAGATGAAGGCTGGTACACCATCAACTCCGTAGTGGGTTCAGCCGGCTTTCAGCTTCTCCTTTCTGAATTATGTTTAGTCTCTCAACCTGATTGCGAATGGGGGAACTGTGATTACCTCTGCTACAAGCTGAGCAAAACGATTGTACACTGCGATGTATCTCGCTTTCTCACCTTCATGTTTCTGAAGGACCCGACTCGTAAACTCATCGACCGCATCCGCAAACTGCAGTTGGGATTAGCCAATCATACCGTCCTGGATGGACGAGCGATGGAAGCTATATCGAGTTCCCCAAAGAACTCCCCGATCAAGGCACCAGGATGATTCGCATGATTTACCCTTCCGTTGCCCGAAGTCCTGAAACAGGTGTTTTCAACACGCACACCATCCCTTCCTGTACGAGATGCGCGGACAGCACTCCCGGGCATTCTTCTTTCACGAATGCTACACGGATCCGCCAAATCTGGCTATCGGGCTAACTCAACTCGATCTGGATAGTGACAAGGATGTCCGAATCCGGGAATATGCTGACCCAGTAACGGGGAGCAGTCTGAATCTCCACATCGAGACCTGGGATGATAGTATCCTCTACTCGGGCAGTGCGATCTGGTTTGGAGCCGATTCAAACACTGATGAATTCCCGACAGGCTCGTATAATACACTGAATGATGATAAGTTGGATTCTCTGAACGTCAAGTCTCACAGCAAAGAAGTGAAATTCCGGAACCAATTTGAGGAGATGCCAACTTTAGTTGCCTAGCTACAGGGATTTCACCTCGCAAAAAAGGAAATTCCAAGCTAAGTGTCGAACCGAGAAAGATCACTCAGAGCAGATTCTGCTTGCGATTCGACGCTTGGGGGAACGGCAACCTTCACGGTGCGGACGCATCATGGATCGTCTACCCTCGGAGCAAGCCTGACTGCTCGAGTTGAATCATTGGTTTTAGCTTTGATGAAGGAAAGCTAGAGTCAAAGGAGATCGATCTGGATATATGGCAACCGAAGAGGGTGTACGCTGCAATCAACTAAATCGACTCTGATTGTGAGCACAGCTTGAGACTGAAAGTACGGACGGAGAAGAAAGGTGACAACAAGTTCCCGTTGCATGTTGAGACTTGGAGTAAGAGTATCTCCAACAAAATAGGACTTGCTTATCTGGCAGTTTGCAACTGATTCTGGCTGCATTCGCTAGCTACTAGCCAACAATACCAGGGATATCAGCCTGTAAATAGAATGCAGTGCGGTACGGGACTGAAGTAGAGAAGAATAAAAAGGTTTGCCAAATGGCATTGTCACGGTGATGGTCAACATTTCAGTTGATTTGCGACTCAGGAGTAAATCATGCTAACTATGTACCATTCAAACGGGAGACCCGTCCACATGATCCCGGGAACGGAGCACTCATGTAGTGACCATCCAGAGCACTCCAGGAGCGCAGTAGATTCCTGCGCGTAACCTTGTCACCAAAGTTGTCAAAAATTGGGGCTTTTGGCTTGTAAAGGTGCCTGGAGTAGCGAAGCCGTTGGAAAAGGGTATCCTATTTTAATGGAGAGCATAATCGCATTCGCAACTCTCACGACTTCCGGGCTCGAATCTGGGCGCGGCATCTTGGGTGCGTGAGGCAGAGAGAAGCAGGAACACATATACCTGACCTTGCAAATTTTTAAATCCGACCCCGATACCCAACGTAACTTGGTGGATTTGGCCCGTGCGCCTTTCAGTGCTTTGTTCTTGGATATAGAATTATTTACTCCGTGAGGTTAGTTGGTACCCGAGAGATGGAACGGCCAGAGAAACAAATTGAGCCGCACGCCAAGAAATAGAATATCACCTGACATAGCTTTTTGCATCCATCATTCGTCGATTGGTATCTCCGGGCTTATCTTGGCTCTTTCACAGGACACAGCAATTGATGATATTTTGCTTCACAAAGCTGCATCAGCCACAGAAGTGTTCAAGAGGATATCACTACTGTCTTCCTGTCATATTGTACCCGATCTTTGTTTTGCGATCATCATGGGAGTGCAGAGAAAGACCCGAAAGTTTGGCCAGGTTTGTCATTCCCTGTCAAAGTATCAAAAATTTGCGTCGCTAACAGATGTCAGGTCAAACGTGCCATTTCACTTCGTGATAGCCGACTGTATTCATCCCCTGCGTCTCTTGGAAAGTCCCAGTACCTTTGCTAATTGCCTTGGGTATAGAAAACAAAATCAGGCGAAGGAGGAAGCGAAAACCAAAAAGCCCTCCCAGGATGAAGTTATCCGCGAAATGTAGGATCCAGCAGTCATCTTTCCTGACGTGCCCCATGCTCTACTAATCAGAACCAATTCTTCAGCCCTCAGGTCTCTTCAGCCCTCTTCTTCCAGTATAACACCGCTCTCGCGCCTCCATATTCCGTCCTAGTAGATACCAACTTCCTTTCCCATACCGTTCAACACAAACTCGAACTCATACCGACCATGATGGACTGTCTCTATGCAAAATGCATCCCTGTCATCACTGACTGCGTTTTGGCTGAACTTGAGAAACTGGGACAGAAATACCGCCTAGCTCTGAGAATTGCCAAGGACCCGAGGTTCGAAAGAGTTAAATGCGATCACAAGGGGACATACGCGGATGACTGTATCGTCGATCGGGTTATCAAACATAGGATCTATATCGTGGCTACGAACGATCGCGACCTGAAAAGAAGGATTAGGTTTGTTATTCAATCACGAATCATCGTCTGGCGAGGTATACTAACATTGGTCTCAGAAAAATTCCGGGTGTTCCCATAATGAGCGTTGCCAGAGCAAAATACGTCATTGAAAGGCTTCCTGATGCTCCTGAGAAGTGAAATTGAGTGGAGTCTAATCATTACTTTATTCGATGACTCGCGCCCTGAGGATGTGAATTCATCTGTTGAGGATGCCAAAGCATTTCCTTGAGATGACGCCTCGTCTATGTTTTTGGTCTCTATCTAGAGACCACGAGCATCAGAACGGTGCTATTCGTGCGGATGACGAAAGAGGGCATAATTGAGAGTCTGAGGAACCTTAGCGGCCACTACCTGTTTTTCCTAGAAGACTTGAAAAGAGGTGCGCCATATGGCTACTCAGAGAGCCAAAGCAAAATTATGTATATATTTGAGCGCATCAGGCTCAAAAGCAGCACAGCAGTGCTGGCTAATTTTGAGTACGGGAGTACTGAGTTACGCTCGAAAATCAGAGATAATACAACAATGGCTCATATTAAATTACTCTAATAGATACCCCACATCTATCGCGGCTTGATTACCATCATCAGCTATGATCGGAAATCACTGGTTACTCGAGGAAAGAAATCTCCGCCGGCCGTCAGAGCCTCAAGATACTTCGTTTATACTTGAAAACTCCGCAATCTGCATCTAGAGACGCGGATGCGACCAAACCAGGTCTTTCGCCTGAGTCTAATGTCAGCAAAGAGCCACGATCGTTGTTGGTTTTTGGCTGCTTACATCGCAATCTGCTAAGAACATGGTCCGGAAGGCATCTTTGCATTCGATATGGCATTTCTCTTCAACATCCTTCGGCTCCCAGCTTAATTCAAGGGGCTAGGGTTTTGGATTGAAGCTATTTTGGAATACCCAGAGGAATAACGGAAATCCTCGTTTCGCCTTCCTCTCTTCTCCATTGGTGGATACGTTCCACGTTAACTGCTTGTTCCTGTCCTTATCAACGGCCTCGCAAAACTTGTGGCCGATTTGGTTGACTGGATTGACGAGGTAGATACGAGGGATTTTGCTTGGTGATTTGTTGTCGCATACAAGGTTTGGCTTCTTCCCTTCTGCTTTCGGCTTGGAGCTTTGCGGCTAAAAGTCGGGACATGCTGGGATGGAGAATTCTTTTATGTGCTGATCCTTGTATTCGAGCTCCTTATCGCCTAGCAAGCCCTCGTCGCCTCCCCGTGTATGGAGAGGGACATATCTGGCCCTCTTGCCATCGCTATCCTTGGCGGTCTGCCCGGCTATTTGGGGTTCGGATTCTACCTTTTTGGAGCCTGGTGTAGGATAACTGCGTCTCTGGGTTAGCTATAGGAACCTCGGGAGGGTTTCATGATACGTACCGGTCTATTTGCTTCTCTACATATTTTGCGAGCGCAAAGAAGGCGTATGAATCGGCTAAAATTATCTGATTAGCTACCGTCCGGTGTCTATTTCGAGGTTAGGTGATCTCACCATTGCGCTAGGTATAGAACCCTCCCTTATCCTTTTGAACCCAGTTCCTGAGGAGTTTTGCGTAATAGGGACCATACGCGTAATTCGTCGCTGTCTTGTCACCTTCCTTGAATTTGATTTCAGCATCTTCCACGCTTAGAGTTTTGTCTTGTGGGTACATCAAACTGGCCATATGGACAGCTTCGTGGAAAAACACCCGACCCCTATTATCCCAATTTTCGAGATTATCCTGAAGCCCCTTCGACTTGAATTTCCCCTCCGAAGTAGCACTGTTCAAAGACGGCAAGTCTTTGAAGAATTTATAGCAAAAGACGATCTTACTGAAGTCCCCTCTGCATCGCTCCATGCAAACAGTCTTCTATCTTCTCCATGGAGAAGCTGGCTGCCCTTTGAGCCGTCTGGTCGACTTGGACACTCTGTTTTGGCGTCCTTGTCCCACAAATATTTCTGGGTCATTGCTGCCGGCATTACCGCTACAACCAACCTGCCCAATAGTTAGCTGGTATTTCAAATTTGTTCTTTGAATGGGGAGGAATGGAACAGACTTTGATCCAGAGGGACACTTAGGCCCCGGGATTGATAGCGGCTCCCATGACCACCAGTTCCTATGGATCCGCCCCATGGATTTGAAAGCCCCTATCAACCGCTCCGATCAGCTCCGCTGTCCCACACGTCTTTGAAACGCCTATTACCTTGGATTTCTTCCTTTCGTTTGTCGGACACTTTTCCATCTCCCTTGACCGGACCCCAAAAGTCTTTGGCGGCCTGATGGTTCCAATCGATATCAGCGAACACATCTGGTTGGTTGGCCAAATGGTCGAAATCACGATATGCTTCACTAATAGCGTTTCGTTCATCCGAGCTGCAGCCGTTCCACTCATAGAGCTGGGCTGGATGTGATAGTCTGATAGAAACATCGTTGATATCAGCGGCCAGATTTGGATAAGGCGTAAATTTATCGTCCAAGGCGTTGGGGTCTTCGCGGCGTAGGACATGCCTGGCAAGAACGTGGGGAATGATTAATGAGAGTGCCAGGGAAGCCTTTACCAAGGCACCTGGTACGATATTTGGTGGGTATTGCTACCCTGACAAATAGTACTCCCCCTGGAAGATAAGAAGTTGCTACTTCTCAGCGGGTATTGCACACTAACACAGTTGGGGGGCCTTCTTATAGCTTGGAAGGAGGGAATGCTTGGGGTACTCGGACTTCAGTCCTTTTATATCTACAAAATAAAGGGGGGTTCGAATAAACCCATTTGTTTGGACAGGTTACAACGCACTAGAGCAATTTCCGGTGCACAGTGACCGTTGGTGACCTATTTCCGAGTCCCAACCTTTCGAGGTATAATGCTATCAGTTCTTGCAGCTTCCCCTGGTTGGAACAGGCGCAGTCCTCGCCTGTTCCGTGGCCTCAATCTTGCTAAGACAACCGAATATGGAGGCTGAGGCGTATTGACACTACTCTGGGCAATCTCGGAGCCAAAGATAGCTTGAGATGTGAAAGCAAAGTTGAACGATGCATCCCATACATTCGCAGCAATCGCACTAGATGAACTCTCCAAAGGTTTCGATTCAGATACGTTTTCGTTACATTTCGGGGATTAAAGGTTTCTCAGAAGTACTCATTATTGGCCTGTTAGTAGTAATAGTTAGGAATTATATCTATTTCTAATAATGGAGATGATGATGGCTACATGACTTGACATGCGAAACTTTCGCTCGATCTGTTTCAGCGACTCGGCGGTGATACCGCATCTGGATCCCACCAACCTCTCTGTTTCATACCCCTTGTGACCAAGTATGCTCCGTTGGGTCCCTCCTAGCTAACTACTTGATCCTCTACCATCATCTACCTTGCTGCGATGTTGGTTGAGAACCCATTCGTTTGCCTAGAAAGTCGTTTGTAACACCAGAATCCGCCCACAAAGAGATACAAAGAGGTAAGGGCACCCCTGCAGCCCGTAGTTTGTAGCGTTTCCGGATACGCTTTTCCAATAAGCGAGGAGGGCTTGAAGTTCACTACTTGAAGCAATTTTTCTTCAAGTTCGTATTACTAAGCATAGTCACGTGGTATTTTTTCTTTTTGGGTCAAAATAAGCTCGCCCTTAGCGTGCTGCCGGATTTGCTGGGCGGCCTAGCGGGGCATGCTTGTCATACACAGCTAACCTAAATAGGTTTAACGTTTACCCACAGTTCTGGATGTTCTGGATCTTCCTGGGGCTCCCGTCCTCATCCCCTCTTTAGAAATCGTTTTGGTTATTGGTTTCATTTCCCACCTCATGCCGTCTAGTCCACTAACTGACTCTTGAACACGAGATCCTCCCTGCCAGTATTCCTACAGAGCTGAACCTTTCTTCCTGTGTGAACACCTAAAACGATGGTCGGCTGATAACATATTCACCTTGAACTGCCTGACACTTGTTATATCATATTGCCCCAAGAAATTTAAGGCATTGCTCCCTGCTCGATTTCTACCATGCTTGCCATACGCGATATCAGTGCGTAGGCCAAGCGTTGTTAGGAAGACTAGACAACTAAGGAACGCCCTACGTACTATGAGGTCCTGCGAGCCGGTGGAAATGCAGAAAACCTGCGGCTCCGGTTGGAGTTGTTCGTGATTGAAGTGAAAATAAAATTTCCCGAATATGCTACCGAGGCCACAGAACTCGTCGATCAAGTTCTCAGGGCTCTTCGTCATGACCATGGTGGACGTAGACCCGAAGATGTGTTTATAGTCTGGTTAAACAAGAAAGTACCCAATCGGGAATTTTTTGCTACACCTGAGCATGAAGAGACCATGCTAAAGTTATGGGAGAGATGGTATGACACGGAACAACTGGACAAAGAGTTCTGGGGCATAAGGCTGCATCATGAGAAAGGGGTACAATATGGATGGATGTACCTGACCGAGGAGCGCGTTTCACAAGGATTGCAATGCTTGCGGGAATGGCTCGAAGGGCGCCAGGCCAATCCAGCATGTTAAGTCATGGAAGGTCTTACCATTTGGAGGAAGACGGAGAAACAGAACCGTGCTCATCCACTTGGAATATGTATGACCTTTTCTCCATTATCATGGCTAATATTTACTGAGATGATGACTTCAAGGCAGTTTTTGGTAAGGGCAGGCATCTTTGCTTAGGACCTGGACTAACACCCGAAAAAAGACAACTCCAGATACCGAGAGCATTAACACTCTGAACAATCCTTTGAAATACTGGATGCAGGACTCCTAGCGCCGTGCAGCAAGAAGAAAAGCATACTAGGATTTTTAGGCTGTTTGCCCATGAATACTCCGCTGCTTGCATTCACGGGTGGAGCGTCGAGAGAGACAGAAGAAGGGGAGAAGAGGGTGGAGAAGAGGGGGTAGAAGAAAGGGGTAGAAGAAAGGGGTAGAAGAAAGGGGTAGAAGAAAGGGGTAGAAGAAAGGGGTAGAAGAAAGGGGTAGAAGAAAGGTGTAGAGAAAAGGGTAGAAGGAGGGGATGGAGAACCAGACGGAGGACCAGTAAGAGTGCTAGGAGGAGGATTGGAAGAAGCAGTAGCTGTGTTTGCGGCGTCAATGGCGGCGACCACCAATTCCATGCGTGTTTCCAACGCCCAATTCTTTTCTCTATCCGAGAGAGAATTCCAAGCGAGCTCGCGGGGGGGAATTTGGTGCCAAAGCAGCAAAAGGTAGTCGGCCCATGTTGAGGCCCCCAGCATTCCTCCGAGGAACAAGCGCAGGCTGTTAACGGAAAGGTATAAACTAGCCAGTGTTGTGCATAATGTGGACAGGATAGTTTTAAATTTGCCATGTCCGACACCCCCAAGGTCATACGTTGCCAAAGCAACATCCAGCACAGCCGAAACTAGGGAAAGCACACCGTGGAAAAACTCGGCTCGCGGTGTCGGCTTGCACCCATCGTGCCGTAGTCTTCATAGTCACTGACTGCATAAGACTATAATGAATAATAATAATAATAATAACCCGTCGTGCCACTGGAAGACTGCCGCTGTTATATTTTTACTGCCCCTAGCAATACTAGGACAGTGGCGCCAACATCCTCCTTAAGGACACTTTCGAAAAGCGCCTCAGAGGTAAGCATGGCTATGGCTTGCAATACTCCCCAGCCAGTGAGGATGAAGAAACAGAATCTCCAAATTATTAACTCTTCATAAGACAATTATGCGAAGTCAGCCTTGCTTGCCGTAACTTTTCACTGGCCTTACTTCGTTGGGCGTCACAGAAGCTTCAACATATTTCTCGAGGTTCTTGGATTCCATCCATATCCTGAAGTATGTGGGTCATTGCTTGGTCAAACACAGTAGATGTCAGTTTTTCAGTCAAAGGGATCATCAAGGTGATGAAGTACCTATATGTTTCCAGTTTCTGCCATTTCTTTTCTGGATTGGTCTTCCTCTCTGGTTGCAAGCACTGAGTTAAGGTTCAGGAGGTGGATTTTCAACTGGTGAGTCAAGACTCAGCTGGTGAATAAATGGAGAGAAGAAAGGAAGAGGAAAGAGAAGAATCAAGTTGTGGTTTTTTGAGAAGGAATCAGATCATGTGGTTGTGTCTCTACCCTAAAAAGGGAAAAAGCGAGACGCGGAAAGTATGCCTCAGATATTCCTCAGATTGTGCAGGAGCCACAGCAAAACAAGAGCGATCTGGAAACCGCAGATTATTGGCAATCCATAATGGACCTTTTTGAATACGCTGATAGGGAATAGCCCTCAGCAGGTCATCTACCCACCACACTCCACCGTCTGGCCGTTATGTATTCATGCAGAGTCTACTCCAACATTCTAACTTCTGCAAGCTCAATATCGTCGAGATCCGGGGGCTTCGCTTGACGCTCAGAGTTGGCAAAATTCTCTTCGCCGCATCTGCTTTCTTTGTGCTGACTATCGAAGCCCAATGTCTTCCCTTCGGATGCCATCAAAAGAAAGAGCCTCACCGTACATCATACCGTGAATGTAACTTTCCCCGAGCAACTGGTAGATTCCCTTCTTCCCCTGTTTCTCGCGAATCAAGAATGGAACTGCGCAACCGTTGAAAATGGCGACTCTGTCACCCGTACTTGCGGTTCCAGGAAACAGACCAGAGTATCCGCGTTTCGTGACGCCTGCGATTGCCGGTTGAAATTTCTCTGAGAATGTGAATGCGGTTACAACGTACGGCCAGAGTTTCTCTTTCATACGCTTGATGTCCTCCAGGGCCGTATCCTTGGAAGTTCGCCAGTCAGAGGACCCGAACCGCAGCTCCAGATACTTAGTCAACTGTTCATATGATGATTCAAAGGTATTATCCGTCGAGCCATCTTTGTGCTGAGGCGTGGCATCTCCGATTGGCGTTTTCCATATCATCTTACCGATATCATCCCCGGGGGAATTTGAAGCCCGCTTGCGAAAGAGGTCAAACACACTTTTAAGGTAGCGCAATGTGTCTTCCTCTTCGGAGTTATAGAGGCTGACTCCATCGATTGTGTCGACAATGTAGCCTCTAATGATGAGCACCCTATCATCCTGGGGAGACACGAAGCTGCAGCAGACAGAAGAAGCCGATGCAGAGAACGGTTTTCGAACAGCTTTCCACGAGGTAATAGTCTTTGGGAATGGTCTAGAAGTCCAGTCAGGGACCCATGAAGGAAGTTCCCCAGGTTTCGAACCACGTCCGGCACGGTATAGTAAATCTGCTGTTCTGCCTCGCTTGATGAACACTGTGGCGTATCTCAGGGCAACGCGCTCGAAAGTGGCGCTATAATCCGGGTCGAAAACCGGATCTTCAGCGTCTGAAGCTAGCCCACGTAGTGCAAATAATTTATCCCGCCGCAATGAAGCCTCCGTATGTTGGAAAAGTTCAAAGAGTGTCAAGAAATCGTGAGAGACCTGAATCTTACCGGTGGTTCGATATGCCATTCGGGCATTTCCGAGGTTCGGTATGGCGCTCGTATTTCGTAAGGCGGGGATGTTGAGTTCCAGGACGGACTTCTCTGCCTCTTCGATGCAATGTTGAACGGACCGATAAAGATCATCCCAGGGCATCTCTCGATCGCCACATGCAACTGTAAGATTACGAGCAAAGACAACTTCCTGTACAATCCACGCTCTGCGAAACCACGGCCGCCCGAGAAAGTCGCTTATGGCAACTAATGCAGTCTTGCTGACAGTGTGAATGCTCGATTGCAATGAACTCTGCGGGCTGGACTCGTCACTATGCGATAACTTTAATGCAAGCTGGGTGAGCATTTCCATCGCGATGTCGCTGTCATCCGACTTTTCCCCAAGCCACGCAAAGACACCCGTAGCGGACATGAAAATCCTCTGCATCATGGTAATTTGATGTTCTTTCTCTTTACTGTTATCCTGATTAATGCAAATAGCATCTGCCCAAAGGATAACTGGTGCCTTTGATTTGCGTATGCGATGTAACGCAAAGTACAGCGAAGCGGTCAGCGGAACCTTGCCGTCTGAAGTGTGTAATGTGTACGGCTTCAAGCTCGTCACCCAGGTGTAAGACAACGCAGTGAATGGGCCGCAGTCATTCAGTGGTACGTGAAATATTTCACCTCTCAGAGGTGCCCCAGGATCACCATCTAAAAGCCGCAATAACCGTATCTCGCTTTTGCTCGGGCATAATGGCTGATATCGGTATAAACAGTCTCCGTGGCTTTCGGAGATTGAAAATCGAATCTGGGATGGGATAGTTTCAAACTTTGCCCGATACTCATCGTTTCGAATTGATAATTCCAGCTGACCTCTAGCATACAGAGTCCAAGGGTCGATAAAAAAGGAGATTTTAGGAATGGTCTCAACGTTGAAGATCCTGACTAGGATGAAGACGTCAGCCCCGGGCGATGTTTGCTGATTTGAGAACCGGCGGCACTATAGGATCATGTCAGATAACGCACGAGCCCAGAAATGGAGACAGGAACGTTTGAAATCTCACCATCTCTAGCTTCGCTGAGTTAAATTGGAAAGGCTCATTTATGCCTCCCTTGGTAGTCTGAACCTCAATATGGTACGTTGAGTGGCTGTAAGCTAGTACGCCTGCGTGCTCAACAACCCTGTGAGTGAGAAACTCCGTGAAAGCGCTCGTCTTGTCTCGAAGTGTGAAAGTAGTCCAGCATCCCTCGGGATCATTAAATGGAGCATAGCCCGCCCGGCTCCGCAATGGACTAGTCCAATCGGTTTTAGGATTGTACGCATCGCGCAGATGGCTTTCGAGAAGTCTCGAAACCTGCATACGGCAATAGCTTGGTTAGTCATAGGTATTCGTGCGATTTCATATAATGTGATATTCGGACTGACAAGTAGTTCCCCAAGAAAACATAACTCTAATCGATCCTTAGGATTCAATGGCACGAACACCGTGCTTGTTCCCCCTTCACCAAAGTGTATTCGCGCGGGAAGACTTGTCAACTGCTGACCGTTTTCATCGCACAGATTATGTGGACTCGTAACAAAGATGACGTTGGCTACACGGCGGTTTGGATTTGGATCCTGGTCGTTTCTCATGAAACGGCGCAAGGCGCGGTCAGGCAGCCCGCGGTCCACCAACAAAGGCTCATCTACCAAATACGGATCATGAACCTCATTTCGAGAGCTCGACTCATGGCGTAGTAGCTTGCGCACCGAGTTTTCGTCCAAGCCGCCTTTGTAACACGATGGAATAGGGACTGAACTGGCCTGTTTCATATATATCGGAAGAATGGGATTAGCGTCTTTTCTTCTGGTGGGTTGCCCAGAGGACTCGCTGGTAGGATTGATGTCATTTAAAGGCTTATTTGTCGACGTCTCCGAGGATGAAGTCCCATCACTTCTGGAAGAACTTTCCCACCGCTTCGACTGAATGGGTGCTGCACGAAGTTCTGGAGGTTGTTGAAACTGCGTGGAGGGCTCTCTGTTTGGTTCTAAGGGTTCTATGTACCCACGAAAAGAGTATGTAAGCGGACCTGTTCAATTGCCGGAATAAGTAAATATGTAACAGACTCACTTCCTATGAAGTTATGGACATCTCCCTCGGATCTTGGAGCTCCTCGACGGTCCAAAATCCTATGAAGATAATCTCTATCTTCATGGCTCAAAATTAATTGCAAGAATCCCTGGTGAGTTGGGTCTGTGATGGAACAGATAGCTGACAGCTGCTCCACCAACTCGAAAGGTAGAGATCTCAATCGAATATGCCGCTCTTCCAGGTATATTTTAATTGAGTCTCCGCAATTCTTCACATAAGCACCGCCTTGGTCAGGATGGCTTATTATTTCTGCACCGCTGCCTGGAAAAGGTGGCTTTAATATCCAATGCAGGATTACCTTATCCGTCTGATAGACTTCAATGTTTGATAGCATCTGAAGCAGCGCACTGCTCAAACTCTTCCCTGGTATCAAGCTACAATAAGGCCATGCGTTAGTAAACTGGCGCCAAATTTAGTTTAAAGGCAACATGCACTGCAGCCTTGACCTCGGTACTCCAGGGCTGCAAGGACATACCGGGCAATGATTCCACCTTTGTTTCGGATTAAATTCGTGTACTGCTTGTGTAACAGTTCGGTTCCCTTGGAGCTGAGAACCTCTGTCGTTACGGATGATAATTTTCTCATTTTTAGGGGGTGTAACTTCATCAAATGTTCAAGTCCTTTGATCTCTTCGACGCTGAACGCAAGCAAGGGTACTCTGCCAGAGAAAGCACGCCGCAAGTGATCACGATCAGCAATAAACCAGTTCTGATCGGAAATGCGACTCATATGGTATAGATCGTTAGTGCCATAGACCGGAAATATTTTTCTGTCAAACCAATTGGATAAAAGGCGGGTTTCAGTGGCCCTCTCTTCACGTAGCTTGCTTGCATCATGAAAAAGTCGCACTACATATGGGGCGGCTTCTTTTTCGCTTAGATTTTCGATCTCGGATAGGAGGTGTTCCAAAGTTGCATCTTTGACACCCAGAATCTCGCGGAAAAGTTTATAGATGTTATCTGGGTATAAATTTTTCAATCGGGGGGTTCGTATAAGGCTGCCTGGTCCGTTCCATACGCAGTTCTCGGGTGAAAGCCAAGTACCGGGCTTCTCTCCATCCGAAGATGGTATGAACACCAAACGATCTCCTTCAAAACGGCTCCTAGGATTGTGCCGTTCGTCAATTTCTAGGGAGAAGAAAAAAAAAAAAGGAGAAAGAAGGAGGGGGAAGAGAAATATCCTTACCTCACTAGTCGAGTTTTGTCCTGACGGTGGGCGTCCTGGATGTTGAGTTCAATTTGGATATTCAAGTAGAGCCCAAAAACTTGCTCTTTGGATGGGATACCAGCTTTCAACTTATTCAATGCGTGAATAAAAAACTTTATATCTCTCTTAATAGAGACACCCAAATGTTCTAGAAAGGACCAGCTTTCATGCTCAGGATCCGGGAGGTCAAGGAATGGCAAAGAGGTATTGCCGTCCACGGTGAGCACTTTGTCAGGGAGATATGTCTCCATGAGGGGATGCTGCCTACCACTAACGCATGCAACCTTTTGGGCCGCTAAGTACCGATATACTTCCTCGGTAGGTCGAAGACCCTTTTGTATCCATGTAGAGTAAACAGGCCATTTCTCCCTCAAGAGCAATAACCAGGTGGGCGAGGGGACATTCTCAGTTATGAATTTGAAATGAGACGAAAGACGCAGATTACCACGTTCGACAAGTCTTGGGAACTCCCAGATATCCAGGGAGTCGTGTAACCACTTTCTCCACCTCTTCTGGGTTCGCTCTTCTTCACCACACACCCTATCATAATCGGAATGCAAATACGGAACATCCTTGCAGTCCTTTAGCAGGCTCGTCGCAGAAAACGCGGAGGAAGAGTCGAGATAAACGGCAGATGAAACACAGAGATCTCCTCTATTTGTGGCAACGTATATGTTCGTATTATACCTCGAGATCCAACTGGTTTTAAAGAGGAAAGCCGCAAGCAAAATCAAGTCCCGGTGGGCGAGCGACAGGGCAGAAGCGAGGGTGGAGAGTTTGGAAACAACCTGTCTCTGGATCTTCTCAATATTAAACTCTTCGGCGCCAAGAAAGCTGTACAATTGCCTCCTATCCACGTTACTTGCGGCATCTGGATGAATCTCCACTGAATTGAGACCACTTGGAACGGAAAGATCTGCAAGCGCTGAAGGAAAAAAAATTATTCCTGCACTCTCGCTTGCCGAGATCCATCGGCCATCACGTAGAGGAATAAGGGGAATGGAATGGAGCGTGTGACGGTACGCTCTTAACATATCCTCCCGGTTGAGTGCTTTGGAGAGTCGTATGTGCCACTCAGTGGCTTCTCTGCTGTGATTTTGGTATTGGTTGACAACAGATTTAACGTCGACAAGCAGGTCACGCAGGCTTAAAGGACGCACACCGAGACATTGAAAAAGATCACTGTCTTCGTCGAAATATTTCCGTGACAAGTACCGGAAGGCGGTCCTGGAACATAGAGGAAGTGGGTCCCCGTTGGGGTCTCGAAAACGAGGAGGAACATAGAAAAGAGTTCCCGGTGTGGCCAGTTCGCCAGATTCTGATTCGAGTAACTTCCGCTGAGAAAGGGTGAATATTGTTTCTTCTGTCAAGGAAGTGAAAAAATTCTCCTCAGGTATAATGGGGAGATACCTAGGCCAAATATAGCGGAAATAATCACTTTCTTGAAAGTAGTCAACTGCCTGTACGAATGCCTTTGGTATCAAGGACCGAAGCCGTTGGTTTTCAGCGGATGAACCGTTGATATCTTCACGGCTGGCAATCAGGGAAAACCGGCCCTGGACGAGAAACTAGAGATAACGTTACCACATGGTGGGGGAGCGCAGCTTCGGGATATGGAAAGTAAAGTTACCTTTAGGCCATAATCTCGGATTGGGAGAAAGGTGTAGACGCACTGCGACTGAATAACGGGCTCCTGGTTGTTTTTAATCGGAAATGCCAGCAGAATCTCCGCCTTGTCCGTCGACCGTCCGCTAGGTACATATCGAATGACCACGAACTGCTGAGAAGAGTCACCATATCGTAGCGTGGTGACGTATTGGCCCGGTTTGTCGACATCTTTATCATCTTTTCTAGAAATGGTCCGTTCAAACGTGGTGCCATTGTCTTGCGCAATGCACACTTTTAATTCTCGAATTTGGTTGAGAAAAATCAGGATCTTAGGGTCGCACACTCGCATCTCCTTCAGTAGCTCGTCTCTAACCGACTTATTCAAAAGTCGAAGGAGCATAGAAGTACCACTAGCGGGAGCTTCTGCAGGAAATTGAGCCCACATTGGGGCAATCATACCGAGTCGCGTCGCGTTGTCGAATTTGAAAGAGTATTTGCCGGACGATATCCATACAACACTAGCTACCTTGAATACTGACTTGAACCCAATCCCTTTCTCGCCGATGCAGTCCATTCGGTCTGCACTAATTCCTTTCTGGCTTCCTCCAATCCGGCAGATGGAATCGACATCTTCAGGAGCGAACCCCAACTCATTACAGTCCACGCGCAGATGCATCTTCCTATAGCTTAGTGTTAGGCTAGGGCTGACGTCCCTTCGGTAGCGGTTATCATCCGCATTTTGGATAAGTTCCATCAAAAACCGAGTGTTCGTTTTGTATAATTGTTTGGCAAGGCTCGAGGACACCACCGTCAGCTCTTGTTCCGGGAGAAACACAACGTCGTAACTCACATAACCAAGGCATTTTCTAAATCCCGGCTGAGGTGATTGGAGAGACCGAGTCCCTTCTCATGTCGAATTCTCTCAATATGTTGTTGGGCATCCTCAGAGGAGATTTTCTTTAACCGCTCTATATATCTTATCTCGTTTCTAAGATCCATTCTCCGTCCCCACTTTCTCCAGAGTGTCGAAGGCCTGAAAGAAAACCAAGTCTTCCAGCGCTTCAGATACCTCCGAAGCTTGCAGCGGGAAAGGATCCGAAAAAACTGCTGAAGAGGCAGTGGGAGACGGAGAGGCATTGATATGAATGGATAACCCTCTCAATTCCTCAGACCGACAGAAGCCTTGGAAACCAGAGAGATACTCCAGTTCCTAGCCGGTATCCCATTGAGTCCCCCATAAATACGCAACCAAGACGATAGCTTGCGTGTCATCGATCGCGGGGTGGGGGGAAGCGGGGGCCGCAGCGGCCCCTTGAAGGGTGGAACAAACGACACGACATGTCAGTAGAACGCAACTGAGTTTGCATATGCAGCGATACCCAATGTACGAAGGGTGGCGAGTAATCAACCAAAATCACGACATGTTACTGGCGATAGAGATGCTTTGGACAAGGACGCAGGATTTAAAATACAACTGGGTGCACTGGAGTGCATAAGTACCACTGGTCGGGCTGCATCCGGATTGGCTGCCTTAGACAGTTGCGACAAAATCAGCCTTCTCGGGCGTTGTCGTCATGTTGAGGGTTGAGACTGTTCGTAGACAAGTTAACCACCGGGGTATCCCAATTTGATTGGATTCATTCCTGGTTGGCGCTGATTTCACATCCAATCGACCCGCCCACATCTTTCGGATAGTCACTCAACCTGAGTTTCGAAGAGCCGCATCGTGCAATGCCATTTCCGGGCCTTGCAGCGACTCCTTCATGGATTTATCACCACTTCAAGACGATCTTCCAAAGCGCTCATCGTTCCGTGGAAGACGTCCAACAGCGACCAATAATGTACATCCCAGCAAAGGTATGTCCTTTGACAACAGCTACTGAGACATTTCTTATAAACAGCTGACATTTCGCAAGATGGTGACTTCAGAGGCCCCGTTACACCCTAAGACACCGTCAGTCGGCTTGGAAGCTGCGGGCCTTGTTGCCCTTGCCGAGCTGACAACTATCCAGGAGAGGACTGCTTTATCGGGGACATCCTCCCTGCTGGACATATTTATCTTGGCTCCCGGTCTCCATGTACAGGAGAGAGCGGTTGAACTGAATACGGGGGAGTATCCAGCATGCGCTGCTCTCACTACAGGTTATGTCTTCCGCGTGGAGAATCCTGCAACTGTGTTCTACCTGCAAAGAGTCGGACGAACCGGAAAGTTGACTACTCTCAACGTCACAAGGTTAAACAGCGCCGCAAAGTGGCACCACAGACTAAAATCAGTCTTCATCTCACCCTCCAAAACGAACATTATTCCGGTCGTGACCTACTTCATGGCGGTCCTCTGGGGAATCGCAGGCTTGCTCCTGCTCATTTTATCCGAAGATTGGTGGGGAGTCGCCGTGGTGGGAATCCTTATGACAACACGCCTGATCAATTTTGTGGTGATTAGATGTCGAAGCGAGCTGACGTGGGCTGGGGCACCGGAGCCAGGTGAAGTGGGAGATCTGTTTATTCTGCTTAGCCAGGACCGTTGGATTCGAATACAAGGTCTTGTGGACGATCTGAAAGCAGTGACCTCTGGGAAATGGCTTCGGGATCAAACGACGGTGGAAAGCTGGCTTACTGCCATTGCCAAAGTCTGCGTGTACCTCGCCGCTGCATTGGCTAGCAATGTCACCCAGTTCGGCACGATTATTCTTCTCAGTCTATTCATTGGCTCAGCGGGCCTCCTGGGGCTGGCAAATTCAGCGACCCATGAGCTACACATGCATGGGCGCATGGTCAGAGTGACCGGCGAGCGCAGGAGTTACGGCCGACGCCTGGATCTTGCAAAGGAGTTGACTGATGAAACAAAACGTGATGACTGGGCCGTGCGCATGGGACTCATTGTCAAAGATGAGCCAACAACTAACACGGTGAGAGTTGAAATGTAGTTAAAGCCAAACGGAGTCTCGTCGGTGGGGTGTCTTTTCCAAAACACCAGGAATTCGGGGGGTGGCTCCATTGTCATATCGCCTACTCCGTACTCTGCACACAGTTACGTCCCCGGCTGCTATTGTTCTCGTGGGAATACTGCTGCCATCGCACAAAGAATAATTTAGTGTGGATGGTTATTGCACCATCCTTTATATGGGAAAGGCCCAAGCACCATGTCGGCTGCTCGAAGAAATAGCTCTGCACCGAAGCGCCGCAAGGCTGCGTGGCACGTCTCACTGTCTCAGCCAGATTAGCTTGGGCTAAGGGGTAGGATTAGGGGTTAAGGTTATGGAGTGTTAGGGGGTTTTGGCGACAAGAACTTTGGTGTTGTTCGGGGTGGTGGGAAGGGATTAGGGAGGCCAATTTTCTTTGAGGCTCTGGGTTAAGGCTGCGGCCTTCCAATAATCAGCAGACTTTCCCTTTCATCATTTCTCTCAGTCTTGCATCTCCTGCTGTGTTTGTTCAAATATTTGAAGAATATCCAGCCCATTGGTATTTCTGAATAAATGTACAAGGCATTTTCTATACAGTCTGGTATTACTTGTTGTAGGCACCTTTTTCCTTTTTTTTTTTTTTTTTCCTTTTCCTGCGCTATTTGTTATGGGTGTACGGATTAACCGGGTTGATTATTTGCCTGCTGGTCCTGCGTCGTTGCCGGGTTCAGCAGTCTTGTACTCCATCTCAAAGGGACAAATGGGAAGATGCCCTGGGTGCGGTCAACGAAAAAGCCTCTTAAAAATTTTGACGATCGACGATATCCAGATCTGATACTGAGCAGAACCGCACATAACCATGGATGCGGGCAGAGCTGGCCACGGAGACGGCGAAACAATATTCCTCAAACAAAAGGATGGATCCAGCCCTGAGAAAGCTAACTACGTCACCGAGTACCCGCCATACTCCGCATGGGGCAGTTGTTCCATTTGCCGAGGCCCAAGGCTGGCGATCGACAACCTAACTAGTTATCAATGACTGCATATGTACTCTGTAAGGAGCACTCCGTAAAACTGCGCTTCATAATTCGATGGGAAACAAGTGGCCAATCCAAAGTTGCAACATCGCCGAAGTCGTGTCGACGATATACATTATAGCTACGGGCTACGAAGTACTTAGCTAGTACGGAGTATATCTAGGTACCATTTGCGGGGTACTGCTCCCTTCCTTCATACTATCATGGCTGGAGAAGAGATTCCTCCGCGACCTTCCCGATCCTTGGTTGGCAAAGTGGCCATCGTTACTGGCGCGGGATGTCTTGGTGACGGCATAGGTAATGGTCGGGCGACAGCGGTCCTCTTGGCTGAAGACGGAGCTGCTGTCATCTGCGTAGACACCAACCTTGAATGGGCCGAGAGGACGGTCGAGATGATAACAAAGGACTCGAAAGGGACGGGGTTGGCTTTCAAAGCCGACGTCAGCCAGGCAGAGGATTGCTTACGCGTCGTCGATCTCGCTGTCTCAGAATTCGGCCGGGTGGATGTCCTGGTGAATAATGTTGGCATTGGAGGAGCCAGAGGAACCGCCGTTGATGTAGACATGGAAGAGTGGGCAAGGGGTCTGGAGGTTAACGTGTCGAGCATGGTGCTGATGGCCAAACATGTCATCCCTATAATGAAGAAGAATGAGGGCCCTGTTCGAGGGAGCATTGTCAACGTTGGCAGCGTCGCTGGCTTAAGAGGAGGGACGCCTCATTTGCTTTACCCGACAAGTAAAGGTGCAGTCGTGAATATGACTCGTGCGATGGCGGCACACCACGCCCCCGATGGGATTAGGGTTAATTGCGTTTGCCCAGGTAAGAATGGCGAGGCTCGAAATTTCTTCGGAATTTGCTAACTATATGATGCAGGTATGCTCTATACACCTATGATGTATGGGCCAGGGATGAGTGAGGAAGCGCGTAAGGCCCGGAAAGGAAGAAGCTTGCTAAAGACAGAAGGCAACGGATGGGATTGTGGGAGCGCAGTCCGGTTTTTAGCCGGAGGAGAGGCGAGGTGGATTACGGGCACCATATTAACTGTAGACGCGGGCGCAACAGCGGCTGTGGGTTCGGAACTGCCAAAGACTGCGAGCATCAATGCACCGGCATAATACAGCGAAGAGAAGTCCATCCTGACATAGCACCGGCCTCCCCGATGTTGACAACATGGCGATTATCGTCTGTTTTGGTAATTTTTTTTTTTTTTTTTTGATTGGAATTCTCGCATGCCTGTCGCGTTCGTGATTTAACCAATTGGTGCCAAGATTCCGCACCTGGTGGGGCGGAAAAGTTGGCTTCGCGCGCAGCGGAAACCCTGGTGACTAAGCTTCAGGTGGTGGAAGGCTGGCCGTGTACCTCACCGCAGGATACCAATGTTGTTATGTCAACGGTATCAATTGTGGTCTCTTCTTAGTAAATTCTTTCAAGAATCCTTGCCAGAGCGGGGTAATACACGGATGGTTCGCCCAAGCTTCAGGAGATAAAATTTTCGATAAACGCGCTTCTTCCGCCAGTTTCTTTTTTCGCCTGTCCTTGCCCCATGGTGCCAGTGCGAATATAGTACGAATGGGAATCCCGCACCTGGCTAGGCACTTGCTGCCACACGCAGAAGTGGTATGGCTCGGCGACGCTGATGTCAACCCCAAAGATGGTCGACAGATCACTTCTGTGGTAATCGATGGGCCTGCCTTAGTGTACCATGTGTATTACTCCTTGCTATCAAGGATGCCTCCGGGCTTGAATGCCGTCGCGGCGCAGCCTACGAGCAATGAAGTGAGCATTGGAGTCATGAGATTCCTTTTTCAGCTCATGGAACTGAATGTTGCGATGTTAGTGCCTATCGGTCTCTGGAATTCGCGCTGCTGTATACAATATCCATGGATGCTGAATTTTGACTAGAAAGAAAATTTGTTTTGACGGTGGCCTTCCTCTGTCAAAGCGAGATACGAGACTAGAGCGCCTTGAAATGTCTAGGCGAAAACTTGAGACTTTCACTGGGCTCTCAGACCGAGTGTTTAGGTCTCACCGCCTAAGACGACGCCCTCTGGACATCACTGCGCACATGGTCTTCAACAAAAGAGGTCCTCAAGCAGGACAGGGTGGTTTGCCGGAGAACCCATTTATGGTCCAAACGGTCATAGAGGACTTGAAGACAAGATGGAATGGTGATGCTGTTGCCCAGTATCTGCCTCACGCACACGATATCTCGCGCGGATCCGAATATATATGGGGAAATATCACAGAGTTGGTTCCCGGAGAGGCTGACAAATATTGTGCCCATGCAGCAAAGCAGTTCGGCGCGGCTGTGTTGACAGGAGATTCGGACCTGCTTGTCCACGATTTGGGCCAAAATGGGACCGTCATATTCTTCAGTTCGATCGAGTCTAATGAAAATGATGCCGAAAGTGGACCAATCCGGATTCGTGCGACGGAGATATGCCCGAACAAAATAGCTACGAACCTAGGGATCAGGAGTGTCCAGAGATTTGCGTTCGAGTTGAAGAGGGATCCGTACTTGAGCCTGGGCAAAGTCGTCCAGCGGGCCAAAGAGAATATTGGCGGAGTGGAAAGCAATGATTCGTATATCTCGTTTGTTCAGGAATATGCGTCTTTGGAGCACCCGACGCGGCTAGATCAAAACATCCAGTTGCTTGATCCGAAAGTTTCAGAGCTATATTTGCAATATATGCGTCCGGAATTCAGCGTTGAAAATGAACAGCCGGTAATTTATCTCCCCATAATGGTTGAAAATCATTTCCGACGATGTGCATGGCGCGAAGGAAGCGAGATACGGGCCATTGCTTTTTCTATATTTAATCTTCTTGCTCCACCAGAGAACAGGAAAAATGTGGTTCTTGAGTACTCTCGACGGGGAACAAGAGTGGTTCCCACCTCTATCCACCTATTACAAGAACATGAGTTGCGGGATCAGGTGCCTGGACTCTATGACAGGTTAAAGGCTGTTCTTGATAATTGCGGCGACTCTCTACTGCCTTGGAGGGTTTTCGCAATGCAAGAGGTCTTTTTGGGCAAGAATGAAGACACCTGGCCCAGCCCAGGCCGTATCAGCAAATTTCTTGAAACGGGTCGATGTGCAGAAACGATGGACTGGGAAGATATTCACCTAAATGCCCAAATACAATCTATTTTATACTCGCTAAGAATGTTGCGACAATCGTTGGAAGTCTCAGTTTTTCCTGACAAACTTGGTTTACAGAGAGCAGTCATGCTTCTTCAACTGCTGCGAAGCCTACCGCCAATGCGGGTCCTTTCACATTCGATGAGTGATATCTCGATGAACGAACCCATCCCGAACGACCTGATCAAGAATGCAGTGGCTGTATTATTCTCTATCAGGAAGCAAAATGAAGGCCATTTTCCTGACGAGGACATCAATCCCAAAAATGCCAGTGACGATGACATAGATTGTGTCAAAAAAGCGAGAGATCAGAACGAAGAGCAGCCACCAAAACGGCTAAAAAGAACCAATAACCCATATGAGATGCTTGAAGGTATTGACTAAATTTTGATACGCCCTAAAACAAACGCCAGCTGCCAAATTAACGTTATGATACCCATGGAGCCAGCCTGTCTATCAAACCAAAAACGGCCTCCCATATCATATAAGAATGGCCTGAACAGGCATAAGACATGTGCACACAAAATTCGTCCCTTATGAGCCACTATACAGTCCATTAATGCTTCAAGAAGACCCATAGACCCATAAACTTTCATCAAAAACCCAAAGTTTCCCATAATTCATTTCCCAGTTTGAGGGTCCGGCTCCGGCCGAGGACTTACATCTCTCAAACTGCTAGCATTGTGGTCTTCAAAAGGGTTTTCCAACGGCTTTCCTGTATCTCCAAGCTTCAGCCCCACCTGCGGCGGTCCTGGATCCCGACTGCGACTTCTCCCTCTTTCGGGCTCCTCGTCCGTCCTTGTGAGACCAGCATCATATCCCGCACTATCATACGGTTCCCGTCTCGGAGTCCTCCCAAAATCCTGTTCGTCATAGTGCCCATACGGCCCTGGAGCATGACCATATGGCCCATCCTCCAACGCACCCACCCTAGTATCCCACGCCTCGTCAGGATCCGCACCCGCGCCGCGGTATGGCCCCGGACCACCAGTCGTCGGTTCCTCATACGCACCGCGATACGTGCGCTTATTCCTCAACGACTCAATCTTGTCTTTTACCCACCCGACGACTCCACCGCGACGAGGAGACGGGAAACTGCTATCTCGATATGTAGCCGGGGCGGATGTGAACGGGATATATGATTTCCACGTGGGAGGTGGTAGGCCAGCGCGACGGGCGCGCACTTGTGTGTAGATGACCCAGCCGATGCAGCCGATGACGGCGAAGAAGAGAATTAGGAGGAAGAAGAGCCCCCAGCGCATGGCGACGAGCGTGTGAGGGTTATAGTGTCACGAGTGAGGTAGGTGAGACGTAGAAAGCCCACTTTCGAATGGGCGCTCCGGAAAAGGGGGGTTGAAATCAGTGTGATGGTCGTCAATCGAGGGACAGGTCGGTAGAGACTCGGCCGCAGAAGATTCAAAGAGTCTCTCAATGTGCGCAATTTGAAGCGGCGAAGTTCGCGAGTTCGACTTTTTTTCTAGGACCGCGCGTTTGTGTCTCGAAATTGTTAGGGAAATGGGTGTCAATGATGCTGCGTGACTTTAGGAACGAAATTACATGGGTCTTTTTTAATACGTAGGCCAGGAACGCAGGTTCAGCGTACTATTTCCGAATGTCTTTGACCTTCCTGTCTTTGATTAGCCTAAGACACGGGGCAGCCTTTATCCTGGTTTTGGGAAAATGCCGAAGAGCAAGAGACAGGCGGAGATGGGAGAACAGGCAGGAGAGCAGAGAGAAGAAAGAAAGTCGAGAATTCCCTCGATGACTGCAGAGTGGTAGAAATGATGGATGAGAGCCTTGTGAGAACATGCGACGGATTTGCTTGATTTCAAAGGATCGGCATGTCGTTGATTCATCCAGGCCGTTGCGATCTGCCCTGAGAGATTCACTAGCGGCTGCGCTCTCACCAACCAACTTCAGCCGCTTGGGCGGTGCATTTCCAGCCCACTTACATAAGACCCAACGTTGAGCGTGCGCCACTCGTATGTGCTCCGTAGTTAGCCAGTAGTTATCTTATGCAAATTACTCAATACTCTGAATACGTTCCGCAAAGGTATGACAGGTTTTAGGTGCGTGAATGCAGAGAGAGTCTTTGACAGCGAGAACTATCTCGTGGACCTTAAAAATCCAATTATGCCTCGACAATACCCAACCAACTCGGCCAGCCTTCTTCCTTCTCTTTCTTGCTCAGCCTTCCACTCAACCATGGCTGTTTGCAAAGTCATAGCCCCACTAGCGATGCCACTGTCAATGTTCATATCATCCTCACTACTATCACCCTGAGACCGTGTAGCCTCAACGGCATCACAATGTACTCTCAAAAACACTGCCATCCATGTGTTCACCATCTCAAAGTCGCGCTTCTCTTTTAGCCGGGAGGTCAGTGCTGCTACAAACATGGCTAGCTCGTTTCCATATTCGCGATTAATAGGATCGAGGGACCGGATCTCCAGGTCAGCCTTGGCTGGCGAAAGTGACTTGAGATACTCGATGAAAGGAGAATAGTCGGCTGAGTCGCTGCCGGAGTGGAGGAGGGAGGTAAACTGGGATGTGTGCAAGGTGTCGCCGTGCAGCTTTTGTAGTTTTGCTATTCGCGATCGTTCGGTCCTAGTAGATCGAATTCGTTCTTCTTCAGCGCCATCTGTGGCGCCTCCAGACATCTGCTCTGCGAGATCCAGCTTTGGGAGGGTCGAAGGGAGAAAGAAGGGAGCCTTCTTGGGGGCCTTGGGCGCTTCTTTTGGCTTGTTGCGTTGCTAAGATAGTCGTTAGCGCCGTCTAATTATGGAGCGCAATATGAATATGATGGGAGAAAAGGAGATCCTACCTTGATCAAATCGAGATGGAGCAATGTTTGCCATCTGTTTTTGGGAGTTATGCTCAGTGTCATCATATTGCTATCGAGTTGTTCAGTTGATATGACCGGACCATCTTTCTCATTCGCGTTATCGTCCTCCCTGAATGCGGCTTCGATTGTAGCGACTCCGCCTTCTCCAGAGGCAGTAGGCGCAGCAATCTCAGCAATGGCGTCCTCATCAATATGTCTAGTCGGAATGTGCATAAACAGGCTTTGATTGTTCCAAAGATTGATGCCCACCTCATCTGCATGAGCCGTTGCTAGAAACTCCCCGGTAGTCGAAAATGCGAGAGAAGTACATGTATTTTGCAGCCGAAAAGCATCGATAAGATCGCCTGTTGGCAAATCCCAGACTCTGATCACCGAATCCATTGAGGCGGCAATAATCCATCGTCCGTCATGAGAAATACAAAAATCGTTTACCTGACCCACACATCCCCAGAGCTCCCTCACAAGCTTTTTGGTCTCTATGTCAATAACGCGGATAGAGAGGTCATCACAACTAAAAGCAATCAAGTCACTGGAGCAGCTGTACCGAAGTCCGGTGATGGCGCACATGGGGTACCAGTCGAGCTCGTGCTTAAGACGTCCGGTAAGCAGTTCCCAAAACTAACGAGTGTCGACCGTTAGCATGAGCAATAGCACTGTAAACGAACACACTTACCTTGACTTTGCCATCCAAGCCACAGCTGATAACCGTGGTGTTAAGGCTATCCACCATGATGCCAGTCACAGCTTTGGTATGCTTGTCCTGCCCCGACCGGGACGAGATTCTTCCTCCCGAAATATTCTCACCTTGCAGCTGCCGTAGCTTTACCCTCCTTGCTTGCGCGGGAGAGAGTTTTGCAGGAAACGATTGACGATGCATGCCAGACTGTAGGTTGTACATGTGAACTGAGCCACCGTCCGAGCCCACCAAAGCGAACGTTCCACAAGGCGAGACAGCAACACTCTTGACTTCCGTGCCATCGCCAGTTTCCAGTGCCCAGCGGCCAGCCTTCCTCTTCCCCCAGAGCCAGGTGCGTGCAAATTTATCCCCCTTGTGGCCTGTGACAACGCTCTCCCAACCAGTAGAATTCGTACTATCGGCATTTACGGATTGGGCGTTAGCCCATACGGGGCCGGCAGCAGCAGACCCCATACCTCCATCCCTGTTAAGAGAGCAAGCCATACATGTGATTTCAGGAGACTTCAAGGTCTCCGACCTTGCAACATATTCCCCGGGACCCTGAGCAGAAGCAATTTTCTTTGACTTGCTCTTGACCTTCCCCTGGGAGAGTTCGGCGTTTTGAGCATCCTTTCTCAGGCTCAATGCGTAAAGACTACGGTCTTCGCTGGCGCTGAGCAACCATTTTCCCGAAGTCTCCGATCCATCAGACCCCGGTGGTAAGAAAGCAATGGTAGTGATGGGGGCTGAATGTCCGGTCCTCGCGTGTAGAGGCCGTGGAATAGGAGAAAATGGCATCTCGTCAAATATCCAGGAACGAAGCGCATTGTCCGTTCCTGTGGATATTAAAACAGGCTGGCCACCAAGGAACTTAACCTTGTTAATGCCAGGTGGTCGACCTTTGCCGGAACTTTCATGAGCATCTCGTAAGACACCGGTTACCCGTCCGCCGTCGTTCAGATCCCACATAGTAATATCTCCGCTATCGCTTCCAGCGGTCGCCATTACCCCAGCCTTTCTTCCATCGTTTCCAGCGCCAAGGTCATCAGTCCGGAAAGAAATAGAATATACTGGGAGAGAAGTAGTGGTTGGAGAGCGCAATTGCAGGACCGGTTGGTCAGTTCGAATGTTATGAATGACCAGCGCACCGCTGCTGTAGGCAATAGCCATGAACGACAAAGCAGGGCTCGGTTCCATCGCCGTCACCATTCCAGCATCAGGGAAAGTGGGAAGTATCGTGTACAGCAGTTTCCCAGTTGACACATTCCATATATCCACGCCTCCATCACATCTACCAACAAATATCTTATTTAGATAAGTGGGCATGTTGCAGATTCTACCCGTCAAGACACGGCCCGTTGAGCTTGTCCGTTGTGTAGGAGGAGTCAGGGTAGTATAATGTTCGAGGCTGGTCGTTTTCCAAACCTGAATCGTCTTAGTCCCGCATCCTACGATCCAAGAGCCAAACACCATAAGCTCCTCGATGGGTTCGCTGAATCCGGCGGGAGGGTCAAGTTCCGCTATCTTTTTGCCCCGCTTGAACACCCACACGCCTCGGCGTTCATTGGGCAAAGAACCTCCCCATGCAGCGAATACACGATCCTTCCATGCATACGTCGCTGTGATCGTTGAAGGCGTCTGAGGACGAGTCAGGAACACCAGATTAAGGCCGCGACGAAGATCGTATGTCTGTAAACTCTTGCCGACGGACGTGGTAATTTGAAATGTGGTTTTCCCCAGAGCGACAGAAGTAAACGGAACGGAACTCGGAGACACCAGACCTAGCGTCTTCAGTCACAAGCTTGTCAGGTCATAGAACGTCATTTGTAAAATGAGTGAGGGCCCGTTAGCTTACGCGAAATGGAGAGAATATTCTTGACCCAGCTGGATTTGCGGGTTCTGCTGCTTCAGCGGCATGCTGCTCGGGCACAACTTTCTGACGCTTCGCTAACGGAAGGCCGAAAACGCCATCGTCAATTGAAGGCATGATTCTCAAAGGCCCCCAGACCGGCAGGCGAACACAATTGCTGCAGTCAAAGTTGTGCGTCGCGAGTGCTCGCGAAGCTTCGGCTGGAAAACATCGAAGTCTTTTTTCAGCAGCCGCTCGGTCTTGGCAATCGACCGCCCTAGACTCAAACAGGCTCTAGTGCGGCATCGATAAGATAAGATTCCCTGCAGGCTGGACGTTTCCCAAGCAAAAAAAATCGAGAATTTTGCCTCTGCGAATGCTGTGTTATCAGAGCCGAACCCGCTGCGATTAGCCATGGATTTCCTTGACACCTCACTGGCCATGGCGTCTTGCTTTCGAATTCAAAGAACATCCCTGCCTGGACAAGAATAAGGAAGTTTCCACGAGTCCTCCGCCTTTTCATCCCGCTTCACCGCCTTAAGCATTCCCCCAGCCCGAACGCCGCCAATATGGGTCTCACAGCTTAAGTCCGCTTTCGGAACCACAATTTTGACAGCCCAGATTCTCCCACGTACCTTCCGTAAGGTCCCCCGTCCCTTGGAGAAGAAACCGACAGATATTTTCAGCCCGATGCTTTTCATCAAGCCGTTTGCCAATCAAGTGGCGGGTCAATAGCGGAGATTGCGTATTAGAGCAGCAGATCTGACAGCAAACACACGTGGAGTAGTGGAGTTGGTGGCGGAACTGTGACTGAAACCCCTTCACTGCTGTGAGAAGGGTCCAGCGATCCAAACAGTTTTCCAGCCTAGATATAAATACTCTCAATCAGGAAGAAGGAATAGAACCGTCTGGCCTTTTAACTTTCCACAGCACCTACCATTGTTCCATCGGGGAGCACAGCCTTGCTGAGCAGTTGAGGGTCTGTTCTCTCTGAGATTGGCTGCTGCTGTCACCAAGACCCCCTAATCACCGCCTGTGGTTGCTACTGTTCTCTGAGCGTGCCCAAACGGCGATATCAGGATGGACAGCGACGACGTCACGGGCACGCAGCGCAGCGTCCCGTTGGCAGTCAGCTTTGGTGCTCCGGGCGCGCCAGGTGTGCAGGGGGAACCTGCTGCCAAATCGGGTATGCAAGGAGCCCCTCCCGCCACATCGTCACGCGGTCTCGCTGCCTCCTCGTCGTCCTCCTCTTTGCTGTGCGACAACCCGCCAACGTCGACCGGAATCGCCACTCCTCCAGGGAACCGGGATCTACTGCCTTCAGACACGCTGGGCACAAGATCCCATTCCTCTGCTGGGCTGATAGAACCAAGCAGCGTCGCTGGCAAGGGCGTTATCTCGAATGCTGCGCTGGAAGATCCCGCTCTTCATAAACCACAACGCATCGTTGCTGATCGTGAAGGCCACCGTGTTTCCTTTTCCTCACTCTACTCTCTCACTTCAAGCTTCTACTCTTCTGCAGCAGATAAGTATCCAAGCACTGCAGTATCCAGCATTGCTGGGTCCGTGAAGAGCAACATGGAGGACTCCACAAAGCAGCCATCAACGACTCTAGAGTCGGTGCGCGACTCCAAAGCACGCGTTGAGCCATCTTCTAGCTCCACTGATGCTGTACCATCTACTTCCCCTGAATCGGGAGCTCAGGGTCCGTCTCTCTGAACCTCTTGTTGCTTCTTCTGATGAGTACTAAAACGGCCTCTAGCTCACGCTGCTTCTCCCCAACGATCTGAGGCCGGGGAAGCCCTGGCTACGAATTGGGTGTCCCGGCCTGGAAGATCTTCGAGCCGGACTCCACGGCGGTTCAGTGGCAGTACCGGGGCAAGCAGTATCAGTGAAGTGGAATGTAAGATTACCGTTTCTTCTCCCACGCTTATCTTCGTTTAGGCCCAAACTAACCGAATCGTTCCAACAGACAAACCCGCAACGATTGGAAAGATTGGTGTTTGTGCCCTGGATATTAAAGCTCGAAGCAAACCGAGTCAAAATATTCTCACAAGATTGCAATCGAACGGCGAATTCGAGGTTATTGTTTTCGGTGATAAGGTTATCCTTGATGAAGGTAGGAGCCACGTCATCTCTCAGTATCTCTGCGCTTTTACACTTGCTAACTGGCTTACTAGACGTGGAAAACTGGCCAGAATGGTAATTCAGCTCGTTATTCTTTAAATACCTAATAACACCAGTACTAATTGCAATAGTGATTTCCTAATCGCCTTCTTCTCAGATGGATTTCCGTTGGACAAGGCGATTGCTTACGCAAATCTTCGGAAACCATTTTGCATCAATGACCTCCCAATGCAAGAAGTCCTCTGGGACCGCCGACTTTGCCTTCGCATCCTAGATCAAATGGGAGTACCGACTCCAAAACGAGTCGAAGTAAACCGAGACGGTGGCCCCCGACTTGCTTCCCCCGAACTTGCTCAACATGTTTACAATTTAACCGGAGTGAAACTGGAAGGCCCGGACGATGGTACAGGTGGCGGGGCTCCTCGAACTCAAAGCGTTACCATGTCCGAGGATGGCGAATCCCTTATCGTGGACGGAAAGGTTTTTAGGAAACCATTCGTTGAGAAACCAGTCAGTGGTGAAGACCACAACATCCACATTTACTTCCCTGATGATCAGCACTATGGTGGAGGGGCACGTCGCCTCTTCCGAAAAGTTGGAAACAAAAGCTCAGAATATGATCCAGATCTGAAAATCCCGCGATCCATCACTGAGCCTGATGGGAGTTATCTCTACGAACAATTTCTCCGAGTTGATAACGCGGAAGATGTCAAAGCCTATACTGTTGGCCCCGATTTCTGCCATGCTGAAACCCGCAAGTCACCGGTAGTAGACGGGGTTGTGCGTCGCAATACCCATGGTAAAGAACTGAGGTACATTACAAAACTTACTAAAGAAGAAGCAACCATGGCTACCAAGATTTCGAACGGCTTTGGTCAAAAGATCTGCGGTTTTGACTTGCTTCGTGTGCGCGATAACTCCTATGTCATTGATGTCAACGGCTGGAGCTTCGTGAAGGATAACAATGATTACTATGATAAATGTGCGAAGATTCTTCGTGACATGTTCATCAAAGAAAAGCAGCGCCGTGATGGAGTATCGGAACCTTCCGGTATGCAATCGAGTGAAACCACTTCTCCGCGAAAGGGTAGTCCGGGCTCGCACCGCAGCGCATTCAAGAGTATCCTGAAATCCCCCAGCATGCTAGGTTTACATAACCACGGAAGTAAAGGGCATCCATCTGTTTCCGGTGACGGCACCTTGGATCGTCCACCAACGCTGGTCAGATCTGAACCTTGCGCTGCTTCCCATCAAGCTAAAAGTGTCTCTCCATGCAAGAACAGCACACCGCCGCCCGCCAATATAGTTACACCAAAAGACGCTAGCCATTCAAACTCGCAGGGTACACCACGGCCACCATCGAAACACTCCTGGAAGCTAAAAGGCATGGTGGCTGTGATTCGGCATGCGGATCGCACCCCAAAACAGAAATTTAAATTTACTTTCCATACCCAACCATTTATTGACTTGCTCAAAGGTCACCAGGAAGAGGTTGTGATTAAAGGAGAAACCGCATTGCGCAGCGTCTCAGATGCTGTTGATATTGCAATGAAGGAAGGAGTTGAGGATGTCGCGAAACTTAAGCTTCTACGGGCGTCGCTGCATCATAAGGGTGCGTGGCCGGGCACAAAGGTGCAAATTAAGCCAATGTTTCGCCGACGCACGGCAGAGGAAATGCGGAGGCACCAGGGCCCTACTGTTCCAGGACCGGAAAACCCAGTCGACAGTTCGTCTAATGTTGAAGCCGTCGTTGATGGTGAAGGAGAAAGCGAACGTCGTCCAGTGACGAGAAGCGATTCTATATCGGGACCGACATTTTCGCGTTTCTCTGCTGTGGAAAATGACCTGATTCTCGATAAATTGCAATTAGTGATTAAATGGGGCGGAGAACCAACACATGCGGCAAGATACCAATCTCAGGATGTGGGCCTTAATATGCGAGATGATTTGAAACTCATGAATAAAGAGTGCCTAAACGATGTCCGGATGTTTACCAGCTCTGAACGTCGAGTTAGTACAAGTGGTAAGTAGGTTCCGTCCAGTATCTTAATTTTCTGGTCTTAACAATAGCCTAGCCCAAATATTTGCGTCCGCTTTCCTCGATGTGAAAGAGTTGCCCGATGATTTCATTCAAGTAAGAAAAGATTTACTTGATGACTCTAATGCAGCCAAAGATGTCATGGACAAGGTGAAAAAGAAGCTGAAGCTTTTACTCCGTGAAGGGAACTCCGCGCCTCCCCAGTTTACTTGGCCTAAAGAGAATTTTCCGGAGCCTTCTGTTGTGCTATCCACCGTCGTTGAACTCATGAAATTTCACCGCAGTGTCATGCGCCACAATTTCAAACGTATTGAACAAGCTCAAAAAGCATCTGAGGGTGATGCACCAAGTGACTCCCTCAATGTATCCGACATTCAAGGTCGTTGGTGCGCTGGAGAAGACTCGCAACTTTTTAAAGAGCGGTGGGAGAAGTTATTCAAAGAGTTCTGTGACACCGAAAAGGTTGATCCGAGCAAATTATCAGAGTTATATGACAGCATGAAGTTCGACGCCCTGCATAACCGCCAATTCCTCGAATGGGTTTTCTTGCCTACCGATGATTTTGTCTACGATGAGGAAGGACATGCTGGTTTAATGCAGCCTCTCGGATCCATCGAGGATTCTTATGATTCGTACTTTAAACTTTACCCCGGATCTACACCGTCAAAGCCAAAGATTGATAAACGACTCTCCAGACTGAAGCAGTTGTATAATCTCGCTAAAATCCTCTTTGATTTTGTCACCCCTCAGGAATACGGGATCGAAGATGAAGAGAAACTCGAAATCGGTTTATTAACTTCCCTGCCTCTCCTTCGTGAAATTGTGATGGATCTGGAAGAAGTACAAGCATCCCCCGATGCTAAATCCTTCTTCTATTTTACGAAGGAGTCGCACATCTACACTCTCCTCAACTGTATCCTCGAAGGAGGGATTCAGACAAAGATTGCTCGACGCGCCATTCCCGAACTGGATTACCTCTCACAGATTTGTTTTGAGTTGTACGAGTCCAGGGACAGCGAGTCAGAGAAATTCTCGTATTCTATTAGGATTTCGATTAGTCCTGGATGCCACACTTTTGACCCCCTAGATGTTCAGCTTGATTCGAGGCACGCAATCGGATGTGCTCCAAGAAGAAGTCTTACGGCTCATCAAGACTGGAAGAAAGTCATCGAGACCCTGAAGGCCAAATTCGATACGTTAGTAACCTTATTGTTTGTTCCTAGCCCTAACATAAGCTGACTATCACTTCTAGTGTCAAATTGCCCAAGTCCTTCATTGCCGTTAACCTCAGCGATAAGCACGCGGCAGCTAGACGAGGTGACGAAGAGACGAGTTAAATTGTTTTAGTATGTATCATACTGGGAGGCATTCCTGTGAAAGGAATTTCTTTGGTGTAGTGTCTGGTTGGGTTTGTTTTTGTCCTTTCCAAGATAGAGCTCTAATAGACGAGAATACGGTGGGAGCTACGTGAGCGGAGACTATGTTTATCGGTGTTTATTCGAAGATGTGTATCATTATCTTCCATAGCACAGTGCGTATTAATATTAGACGGTATCATTATTGTTTCTATTAGGCTTCGGCTCGGTTCTTTATTTTCAGGTGCTCTACAGGATAACACCCGGGCATTGTGACCTTGTTGCATTTCGTGAAGTGGAGCTGATCCCTCAGTGGAGTCGGCGCAGGGAGCAGTTTAGTTACGCAGTCATTTTTGTGACGCTCGTTGTTTACTCCTACGTACCAGGAGATATATCGAGGGATAGATAGAAGAGCTTGGCCCAGTATAATTTTGGGAGATAGAGCGACAAGCAAGCGACGAGATAAAATGTCTACATTTTCTCATGGTTCTATAGATGGGAGACCCGTTTCTTTTCGGTTGTCAGAACAGAGCAGCAGCATTGACTACAAGGACTTGGAGTCCAAGCAGACATCATCGCTTCCCTTGAACAGCGTGATTGCTACGCTTCCCCCAGCGGAAGGTCCCGATGAGTCCACGGCCAGAATTCTATTTCTTGAACATGATAACCCGAACAACTTGGAAGTTAAGCTTAGATGCCTCGAAGTGTCGGAAATACCTGGTGCATTGTGGAAAAGTGACCAGCTTGTGCCACCAGCGCATCTCGCCCTCCCCGCAGATGGTGATTCGAATGTGCATGTCGTGATATCCACACATTCGGGAACCCACGCAGCATCGTTGTTTTTCGAACACGCGCTGAAGCCTTTACTTTCGGCCATAAGCGTTACGGGTTACCATGTTCACAAGACTCAATCGACAAACAGCATTATTGAATTAAGCCAGGCTATTTTCTTGCCCAGGGCACAAGCCGGGACAGAGCAAACGATCATTCTACTTTCTGGGGATGGCGGGCTTGTGGATATCATCAAGGTGTTTTCGGGAGTGGATGAGAACGACAGCAGCGATGGGAAGAAGTTCGTACCACCGCGCATTTCTCTTATTCCGATGGGGACTGGGAATGCTGCCGCAAATTCTACGGGATTGTTTAAGGATGCCACGTGGGGATTGTCGACCTTACTACGTGGAAAGCCACGGATGCTACCGCTGTTCCAGGCAAATTTCTCGCCTGGCTCAGCTTACCTTACTGATGAAGCACGACGGAAAGAGCCCCTAGTTAGCGAATTCGACAGGGAGAGATCCGCAGCAGAAGTCTACGGTGCAGTGGTCTTGAGTTGGGGAATGCACGCATCGTTAGTAGCGGATAGTGATACCAGCCACTATCGCAAGTTTGGTGCACAGAGATTCCAAATGGCAGCCAAAGAACTTCTCTATCCGTCCGATGGGAGTCCAACGCATCAATACTGCGGCCGTGTGACGCTCATCAAAAAGGATCCGGAATCTGGCCAAGCGAAGGAGCAAGTAATTGACAGGGAATGCCACATGTATGTCCTGGCCACGCTTGTCTCTCAGTTGGAGAAAGGGTTCACTATCTCCCCTTCGTCGAAGCCGTTAGATGGACAGATACATGTTGTTCATTTTAAACCATTAAGCCCCGATGAAGCCATGGGGCTGATGGCCAAGGCTTACCAGGGCGGGCAGCATGTGGAAGACGAACGGGTGGAGTATGATGCTGTGGAACGAGTAAGGATCCAATTTAATGAGGACGAGGAGACGTGGAGAAGGGTATGTGTGGATGGCAAGGTGGTTATTGTTGAGAAGGGTGGATGGTTGGAGGCTAAGAGGTCTGGCCGCCATCTATTGGATTTGATGGTTCCAACATGGGTGTGATTGACAAGCACACAATGTTGCTAGGGATAGTGAAGTGATCTGTATGGAGTACACCTGGTCAATGATAAAGGCCTCATTTTTTTACCAAGTACTCCCTACATTGGGTGTCGCCGCTACAGCCCGATTCGACAACTAACTTTATCACCTAATCAGACTAAGTAGTTAGTTAGTTAACTAGTTACGGAGTAGTTTGGTTTTAAATGGGTTTGTGCAAATCTCGCTTTGGCAACCGACAGCTATTTGATCACAAGAGTAACCAACGAGACAATTCCCTAAATGTTACTTTTTCCTCACTGTGCATGTTGGCTTCTTTTACATCAGGAGGGGTGCCTGATATCTAATTTGGCGCTTCCCAGGACTAATCATCCAATAAAATGGGGAATAAGGAACAGTGACAGTTAAGTGTGATTTTATTCCGTTGCTTGATTCCTCAGAGGACGTCAACAGTTGATATATTTTACTGAACATCAATGGGAATTTGGGTTCAAGATTTAGGCGATCGATAGTTATATCTCTGAAACTTAGGAAAATTTGAAAGAAAATAGCAGCATCAATCGTCATATGTTGCAAGAGACCTAATCGCAGTCCAGCCATCCTAAGACCCTCGCGCGCTCTTATTTCAAGGATAGGTTGGTAGATGTTTTGTTTCTGTGCAAATAACAATGGGGAATACCCTACTTTTATATTCATCTGTTGCGTTGAGCGCGCCAATTAGCCACTACGAGTGGTCTCTTGTGATTGGGGTGGAAGCTTACTGCGGTCTCTTCTTATAGCAACCCGATAGTCACATCGCCCTTCACTCGAGCATACAGGTCAACCTCAGCTTCAATATCTAGTTCGATCTTGATCTTCAAGCTGCTGCTTTCGGAAGCTCTGGATTCTGGGCGGTCTCTGATGCGTGATTTCCGGAGGGTACCATTTTGCTGCGTGAGCTGCTGGTTGGTGTTATACGGGTATGCCTGTTCATGCTCGGATCCGACCTGAGATTGGACCTCGTAGGCGTCTGTGTTTGGCTCAACGCTATGGCATGCTGTAAGTAATGACGCAGAAACGGCCTCGAAAAGGAAGGGGGCTTACTTGGTGGCCATTCTGAACTGTCTCTGAGGAAGTGGTGTGGGAGGTTCGGAGTATGATTTCTTGAATAGGGATCCTTCGATTGACCTTTTCAGACGAAAGAATGCGTCCCAAAAGGTTGCAGTGACTACAAGGCTAAGAGGACGATTTCTTTTGTTGGCGATGATGATCGGTTGATCCTGATCCATTTGAGCAGAATTCGCAACTACTATAGACTATATATACAGGAGCCCAAACAACGTATTAGGTGAGGTGTGCTCGGGAATAGGGAAACCGTGAATCAGAGATGAGACCAATATGACACCCAAATGAAGAGACGGAGTTGGGACAATGACAGCAAGGAGCGAATAGAATCAAACAGCTACCATACGTTAGTGAGGCAGGATGAGACGCAGGGTCGGTTAACGGTCTGGTCCAGAACGGTGGATAAAAAGGAAGTAAAAGCTCTAGATTCAGCTTTCTCCGTTGCCTCAATCCTCAACCATCTTCTTGGTCGCTTCTACCCCCAGGGCCACTGACAACTCACGGTAACTGATCGCGGTACGGAGTATTGGGCTCGGAACGGGGGTTCCAGCTGCAGCGGGATGACGTCAGGGTGCTCCGTTGTGGCGCACGCCAAGACCTGGAGGGCATATGGGATGAAAGGAGCGTCACGTCGACCTCGACGACTCGAAGTTGCTGATCAGGATCCGAAGCGTTGCAAAGCCACTGACTGGGCCCATGAGGGAAACGTATTAGTGAATATTTGCGCGGAAATTTTTCGGGTTCGAATAACTCCCTCGAACGACTGCTAAGACAGGCGATATGCAACTTTAGACGTTGGATGAACCAGGCGTGTTTGACAATAGCGAGTTTCTCTCCTTCGAGTATTGGTTCGCTTCGATAAATATCATTACATAACATCACATAACATTAAGCTCTCCCATCGTCATTTTCTGGTCCACTGCATTCCCTTTCGTCTGAGGTACGCTTAAGTAAAACCAAGAGCTCCAGGGGAACGCGGAGATGGTGTTTGGTATTATAACAGCAGTTGCTGCTTGTCCCGCCATCGTGGGCACAACAGAAGCCATACGTTCCAGTCAGCGCAGCCAGAGAAGACAGGAGCATCGAAGCAGGAAAATGAACCTAATAGTTTCCTGCTCCGATCCCTCCAGAAAGAGTAAAGATGTCGATGGCTGCTTCGTGGTGTTGAGGAACCATAAGGTACGTATGGGCTACACACTCTGTGCTTGCGATTGACGCTCAACCATATCAGTTATGGATTGCATCCCGACCTTCCGATGGCGAGGCTAGTGAGCCATCCGATGATGCCACTCGCTTCAAAGCCTCCCTCCACCAGTGTCATCATTTTGAAGGCTATTTCTTCCCACATCCCGAGCATAGATGGCGCAAAGGAGAGGGGTTGGTAAGCACCATAACCGCCGATCCGCCTCTTCTCAATTGGATCTATATTGATAAAGACACTTATGAAATGAAATATGGCAACAAAACGGAATCCGAAGGGCATATGATGGGGCCATGGGATTGCACGCCTGTTGATCGACGGATGACATTCGACTGGTGGGAAGGTTTTGCAGTTGCAGAGGAGAAGGATGCGGACGGAAGAATGCTTGGATGGGCACTGTATTTTGACTGTGATGATGATGGGTTGAGGGAGAAGGTGCCCTTAGACAGAAGGGTGATGGAAGTGGAATTGATAAGACGAGAGATGAGAGTCCCACCGGTGACAGAGGAGGATGATCAGCAAAAGATCAAGACATAATTCGCATGCGGAATTGCTTTTAGAAAATCCTTCAGCCTCGGTTTTGTATGACAATTCTCCAGGATCTAGCTGTTCTCTGCTGTAGATGGAGCCGCTGAATTGAAAGGAAAGCAAGATGCGACCAACCATGGACTTTGCACTTTCTGGACACCATCCATTGCTGTCAAGATGCCAGAAAGCCAGGAAGCTAAACTATGGCCATGGCCAGGGCTGAGAACCGAGCGAGAGAGGCGAAACGAGCTGATGATTGACTTGTTTGTCCCGGATGTTCCGTTGAACGTTGGTGATTGGACGAAAAGGAGCTTGGACAGTGGCACTATATGACTATACCCAAAAAGGAAAGGCCGGAATGGAACTTTCTTTTCGGTATTACGGATACAACCTAGTCGAGACGGAACTTGCAGGTGACCAAAGGTGTTGTTCACATGCTGCAGGGGACGCTTTGGCATCATTGCAGTCTGTGAATATCATTACTGTTTTGCTGGACTATCCTTCTTGCTGCAATCTTTCTTTGATGTGTTGTGGCTTTCTGTTCCTGAGCGCACTCACTTTTTGCGGATGACGTCCTTTCTCCTGGCAGCTGCCTTCAAGCTTTCCGCTCCGCACCCTGAAATCTTGGGCCTAGGCATGTCTACGCCTCTAACTTGTCTGAACCCCAGCCTATGAGGTCAAGAAGCTTCAATGCTCGTAACTCCGCGCACTTATCAGCTGTCTCAGACTCCAAACAAAGGACTATCCCTCACCCCAGAGAATTTTCCAACTTTTCGGACCCTTCGAGGGTGGAGTATTCCGCCAGAAGAGATTAGACGGGCAGCGGAGATGTTACTCATACACCATGTCGGGAGCGTGCGTATTGGGGAAGTTGTTCGGTGAGATTTTCCGCTTGCGGCCGCTTACATGCGGACTGATCGCGAATTCAGGGGTCATCGCTGACTTGTTTGCTTGCAATAGTTACACCCTTACGTATACCCCTTCGGCGGATCGGATACTTCCTTACCCTACAGAATTATACGTTAAGATCAGGAATACTTCTGCGATTGCATTACGAGCGGCATATCTTCATGGACCCTATACTATCCACACATCCTGTTATCCGTCCACATTCGATCCTCATAACAAATTTGACAACCATCAGACGGATGGGATTCCACAGTTTGAGCCCCACCTCCAGCCGGGAGCAGCTTGGGATGCCATAATACCTGTGCCCGAGCGTGTTCGCAATGTAGCTCCCGCCAGACCTGGGGATTCCAGGTCACCAGACCAGAAAAGCATTTCTTGGATTGTCGAAATTTCCTCCCAGGTCGTGTTTTCGAATACCGCAAGCGTGACTTTTGAAGTGCTGGTCGGTCGTGATGCGAAATCCACTGAGCTGGGTGCTGCGAGCATCGCTGATTTACCCGCGCCGGGAAATCTTCGCGATCACAAACGGAGCCTAAAAGAAGGTAAAAAGGGACGCGCAGAGACGGTTAAAGGGGTGTATTCTGAATCCGTGAAGCTGAAGGTCGACGACACAGCGACTTTGTGGACCTCTCCCCGGTTTCCTTCTTTAGCAGATACAGATGCGCTGGAGAATCTCGGAACCGAGCATACGTACAATGCAAATCTGAACCCTTCGTCAAATACACCGAAGGGTCCCCATGGGATAATCACGAGAGCCAGGACACAGAAAAAGGTCCATTTTGTTGTCCTGACACACGGCCTTCATAGTAATCTTGGTGCGGACATGTTGTTCATGAAAGAGAGCATCGATGCTGCTGCATCACGGGCGCGCGAGGATCGAAAAAAGGCTAAACAGGAGAAAAGGAGGAACGCGGAGTCTTCCGCACAAATCCGCTCCGAAGAAAGCGGCAGTGATGACGAGGAAGAGGTCATTGTGAGAGGTTTTCCTGGCAATGCTGCACGGACAGAGAGAGGTATACAATATCTCGGGAAGCGGCTGGCCAAGTATGTCCTTTTGATGACATATCCTGATCAGCCATACCTTCCTATCAAACAGACGCGAAAGATGTCTCTCAGTCAAACGTTCGGCCTCAGTAAGGGTTCCGAGAGCCCAAAAGCCCATGCGTCTCACTCTGGAAGCACCATCTATCGCCGGGAGCCCGAACACAAGGATTTCGCATATCGAATAACAAGTATTAGCTTCATTGGTCATTCTCTTGGCGGCCTTGTTCAGACATATGCCATTGCTTATATTCAGAAACACTCCCCCGAATTCTTCGATATCATCAAACCGGTAAATTTCGTTGCACTGGCGTCGCCTTTCCTTGGACTCAGTAACGAGAACCCGATTTATGTCAAATTTGCTCTCGACTTTGGCCTCGTTGGTCGGACTGGGCAGGACCTTGGGCTATCGTGGAGTGCTCCATCGAAAATGCGAAGTGGCTGGGAAGCGATGATTGGAGGCCTGGGCAACGACGCAAATAAATCTCAGCGCAACCCAGATCCCGGGGCAAAGCCACTCTTGAGAATTTTACCAAGTGGGCCAGCTCACCAGGTATTGAAGAAGTTTAAGAACCGCACACTGTATTGCAATGTTGTCAATGATGGAATTGTTCCCCTGCGGACGTCTTGCTTATTGTTTCTGGACTGGAGAGGCCTGGATAGAGTGGAAAAGGCTAGAAGGGAAAACGGACTTGTTGGAACTGTAGCAGAATGGGGCTGGGCCGCGCTCACTGGTAGCTCTTCAAGCCAGCTGCGGTCTGGTCGTGCTGCCACAATTCCCGTCAATCAACACGTTCAAGGGGAGCTAGAGACCACCCCAAGTTCATCACAGCCCGATTCCAATTCTGACGATCAACGCCTTGAAACCACCCCTGAGCTTCCCGCGCCTAGTCAGTTCTTGAGTACTCAACAACTCCAGCAAGCAGATGGGGCACAGCCAGGAGCAAAATCCAACAAATCAGCATCGGCTCCTTCATCGCCCAATCCATTTAATGCCTTGATATCTTTTTTCAAGTTTCAGAGAGCTTCTCGAGAAACCAAGGCTACTAAGATTTATAGACGAAGCCAAACAATCCGAGCTACGCCTCCAGAAGACGCTGGCGCAGGGGCCTCAACCACACCAGCACAACCCCACAAACCCGGTAGAGCTCGCGGTGACTCGTTGTATGAGGATGGAGGGCTTTATGCTCCTCCAAAAACAACGTTATTTGAAGCGGCCGGGGACGTGATCAGCCCCCCTTTACCATCGTTAGGATACATTCTTGACCCCTCCTCTCGCCCAAGAACAATTTTCCACGACCGTGTCTACCATCCCGAAGATATTCCTCCGCCGCCACCCGCCAAGCCTCGGTCTATGTTCCGTACTTCGAGCTCCAACAGTAATATTAATGGCGCCGATGGTGGGACTGAGGTACCTCAATTTGGGACCAATTCGCAAGGATCTGGGATGAAAGTCGAAGAAAAGATCGCGAGAGCATACCATCGCGAAGTATCATGGCGTAAGGTTCTAGTACGATTAGAACCCGATGCCCATAACAATATCATCGTCCGACGCATGTTTGCAAATGCATATGGGTGGCCAGTAGTAAAACACCTCGTGGACACTCACTTTGCGTATACACAAGCTGCAACAACTGCAGATGACAAGGTGCGTAGCGAAGAAAGGGCATTACCACTCAGTGCCACTGCCAGCGAGCACGGCGAAGAGGTTCGAGGTCAAACGGATAAACCCACCGATGTCCCGCGCCCGTGTTTCTGTCCCACACCCAATCGGGATATTAAAGATGATGATACGACGAACGCCAGCAGCGAGGAAAATGATACTGTTCCCGAAATGATTGCGCACTCACGCCTAAATAGCCCGAGAATAGGGAGTCCGAGAATGTGCTCCAGCCCTGTTCCCATGGAGGATGCCGACGAAGGATCCCACCGACCAGTTATTGCTTCTAGGGCCTCTTCGCTGCACTCAAAATTGTCGAGACAAAGCTCAGCGCAATGGACAGATAGGTACCTTGAAGACGGCGATGATGATGACTCTGATGAGGCGGAAATGTATGACGAGTTGAGAGGGAATGTCAGAAGACGAAGTTTGAGCAGTAGGAGCGATATTGCGGATAGTACCCTAGGAAATGCGAGTACGACAACCAAAGGTTAGGATGGAAGGATGGACAAGTGAGAAGCAAGACCAACTGGTTGAGATTAGATATATATACCCCTTTGAATTTCATTTTACGTATCTCCGACTACCATACGGGGTTTACGCTACAGTAATACCCTTGTTCTGTTTTCTGCGCCTTGGATTCCACACCTACGCGCCTATACACACATCACATGCCCTTTACATAGAGAAGTTTGTTTCTATGTTTAGATCACTGAAATAATTTATTGAATTCGGTTCCACAAGGTTCAGCTACGCTCGGAATGGAGTCTTGGTGTCTGTGACCAGCGGGTTAATAGAAAGAAATTAATTATTTCTTAATGGCGGTTTGGATTTCCACTCTCGCATTTTAGCTAGATTCTAGGCCTGTATGCATTTTAATCAACAAATACTCGCCTATGAACTTCGAAGGGGGTTCCCCATAGAATATGAAAGAAAAGTATTCAAATAAGAGATATGTCGCCGGGATATAGAGCATTTCGATACTGGAAACTGAATCATAATCGATAAATAAGTAAAACAAGGGAGAAAAAGAAGCTACGGAACTTAGTAGTTATAAAACATGGTATAGTAATAATTTAAAAGAGGTTGGTTTGGGCAGGCCCCCTGCAAAGATGTCGACGTAGAATGGATCTTATAAATACCTCCAAATATGGCGTGCATGCCGTTCACTTCAGGTCATTATCTCATGTCGTTCAATCATGGTAAAAAAAAATAAATAAATAAATCGTGGGTCAGGAAACAGGGTAGATTCCTGAAGGCCGGAAAAGCAGGATTAGTCGGAGATAGAAACCCCATGGATCGTTTAGATACAAATTTCATTCCCTCCATCTCGATCGATTGAAGGGGATCGGGTGTCAAAGAATTTACCGGAAGGAAGGATATCGTGGCTAAGTGCGAAGAGGGCTGTTATCGGGGGAGCATGCCGAGGCCTAGTCTCCACTGTTGAGCTCGCGATGAGCTTGAAGGCATATCACGAGCAGTGGCTTGCTTGCGCCGTCGACGACGTCGAGCGGAATCGGGCGGCTGGGTTCGCATTCTAGGCGAACGTGGCACCTGATCTGGAGGCATCATGGGAGGATCGTCGGGTGGAAGATCAGTTCGAGTTATCCGGTCTTCTGGTGGAGGTGGGGTGTGGGTACCGGCAAATCTGCTGGGAAGATAGAAATCATCGTATATTGGAGGGAATGCGTCGTTCATGTCGGCAGGGTCAATATTAGCTGTGTACCTGTTGTTTGGGGAGTAGTCATAAGTGCTGCCGTCATCGTCGTCATCAAGACCGAGAACTTGCTGCAATCTTCTAGCAAGGACTTCATCTTGTCGCTCCTGCGCACGTCGCATGTCGAGCTCCTGCTGGTATCGAATAGGCGCTCGAACGTCTTCATTCCCTTGCTCATCCATCATCCTTCCCTGAGGGATATCCGGATAGGCCCCATCCCCAGGGGTATGATAATTAAACCACGGACAGTCGCATGTTTTCCACTTCGAGCCGCAAATTATGCAGAATTCAGCTGTGCAGCGGCATGTCATGTGGTTGCAGCCTTCTTTTAATTCCACCATCGCAGAACAGTTGTAACAACGCTTCCATCCAGACTCCTGGGCTATTTCATTGAACCTCTTCGTATCTTCGTCGTTCGGACAGTCCTTGGAACGATGCATTTTGCGGTTGCAGAGCACACAAACTTTGGTTTTGCATTTGCTGCATTTGCCGTATTTGCGCCCACAAGTAGGCCCATTGCTAGTATCTAGCTGGATGTTTTTTGGTTTTATCCATTCTCCACAGCCACGGGCCGGGCAGTATAGTCGGTTTTTGGTGGTATATTCCTGGTACTTTCGATTCCACGTATTTTTAAATTTTGAATCGAAAAGCCTATCAACGTGTTTAAGCGGAATATGATCGTCCGTACAGCATCGAGGAGGCATATGCTGTGGATCAGAGACGGACATGGTAAAGATACGCTTGAGACACTTGTTGCACATGCGGTGTGAGCAGGCAAGTTTGGCGGACTTGCTGATAGGAACATCGTCAGACAAGCATGTCAGGCAAGTGATTCTACGGGCACGTCAGTTTATTCGGACTCAAATGATAGAGAAATGCACGCACTTCTTTTCAACTGGAGGATGCGGATTGCCGAACAAGCTGCCTAGAAACATGTAGTTCGAGTTACGCTTCCCTTCTACACTAGGTGGTTGCTTCAATGATGTGTTTTTCGAAGCTTCCTTCGTCTTCTGAGAACCGGGAGTAGGGTTATTAGAGGAGGTTTTTTTCTCCTTCGAGGAAGACGGGGGTTTTGTAGAGGACGTAGAGTGCCGATGGACAGACGCCGGTCTAGAACACACATATCAGCGTTATTCCGTGTAGAGGCACAAAACTTTCTGCTGTATTGATTGACGCGCATACCTGGTCTTCGGAGTCTGCGACGCGCGCTGGGTTTTGGTTTCTGACGTAGTTCCTACACGGCTCCTTTCCGTAGTGCTGCCGGTGGCCGTGGTGCTCCTGCGGTGCCTGCGTTCTGCGCCTCCATGCATCTTGGATCGCGAGTCAGGGAGTTCCACCTCTCTTCCAGATCTTGTTCCTGATCGCGACTTTGTCCCTTCACTTTTATGATCCTCATCTTCCACAGCTCGGCTTTTGCGACTGTAATTTCTATCCTCAGTATCTCTATAACGCCTACGCCTGCGGTGTCGCGAATCCGACGCAGGTAAACTAATCTGAGACGCGGAATGCGAAGTCGTTGGCATTCTCCTCGGGGTTAATGCGACCTGCGTACGGAGTAAATTCGAGGTGAATACGGCGATCGAAGCGAAACTGTCGAGTAACTATATCAGGCAAGATTTGGCCGCGGGTTTGGGGCCGGATATTGCAATCATGTATGAGCAGTTCCCTTAGCCTACGCGATACAGCAAGGCTGCAGGCCGACAGAAATAAACCTCAACCACTGCCGACCCTCCATGATGGCTTGGAGGAATGAAAAAGTCGATGTGTTCGCTTCGATTGGTAGGTATTTCGTTACTCCTTTCACTCCCTCAAATTCTTATTTCTCTCGGTTTTGTCTTCACCGCAGATCGTGGCAGTTCTGTTCCAGTTTCGAAGAAGGGTGTATGAACCGGTTCACATGCAGCCGGTGCAGGGTTTGTGAAGTAGCCTCGTCTTCACCACGGCCAACTGTGCACAAAACAGTGACAGGCTAGAGATCAGCCGGCTGATGGATCTCCTATTGGTTACGACTAGCAATGCTTGGGCTTCTTTGCTTGTGTCTTTGCGTTGCCCACCATCTTCTGAGGGTTGGACACGGAAAACCAACGGTAACCAGCCAGCTGGCGGAGCTAAGATCCCTGGAAAATGGACTCCCTGAGCAGACAGCCTGATAGGCAAAGAATATGAGGGGTAATAGTCGCTGACCAGGCCGTAGTTTTGCGAGGCGGATTCGGCGAGAGCCCTTGCATGGATGGTTGAAATGGTGAGGCTGCTGTGGTCGCTCACACTAAGAAAAATTAAGCTGCTTAGGATCCAACCGCCGCCGTTATTATTGGACCTTTGATCACTGCAGTGCCGAAAATTCATTGGATGATGAAGGAGCTTCGCCGCGGATCAGATGCAGCGCCTCAAGTCCATGGGACTTGGTTGATTTGCGGCATTGCCCCCGGCTTTAACATTACCAGTCATTCAACTTCATTCGTAAAGACAGGCAACCCAAGCTCAAACTGTCTGGGATTTGAGCAACGGGTTTCAAGAACGGAGCAATCTATCCAGGCAATTGGTTAACAAGTCTATTATTGCTTTTATTTGACATCATACTCTATGGATTTTATTACATGCGTAAATTGAGGGTCGAGTCACTACCGCCATCATTTCAAGAAATATATAAGTCGATTGAACTGCCCAGAGAGGCCGTTTCATGCGATTTCAGTCAATAACCACAGCCGGTTTACTGGCCATAATCGAACTTCCCCTTGATTTGACCCCAGAACTCCTCCACGATCTCCTTCTGTCCCTCCCCATTCTTAGACGCGCGGACGGCCAAGTAGCGTCTTCCATCAACCGCTGCATTCCACCCGCCGGGATTGCCATCAACCATGATGCCGCCAGCTTCTGTGAGAATGACCCATCCAGCACATACGTCCCATGCCCAGCATCCCCCTTCCCAGTAAAGATCCATGTAGCCCGAAGCAACAGCGCACAGATTCAACGCGGCCGATCCCATGCTTCGCATCGAATGGACCATCGCCCCGCCTTCTTCCCGCGCCTTTCCGAGGGTCTCAAAGGTACGAATCTTCGTCTCCCAGTTGGTGCCGTGACGGTCAGATCCCCATTCCACGCCCACCAGAGCGCTAGACAGGCCCTTCAATGGCTCTATATTGTCTCCTTTCAGCGGCAACTTGGTTGTGCGGTTCAAAAAGGCTCCTTTTCCGCGGATGGCGCTATACAACGTTTTCGTAAAGGGATTGAAAACAACGCCGACAACTGGCTTCTTTTCAATCGCGAACCCAAGTGAAATACATGCGTTGGGAAAATTGTGGACAAAATTGACTGTGCCATCGATGGGATCGACGATGAATGTGGGCGCGTTGGTCAAGCGCATGCCGGGCTGATAGGTCTCTTCACCCATAAATCTGGATAATCATAGCGGGTACTCATGTCAACTTACTGCGCTCTTAGCCAGAGAAACGGGTAGGCAGCAAGCATACTCATAATCAGGATATTTACTTCTTAACGCCTTGGAGACCATCTGCTCAACAGCACGGTCCGTTTCTGTGACGAGGTCGGAGCCTATAGCCACTGTTAGCATTCAAGGCCCAAACCCATCTTCGTATGCAGTACACACTGTTCTTCTTCGACCCGACTGTGTTGACCAAGGGCTTTGCGCCTGTGATCATCTCGCCGGCTTGCTTCACCAATTCGATAAAGCAATCATGGATCTCTTGAAGATTAGGAGAGGTACTGGTACTAGTCGTCATTGTTATGTTTGATAACTTTCAAATCACACTCTTCACGTCCTTTCTGTTTGAGGTTTAGAGCGAAAAAAGACAGGAAGAGGAAAAGAGGTCAAAGTGTCCAAGAGAGATAAATAACCAGAAGTGAATTCAAATTGGTTCAAGAAAAGATCCCAATTGTCATAAAAGAAGGTAGGGACGAAAGCACTTTTTGTATGAACCCCCGGTCTATGGAGGTGAAGCCAATCAAAGCCACTAAATAACTACAAAGTAAGGTTGATTAACCATGCAGGTGCCAATGCACACTGTCGTCAGCCTGCAATGATTCTATTGTGAATGAAAGCAAAAGAGAGTAGAAGGATGCGGTGAAGCAGAAAATGCAGTCAGCTACACGACAAGAAGAGATTCATTAGAGATTTCTTTGATGAGAGGTGAGTCTCGAAATGTTTCTCAGGATTGGTTTGATTTCTTGGCGGTGAACATCGTGCGATTGATCATCCTTCTCTTAGGGCACCATGAACGAGGTCTTCCCTGCACAACATGTGCCGGTTACATCTCCAGTCCCGCGACCTGGTGGCCTGTTCATTATTTGCAGGCCTGTACTCCGTAATCATGGAAGATAGTGGTTAGTGCCCGGCTCTGAGCAGTTGAATTCTCAAACTATGTAACCTTATTTTAAATAACGTGTCCTTCAGCAGTGGCTAGCTGGCAGTCTAGTTGCAGAGGAGCTGTGCCCCCCAGGGACACGGAAAAAGGGAAAATTCAAGTCAACTTCTAAAATCATGCCTTGTCAAGTCCCTCTGGCTTGGCAAAATTCTATTCGCACGAGGAACCCATGCACAAGCAGACCTAATTAGCTTTAACATCCTGAGCATGAAGTGACTATTTCCTTGTCTCCGGACTACGGAGCACAATCTATATGTAGAAAAGTAACTGCCAAGATCGCGAGGTTTTCACGATGGAGATCACCTCCAAGGTCCCTGAGATCCGAGGAACAGGACGGGGCTGTTGAGGTTGCAATGATATTTAGCTTCAGCCACACGCGACAAAGTCAGGACAACAGGGACCGGAATACATTCAGCAGCAGAGTGAAACTGTCACAGAAATTGCAAGAGCAGGATTCTCCTTGAAAAGATAAATATCCCGAAAATACAACAGGCAATGAAAGTACGGAGTAACATATTTAGAATAAAACGGTCCGTCTCACACTATCCAGGCGGCTTCTGGCCGTGGACACTAACCCTGCATTAGCGTGTCAGCGAAAAGGTGATCCATTAAGTGGAAAAAGACAGAGGCCAGAAAATCTCACACATTGAAATACGCACGGACTTTGCTATCCTGAAGCCCGATTTTCATTTCAGCAAGAAAAAGCTTTACCTCGTCAACTGACCACTGTTTTCAGCATACCAAATTAGTCGCTGACGACATCTTGCTATGCAGGCAGTGCGCACCTTCAACACCCTCGTCAGAAGAGCCATTGCCCAGCCCTCGATGCCCTGGTCACACTGGAGCAGATTCCACTCTCCAAGTTCTTTCATATGCTTATCGCTACTCCATGTCCCGACGGGAAGCTTAAATCTCACTTCAGTCACGTTCTGGAAGCCCGCCTTTTCCATGTATCCTTTGGCGAGTTCCGCGATACGGAACGTCTTCCCTGTCATTTCCCCCATTCTGATGAACAGCTTAGACCAGACACTGAGAATATGGTGGTCCTTTAAGTTTCCTTCGTCGGACTGAAACTGGACGGACATCTCCAGTTGATCAAACCAACCTCCGGGTTTCAAATGCCTAGTCATGATAAGATTAGAAGGAGGCGCAAATGGGTTCTAAGCCGGGTTGTCCGTACGAAAGGGTTCTCTGGTAGAACGCTGGCCAATCCCCAACGGAGCCATACAAAGTGCGAACATGAATCAAGTCAAAATGGTCTTGCGGGAACGTCCATTCAAGCGTTGCATCCTCGATCTCGAATCTAACATTTGGCGGAACGAAGGCCGGTTGTATGGGTGATAAATCGGTACCAATAACTTCGGCTGAAGGATATTCGTCGGCAAAGTCACTAAAAATGAATTGTCAGGGCCGCGATTACTTTCCTTGAAAACAAATCTGCGTATACTTGCATTGCCCACTATTGAGACATATGTTAATGTATTGTACGGCACATATGTCAAAGCAGCATGAACGTACCACTCCAGTGCCGGTTCCAACATCGAGAACTCTCTATCTTGAACGTCAGCGCATGTTCAAGGTTACAAACAACCTATAACTCGCTCACTTCGATGTCACGATCAATCGGTGCGAGAAGGAGCCTACCGTTCAGCATTAAGCGGAATATACGATGCCTATACTCCTAGTTAACTAGCCTTCTGTATATGTGTGCATACGCCAATAGTGGGGATTTGTACGCGATTACGAGCTGTTCATTCTGTTGCTGATCATTCGGTGCCCTAGAATCGGACGAACGGTCAGCCAGCATAGATGTTTCCTTGAAGCCCCCCCATCATACCAGTATGCACCATAATTATAACCATGGTACCTTCGGCCATTTTCGAAGTGATCCTCAAATATTTCCAAACACAATGATGTCGTATCACTCGCGCTTTATCGACCGCACAACAGTCCATGTTAATCACGGTATGATCTATGCTGTGCACAATGTTTTCTTACCAGTCCCCATAATCTGAGAACCCACAGCAATCGGGGTCCTATTCTCCCTCCAGCTGTTAGCTAATCCCAGTCAGATTAAACTGCCTGCGTCAGGGGAAACCGTACGACGGGAATCCTAACTAAGCCAGAGGCTTGCGCGTGAGGTGCCGAACCTGAACCTGAACCTGAACCAGCCATTCCGACATCGACGCAAGATAGAAGGAGAAGGAAGGAGGCAAAAAGGAAAATATTTAAAGAGAGGGGCGGGAGGCGTTAGCTGTAAATAAAGACGGTACCACCATATGGCATTTGATATCTCATATTCATTGTCATTCGGGGCAATGATTAGCCGTCCAATCGGGTCCTGATGTCCCTTGCGCAAGGGCGCACCAGTCAGGATGCATCATGCATGGCTGACCGCCCAAACACTGACAGCTAACTGAACAAAGAAGTCCAGGGTGCCGCTTGACGAAGGGTGCGACCTTTGCTAACACCTCCTGTTACCATGAGCGGAGAAACTGCATTATTGTCAGGAAACACGAATGTGCATGCCTCCTTTTAAATGATTACCACGTGCATTCAATGCAAGAATCCTCAATCCGCGAAGACCCTCAAGTCACGGTCATCAAGTAATAGTAGATAGAGAAAACGTGGGGATTATGCTATTCCATGATCGGTGGGGTTAGGCCTGACCCAAATATTTAACCAAAATCGATGAAGTCAAACGCTGCAAAGGAAAAATAGGCCTGTTATGCCATAAAATTGTATCCGGAAACTCTACAGGGTAATCTGTATTTACCTCCTCCCCAAAGATTCAGGCTCAACAGCCCCGGTGACTCGTTGGCGACTTCGAGACTCAGGAACGAAGTTGAGCTTTTCAAATATAAAAACTCCTGCGGCTCCAATCTTTTCCTTCCCTTTACTTCGCTTCAACGCTCCGTGCCATTCTCTCTTCTTCAAACTGAATCATCGAAGAAAGCAGGAGGTCCTCTAGACATACACCGTCGCCGATATACAAGCCTCTTTGGTATCGATTACACATCTTTGTATACGAAATGAGAAATTTCGAGACCGATGTTGCTGCACGGGATCACCTGGCTTTACCTGTGGAAACCACATTTCAAAACTGAAGAAAGATGTTGAGAGCAACTTCCATTAACGGTGTGAGTGACACACTTGCACACAGGATTGAGAACACTCTGGCTGAGCGGTTGATTCGTGTGAAGAAGCGCGTGGAGAGCGGGGACTTTCGAGTTTGCGGTGCCCATGACTTAGCCCCAATCTTTTGAAGACGCCCTAAATATTGGTCCCAAGAAGCTATGCCAGAACTGAGCGTTTGTCTTCCCCATGAATTCCGGGGCTCTGAGGCTAAAAGAAGATGATGTAGGCTGTCTAGCAGCAAGGCCAGCAAAGAGAAGGAAAAGAAAGAAAGGCAACCGACAAGGTGTACCAGGACACTTTCAGCCGTAATATAGAGAAATCTGATAATTGAGAGCCAAACGCTGCTGATTGACGACGAGGCGTTTTCTTGATGGATGTTTAAGCCCAATTACTCCGTAAATAAAGAATGCCGAGTCAGCTCGGCATTCTTTATTTTGAGCAACTCTCATCTCCGCGCCACAATCCAATCGTGGGTAATGGCCCGAGTGTTCACAGTCCTTCGTAGCACAAGAGCTGAGCGGGTAGGATCGCCAACCGGAGATCTCATGGATTTCTTTCTGGAGCCGCCTCTTTCGGGGGCGCGAAGTGGTCTTCCGGTGCGGCTGCACTAGTTAGTTAGTTAACGCGGGCCCATGAGTCGGCAAAATAGAAACCGAGAGCGCGGGGACACTTTTTTTCATTCTTTTGGCGGGCGGGAATTTGATCACTCCAGATTATCGATCCGCCAGCGAGCAACCCTTTCTCTCTGGTTGATGGTGTTTTGTTTACCATCTGTACGCGTCCATTCATTGCTATACTCCCAGCTAATTCACACCGCGCCCTGGCAATAACATGCCAACTGAATTGGAGGAGGTATATCAAACAACCAAACCCCCGCCCCCGCCCCCCGGGGGATTTATTTCCTTAAGAAAGTGGCTTCGACTTATATTTTAATTGTAGCTTGTCGAGTTCCTTCATCATGGGAACTCGCAGATCAGACAGATCGGTAAATAGCTCCCCCGCGACATCCTTCGCCCTATTGTCCGTGAACGGTAATGCTGAACCGCCTTAGCATGCGAGCATCTCGTCGGATACTCTACGTCCCAACCCTCCCTCTTTAAACGGCAGCAACTGTTACCAATTCGTGATCTTAAATTGCTTGCAAGGGACTATGCTGTATGTCCGAGCTCGATCATTTGGGTGGGACATAACATAGCTGACACCTTTGCACTCCGAATAGCCCATCGCGAAGAATGCGCTCACCATGTTGGTTAATCTTTCAGGGGACGAAGAGGTTTTGAAGTTATTAACTGAGGATGATGTCTTTTTGGAGACATTGTTGGTAAAAGTAACCGTATGTAGGTTACTGCTTCTGCAGCTTTTCCCCCGGCGCCTCCCTCCCTGGGCGTGGCCTTTGGGCTGACGGTGTTTGAGCAACAGAACGTGAAGGAGCCAAATGCGAGTGAGATTACGATGCTTCTTGCCAACATGGCTAAGTCCGATAGCATGAAGCGAATAATTAGCCTAACCCGAGCCGTGCCATCCGGAGCCTCCAAGTCTTCGAAGGCGATGGATCAGTTAATGGACTGCTTCGTCAAGGGCAATGAAGGTGGACTCAACAAGTCAAATGATACAAACTACGATTACCTCGCCTATTTCTTCGCAGATATTTCAAAGCACGAAGAAGGCCGTGCGTACTTTATCACGGAGCAGGAATACGACTCAGTCATTCCGATTACAAAGCTCACCGTTTTCACAGAGCACCGTAGTCACATCCGAAGAAAAGGCGTGGCCTCAACTCTTAAAAACATTGCATTTGAGATTTCTGCACACCCGAGCTTGTTGTCAGAGTCGCAGATTAATATCCTACCGTATGTTCTGCTACCTATTGCGGGACCGGAAGAATTCGATGATGAAGAAAGTGCGGCAATGCTCCCGGATCTTCAGCTTCTGCCCCCAGACAAGGAGCGAGATAGCGATCCTGAAATCATCACCACACACTTGGAAACGCTATTACTGCTGACAACCACCAAAGAAGGAAGAAAAATAATGAGAGATGTTCAGGTGTATCCCTTGATCCGGGAATGCCATTCCCATATCGATGACCCAAAGGTGATGGAAGGGTGTGATCGATTGGTGCAAGTCCTTATGCGCGGCGAGGAAGGCGACGAAGATAAGGACGCAGAGGCGATGGAGAGAGCAAAGGCAAAAGCTTTAGAGGAGGCGCCTCGGGAAGACGACGAAGACAAAATTGTTGAAATTTTTTGAGAATAGCAATTAAAAAGGCTCAATCCATGTATGTTTATACTCTGTACGGAGTACTCCGTACTCCTAACAGAAAAGAAGTTCTCTTTACCTCCCTCGTAACAACCTCTCTCCTGCCAAGCACTGCGCATGCAAGTTGGTTCGGCTGATCCGCAGCGGCTAAATTTTTACCGTGTTCGCGTGGGGTTCCCCGTCAAAAGTCAATTGAACCGCTTCCGCCTCAACATCTAGTCGCGAGTACGGAGTAAACCACCACTCTGGGACCTCAAACAAACCAAAACGTAGCAAAAGGGCAAGCGTTGGGATGAAAGGACGGCCGTCATGGGTACTCCGGGCCGATTGACATGGTAACTATGAAACCGCGCGCTCATCAACATTAAATCTACTTTTGGCTCTGTCAAGTGAACCTCTTATCTAACGCGAACTCGCTGAGAAGGAATACATCTCGACTCCGATGACACACCCAGTAGTCCAGCCATGTATCGCCGAACTCCTTCGAACCGGGTATCACCCACCCGAGCTTATTCTACGCGTCGAGCGCGTGATTGAGGTTCCCATCATACTCGCATCGCGCCAATTTATAGGTGACACGGGACCTTCGGTATCATGCTCGTTAGCGGTACCAGGCTCGAGTGAAGAAGAGCGAATCCCGACACGCAAGACATATCGCATTTTCCTAAGCGATGGAGAGCTGGTTATCCAAGCGCTGTTAAAGCGGGAATTGCACTACTTCGTGTCCACCGGTGAGGTTGTGCCGGGAGCGGTTCTTGGGCTGGAGAGATTTGAAATAAAGAAGGCGGAAAGGGTTTCTAGCGCTGATGTCCATGCGAAAGATAAAAGTGAAAGCTTAGGCCAGATTGTCTTCCTCGCGGTGGAGAGGTTTCGGGCGGTTGATGGAAGACTCAGACCTGAACCAAAAATTGGCGAGATTCAAATTGGAATGCCAATTCTAAAGGTAAAGATGGTGGCCAAAAAAAGAGACAGAGATGAGCTAGACGCCAGTGAGCCGTTGCGGCAAAAGAATGCTAGGCTCCCTGATCCTGATCAAAAATCCGACACTTCGAAAGATACATCTCCGCCACCAACAGCCCAAGTTCAGGACAGAATTTGCAAAACCGAAGAATTTTACGAGAGTATCCTGGACGATACAGAAATGCTTGCTTCAGGCTTTCTTTTGGAAGACACACGCGAGCAATCGCCGGGACTTAGCGCTAGGGCATCGACTTGTGGAGCAGCTGAGGGTATAAGGCCCCGGACTCCTGGAGCAGCAGACCTCACCATGTTTCCTTTTGAAAGCACATGGCTGCCCCCCACCAAATCTCAGGCCAAAACACCCAATGCCCACGCACAGCCTATCCGATCTTTGTCCATTACTCGTCCCCTCAACCTCTTTCTTGTCCACGAGCTTCTCTATCCGCTTCGTGCCCTTCCAAAACGCAACTATATTGTTGACGTCTTCGGCGTAGTATCCTGGACCTCGCCCAACACCATAACTCGCCGAAACATGCCTCCCAAGCGCGATCTACGCATCGTAGATTCAAGTTTCACCTCCCATCCCCAGCGCAACCAGCACCCTAGTAATACCAAGTTAGAACTCGGTATATCGGTGAGCGTGTTTGTTGATGCGGAGCGATTCTGTCCACCCGTTGGAACAGTGGCATTATTCAGGAGTCTGAAGACCCACGAGTGGGAAGGTATAAGCTTGAATGCGTACGAAAAGGATTGCGGAGGCGGGAAAGAATGGTTTATTTGTGACAAACGGAAGCTCGAAGATGCTGGATACGATGTTGTGGGGATGAGGAAATGGTGGGAGCAATGGGATACAGAGAGGAAGAAGAAGCTTGAAGAAGACAGGCGCCGCTTTGAAGAAGTAGAAGCAAATAAACCCTCCTCATAACGCGGATATGAAGGTATCTCCGGAGGCAGGAATATGATGGAATCATCGCAGCCCGTGTAACTGGGAACTGAAACTTGCAGGAATCCTATCCATTTCTATTTCAAGAAAACAAAATCATGTCGAAAATCTAATATTGAAACTGCTCTAATTTCATCTACCACTGTTGGTGTTAAACCTGAGGTAAACTGTTTAGACAAGACCTGAACTGGACCAAACCAACAAGAACAACGTATCTTTTTTTCTTTTTCGCTCTTTTCTTTTGAATATGAGAAAGGCATGTAGATGATTATGAAGGGAGGATAATGGGGGTTGGGATAAGTTGCAAAGTCCTTCTTTGGCACCAATTTCCACTAGCTTCATCAAATCCTTATCTCCAATCTCATAATACCGTGCATTGCAAAAACATAATGATGTGACTTTCTATAAGGAAGCTCACAAAAGAATGACCATGAACAGGTAATAAATATGAGCAATTTTCACAGATACTGATAATAACACAGAAACATAATAAACCAGACCAATCTGGGGAGAAAAAAAAAAAAAAAAAAAAAAAAAAAAGAGGGTAGTTCGAGCAAAAAACATCAAGAACATCAACAATATTGTATTGAACTTAATCTGCAGGGTTGAGCGTAGCGGGGATACGATCGTCGAAAATGTCTTCCCCAACTTTATCATTGTTGTTAGCCCATTCCCAGCCGAAACCAGGGACAAATTCTGCACGATTCATAATCATATTCACACGTTCAAATTCGCGCCTAATGATAAAAACGGAGCCCTTGGAGATACTCTTTGCCAAGTTGTTGTTGGGGTTGAACGGATCTTCGATGGCGAGGAAGTTCCAGGTCCGAGTGCCGTCCTTGTTGAAAAAGCTGCAGTCCCAGCGCTTCGTCTCTTTGGAAATCAAATTTGGGTTGCGAATGGAGACAACGTCATTCTTCCAGTTAAACTTAGAATATCTAGTTGACCAGCGCCGGTTGCCCGATTCCGCTGGGGAGTAGTAAGTGAAAAAGCCGCGGAGGAGTTCACCAGCTGACTGGCGGTTGGATGTCAGTATTCCCTTGCCAGCAACACGAGCAATTTCTTCAAAGTTATCCCAGAAGAATGTTTCATGTCCTTCGATCCATTCAAGATTCCGCATTCCAATGTTTGAAAGCTGCAGGTTGGGAATAACGGGTGGCGTTGCAACTTTCATCAAATAGTGAAGGAGCATGAGGATGTAGTTGAACGACGGCAAGGTGCCAGCCTTTGGATCATCGATCTGGCGAGCATGGGCCCAATACTTAATGAAAACACCCATTTCGTAGACTCGATCGTCACAAGCCCGATAGCATCGCAAAAGAGTCGTGGTTCGCATTTTCAAGGCAACGTTCTCGAAATGAATATTGTATAAAGGGATGCACTCGGAGGTTTCGTCCTCGCTTTTCTCCTGGACAGTGAAGCCGATTGGCCCCTCCGGCTCCGTATACACGTTAAAACCTGCCGCAATGTAAGCCGCCTTGAAAAGGCGTGGCAGCTCGGAGTCCAGGATGGAAGGGACACCTCTAGTGACAACAGTCAGGTCCATCTCGGAAGAAGGGATTGCAAAGCCAGAGCAGAAGCTGCCGAAACAATGCAATGCCACGGTAAAATCGCTTGTTGGTAAGCCTAGATCAGTCATACGTTCCCTGATAGCCCTAGCTGCAATCTTGACCAACTCAACCCGAGTGGCCTCGCGTTCCTTTAATTGACCATCTGACATTTCCCACTGCGGAACGTGAGACGAAAGATATTCCATGTAGTCCGTCTTAGTCTTATTATATTGGATTCTGGCAACCATGGTGCGGCTGGTTTTGCGTGGAGGATCTAGGACGTCATGCTCAGCTGTAGGAGAAGGCCAATCGACATTGTAGCGAGCCAGCTCATACTTTTCAACGGTGGAAATCTTGGGCGGAGTAAATCTTCCAACGATGACCCGACGGACGACGGAATTCTGGTTGTCAAGCTGGGCACTTGCAAGCTGCAGACGAGCATGGACTTCGGGTGGGAGGTTCAGGAATTCTTTCTTTGAGGCTTCCGAAACATAAGCAATGGTCCCACGCCCTTCCCATTCGGTAGTCTGTTCAGACTTGGGAACGCGGGCCAAGCGAGTCATTGCCATGTTGGACAAGTGTGGCAGAAATGCATCAATTCCAAAATATGATAGGAGAAAGAAAAAATAAATAAATAAATAAATAAAAATAAAAGGCTTTGGAAACAAATTTTGGTTGACAAGAAGTAATTTCGTGCAGTTTTAAGCCTATTGCAGCAGAAAGGTGGTAACGATGAGTAGAAGAGAAAAGGTAGAAGGTGGCTGGGAAAGGGATAAACAAAGACCACCACTGTGGGAATCTTGCCGAAGATATACCTGGGGCTGGAGGGTAGGGCTTCGACTGCCTTCAATAACACAAGAACGAGCACGCAATCCTCGATGTCAAAGGTTTCCTTGCGCTGACACGAGATTAGCTAATTCCGTCGGCCGTCTCCGTGAGTCTGAAGTGCAAGCATCCTAAAATGCCTTGGTATAGGAAGGTATATCTCTAATGCGTTTCAATGTTTCGCTGCATACAATCCTGAGATACGTCTGATAGCCTTTGGGTCAATGTAGAGAGTTGGTATCATGTGCGGGTTTCCGCGCCACTACGTTCCAATCCTGAGCGATATCCATGATTCACCGTTGACCATAAGGGCGTGATTGGAGCCTTATTTTCGACGACTTGAAATAATAGCTTAATCAGGGGCCCTTCAGATTCATAGGGCATATGGGTATAGTGGCACAAGCTCCAATGTATGTACATCAAATAGAGTGTTTACTCCGGTTTTCCAGTCTCAACCACCCTGGCCTTGAGTATCAACGGAGAGGAAATAAATCTGGGAAACACGTCCGGGAGGAGTGTGGCATGGATATATAATCAGATCTCTCATAGCTCTGATAAGCCCTGGTTTGTTGCCACAGCAAATGCAAAAAAAAAAAAAAAAAAAAAAAAAAAAAAAAAAAAAATTATTATTTACAGGGTACGGCCTTTGGATTAGACCGTGCTCCCGTTTCTGAGGATCTGAATCCCCTGCCAAGTTGAGAACTAGGAGAATGATGATATTGTGCCATCAATGCACAGAAGCACATATCAACAAGGCCTATAACATATGTGCCAAAACAGCAGTGCTCCCTCTGTCCAAGAATGACCTGCCAGCCATCAAATGTAATCATATCTCTGTAGATATCTCTTAAAAGCTGTGAAATTTGGACCTTGTGGTGAACTGACGTTGTGATTAATGGGGAATAGTTATTCCGTGGTGCTGAGCTTCGTATGCACTAGACCATGCTAGGTTAATTCAGGAAACTGCTTAGTAATTAATGCATCTGACTAAGCAGCTCATCCTGAAGCGCTTCCGGCCCTGACCTCATTGCTGCTTCTGTTTTGCTCGTCCTGCTCAGCGCTGGCTCGGGGGATTCCTGGAGCATCTTCAACCATCCTGCTCAAGTGTTCTTCAGCAGCGCCTGAATCCACATTATATGCCTGGTCTACATTATTCTTTCTATTCATCAAACCGTCGTCCAGCATCAATCCTCAACTGACGGAGTACAATCTCATCCATTGACCCTCTAGCGAAGCTCTCTAGGGTGTCCTAAGAGAGATCGAGTTCCACAGATAAAATATCACTATATTCTCTGGACTCTTGTCTTTTACATACTCGATTTTCTCTATCCCCATATCATGAGCTCGGTCCCGCCAAACGGGCCGCCCGGTCGAGTACCTCCAGCTGGTCGTGCTGGGCCTTTTATCAAGGTTCGCCGTCCAAAACCCGCAGACCCGCTAGTGCGTCCAAAAAAGAGACCGATTCCACGCTCTCAAGGTCTGGCGCCGGGTGGTGCCCCTGTTGCCAATGGACAACCACGCCCTTCGCCACAACTTCCTCCGAAACCTCAATCAAATACCTCCACCCCGAAGCCTCCTCCCATCCCTAGTGCAGATGATATGACTGTGAATGGCTTCAGCGGGCCCCTCCTTTGTCAGAATTACGTCGATTTTGCATTGGTCACTACCAAACGTGCTATGAAGGAGGGCTTAAAACACCATGTCGCCAAATTCTTGTCGAAAAAGAATATTGATCCCAGAGACGAATCGCAGTTTACACGTCCAGTCCGACTCCAACGTCGTGACCCGAGAGCTACCACTGAGCCACCGCCGATCGAAAGACAACAGAACGCGCAGAAGGGACGAGAAGGAAATCTAACTGAGGCCGAACGAGAAGCGTTAGAGGCCAAGAAGGCTGCTAGAGCCAAAGAACGCGAAGAGAATCTGGCACAAATTGCCCCTTCAGCTTCTGGTGGCCCTAAACGCACAAACGTCCCGAAACAGCGCATCCAGCAGGTGTTTAAATCGGAGATGACACCCGAGGAGATCGCGAAAGCTCGCGTAAAATACGAAGAAGCGCTCCCTTGGCACTTAGAAGACTTCGATAATAAGAATACCTGGGTTGGTAAATACGAGGCCGCCATGTCTGAGACCTACGCGATGTTTGTTCTAGAGCAGAATGGCAAGCTGCGGCTGGTTCCAATAGACAAGTGGTATAAATTTAGTGGGAAAAATCCGTTCAAAGCTCTTACCATTGAAGAAGCTGAAAAATACATGTCCAAGAAAATTAAAGATCCACGGTGGTTCATGGAAAAGGAGCAGGAGCGAAAGCAAGAGCGGGAATTAGCAGACTTTGCGAAACAACGTAAAGTTTATACGGGAAGAGTGGTGTCTTCTGGTGTTGGAGAAGGTGGCGAAGGCGATGATATGGACTTTGAGGAGGACAGATTTGCTGATGATGAAGAACATGTTGTGGTGGAAGAAGATGAGGAAGCCAAGCTGGCGGAGAAGCGTATCAAAAAAGACCAATTAAAGGCTAACGTATTCAATTTAAGGGATGAAAGGGATTATGAGGCCGAGGAGAATCAGGAGCGAAGAGAGAAAGAGGCGCTTAAGGAGTTTGGAAAGAAGGTTCGGAAAGCCCTCCAGCGGCGCGAAAAGAACTATGACTATAGTAGCGGGTCTGATGCCAATCCCTGGTCTGAAGATGAGGTTAGTTCGCTCTTTCGCACCACAGTATCCTTATCAAGTCATCCTTGTCTAATTATTTCAATCTAGAATACGGACGAGTCTGAAGCCGAACGAATTAGAGCGGAGGAGGAGAAGAAGGAAGGAGAAAAATCATCTGCGCCCCAGACAAAGGGTACAAGTACACCATCTGATCGGGGAAAATTCACAGATGCGTTGAAAAAGGGTCCCACGCAGCAAATGAAGAAACGCCCCGGTTCACCAAACGTTTCCGACGCCAGCGGCACGGATACTCCACGCAAGAAAGCCAAGAACAAACACATCGCCCAGCCATTGTCTACAACAGGCTCCAAACCTGGTTCGAGACCCATGTCTCCTGCACCGTCGACCACTACTTCCGCTACTCAACGAAAACAGGATGCCACAAAACCAGCTGGGAAGAAACGCATGCGGAGTGGAACCGGCGGTGCGGGCTCTGGTAGTGACGCAGAGCGAGGCGCCGCCTCCGGTGCAGAAGTGAGCGACAGCGCAGTAGCAAAGAAACTGAAAATCAATCCTCCCGGCGTGTCTTCGAAGAGGGGCACTCCAGCCGGTTCCCGCGCCGGTAGTCCTCCTGGTACGTTCATCATCATCGGCATTCCTTTCCCCTAGATTCCCTCCCATCGCCTATCTGTCTAGAAGTCCTAACAAAAGCTCACCTCTTTCTAGTCCGCCCATCTACCCCCGCAACAGCCACAACTGCAGCCCCAGTCGGATCCTTCCCCACGCACGCCGAGGTCCACGCTGCCATTCCTCCTACCGGTATTTCATCCGGTGATCTGCTCAAACTCTTCCGTCACCGTCTAGGCGATATGAAAACCAACTATCCGAAATTCATCGCCATCGTCAAAGAGGTCGGCGTGTTCGCTAAGGAGGATAAATTACTGAGACCAGCGCCCAATTTCAAACCTTCTGGTTCTTGAAAAAGAGCATTAAAAAGAAAAAAAAAAAAAGACTAAAATAACATAAAAAGAGATAAATAGGAAGGATGCTTTATCTACTCCTTGCTTTAAAGTGAACTTCCTTTGCGCTAATGGCTGGCATGGTGGACGCATCCTTCTGTTAAGACATTGCCCAAGGCCGATTCATGGACCAGTTATGCTATGATGTAATGTACGCATGTATTCGATTGATAAACTCCGTACTATTGGGAGTTTGGGCGTTTTCACTTCGCAGAAAAGTAGCTAGTCACCATAAAGCTACCTTACCTATAATGCTCGAAAAGCCAATTGAACCACAGTCAAGATGGGAACAACTGTATTTTTAATGGATTAGCAGTTTTCACGGGATATTCCTATATATTGAATTCTTGCTGAGCAATGATGAGGCTTTGAAAATCAGGGAACACTTTATTTATCTATCTCAGAGCATGATCTCATTCTCATTACACAGGCGTTCTTCAACAGTTCAAAATCACATAGACACTTAATCAAACACAGTCAAAAACATGTTCCAGATCAATGGCAAAAGGGGAGCATTCAGAAAAATAAAGCTGTAGGAAAGAAACATCGATAGGGCACATGTACCATAATTTTTGTATTAAGAAGCTCTATATTCATACGTAGTGCAGGGAATATTAAGAAAGGTGGGAAAAAAAGGGGTGGTTGGGGCATGTAATCAAAAATTACGAAAGAACTGGACGTCTTTGATGCTTTTAATTCCTAGCGTCCAAGGGGTCTTCGTATTTGTCCCAGTTAGCCAATACATGGCCGATGCGGGGAGAGTTGGTAAGTCGGTACACATCCTCGAAGTACTCTTTGGTGATCTGGAAAGGACGTGCAGTGACGTTGGGAATGTATTTGCCGATCAACTTGCTGGGATCGATGGTGGACTTATTAATCTTCTTGAGCAAGAAAGATCTGAAAGGTTTCACGCCAGAGCGAAGGAAGGTACTGTGGAATGGCACGTCGATTCCCTTCAGAGGGATTGTAGCGAAACCACGCTCAAGGGTGAGTGGCTTAGGCTTTGCTTCGGTTTGTTTTCTGCATTCCTTGATGATTTCGACGAGATGGGCCTTGACGTCTTCCAGAGACATGGTCTTCATCAACGCTTGGATGTCGATCTTCTGAGCCTTGAGAACATTAAGGACATTTGTAAGGCAGTCAAGAGCTCGAAGCTGTAAAACTATTAGTGCACTAGCTCAGCAACACGGGAGTACAAGGTAGACAAAAACATACATCTCCAGCACAAACATATTGCATGTTGGCGACGTTATAGTTGACAATCTCCAATAACCAGCCACACTCCTGAGAAATATTCTCAACCACGTACTGAAGAGCCTGCTCGTTGAATGTCGGAGAGATGCGGCTTGGATTGACAGCACACATGGAATAGTTGGATCGACCTTGCTCATCACGTTCGACAGCCACCTGCATGGTCAATCCGCGGTAGAACACAACGGACACCAAACTCTCGATGGGCATAACGTCAGCAAGGGCAGCAAGGGCAGAGTATTCGCCAAGGGAGTGTCCAGCAAATGAACTGTCACGCTGAACCAAACCCTTGGACCGCATATCCTCGAAACTGGCTTTTTCCATGAGGGTCAGAGCAGGCTGGGTGAATTGTGTCGCGGAGAGGAGGCCTGATGGCGACCTATACGTGTAAGAAGTTGACTGTTCATTCACTTCCTTGAAAATCTTCTCTGACTTGATCGTGCCATCAGCGTTAACAGATTCGAAAGTCATGGACATATAGTTCTGTCGTATTTTCTTTCCTCGTGGGCCACCAAAGTGAATGGTCAATTCACGCGGGTTATTTTTGACGATGTTGATGATAGAGAAACCATAATTCTCCAAGAAATGCTTGTCGGCGCGGTCCCAGACCTCTTGCGCAACAGGACTCGAGTTGTAGAGATCCATACCCATACCTTGCTCTTGAGAACCCTGGCCAGTAAATACATAAGCAGAGACGGGTTGCTCAACTTCAGCCTCACCAAGCAAGACCTTGTCTTCCGTTGCTTGGTTGCTCGTCTCGACCTTGATGATCTTTCGTCCGGCAATCATACCCACATGCTGAAGCTTGACAACAAGGTCATCATTGGGAAGAACCATACCAACAAGGGAGGCATGGAAGCTGCGAACACGACCAATATTGTTTTCAGCGGCCCAGGTTTCGACTAAACTTCGGACTGCAGCACTAGTATACATGCCATGTGTGATGGTGCCAGGCAGATTTGCGTAGCTAGAGAATACACGAGAAACGTGGATGGGATTGTAATCTCCAGAGACGCGTGCATAGGTTTCATTGGATGCAGGAGCTTTCAGGATAAGTGGTGTCTTGCCGCTAAGTGGGATGGGATTCTCGAAGTGAACGGGCTGCTCGATAGACTGGCCGTGGCGCTGCAAGTAGTCAATTACAGGATTTCCATGGGAAGTTCCAGCTTCGTATTCGACCGACGCAACCTGGATGATTTCCTTGGTTGGCAGTTCTAAGAGCACTTGACCCATTGTCTCAACGCTATGGAAGACAGTCTTGTTCTTGAATCGAACGGTACTCTGAAGGCGGAAAGTGAGAGTTTGCCCGAGAAGCTCCACATCAGGGTCATCAAGGCGGAACCATTCCTTAGACTGAAGAACCGCGACATCCTTGGTTGACGCCAGATGGACCTGCATAGGCACCTCCTCTTTGCGCTGGAATGTCGTCTCGTAATCGGTATACGTGCCTCTGTAAAGGAATTGACTCGTGACATGCATTATCGCCTGGCCATCTCGCTTGATTGTACCACAGACCTCAACCATCTTTCCGGAGTCTTGGTTGATGATCGCATTGATCTGAGCAGTAGTCTCCAAAACGTCGCCAACTTTGATTGGCTCCGCCCCGGGAACCATTCGAAAACCATTTGACAAGTGCACCAACTTCAAAAGATCTCCATCAATGACGCGAGGGAAAATTGGCTTTGTGATTGCTTTCCATCCAACAACAATAGCGAAATCCATAGGAGCATATACCTCCTTGCCCGGGCGGTCAACAAAGGCTTCACCAGTATTCCCGACAGCATGCACGAAGTCAGCAATATCCTTGGTGACCACGGTTGTGGATCCTCCATCAAACACGCTGGTAGCAGGCGTATCAAATGGAACAGATTTCTCGGCAAACCAAATACGATAATAGAACTCCTTGATGCGATCATTGCGGCCTTCCATTATCTCTCTGATCGGTGCATAGCCAGTTTCCGGATGATAAACGAATTGGAACACCAGTGGAACAACGCCATTTTCGGCCGTCCTTCCCTCGTAGAGCGTCAGAGAGATCTCATTTTTACTGCTCATCCGGACTTCAACGGTTTTCACTAATTTACCAGACTGGGAGGGTTCTCGGACGCTGATAACCGTCTTCTGTGGCGTATCCGGGTTGGCAATTTCAATATACATTCCACGTGTAGGAGCAAGAAGGCGCTTCATTGGGTTAGATTGGAAGCGATGGCCTTGGATGAACACTTCGGCGGTGAAAAAGGCGTGTCTCCAGGAATACGCTTTTCCGGCAAGGAGATGGAGCCAACGCTCAAGATCAGGCAGATTTGCAGAAGGAGAGGAAGATAGCCTGTAAGAAATCTTTGTCGAGTCTTCGGAAACGGTCAGGCCATCGATGTCACGGTCATCCTCGTTTTCAAGAAGCAAGCGACCGCCGAAATATTCCACAACAGGGACGTTAGATTCTTCTCCGTGATAGACATCGCGGATAAGACCCTTGATGTGATTGCGGTGAATACCCTCAAGAATGTCTTTAACCGGCTCGTCGACGCTATTCGAGTATTTAGCCGCCATCGGGCCTTGCAAGATACAAACGCGGCCGACATCTTGACCCACGACAGCCTCAAGATCTTCAGACTGCCAGAGGGAATCTTTCTTGAACCAGAACTCAAAGTTTTCATCGAGTGCAGGGACAAATGGGACTGGCTTTTGACCTCGTCTTTGACAGAGCAGCAAGAAATGTTGCACATCTTGGGCGCTAATGAGTTGGGAGGAAGCCTCGGGGTATGCCTTTAGAATATCACTAACAGCGGGGTATGGCTTATCGAGTTGAGAGTAAGATTGAAGCAGAGATGCTTGTCCTTCGGTAGATGTGAACCGTTCTTCGACACGACGGATAAAGTCGCCGGTGAGGCGTTTCAAAGAGTCATCAATCCATCGTGACTGGTGCTTCACATACATCAAATCAACCATACGGTGGACGACCTCCGCATAAGTCATATCTTCAAGATCGACGGTATTTCCGGAGGAGTCACGACCGAACCAAACCTTCTGGAAGTCGTCATTCAACTTTTTGATGATGTAGTCGCGATTCTTCTTAAGTTCGGGAAGACGCTTGGCTTTGTCCAGAGCAAAGATTCTCTTGTCCATCTCAGCCCAGAGCAAAACACCACGAGTTGCAAGCTTGTGGATTGGTTCACCCATCTCAGATCGCACCGTGATGACACCGCCAGCAGGGCCATTATAGGTCTTCTCCCACTCACTGTCATCGACACCCGGGGCAGCAGCAATAGCTTCCTTCGCCGCCTTGGAGGTGTGTGCTTCCTTCGCTGTCATCATACGACTGCCAAACATGCATCCATCAAAGGGCATGGAAGGATAGCCGAACTGTCTAGACCAAGTACCGGTCAAATATGGGTAAGTATCTTCAGCGCCACCAAAGCCGCTACCGGCAACTAATACTATATTATCACATCGACGGATACGGCTGTACATCTGCAAGATCGGCTGGTGGAAATCCTCAAAGGAATGGTGACCGCCGCCGCGACCACCAGTCCATTGTAGAATAACTGGGAAAGTTGGGTTGGCTTTGGCGATATTAATGACCTGCTGGATAGCCTCCATGGAACCCGGCTTGAAGCCAATGTGTTTGATACCAAGGGTCTCGATATATTCGTTTGCGACTTCAATAGACGGAACACCGGCACCAATCGTAAGACCTTCAATCGGGACTCCATCAGCGCGGAGTTTGCCGATCAAGGGTATCTGCCAACCCATCGCACGGGGATTGACGTAAATTAAGTTAACAGTGATACCACGGCCGGGAGGAATTGCTTTCTCGATTTTGTGCAAAGCCTCTGTCATAGTTTTGGCATTGTAATAACCACCCCCAGCAAGCTCAATCTGGTAACCAGCGGTCATGGTGGCAGCAACGAAATCCCACGGGACGGTGGTGGGTGTCATACCAGCAACCATGACAGGCGGAACACCCAGAAGCCTACTCATCTTGGTGTCGACAAACGTTTGACCGACAGAGGTTTTGACCAAACGAGGACCAAATTCTTTGACCCAATTTACCGCATATTTCACCGCGTGCTCCTCATCTCGATCAAAGAGCTCAGGTTTATAGCCAACTTCAGCGTTTGTACCGTCCATGGATCCTGCGAGAATGACTCGCACTCCGGTACCATCCTTGTTGCGGTTGGTCAAAACCCCAAGACCTGAAATACCGCCAGGACCGAAGTCAACGATATGAGTAGCATTCTCGAATACGGTGGCGTTCTCCCAGTTCACAGGGTCACTTGTGATCATGCGAACCAGCGCGGGAACAACATCTTTATCCCCACTTTGCCGCAAGTCAACACCTGTATTGGTATCGTAAACAGGAATGCGAAGTGAGCTTGCGGGGATTTGGATGTCCTCGAGGTCTTCTGCAATAATATCGAAAGCGGAGGTGAGGTACTTGCTGTGGAATGGCGCCGTAATGGGCAAAAATCTGTTGACAAAGCGGACTTTGCGCTGGGTGAAGGGCACCCGGTTTTGATCCAATCCAGTGGGGGCTTTGACTTTTCGGAGTCGCAAGTTCAAACCGTAGAGGGAAATTGGAGGACCGGTAACGACGAAATTCCGGGCGCTATTAACCAGAGAGATGGCAATGTGGCGGTCTTTGGGCAGGTGCTGATTAGTCGCATCGATGTGCTCTTGAACGGCTGCGCGGGGCAAGTCACGAATGGACAGCATAGGTGTTGGGACTCCTTCTCCATGTTCAATCGAGTCTTGGAGGGTAGAAGGAGCCAATGACGTCCGTGGATAAGCCTGCTGGCTACGCAATCCAATCCAGAACAGCATCGTCAAGGCATTCTTGGCGGCCTTTCCAAAAGACTCCCATGTCGTTGCGGTTGCAATTACCGCAGCCGTGACGATACCCTGAGAGTGACCGGTGGTACCGCTGAACCGTTCCAAGATCTCACCAGGCTGCTTGCCCATTGCCTTGCAGGTGGCCATGTAATGAGCAAGTTGCACCAAACCGATCAACGGGAGACTGACGGGTGCTGACACGAGGTAATCAGTATCTGGCTGAGTGTCACGATCGTGAAGCCACCGCAGGATGTCCATTCCTTTCGAGTACTGTTTGATCGCGTCGGGGTCCCGAGCCAAGGTTTGAAGTAGCTCAGCCGATGACGAAATCAAATCTTCCACGAAAGAAGGATAGGTAGAATAGATTTCCCGAAGTTCGTCGAAATACTCTTCGATGTTGCCTTGTCCGCCGTACACACTGTACAATGTTGCAGTACCATCAGCGGCAGCCCTGAGTAAAGCTGACTCGTGAGGTTTTGTGGGCCTGGCTGCAGACGCGCGGGCCGCGTAGTAAGCCTCGACGACCAGCAGCTTTTTGGCGGTGATACCGGGCAGAGAGCCAGCGACTGCATGCACGTCGTTTCCTCGCATGAACGCCCGCTCGAATTCGTTCAGAGCCAGCTTAAGCAAGTCTATGTATGAGCCTTGGGCGTCATCTTCGCCTTCCTCCACCTGTCGCGCAACGAAACCGAGATATCTAGCGACGAGTTCAGGAACAGAAGATGGCTCATCATCCTGGGCGAGCTCGTCTGTGGGTTCAGGGAGGGACGCGGAGAACGCATCTTTGAGCTGTGATGCATGGAAGTGGAGTGAGGTTGGGACGAGAAAGGAGAATTCGAGAGACCCGTGGGAGAGGAAAAGAGGCCTCAGGGACTGCGAGGAGCGGGGTGTGTTGATGCCCGTCTGCGGGCCCGTAGAAGTGCCGTACATGGTTTAAAAGTTTTAAGAATAGAAGTGCCGTCGAGGTATCTCTATATCATCTAGGGTTGCCGGTCAGCAAAGGGGGCAAAAAAAAAAGAAAAAAAAAAAGAAAAGAAAAGAAAAGAAAAAGGTCCATCAGAGAAGCATTGTCGTGCCGAGCATTTCGCTATGAAGAAGGGTCAGGGAGTCCAACATACCAACTGTTACTGAAGCAAGCACGCCAGCACCTCGATTTGGCTGGGGAGGTCCTCACAGTCAAGTGAGAATCAGTCGAAGCCGTAAGAATAACCACCAGAGGCCGCGATAGAGAGCGATGTTGCGTGGGTGTGAGGGGTGAGATGTCGTTGGGAGGGAAGAAAGGGATGTAATGCTGGTGGTGGTGGTGGTGAGGGATGTGGTTGTGGTGAGCGGTTGAGGTCTTGGTGGTGGTGGAGCGGGCGGAGAAGGGCAATTGCAACTATTAAATTCCTATCTTGCAGCAAGAACGAAGCAGAGAAGCGAAGGAAAGCAGAAAGAGACGAAGACAGCGGAAGAGCACAGCAGAGGTGGGAGATGAGGAGGGAATGAGGGACGACCGGTCCGTGTGCCCGAAACAAGCAGCTCGCTCCTTGGGTCCTGACAAGCACAACAATTTTTGTTTTTTCACCGCGCTGGAGGGCCTTTTCTTTTTTTTCTTTTTCCTTTTTTTTTTTTTTTTTTTTGGGCAAATTGGAGCTTGGTCGGGCGGACTGGGGGCAGTGGTCTGGGTCCCTGGCGGTGCCGAGCGCCCGCAAGGTTGGTTGAGTTCAAGGCAGCTCTGATACGGCCTAGCGCCGTACCGTTGACCCCAAAGAATTCAAAACGGTTGGGCGGGAGCGACGGACGCGCGCTTACATTACCGTACCGATACCGTCCCTTGCTGCGGCTTCACGTACTGTACCTCAGGAGTATGACGTAACTTTAAGCAGGGCACGGAGTACTCCGTCGACGAGGAATAAAAATAGTCGAAAAAGGAATTCAACACGAGAGAAAGGATCTCAGGGGTCGACCTGAACTCGGGCTGAAGGATTGGGGCTGGATCGCACATTTAGCCGGAAACGGAGAATTGTTCGCACGGGCAGTGCTGGGTGAGTGTCTGCGGTCGCGGTCGCAGTGTAACTCACAGACGGGACTAACTCCCTCGTGTCCGCGATCTGGCTCCCATGATTGGTGTCCCAGCAACGGAAACATTCCTGCAGCCGCAGCCAGTGAGGGACGGGGGTCACCGCCCTGATGCCGCACTGGCGTCGCCGGAAGCTCCCAACCAAGGCCCACCAACTCGCCCCTTACGACCCGAATACCAAAAGTTACGCCGGCGCAGGCACACGGACCCAGCAGAGATAAGATAAAAAAAAGAGTTTCTGCTCGCCGGATAGATTACGACGTCCTGACCGTACGGAAAGTTACCAGCCTGGCCCCCGGATCTGCGTATCAGCTCCTCGACGGGCATTTTTTTTTCTTTACCTTGAAATTTCCATGGGCGAAGGCCTCATCAAACTCCCCAACATATCCTGCTCACCACCAGCTCTCTCAAGCGGTCGGACACTAACATCAGACGACATCACCAGGGCTCCTCTCTTTTTTTTCTTCTGTTTTTTTTTGCTCCTTGTCAGTTTGACAGGCTTCAATTCGGATTAGTGATCCCTTTCCTGTCATCATCGGTCGTTTTCTGCCGTCCCAATTCCGTCTCTCTCACCTTCCCTAAGAAAAGGACACCTCTCGTCTTGCACGGTGGTGTCCAACTGGTGAATCGTGCATCCTCTCATCCTCGCCCTCAAAGCTGTTTTACGCCTCACAGCATTAAAATCATACAAACCTTATTTACTCCTCTACCTCTCTCCGTTGCGCTCGAATCTCCGCCCTCCTCTATCCGTCTAATCCTTACACATAATCACGAGAACCCCCACGAGCGACTTCTACACCACATCTTCATCATGAGGCCCGAAGTTGAGCAGGAGCTCGCCCACACGCTCCTCGTTGAGCTTCTTGCATATCAGTTTGCTTCCCCTGTGAGATGGATCGAGACCCAGGATGTTATCCTCGCCGAGAAGAGAACAGAGCGTATTGTCGAGATTGGCCCGGCCGATACTCTCGGGGGAATGGCAAGGCGCACAATCGCCTCGAAATACGAAGCCTATGACGCTGCAACATCCGTCCAGCGACAGATTCTCTGCTACAACAAGGACGCGAAGGAGATCTATTACGATGTTGACCCTGTGGAGGAAGAACCGGAGGCCCCCGTCGCTGACTCCACGCCGGCTCCGGCAGCTGTTGCCGCCGTTCCTGCACAGGCTGCTGCCTCTGCACCATCACCCCCACCACCAAGTGCCGGGCCCGCCGCGGCAGTCGCTGATGCTCCAGTCTCGGCCCTTGACATAGTGAGAGCTTTGGTGGCACAAAAGTTGAAGAAAGCTCTCCTCGACATTCCACCCAACAAGGCCATCAAGGATTTGGTTGGAGGTAAGCTCCATATCACTCTCAATGCACTCCCTGTTTCCGTGGCTGACGCCGAGACTCGGCAGGTAAATCTACTCTTCAGAACGAGATCCTTGGTGACCTAGGCAAAGAATTTGGCTCGACGCCAGAGAGACCAGAAGATACCCCAATAGATGAGCTCTCTTCTGCACTCCAGGCCACATTCAATGGTCAGCTTGGCAAGCAATCCACCTCACTCGTGGCCAGATTGGTGTCTTCAAAGATGCCTGGTGGATTCAATATCACTGCCGTCCGGAAATATCTCGAGACCAGATGGGGACTGGGACAAGGCCGCCAGGATGGCGTCTTGCTGCTTGCACTAACCATGGAGCCTGCTTCGCGTCTCGGCTCAGAAAAAGACGCGAAAGCATATCTCGATGACGTCGCCAACAAATACGCCTCGATCCAGGGCATCAGCCTTTCCACTGCCAGCGCCGGTAATGATTCCGCCGCTGGAGCCGGTGGAATGATGATGGATCCCGCCGCTATCGATGCGTTGACCAAAGATCAGAGAGCGCTCTTCAAGCAGCAACTCGAAATTATAGCGCGCTATTTGAAGATGGATCTACGGGCGGGTGACAAGGCGCATCTTGCTTCACAACAGTATCAATCTACCCTTCACGCCCAGTTGGATCTGTGGCAAGCTGAGCATGGCGATATTTATGCCTCCGGCATCCAACCATCTTTCGACCCCTTGAAGGCGCGTGTTTATGATTCGTCCTGGAACTGGGCACGGCAAGACGCTCTTAACATGTATTTTGACATCATCTTCGGCCGCCTGAAGGTTGTGGATCGAGAAATCGTCAGCCAATGTATCCGCATCATGAATCGTTCCAACCCCCTCCTTCTCGATTTCATGCAGTATCACATTGATCACTGCCCGACGGAACGCGGCGAGACGTACAAATTGGCAAAAGAACTCGGGCAGCAGCTCATTGAGAACTGCAAAGAAGTCCTGAATGCGGACCCGGTTTACAAGGATGTTGCGATCCCAACCGGCCCACAGACTATTATTGACTCCCGCGGTAACATCAATTATGAAGAAGTCCCTCGTCCAAGCGTCCGGAAACTTGAACATTATGTAGCGCAGATGGCTGAAGGTGGTCCGATCACCGAATATAGCAACCGCACAAAGGTCCAGAATGACCTGCGGAATGTATACAAACTCATCCGCAAGCAGCACAAATTATCCAAGTCATCTCAGCTTCAATTCAATGCTTTATACCGGGAGGTTCTTCGTGCCTTGGCCATGAATGAAAATCAGATCATCCCTCCGGAGAATGGGCACTCAAAGAAAGGCAACCGCAGTGGCTCGCGCTCCCCAGTTAATGGAGGGCCCACGAAACCGGGCAAGATTGAGACAATTCCTTTCCTGCATTTGAGGAGGAAGAAGGCTCACGGTTGGGAATATAGTAAGAAGCTAACCGGCGTTTACCTTGACGGATTGGAGTCTGCTGCTCGTTCTGGCCTTACTTTTAGTGGGAAAAATGCATTGATTACCGGTGCTGGTGCTGGTTCCATCGGTGCAGCACTGCTTCAAGGTTTAATCAGTGGCGGAGCTAAGGTTGTCGTCACAACCAGTCGCTTCAGCCGTGAGGTCACAGAATATTACCAGGCAATGTACACCCGCTACGGCGCTCGAGGTTCTCAATTGGTGGTCGTTCCTTTCAACCAGGGCAGTAAGCAAGACGTCGAGGCTTTAGTGGACTATGTCTACGACACAAAGAACGGTTTGGGCTGGGACCTTGATATCATCGTGCCGTTTGCCGCCATTTCGGAGAATGGACGCGAAATCGATAGCATCGATTCCAAGTCAGAATTGGCGCACCGTCTCATGTTGACGAATATTTACCGCTTGATCGGTTCCGTCAAGACGCAGAAACAAGAGCGAGGATTCTCCACACGTCCCGCACAAGTTATTTTACCCCTTTCGCCTAACCATGGAATTTTTGGAAACGACGGTCTCTACTCTGAGTCCAAATTGGGCTTGGAAACCCTGTTCAATCGCTGGTACTCTGAGAACTGGGCTGATTATCTCACTATTTGTGGTGCTGTGATCGGATGGACCCGTTCCACCGGTATCATGAACGCGAACGACACGATCGCTGAAGGCGTTGAGAAGCTTGGTGTTCGAACATTCTCGCAGCAAGAAATGGCCTTCAATTTATTGGGATTGATGGCACCTGCTATCGTCGATCTCTGCCAGAGCAACCCCGTGTTTGCAGATTTGAACGGTGGTTTCCAATGCATTCCCGACCTGAACGCCCTCATGGGCAAACTCCGAAGCGAGATGGTTGAGACAAGCGCCGTCCGGCAGGCAGTTATCAAAGAGACCGCCTTGGAGAACAAGGTCGTCAACGGCGAGGACAGCGAAGCTCTTTACAAGAAGGTTGTGACCGAACCCAGAGCTAATATCAAGTTTGAATTCCCAGCTCTGCCAGAATGGAAGGATTTGGAGCCAATCAACCAGGACCTCAAGGGCATGGTCAACTTGGACAAAGTTGTCGTCGTGACCGGTTTCGCTGAAATCGGTCCATGGGGTAACTCCAGAACGCGTTGGGAGATGGAGGCCTATGGCAGGTTCTCTTTGGAAGGATGTGTCGAAATGGCTTGGATTATGGGCCTTATCAAGAATCATAACGGACCTATCAAGGGACAGCCATACTCCGGATGGGTTGACGCGAAGACCGGTGAGCCGGTGAGTGACAAGGACGTCAAGGCTAAGTATGAAAAATACATCCTTGAACACTCCGGTATCCGCCTCATCGAACCTGAACTTTTCGAAGGCTATGATCCGAATAAGAAGCAACTTCTTGAGGAAGTCGTTCTCCAGGAGGATCTGGAAACGTTTGAGGCTTCCAAGGAGACCGCTGAAGAATTCAAGCGCGAGCACGGCGACAAGGTCGAAATTTTTGAGATCCAGGAGTCCGGCGAATATACGGTCCGCTTGCTCAAGGGCGCGACCCTCCTCATCCCCAAGGCCTTGAAATTCGACCGTCTTGTTGCAGGTCAGATCCCAACTGGATGGAATCCCAAGAATTACGGCATTCCCGATGATATTATCAGCCAGGTCGACCCCGTTACCCTGTACGTTCTGGTGTGCACAGTCGAGACCCTCCTCACCTCCGGAATTACGGATCCCTATGAATTCTACAAATACGTCCATGTTTCTGAACTTGGAAACTGCATTGGCTCCGGCATTGGTGGTTCCCGGGCTCTCAGGGGCATGTACAAGGATCGCTACCTGGATAAAGCTCTTCAGAAGGACATTCTCCAAGAGTCTTTCATCAATACTATGAGCGCATGGGTAAACATGTTGCTTCTCTCCTCCAGTGGTCCAATCAAGACTCCAGTCGGTGCTTGTGCAACTGCTGTCGAGTCCATTGACATTGGTTACGAGACCATTGTTGAAGGCAAGGCTCGAGTCTGCTTCGTCGGTGGGTTCGACGACTTCCAGGAAGAAGGGTCGTACGAATTCGCCAACATGAAAGCCACAAGCAACGCTGAATCTGAATTTGCTCTTGGAAGAACTCCCCAAGAGATGTCTCGCCCCACCACCACAACTCGTGCCGGTTTCATGGAATCCCAGGGATGTGGCATGCAGCTAATCATGAGTGCACAGCTTGCTCTGGATATGGGTGTCCCTATCTACGGCATCCTTGCCCTGACCACCACGGCTACTGACAAGATTGGTCGATCTGTGCCTGCTCCGGGCCAGGGTGTTTTGACCACCGCTCGAGAGAACCCCGGCAAGTTCCCGTCACCACTTCTGGATATCAAGTACCGTCGACGACAACTCGAACTTCGACGTACGCAAATCAAGCAGTGGCAAGAGTCGGAACTCCTCTATCTCCAGGAGGAAGTCGACGCGATGAAGGCACAGGCTACTGAGCCGTTCAACGAGAAGGAGTATCTGCAAGAGCGTGTGGAGCATATCCAGCGCGAGGCGATTCGACAAGAGAAGGATGCTCAGTTTGCGCTTGGCAACAATTTCTGGAAGCAAGATTCTCGGATCGCTCCACTTCGTGGTGCTCTTGCAACTTGGGGCCTTACGATTGACGATTTGGATGTCGCTTCGTTCCATGGAACATCTACCGTCGCCAACGATAAGAATGAGTGCGACGTCTTGTGCAAGCAGATGCAGCACCTCGGTAGAAAGAAGGGCAACGCTCTTCTTGGTATCTTCCAGAAGTACCTGACTGGTCATCCAAAGGGTGCTGCTGGTGGCTTTATGTTCAACGGCTGCTTACAGGTTTTGAATACCGGTCTTGTTCCCGGTAACCGAAACGCGGACAATATCGACAAGATTATGGAGAAGTTCGACTACGTCGTGTACCCCAGTCGAAGCATTCAAACAGATGGCATCAAGGCATTCTCCGTAACGTCGTTTGGCTTCGGCCAAAAGGGTGCTCAGGCCATTGGTATCCACCCCAAGTACCTTTTCGCCGCCCTAGACCAGGCTCAATACGCTGCGTACAAAGTGAAGGTTGAGGCCCGACAGAAGAAGGCGTATAGATACTTCCACAACGGCTTGATCAACAACAGCCTGTTTGTTGCCAAGGACAAATCGCCATACGATGATACTCTCGAGTCGAAGGTTCTTCTGAATCCGGATGCTCGTGTGGCTTTGAACGAGAAAACGTCGCAGTTGACTTACCCAACCAAGGCTCCTGTACACAAGCCAGATCAGAACACCAAGGACATGGTCGAGTATTTGGCCAAGGCTACAGTGACAGCCAACACACGCGTTGGCGTTGATGTCGAAAGCATCGAAGCGATTAACCTCGAGAACGACACGTTCATTCAGCGCAACTTCACTGAAGCCGAGCAAAAGTACTGCCGTCAAGCCGCTTCACCCCAAGCGTCCTTCGCGGGGCGGTGGAGTGCCAAGGAGGCGGTGTTCAAGTCCCTCGGCGTATGTGGAAAGGGTGCTGGAGCAGCATTGAAGGATATTGAAATCATCAACGATGCCAACGGAACTCCTGTTGTCACGGTGAGTTAATCCCAGAGCAAGGTCTCTCACCTTGTCGCGTCCTGTTATGTGTACTAACTTGTCTCCCTAGCTCCACGGTGATGCCGCGGCGGCCGCTAAGCAGGCTGGAGTGGTAGGCGTTACTGTCAGCATTAGCCACAGTGACTCTCAGGCTGTAGCTGTCGCACAGGCTACTGTCAATTAAATTTGGGACTCAGAGCCTTATTTTTGTGGTAGTCGTTAGATGTGAATTGCTTTTCCACCACATAGCTCTTGATTCCCTCCCAACCCGCAATTTGCTTTACAACGATCAAGATCGCAGAATACTTGTTGCTTCTTTCCTTTTTTTTTTTTTTTTTTTCTGTGGTCTTGTGTGTTTTCTTTTTACAGCCCTATTAATTTCAATGATAATAATTTCCTTTTCTTCCCATGTTTACTCTTGCATGATTGTTCCTAATTCTTCCGCGTTTGTTTATCCCCTGTATGTTGATGCTGAAAAAGTTGCCCTGTTACGTTAAGAGATGTCCCTGAGATTCCCAATGCATTAATATGTGTGATGATTCAATTCCATGCCGAAACATCTTCTAGACTTCCCGGTTATGTGAGTAGATAGATGCAAGACACCAAGTCCGCCTTCGTCAGAAGTCACTTCTGAGATATTTCCAAACATCAAGGCCGGAGTAGGGAGCAGTCACTCTCTTCTCTGGCGATTTCTTAGTCGGACAGCGCTTCGGGCTGCCTCGCTCGCCGTAAATGACATGAATGACGTCAGGAACCGTTTAGTCCCAATTAGGTATAGCCCGATACCTCTCAAACCTTACATAAGCCGCTCCCTTGCGATATCGGAAATTAACCACCAATAGGGTGCGGCTCTGAGCCGCTCGGCATGTCGCTTGCTGTTTTCCCGGCGCCAGCTTAAATCGCCGAAGGTGGGATAATCGATGCCGAAGCTATGCGCGCGGGGTGAAGTTGTGATTTGGAGAAATGACTGATATCTGAAGCTGGGGAACGCCGCCGAAGACGGAGAGATGCTTGGAGACAGTTGGGGAATACATAAGGAGCCTTTTGGAGCAAAAAGAAGACGTCAATTTGGTTAGAGTTTTGTTTGTGTTGATTTTTGTAAAATTTGCTGAGTAGCAGCCATCTGGACATACATACCTACGGAGGATACGTGAACTATCTGTCCCTTTTTTTACTTTTCATTTTTATTCTTGAAAGGCAGACAGATAGATAAACAAAGAGGTGATCCAGATAAGAGAGGTCGGATTAGTGGACAAGGATGTCTTCCAAAACATACAACATTCTTACCCTCCCCGGAGACGGCATCGGTCCCGAAATCATGGCCGAAGCGATCAAGGTTCTCCAGGCTTTCTCCTCGCCTAATCTCAACTTCAACCTGCGTAACGAACTCATCGGCGGCTGCAGCATCGATGCGCATGGCACACCCATTACGGACGCAGTCAAACAGGCCGCTCTCGAATCTGATGCCGTTCTATTTGCTTCCGTCGGTGGACCAAAGTGGGACTCTTCCCGAAGAGGTTTGGAGGGTCCAGAGGGTGGCTTGTTGCAGCTCAGAAAGGTGCTGGATGTCTATGGCAACGTGAGACCGTGCAGCACGGACGTATGCGCGAGTGTGAGTCGGGAATTCAGCCCGTATCGGACAGAAGTCGTTGAGGGTGTGGACTTCGTAGTTTTAAGAGAAAACTGCGGCGGGGCGTATTTCGGGAAGAAAGTTGAAGATGAGGACTATGGTGGGTTCTACAAGTTTTCCATAATTTTTTTTTATTTTTATTTTATTCATTTTTTTTTTTTTTTTTTTTTTGGGGCGGTTTAGAGAGCCAATACTGATTTTGTGTCCGGCAGCGATGGATGAATGGGGCTACTCAACTCAAGAAGTCCAGAGGATTGCCCGTCTCGCAGCCCACGTTGCCCTCAGACACGACCCTCCTTGGCCCGTTATCTCCATGGATAAGGCCAACGTCCTCGCATCTTCCCGTCTCTGGCGCCGCGTCGTGGAAAAGACACTCACCACCGAATTTCCACAAGTCAAATTCTCCCATCAGCTCGCTGACTCTGCTTCACTCATCATGGCTACGAATCCACGGTCGTTGAATGGTGTACTCCTAGCCGATAACACTTTCGGTGACATGCTCTCCGATCAGGCTGGATCGATCGTTGGCAGTTTGGGGGTCCTACCAAGTGCTAGTTTGAGCGGTATTCCCGGCGAGAAGAGAAAAGACGGCAAGAAGTCATACGCATTATACGAGCCAACGCATGGCTCTGCGCCAACGTGAGTGAATTGCGACCTTTGGATGATCAACACCGCTAGGAAAGCTAACAGGCTCGATTAATGTAGGATCGCCGGCAAAAACGTGGCGAACCCACTCGCCATGATTCTCTGCGTTGCAATGATGTTCCGGTACTCATTCAACATGGAACCTGAGGCAAAGGCCATCGAGAATGCTGTCACGGCCACATTGGAGGCTGGCATTCGCACACCTGACCTTGGAGGAAAGGCGGGAACCACCGACGTCGGTAATGCTATTGTGGCCCACATCAAAAAATCTTTGAGTATATAAAGATGCTCGAATGGCCAAAAGGGAGGAAAGAAAAATTAAAAAGATAAAGCTTCAAAATATTTTTTTTAATGAGATGTATACTACATATACCTTATGGATAATGAAATTTGTCCTCGAGAAAGATCATACCTTTCGTGGTGACACCGAGTATATTCAGTTCGGATTCTTCTGTTCAAGAAGCTTTTTGCATATCGGACAATTAAGTGCCCAGGACAGGTATCGGGGTATAATCCCCTGCCGTCAATAACAACACAATTAATCTTTCTTCGCACTGGTGACTGGTGCACGAGCCAAAGGACCCCAGTTCGGTCGCGGGTTGGTTTGATAACGGATGAGACGCTTCTTGTGATGCGCATCCATGGCCTTTCTACCGAGACTTTCGTCAAATACTATATCCAACGTACTCGGATCAGGCCGTTCCAGCGAAGATTCACCGGTTTTGTTAGTTATTGATCCCTGTTCGCCATTCTCCGGTCCAGTCTTTTCTGTCCGCAGTCGACACACACCGGATCGATAAAGAGCAGCCTCAATCTTCGTGGTTAAGTCCGAGAGGTCCTTTCCAGCTTCAACAGCACTCAGTATATCACGTTTAAGTGATCTTAACCCGGCACCTTCGCCGTCGATGCCAAGCTTTTCTCTACCTCTCCTCATAATCCCCTCACCGGGGCTTCCTCCGTTAATGGCCCCTTCTTTGACAGGAGATTTTTGGCGTACCCATTCACGCATTATCTCCCAGATCACACTCCATGGCGCATCGGTACGTATTGAGCCAGGCTTGGCGTGGCTGCGGGTTGATTTGTAGCCGAGGTGGCGAAGAGCACCACGAAGCGAGTTCTCGGGCATAGTCTGGGTGTGTAGAACTTTGGAAATGGCGCTAGTTATAAAAAAGAACGGGTACGGCTCAATTTGAGCCGGGTCAACTCGTGGAATGAGTAAAGAAGGAGCTGTATTGCTGTCAAGGTCATTGGTGGACGATTCTGGCTCAGGGGTAGGTTCTTTCGATGACCCTCCAAGATTCAAATCTTCTTCAAGAGCAGTGGTCAACATCCCTTCTATGCGACCAAACGTTGGATATGTCTCTCGATCGGCTCCTCCAAGTAAATCAAGAATCCGTTGGACGAAATGAGGGTTATGTAGCGGTCCCGCCCACATTGGGCCAGCAAGATGAGTCCTGAATCCGCAATGTTCACAATTAGGGGACGCAATCGGAGCTTGGCTCAGGCGATAAACGTAAAACGGATTACCGTTTTTCCCCTCCTTTTGCCGGGTATATGAAAGGCGCTGCGTTGACCAGGCTCCGCAACCGCTATCGCAATTATACACAACCATCGACTTTCCAGCAGTGAACTTCACCTCAGAAGGAGATCTGTGGACACGAACAAACAATCTCGCGTAGAAATCGATAGAAAGAGAAAGCAACGGCTCGATTGCAATACCGTACTTCGCAGCGCTAGTCGCTAGAGCATGTAAGATCAGACGTAAGCCACCTTCGTGCGAGTGGACTCCCTTAATCGGGATGCCACCGTAAAGGGCATATGCCTTCTCCGGATATCCAGTAGCCGCAAAAACCCCAGCGTCTGTACAAGTAACGCACAACATTCCTCCATCGGTGACAGCTTGCACAGCCGCGTCCATGAATGGCGCTGCTGTCCCATAAGGATCGAGATCAACCACGTCGAACTTACCGAAATACGAACCATCTTTATGCGGCTTCTGAGGGCCGAGGATGCTATACATATATGAGCATGCGTCTCCGTTGTTTGGCCGAACGATATCATCTACTCTGTTATGTTTGATGTTGTTCTTCATCGACGCTATTGCGAGCGCAGAGAGATCGTTTGCCACCACTTGGGTCGCAAATGGAATTTCTTTAGCATAACGAAGTGCTCGTAAGCCCGTTGCGGATAATGCGTCGAGAATGGTGAAGGATGGTGTCCATGGTGTCTCGTTATTCTCTGCAGCATTGGGCTGCTCTTGCTCAGCGACGGAGGGAGCAACCTCCGAGACCGCTGGTGCAGGTATATCCGATCTCTCATCGACGCACGATTTCTTGCTTCCCGTTCCAGTATCCCCGTCAAGCGCTTCCCGTTTTCTTTTTTTCCCCTTGCAGTGACTGTCCCGCCGCTTCAGCTTCTTTTCGTGTTTCTCGGTCTTCATGGCAATAGCATGCTCTCCATACGCACGAATCGCTAACACGCTTAGGTCCCGGTTAAACTGTTGAATGGGATTGTAGAAAACAGCCGGCCTATCTTTATCTTCAGTAGGCCTGTTTTTCCGCTCTTTTTCGGACGAAGACGTGGACTGTCGAGGAACAAGGATATACGCAAGACCCTCTTTCACGGTTTCATATTCTTTGTCGCCATGCCGTACGATCTGCCCTACCTCAGGGATGGATGACAATGTGCCGATTGAGGGGCCCTGCGAAGCCATTCTGCGTGTGGACTGTCCGCTGACGAAACGTTGAAGAGGCACGATGCTTTCACGGTAGATTGGGGTAGGAATATTTGGCAAGATCAGTGTCCTAGGCGACCATATTATATGAAGTAACGGCTGTGGGATCGAATTGAGTCGAATCATTGGCTGCCTGCCCTCAACATCCTAGAGCTGATCTCAATGCAAAATTTGGTTTAATTCTTGATCGCTTTTTAGAGTTCCAGCTCAAACTCTTAACGGCGCACAGACCACCTCGCATACCAATACGCCTTGACCGCATGTCGGCGAACCTTTGACCACTCGGCTCTTGACATGTAATATGTACAAGTTGATAGCTGGCACTACGGGAACGTCAATGATACGAAAATATGAACCATTCGAACCTCTTACCTTTCCCTATGCTCTTGCTCGGATTATGAAATGTCAGGTTGTTGATATTGTTTGTGGGAGGGGAGTGGACAGCGCGAGCTCATTAGCAATTCTCTTTTCATGGACAAAAATTGGCCGCATGCTGATTCTCTAGTTTTCCTCCTTTGGTTAGAGCAGTTTCATTGTCATGATACCCGTTTGGAGATTGAGATTTAGCTTTGAATTGACCTGGAGTTTTAGTGATTTTAACTACCGATCCAAGCTTAGGATCCTGGAATTGGCTTGCGAGTACTCCGTACTGCGTCAAACTATTGATAGTTCGGGGCCTAAAAGCCTCCTCTCGACCCAGAATAGGAGCAACCTTCGGCTGACATGAGAGCACTGTTAGGTAGTAGCGCGTTTGGACAGCCCAAGAATTGAAGCTCTGGCTTCAACAGCCAACCATTTTTTCAGCGCAAGTCACCTTCCCACCCCGCAAGCCCCTACTGCCACCGCTACCACGGGTTGCAATTATGAGAGCTATGATGAATACTGGGAATATCAGGACCCTGGTCATCGCCATACACGTCAGATTTGCGAAGATACTCCCTACGGGCGTGAAAGCACCATACATAAAAGATTGGAAGGCGGCAGCGAACAAGCCTGGACCATATAACATGCAAATGTCAGAATCAAAGCTAGTACTACCATGTGGTCTACAAGTTGAAGTAAATTGGAGCAATAAACATACCATCGACTATACCAACATGGCCAAAACCAAAGCAAATGCAGAGAGTGAAAACAAGAGTGAACGTAATCGAAAAGGCCATGATCACAGCCTAAACAGCATGATTAAATTGTTAGCCTCAATTGCAGATCTTCAAATGAATTGCTAACAAGCAAAACTTACGCGGTTGCGAGAGCCACTGGATGAAGTTCTTCCACATGCCGACAAATATCTGGGTCCAATTATCATACCGCATGATTCCCGTGATCGACGAGATGAGGTTGTTCCAATACTGCATGAAGAACCGGCTCCATGCATCATACTGGCTGTTTGTTGACGATGGACGTGACAAAGGATCTATTGAGAACATAGTAAGGAGAGCCAGAGATGGCTTCCAGCGCAGAGTCGAAGCTGTTTGAAGCCGGAGGGATTATACATCTTGTTCTCTTATATGAGGACAATGTGGAAACCAGTATTGTGTCTTGCTGGGCGTGAAAAAAGAAATTGTCACGACAATATCATCAGGAAATTCTGAGAGCCTTCAGCAAGTGGCTTAGCTTTCCATGGGAAGTTCCTTATATCAGGCTTGCCGCAGAGCACTCAGTTGACGGAAAAATCACATGGCATTCTAGGAAAAAAACATTCAATATATTGCAGATGCTATTCCTATTTGGAGCAACAGGTAGCTGGCATAGCAAACAACTTGGGAATGGGCCTATACTTCCTGAAGACCTTAGAAGCAGCCTGTCATTGTTGGGAATAGCCTGACGTGTGGTCTGCTTGGGAGCTTAAGGTCAACACAACCTCCTTCAGCCTCCTTCTAATTATCTGATAATCGAGCTTTCAAGTCCCAAACAGTCAATACACTAGCAAGGGATAAAGTGTAGAAATCTACGTTCTACAGAGGACAGCTGTGAGATTGGGTAGGGCTTGGCACAGCTAGTTAGTGGTTTTGAGGCTACAGCTATCAAAAAAGCAGAAAAAAAAAAGAGGAGGCATTTAAATGAGAGCGCAGCCAATATAAGTTGCAAATATAGCAAACATCAAAAGAGCCAATCAAAGTATCAGAATTTTGATAGGGTGTCAGGTGAAAGTGCCCACTAGCCACAATGTTATTCTCATAGTAAAGAAGTCTTGTGAACCGGACGACTATCTGGACTGGTTTCATAGAGCAAGCCCTCTCCAGCTTCATTGACCCAGTCTTCTATAGAGTTGGCAGCAAAATATCAGTACGGTAAAGTCATGGCTAGGAACACATTTGATACTGTGTCATGGCATCATGGGGTTATGCACTTTTTTCCGTGTCTGAGAAGGATTTAAGTTCCTGATGTCTTGCTAAACACAAAGCTCCCACATGACAGTGTTGTTGTACGTGAGGGAACAGCGCACTGGTCTACCACCTAATCAGATTAAGTGAGTGGCTTACCTAGTTGCTTAACAGCTTGCGTCTGATAGGTAAGTTATTGTCAAAGGGTACCTGTAGCACAAGACCATATTAAAGGTGAATAAAAGCGTATGCTGCAAAGAGATATCAAGCATGGAACCAAGTAGAGACAAAAAGCAGCAAGCTAAGAAGGAAGCCAAGAAAAAGCTCAGAAGCTTAAAGAACAACTAGATAAGGAAGGACAGGCCTGTAGGTGTGAGAATCTTCAAGAAGAGAAAGCTTCCAGGAAGGCCTGCCAAAATAGGAAGGCGGATTCGCCTGTTCTGCCGTCGGTGCCAAGCCGTCAGGACCTGCTGTGAGGTCTTGAGGGTTGGTAACTGGGAAAAGTCAAACAGCTCCATAAGGCTGTCCAGTGAAGCCTTTGAATGTCCTCAGAGCTTGGATCAATGTGGATTCCGACAGTTAAAGCTCCGAGAAACCCGCAGAAGACCCCGAGAGATGTTCTGTCCTGAGGACCTTGTTAGCACCACAAAACAGTCAAGCCCTGCAACTTCAGATCTCATCACTGCAACTACAGTCTACCTATCTCACTGGCGAGAGGAATTGTGAATTATTTCATACCAGTATAGAGTCCATTATTGACATTGACATATGTTATGCCGTGTTCTTTGAGGATGTCGTGAGGCTTATGGCAAGCTGATATTGCCTAAAAGGGGCCATCATCCACTTAAGAAAACAATCTGCCAATTTTGGGTGCTGCTTCAAAGAGGAGTTTTTTGATATACTGACTCGTTCAGCGGCTCCACAGATTTCTTTTGATGTTGATACCCAGTTGATATCACTAGCCAAGCAGTGCTAAGGCCCAGATATAATATTGTTCTCATAATATTATTCTGTTTGTGATGTCTGGCTCCACCAATGTTGATGTCTAGCTAACATAGCTTTTCAGGTGATATTGAGGTGCCATGAGATTTCAGGGCGAGAAAAAAGCTAACCACTATGCCACTAGGCCAAAAGAGAACATTCTCTAGTGGCCCTAGCCACTAGACGGTAGCTAAGGCCTACACTGGTCTGACACATAACTCTTTGGCAGTGGCATTGTGTTGTGTCCTGACATTGAGGACTGATGATATTCCTGGGTAGGCCAGAGATCACTGTCACTCCCGGGAGGGACCCAAAGAACGAACTCTACCTCAACTCCATCCTAGCGTTCGGCTGAACAAGTGCTCTGGACAGGTTTACGCATGCCTCTCTCATACCTTCCGCTGTGGTGTCGGAGATTGGTGAAGTGGGAGCCTCCGTGGACAACCGATGTGCTCGTGATGCTGCTGCACTTCGTGTACTGTGGGTTCTACCATCACATTCGAAAACCAACTGCTTCCAGACCCACGTTATCACCAATGAATTATCAATTGGAAGTGCTCAAGTATCGCTGCTGATTTTCTTTCCAACCAACTCGGACTCCATTGAGGGGTACATTTCATGAGACTCCCGCTCAGTCCGAAATCCTTGACCCAAACGCACAGACTTCACGTTTGGTAGGTGCTGGCCAAGAGCTGCTTGGTTTCATTCTGGCTTGAATCCCGGTTACGGAATCCTTGTATGGGACCGAGGCTTTGCCACTGTTCATCAATGGAGTCTGAGTCGGCGTCTCAGAGAATCGGCCAAGAGGGGCAACACCATTGGAACTTGCTACGTTCCACATGAAGAGCACCACGATCGATAGTGGTGTCGGGAGCGGTCACACCGAGCCTGCTAGCAGCTCTGGAAGCCTTCAAATGCCCTACAAAGTTATCTTAGATGATTCAATGACCTGGCTGGAGTTCCTCAGCCATTGACCAAATTTTTTCCTGCTGTTTACCACAGTAATTAATCTTGTTGTGGCCATTGCTCTTTTCTCGAAGTGGTTTGATACTTGTGTGATCTTGTATCTGTTTTTGGTGGCCATTTTGCTTTTGTTCTGCTCGTTTGGCTCGGCCAAGCTCCGGGATGTACAACGACGGTATCTTGAGGCTGGCTGACCAAAACGCTGTCAATGTATGTACGTACAACAGCGGGGTTCTTGAGGCTGGCTGATCAAGACGCTGTCGATGTATATACATACAACGGCAGGTGTTTTGAAAGTGGCTAGCTGTCAAGGCCACTCGAGAGGTGATTCACCCATGACAAACAGGGGTTCGCGATGCTGAACAGCCACTGCCACTTTGTTGTCAAACGTCAACCTTGCTCAACATCCTTCCTTTTTCTTTCAGTTGTTAACCCCTATTGGAGGTGTCTTGAGCAATATCACTTGAGAACTGACATTGGCATGCTTTTTCCGCGCTTTTACGCACTTCTCGGCGCTCTTCCATGCCCCCCACCATCAATCGTCGGAGAAATCTGTGGCAAAGTTAGCTAAAAGAGAAGAATATAAATAGTGCCCATTTCCCAAGGCTATCCATTTCCTTTAACAACACCATATCTCTTTACATTTCTCCATTTGAAGCCAAGAAGGTTCTCTTCTAAATCCAGTTCAGTTTTGCCAACATCAGCTTCAAAGTTGCTATCCAACAATATGGTTGCTGTTCACACGGTCGAATTCTACCCCGAAAAAGATTATGGAGGTGCAGCTGTAACCTCCGAACTCAACAAAGTCGAGCACCTCGCCTTAGGGACTAAATATTTGTCCTACCATCTCGGAAGCGGGACTAAGTTACTTGTGTGGAATCACAGTAACTACTACGACCAGGAGCAATGGGTTAGCGACAAGTCTAGCCTCCCAGCAGGCAAGCAGTGCTATAAAGTCCTCGCGGGCGCCACGAGGGTTATTGGCTTTAGATTCAAGGATGCCACCGGGGGGGCCCAGAAAGCCTACTCTCTTACCTTGAATATCCACGACATTGGTCAAGTTACCTTATATTCCAACGAGTCCGACCAATTCGCGATCGCTGGTACCATGCCGCAAGATGGTCCGCCCGTGACGACTGCCGTGTATGTCCGAGATATGAGGACAGGAATTTACATTGTCCAGGGATCTATCTATTTCAAATGGGATAGTGACCGCCAAAAAGTTGTGATTGCAGACGAACTGAATTGGCCGAAGCAGCTGAAGCATGAAGAAGATGGCAATGACGATTTTACTATTACTTTGATTTCGAAGGACCCATAATAAGTTACGATAATGGTCTCTCTGAGATTGGAATACGGCAATGGATGTGGGAATGGGGTGATGTTGAAAGGACGGGGTTCTTATTTCATGTCTACGCTCTTTATTGCTAGCTGTGCACTTAATGTTATCTGATATCAGAATGAAGATATATATGCATGTCTCAGATGCATAAATGGATTTCTTCATGTTTGAGATGGTGTTACAAGCGGGATGCTTTCATTGACTGCTCGTCTCTGATCCCTCCGGCCCACCCAAAGCCACTGAGGTAGGGCGATTGTTAAAGCAGCCTCACCCCTCTAAGTCGCCATCACTGAGGAATTGGCTATACTTGAGTCACTTTGTCAGCGCGGCCAATATTAATGCTGGCTTTAAAGCCTCGAGTAACCGGTGAGTAGGAAGTGGACAGGGAATCCACAAGAGTTGAATCGCGAGCCGATTTTGATACGCAGCACAGTGACATGTCAGGATAATTAGAGTAAGGAAGGCCACGGTGCTAGAGGGGCCAACAGATAATAAATACAGGAGAGGAGCTTTTGTGATTATTTTTGGTGCCATCAAAACCCACCTACCTCTCCAATAAAGAACGCTTGAAACATGTCGAAGAACATTGACAACTTTGCGAATCCACCGGATTATCGCATTTGGAGATTCTATATTCTGTTAGAGTCAAGGCAATAGATTAACCACCCGATGATATGATACCACCATAGGCCACTTGAAGCCATCCCACTATAGGAAATACATTTTGCGCGAGCGAACGTCCAGGAGTATAGCCTGATTGCAAAAGTAGTTCATAAAGTGTTGGAAGAGCAGGATATGAGAGGCTTCTAAACATTTTGCCCAAAATTAGATACCGCCACGTCTCCATGGTAAATGGGATATCGCTTCTTAGACACGAGGTATTTCTACTCGTGTTTTATCCCAGCGTATGTGATCTTGTTTTTACTCATTCCTTTGTACTTGAGAAATAGAGAAATGTAGCGAGCTATTGGCACGGCGGATTGAGGTTGTGGACTAGAACATCCACACGAGACGAGCCATATTTCTAAATCTCCCACGTCTCCCTTCTCCAACACGGGTCACCTTTCAGCGAGAAAGCAGCAATGTAAATATCTCTTGGTATATCCAGCGTTTCGACGCAATGTTCAGGTCAGTGACACGGCCGGAGAAAAGCGGTCAATGTAGTTACAAGGAGCTCGCAGAAAGTAGGGAACCAGTCATCGTTAAACTCCTCGATAATTTATTGAAGAAAGATTGACTATTTTCTCAGTCAGCTAGTGGAAAAGATGGTTGAAAGAACATTGAAAAAACAAGGACCTGCCGCGGCAAAGGTTGCGAAACAGGAGGCAGAGGAGCGCAAAGGGAAAAATGATGCTTCCATGCGTGAGGCAAATAATCAAAAACCGCAAGGAGGTAGTAAAGAAGAAAGAAAGGAATAGGTTTGGGGTTTCCAGGTAAGGAGCATGTTTGTGTTTATATGAAGCGTCGAATCTCATGAACTATTAGGAGGGATCGAATGCCTCTTGAAGCTTGTCTAGATATGCCTCTCTGTCGGTAATCTTTTGGACTGGGAAGTCAGATGCATCTCGTGACCAATACTTATGCATCATGAGGAAGAAGTTGCTATCCTGGAAATGGCCTTTCTCGAAGATCGGTTGGATATGCTTATAAAATATGGAATGCAGCCCTGTTGGGGTTCGAAGGGCGAGGATACACCAGAAAGTGCCGGATTCCCAGCATTTATTCATTATCGGTGAGCAGTTTAAACCCTTCTCCAAGTGATGTCCAAGTATCCGCGCATGAGATATCTCTCTTTCCTCTTCTGTAAAAATTTGCATGAACCCCTGCCGAAGCGCATTGTAAGCCTCGGGGTCAATCACGTCCACGGCCTGGCTGGTGAGCCAATATGGAAGTTGCATAAACTCAAAAGGCTGTGAAGCAGCCCATCCCAGATCTATGATGTATTCAATATTCCAATTCTTATCAACGAGGATGTTACTCGCATGCATATCAGTTAATTGAAAAATGAATGGCCTGCTGTTGAGTCCTTGCTCAAAAAGCTCCTGGGAGACAGCGCGCAGTGTTGTAAGTCCGGACATCTGCATTACGCAGTCAATGAAGTCGTTGACGGCATTTTGTTCGTGGCGTAGCCGGCTGTCATGGCACGATAATATGGCATTGACGTAAGAGTCAACAGTAGGGAATGTCTGACTTCGATTTACGTCAATGGGTATATTCTCATTCTCTAGGCTTGTAGCTCCATGGTAGGCGGTCGGTTGGTTAGCTGTAGAAAGCCCTGGTCGTGGACCACCAATGATCCTATTCTTGGGAGAGGAATGCGGCTCAAGGTGAGTATAATTCGGGATAGATATCGGAAGAGATTATTTCGCAAGTTTATATTGCTGCAGAGGGCATTTCAGGTATTTGAGAGCATCACGCCATCCTCTCTTTTTATGTATTCCACAATAACGTACGGGCGGATCTCGCTTAAATTAAAGTTCCGTCGAGGAATATAAGCAGACGGAATGGGAAGCCCTAGCAAGGAACGCAGCTTACATCGAAGATGATGGAACACACGTCGGAACAGTGATAAATGGTCTACTGCAGTAAACTGGTCATGTTAACTCAGGTCAACTGGTCTTATCAAGCGTGGACCTACATGTCGGGCCTTTGACAGACCACAACCATAGAGATGAGGGATAGGTACGCTTGGGCACTCCCTCCGAAGCCAGGCATATGTTCCGGCCTCACAGCAGACTTTCTCATCACTGTTTCCAGGGCGAACATATTCACCGACTCTGTAGGGAAGAGGTAATCGGACAAGGACACGATTTGCCGGTGTGGTCACGGGGACGCAGAGATTGAAACTTCCATGCATCTATTCGCCCCTTGGCGCAGCAATACATGATGCTGAATCCTTCAAACCGAGGTGATTGGCAACAAGAGCCTCAACCTGGCTGCAATTCTGCTGAATGTAGCTGAAGAACTTGTTCCGTTCTAGCCAGTATGTCAGCTTGTGGAGGACATTGATTTCTTTCTTTTCAGCTTCGGAATAGGTGATCTCTCCCCGGAGAAGACGACGGGCACGAGACATAAATCAATAGAACAACACAATATTCCAAATAAATGCCCTATACAACACCTCTTCACCAGCTAGTCAATGGGAGATTTGCTTGCGGAAGAAACCCCAGGAAGTCAGTGTGAAGCTGCCCCTGGTGCCAAGCTTCGCCAAGCCTTTTCGCGTCCCAAGAAGTTAAACTTTGCCAACAACTTTCTGTGTTGATTATCTTGTCCCATGGATGACGAGTGAGTCTTTTTGCAGCCAAGCTGAATCTTTAAGAACTCGTCCAAGGTGGTAAGTCATGTCGGCTCATGGCGCTCGAGGTCCTCTTTCGCCGTTCCTCCTAGAGGAGTAGAGGAGTAGAGCTGGTCACGCACTAATAGTCTTCCACGATTTCCCAGCGGTCATTCTCCAGCAGGGGACGCGATTCCCTTGAGGCGGTATCACTTGAGTTTGGCGTGAAAGCTTAGGAAAACCGAATCCATCAATGCCCGACTCCGCAAGGAATCATATCCTCTTTGGATCGCTTCTCAAAAAAAAAAAAAAAAAAAAAGAAAAGGCGAAATCCACTATCTTCATAGTTGAAACGCCAGTTGGTGCTATTTTGACTGCAACTTCAACCGCATATCTCTCAGGAATGTTAGCTCTAGGTACCTTTCCTACAATTTACCCTATGGATCTATCTGCGGGAGTTTCCGTGTAAGATTTGCTCTCAACCATCATGGTTGACGCCACGCAAGAGTTAATCGAGTGCCGACAACACCAGAAATAGATTTAAGTTTCTAAGTTTCCACACATAGTTCGGAGTAGTTAAACTACGGAGTACGGAGTACAGTACCTCAAAAAATAAGTAACTTTCTGAGGTCACCGCTCTATTAAGGCTACTATCAACACAAACCTGCCGAGAGGCTATTTTCAGATGTTTAACTTGATAATCAAGAAAAGGGTATTTGGTTGCCATCCTTAGTCACACTACAGAGTACAGGGTAATCATCCCATGCGAGGCTCTTCTGAATGGTGAATTAGTAGCAAACTTGGCAAAATTTCAGTAGATAGTTTCCAGATGAGTGTATTTGATTCATAAGCAGGATCGCTTCTCAAAAGTTGCGTGCAGCATGAGGCTTCATGTATTACAGGACGGTATTCATGCCTTGCACCGGTCTTATAGTATCAAATCAATTTAGTTTGATGAAAATATTTGCCATTGCTTCCCCTTGATTCTTTCAATGACTTCCAGACGCACTACCATTTGTGGCCTAACGGATAGGTCCATCATATCGAGCTGTGTCCCGATCACTGGAGGTCTCGCCTCTTATATTATTTAAAATCACTTAAATGATAGTCCTCAAGGAAGATACAGGTAGAATCCTGGTAAAGAGTGCCAAAAGTATTTCGTATCAATCAACGATGACAGGTCATGCATATATCCCGCGGGCCATATCGGCAGCACTTAGTTCCGTTACATTCATAGAAATCTCGTCCGTCTCCACCGGGGCCATATTTCACAACCTGAGTCTCACAGCCGCAGTATTGTCCCGGTTTTGTACCGGGTGCACATCTACAACCCGTTTTGCAGGATCTAGCGTCCAGTCGATCGGGGTTGACGGATGCAGTGACGAGAGTAAGCGCGCTGGCAATGACCGCGATGACGGTGAGGCGCATGGTGAAGCCGTAGGAAGAGCTTTTCGGTTCGAGGTATTCGGGGATTTCAAATCTTGTAAAGGTGGTTGTAGGAAAACGGTATGCTTGAGGGCGCTTCAAACGCCGAGTTAGCGCCTGCTTCTGGATATTTTGCGGGAGTTGACTCACTGCTCTGGAGCCGGGAAGGTCAAGGAGAGGCAGCGAGCTTGAAGCTTGAAAATTCTCTCAGTCTGACTTGCCATCGGAGCGGTACAGCACCCGCTTTATATATCTTTGTTGTTTGCCCGCCATTCTGCTCTGCGGCTCTGCGACTCTGAGAGCTCCACCTGACGCTCTTTGTCAGAGCCTCGGCCTCCTCCCTCTCACACTTTAGCATTTCCTCGTGGTCCAGGATCTCAGCTCGCTGGTGACAAGAATCAAGATCGTCTACCACTTCATTGGTGGGTAAAAGAATATAAATCTCACTACATCCGCCTCGGGAACGAGGTATTTGTCAGTGAGTCCACAGCTGACATGCTTGAAGCCAAAGTGCCAAAAATTGATCAACCATTTGGAAATGAATGCCCTCCAAAAGTCCATCTAGTATCCCTGTGAGTGTGACGGCAAGGACCAATGCCCCAGCGCACACGAATCGAAATTTCACAAACCCGCTAGTTTGGGGAGGAAGTTGATTGACAATTCATTGATCAGCAACCTCGAGAGAAGTTAGCTGCAGCAAGACAGGCCTTACCCTTTACTTTGAACAAGCGGTGGCCGCAATGATTTAAAGGATCTTATGCTTGAACTCAGCGTCCAATACTCCGTAAATCTCCACTTTCGCATTAGGTTACCTCACTAGGGTTAGCGCATAATGGAAGTATTCCAAAAAGTAACTAAGGTGGCTCACCACTCAACGAGCCAAACCACTCAACGAGCCAAATTTTCGCACCATCAAATTTCTTCAATGCTCAACTTCATTATGCAATAGCATGGTCAACAACGAAGCAATTAAGCTTGCAATTGAAGATCTTGAATCACAAGAGACTCCAAATTACAGTGCGACCGCGAAAAAATATTCACTCAGCTGAGAGACCCTGTGCTGGCAGCATCAAGGCCTACAAGTTGATCACCATGAAGCAACCTCCAGACATAAGAAGAAGCTCACCAATATACAGGAGGATGAGCTCCTAGAGTATATAAACAAGCTCTGCAACTGCAGCCTTGCTCCTACACCTCAAATCCTTTGAAATATTGTGCAAGAGATGACAGGAGAGGACATGGGAATCAACTGGGTGACACAGTTTTGTGAGTGCCACAAGGACAAGATCAAGACTGTTTATCTCAAGCTGCTTGACAAGAATAGACAGGTAGCAGATAATTACCACTGCTTTCAGCACTTCTATAGTCTTGTAATTTGATGCTTTTTTTTGCTTCTTTGCAAGTGCAGTTGTTGAATTTGGCTAACTTGTTGAGTGCTTGCACTGCTGCATTTAGTTGAGCAAGAAAATCAGCCAGTATAATATTACACCAGAAAACACATATAACTTTGATGAAAAAGGATTTCTTCTAGGCTCCTGTCATGCCTTGAAGCACCTTGTCTCTATTAAAGCCCTACAAGCTGGTAAAAGTGTTGCAACTCAGGATGGAAGCTGGGAATTCCTCTCACTGCTCTGTTCAGTCTCTGCAGATGGGATTGCATTACCTCCAGCTCTTATTTATCAGGGTGAATCCAGAGATCTTCAGGATATGTGGCTGGATGATTTTGACAGAAGCAAATATGCCTACTTTGCAGCCTTAGTGAATGGCTGGAGCAATGATGAATATGACCTGGAGTGGTTGCAACAGGTTTTTAATCTGCATACAAAGGCAAAAGCAGGTAGGGCAAGATGTCTGCTTCTACTAGATGGGCATTCTTCCCATATAAATATGAAATTTATTGAATATGCAAACCATGAAAGAATCCTGCTGTTGATCCTTCCACTGCACTCTACCCACTGTTTGCAGTCTCTTGATGTTGGTGTTTTTGGGCCGCTGGGCAAGGCATATTCCAGCGAGCTGGAATCCCTACTATGCTGTGGACTGGGCTATATTTGAATGACAAAAAGGGATTTCTGGAGACTATTCAATGCAGCATGGAAGAAGGCTTTGACAGGTGACAATATATGTGCTGGCTTTGCAAAGACTGGCATTTATCCCCTGGATCCCCAGTGTCAACTAAGCCAATTTGAAACTGCTGATCAACAAGGCCCTGCACCACTAGTTGAGCCTTCCATCCCTACAAATATACAGGAGCTTTGTCAAGAGGTTAAGGGTATTTGTCTTCGGCACAGCTTAAATTTGCAGAGTATTGGATGGGTTATCAAAGCCAGCAAGCAATTTGCAATATGAAATGAACTGCTAGAGCATGAAAATCAGGCTCTAAAATTGACTATCATGATGGAGAAACAGTGCTGCAAGCGAGGCAAGCCCCTAGGCCTACTTGATTGCAATAATCCAAGCCAGGCCCAGTTCTGGAGTCCTACAAAAGTTCTGCAGGCTCGGGAACACCAGGATGAAATAGAGGCTGAGAAAGCTCACAAAATCACTCAAACACAAGAGGCAAAGCTTCAACAGGAGCTCCAAAGAGAGCAGGCAGCTAGGGAGGCTGAAGAAAAATGGATTGAACAAGAGACTGCCTGTATGAAGGCCTGCAAGCAATGAGAGGCTGAAAAGCTTGAACATGCTATACAATGAGAGGCCCAGCGTGTTGCCCATGAGGAGAAAAAGGCTTTACAACAAGCAGAGAAGGAGAGACAGGCTGTTGAATGTGCTAGTAAACACTGGCAGTCAGAGCTTCAAGCACCGGCTTCAAAGCGCCGTCGGCAGGGCCTCCCTACAAAAGAACCTCGTCGCGGCAAGCCTATACAATCTTCCCAAAGCAGTAGTAAGAGCTTTACTAGCCTCCCTAACAAGCCTTTAGGCTCTCTAGCTGAGAAATCTACTGCTGACATTCCTTTACAATCTTTCCTATCCACCCCCCGTATCTCTCGCTCTGGCCGCAATATCAGGCCGTCCACACATTTATTTTCATAGCCACACTAATTTCTATGCTTTAAAGAACACACTCATTTAATATTTAATAGCTAGTTTAATAATAATAATTCGTTGTTGAGATAATTAATAAATTCGTAGCGTGGAGCATTGGAAGGAATTTGGCTCGTTGAGTGGTTTGGCTCGTTGAGTGGTGAGCCACCTTAGTGTACGGTGTAGTTTATCCTATCTTCGACCGAGACGGGCAGAATCGACCAGGAAGAGCTGAGCGAAAATTTTCTGTCGCAGAACATCACTCTACAGAAGCAGATTGATCCGGTCGGGCGATATAAGGGCCTCAATGGCTTTGAAATGATAAACGGCAGAATCCATGTCCACGTCGGATGGGCCCCCACTTTGGACCCCCGCAGAGCAGTTTCCCCTACGACGAGATGGAAAGGGCGAAACGATCTTCTATCTCATAGGTCTGTGGAACAACAGCGGTAAAGGAAGCGGGCAAGTCAGAAGGGTTGCGGGTTGATATGTCGAAGACGGAAAATCTGGACCCCCTGAATGCGGGTGTAGGAGTCAATTATGATACCAACGCCCAGTCTACAGAAGACTGGACTATGGAATCTGATAAAACATCAGAGGAGATGAGCAAAATTAACAAAGCAGCATCAAAGATATATCTTCTTACTCTTGAGCCTTAGTAACGGGAACTTTGTCTAGAACCTGGTGGGCAGCTGTCTTCATGAAGCCAGAAAATCCCCAGTTGCTGGGATGCCTTGAGCTTTCTCTGAGGCAGTAACTCTTTTGCATTGGCGGATGGCCTTTAGGAGCTATGGAGATGTTTGAAAAGCCACCTTCTCTCTGGTGGTGTCCCTCCAATGCATCTTGAGGTCCTCTATCTTTTGCAGCCACTCAAAGGGGAATGAGTCTGACGAGTAGGAGAGGTACAGAGTAAAAAGTTCCATCATGAGCCAGCCAACCTTCTCCGGGTGATCCAGTGGATACCTTTCTGACTGCATGACAGGATGCCAATGGAAAATATCTGCTGCTTTTTACTCTGATGGATAATTGTTGTCTTTTGATGTGTTGGTGAAGGCGTGAAGAGCAGCAGCAGGCACTCAGCACGTGACTCACCACCAATGGGAAGCAGTGACGCGCCGGGCCATCGGTAGCCATGATTGACGCCAGAAATAAAAAGAACCAACACGCTCAGATAATCAAGGCAGTCTGTTCATCAAGCAGATATCATGAATAGTGGGCGGGAAAGATAGCCCTGCCTCAGAGACTGTTGGGAACAAAGAGGAAGAGAGGCGCCCAGCCTTTTTCTCCCCCAGGAGAGAAGACAAAAAGTGGTCTCTGCCACATTTTGAGGGAAGGTGGAAGTACTGGGAGAGCAAAGAGTGGATTCATCTTCCAGTCACCCTCCAAAATAGGTCAAGGGAAGTCATGATGCAGTCACCCCCAGTGGATCAACCAATCTGAGGAAGAAACAAAAAGATAGGAAGCATGACACTGACGGGGGGTGGAGGAACTGTCAACACTTCCATTCTCAGCGGTAGCAACACTGGCTTGTGTTTCTGGATGAGATGCAATGAACTGATTCACTATGAGTGTTTTTGAGCAGCGGACAGCCCACAAGAAGAGCTTCTGGAGGATAGTATCAAGTCAAATTCTTGATCGAACTTGTATTCTTGAGATTATCTCTCCTGAATCCACAGATGACTCATGGCGTGAAACACGGTTCTCCTTCAGGGAACATGACCGTAGGCACAAGATGCTCCATGCTGTTATCGACTTTCCTGTGTTTATGAGCTACACGGGTTTAGCTTCGCAACATTAGCTTTCGCTTTCAGCTGACCAAATATGGCCCAAGCAGCGGGATCTGGGAATATATGTTATCCCAAGTTTTAGCTTCCCATCCGGACCCAAGACCACCTCTTCCAACCACTCCCAGCCCTCCTGAAAGCCAGAGGGCTGTTCCAGCGACTGTACTTCCCGCGATGATCCATCTTCGCCGTTTCTGTCTATGCAACCTTTCAACCTGTTGTGGGTTTCCAAGAAAGCCCGCGGTGGCACCACGGCGTTTTTCCATTGCCCTGTCCAATGTAGCCATTTCCCTCCAGCCCATCCAATGAGCCCAACCACCGACAAAGTGCCACACGCCGATTCCCACAAATGCAACGTACCATGCCCCCACTGTCCAGGGGGATCTGGCAACTCCGTGGGCTACATAACCCAGTCCAACACTAGAGCTGCCTCCATCGACGTACCACGGTCCAATACGGTTTACAAGGACATGTAGTCCTAAAAACGGCACGAAAAAATATCCCAGCTTTGCTTGAATGCTTGATCTATTGGACCTTCTCAGTGCTTTGCGTTGCTGGCGTGTCTCCGCGCCATAGAGCCTCGCACATCGGGATTGACGGACGAATCGGAGGGCGATTCCTGAAGCAATGTGTGCAAGAATGGGCACTGTAAGTAAAGCTGGTTCAAGGACAGGAGCTTGATATATTGGGCGGGTGAGAAGCAGGTAGGTTTCGCTGGCTTCGATCGACTGAGTAGCAAGAGGTATTAAAGAGGTATTGACAAGGTGCAGCCCAAAAAATATCGACGGAGGGTAGGTGGAGTATCTTTGAACTTGGGACACTAAATTCTCCCGAGAGTCCGTCAGCTTTAAATCCCGGTCCCTTTCAACTCGTGGAGGATGAAGAATCATACACCAATATTCCCAACTACGGCCGCTTAAACCCAACTGCGTCCCCGCGACTTGTCCACTTTGCGAAGCATCGACGCCGTTTTCCGGTGGTTTCGGAGTGTACAGTCCGTTTTCAAGCGCAGATAACACTTCTTCGTCGGGGACCGGCTCTAACTCGTGGAGATACGGCGAGGAATCTTCTGGCTCGCCCATTGTGAAAGCAGAATTGTTCTTACTCGAATGCGAGTATCATGCGTAAGATGCAGCCGGGTACATCATCCACATAAGCAAACGCCCGGTTCCCTGCGCCCAGAGAGACTATTGGTAACTTGTAACGGGATATGTAGGGCTCGGGAGAGCTCCTAGCACGCTCGTCTCTTTGTAACCAGGTTGCCAAGTACGTCCTGGGCTACCACAAACTCCAATGACAGTCCTGACAGGCTACTCCGAAGTACAAAGCTTAATTTAGGGCACCGATCGTGCTTTGCAGGTCTCCGTTCACTCTCCCAAGATTGCTGGAGAATGACGGACGGAATCCAAGGTTTTGTTAGCGGAAAAATCGAGCCTCCGCCCGCCGACGCTATGTCACGTGCCGGTTCCGTTGAACTCGGTACCACGGACTACTCCAGGATACAGCTCAACTCACCTGGAAGAGAGTGTTGAAAAATCCTGCGGTTCAGGTAGAAATATCCGAGTCCGAGAAAATTCATAGATGACAAGCGTGCAATTTACAGGTCTCGCGGCTTCCGCAAGCCGAAGAATGGCGAGTGGGGAGACCTGGTCCTATGCAATCTCGGCGAGGCAAGAATAGGACATGTTCAACGAACTGGCCCGTTCATTTAACCACATATTTATAGGGCATCGGAGGTGACCTTTGAGATGCAGTGGGGTTCAGCTGTGGATATATGGAATGTTGCTACACTTCTAAGTATATGATGTCTTCCATGGGTGTCTAAAGTAGTGGCTTTGTGTAGCTCACTTATAGCAGATCTGGGATCTCTTTGACGGAAGGCATCTGTTCAATACCCTCCTGGATAAACAGGGGAATTATGATCCTTTCAAAGACATGGCTTAGATATTTTGCATTACTGGGCCCTCCTCCAAAAGAATTTGTCTCACGCAGTGAGACAACCCGACAATGCTTTGATACTGATGGTTAGTTACTCCCGTTGCTTCTTTGTTTATGAGTGATGGTTTAAGCTCACGCTGCGATGGAAAAGGCGATTGGAGGGCAAGCATACGTGAGAAGATACCCAATGTTTCATTAAAAGATCTCGAGACAGTCTCGAGGGAACAGAGAAGACATTATTTCTCAACTTCATTCGGTCCATGCACAAGTGGCTGCCTGAAGAGCGAAGGACTGCCAAAGAACTTCTTGACGATCCTTGGTTGAATGGGCAACTGGACTGAAGGAACGAAGCTGAAGAGTGTACTAGGCACTGGGTCCATAGCAAGAGAGGAGGAAGAATCACGCGGCGAGATCGTAGACATCGTGGTAGGGAGCAACAGCTTGCTGACGCAGGAATCTCTTAGTAAACTCTTAAAAGGTAGCTGCTCAGGGAGGTAGGACTCGTGCAAGAGATTCAGCAGCCCTTTAGATGCAACAGAAAGGCCAAACACTTTCATGCCGGCCGTCAACTGCAGGAATCTGGGGTATCATGTTCGACATCGCACGGGGTTTTGCTGGATGCATCTCGAGCTCCCCGCTAATGCATGCGAAAGAAGGTGTTATTGGCACCAATAGATTCGAGCTCATTTTTGGCGGAGTTTCCACCTGAGTTTAACAGCGTCAAACCACCTTGCAGGGAGTTGCGTGGAATTTGTTCCCGATACGGGGAAATGCAATTTTCACTGGGACCCCTAAATTCTATATGGCCCAATCATGGGAGCAAGCAGGGGCAAAGGCACTACTATGCAGGGCATAGGATGTAGGTTGAATACCAGAGACTCTTGCTTTTGGTGAGCCCTATTCAGTGGTTCCAGAAGCCGCGGTGCTATAATCACGCATGGGAGGCGTTTTTCATGCTCTCTTGCTTGAGCTAGAAGTATTCAAGCACACGAAAAGTACGCAAGTCAACTCATGTCCTACCCATCTGTGGGAAGCTAACGGAATGCAACTGGATGTTCCCGCCTCCTGCATTCCCTGCGCAGGTTGAGAGAGGGGCTCTGTTGGGACCTCTCTTTTGATCAATGAGAGACATTGTTGGCAAAACAACGAGTCTTGAACGGTAGGGGACACACCATGTGGCGCCAGCTAACTGAGATGCTGCTGCAAGGAAAGCCAGTTGCAAGGCCGATGATGCACATCAGCGGATCACACAAGCAGGCATGATTTGGATGACTCATGAGTCCCATTGACATCCTTCCTCAACTTGTCTTGCCCGGGACGGAGGTGGGCGAGTAGGACGAACAGGCAGGCTGACGGAACGGCCCGGAACTTCACATGGTGGCAGAGCAAGAGCTACAAATAGGCTGCATTCCATCCATCACACTAAAAAGCCAGGCTCTAAGATATGACTATAGGGAAATTTCCTTGCTTTTCCTTTGTCTGAATACTTCTCGCACTAAGAAAGGCTCAGGCACCACCTGCTACGTGAACTCCAATCATATTCCTTTGCCTTCACCTGGCTTCCTGCCCCCAGGAGAAGCCTGAACAATGTTGTTCCATCCCATTTGTTGCCTGCTTCCTGGGAATCACATACCACTCCTTGTTGCTGAATGATCCCGCTGGTAGTGGCTGATATGGTCGGCCTTACGGAACATGTCACACAGCTTACTAGCACTATGTTTACCTCTACCAATGTGTGTGAACTGTACAGAGAGCGCAGAAGCTGCAATGAACATTATGCTGATGACATTGCTCAATGGAATCAGTTCATCGGTGCGCGATGAGTGGGATGGACAACTTCAAAGCCTGCTTAAATCTGCTCTTGCGAGTCAGCAAATACTGGGGTAAAGCGAAGGTCCTCCATTATAGTTGGCATGCTTGTGGTGAGAAATATTGCAACACATTGGGCGCCGCTGCGAATCGAGATTCCCGATGGGATGAGGCAAAGGTTAAAATTAACTAATTGGTCCTCTGAAGAATGGATACCCCAGGCTCGCGATGTATCCGCCAGGACCCCAATCCCATCAATCAAGCTGTTTTTGAAAATTTGTGAGACTGGACGCACCAAGACATGAGACGCAATGATCCAGCGCAGGTGGAGCTCTCGGTCGCAGAACTCACTGTAGATGAGTTGCCTTATGGTTACAGTTTTGACAAGATTTGGCCTCCTTGTTCGTGCAAGTTTTGCGGCATCCACAAGGCTAGAAAGACCTGAGTCGCTCCCCAAGGAACATCTTGGTCTTGTTCAACATAAATCAGTCCTTTACAGCACTGAGGACGAACAGCTATCTGGTGATGGCTTGAGGGGCAACTGGGGGAGCAATGGCCAAGAGAATAACTAGGAGTGGGATGGCCGCGAGGGTGATCAGATGGTGAACAAGCAAGTGACCCAGGGAGCGATCGAGAGGAAATTGTTCAAGAGAGTGAGCAGGTGAGTGGCTCAAGGACTGATCAAGACAGCAATGGCCGGGGGGCGACCAGGAGAACGGCCAGGAGAGTGACCCAGGGAGCAATCAAGAGGAAACCATTCGAGTAGGCTGGTGTTGTTGCAACTCTCAGAGTCAAATGTCTGGTCCGCTATGGGGCTGTTAGATTTGGTCATATTTCTCGGGGTTCAACATCTGTTATACTGCGCGGACCACAGCAGGGTTGAATGTCTAATCCGCCACGTAGTGTTTTAATCATAATGTTCGGGGTTAAACGTCTGGGGCTCCGCGGTAGATACGCGTCTATCGGGAGAGGGTGGGCTTCTAATTTGTTGCTCCTGGGAATCCCAGTGTGTGTCTGTCTGCTGACTCTCATTCCTTCTGGCGCCGCCATCCGCAGTTGTGGCATCGTAGAGGGCAGGTGTCTCCCATGCAGACGGAGCATAGAGCCACTTATTCGTGCTCGTATATTTGAAGCCGGCGGTTGCTGTATTTCAGGTAGTGAGTTCTAGGCATCCCTTGAAGGAACACTAGAATAGGCCCTGCATTTTGTCCTTCCGCATCAATCCCTCCTTCATTTGCTCCGGTCAAGCGCAACTCCCTCTTCATGACTGGCATGGGTATCTGGAACATCATGGATCAGTTGCCTTTGTACCCAGAAAAAAAGGATCACTATATTACACTCAAAGGCCATAATTTTCATAAGCTCTTTGAGCAACGCCCTAATTTACCTTTTACTCCGTAGGGGACAATGCATTTGTTGTCAAAGTGTTTGATAAATTTGAATTGTGATACTTTATATATAATACAATGTTGAACGCCGGGCGCCTCGCTACCAAACCAAGCAACAAAGAGAAGGAAACGAAATTGAAGCGGGGGCAATGGCAGAATCTAACTGACCGGCACGCTGTGTGCACCTCTACAACCCGCGAAACAGCCTGTCGGTCGTCGAGGATTATAATAGCCTCCTCCCGCGGTCAAATCATCTCCACCATAGTCTTCATCTGTATCACTTTCCACATCGTCGCCAGATCTTTTCAAATCGGTTCCACTCTTTGTTCGTGACGTATTTTCAAGTCCAGGGCCCTCCAGCTCGTCCTCATCATCATCCCCCAAAACATTCTTCTTGATCAAACTTGGCCCCGTCACCGCCGCATCCCCACCCCCCCTGGAACCAGCATTACCCCCCGAAACAACTGTAAATGAACTCTTAAACCCTCCTTTCTTAAACCCCCCACCACCGCTGCCTCCGCCGCCAGCGCCTCCCTTCCCGCCAATCGCGGTTTGGGCCGTACCAACAACAACTAGTCCGGCCTCAGCATCGGCCTTGCGTTCTGCTCTTCGCGCTCTTTCTGCGGCATTGGGGTCACGCGATAATTGCTTCAAGTCACGTAGGCGCTTTTTATGCTGGTGGTCGTATGAGGAGATGTGAGCTTCGTATTCTGGATGGCGCGAGTATGATTTGTTGCAGAGGGTGCAGGTAAAAGAGGTCAATGCGGAGCGGGCAGAGTCGGTCTGCGAGTATATACATAGTTAGGATATTGGCTGTTTCTGCCGCAAAGAGTATGAAGGAGAGGTTTACCTTGGGAGCCGGATTGGTGAAGCCGCGCTGTATGGGAGAATGAGTAATCGCAATTCTTGTCTAAGCTAGAACCAAAAGGATAGTCCATAATAACTTACTGGTGGCATATTGACTGTTAAGCGACGATTTTTGGAGATGGAGTTACGGAGTACACACTGGCTACAAAGAGCATGCCGAGCTCCGATGTTGTTTCAAGCGGGTCAGCCCTATGATGATTATGTCAGCCGCTCGGATGCTTGGCATCAGGAGTCTGCCCATCACGCACTTCCCTCTACCCCGTACTTCGCAGAAGAGCAGCAATTGGCAAAATGGGTAGAACCTGATGACTATTTCAGGTCATAGAGCTGCAGCCTTAAATGGATTCCATGGGTCTTCAAATACTGCATGGTGTGACGGTATAAATTTCTAGTTATACATTGGAAAAGGTTTCAAGGAAAAGACGGGAGCTAAAAGGGAGCAATGCTGCATAATAAACGTGGGTTATCAGTCAATACATTTTGTAAAAGGTGGAAGGAGGAAAAAGAATAGTGGCAGCATAGCCCAAAAACTCAGAAAGTGGTATCAGCCGTAATCTTATACACGAAGGAGTTTGGCGGCTTGCGATAGAATAGTATCTTCCTGGGGGAAGCTCATCTCCTCCAGTTTCAATGCATATGGGGTGGGAACCTCCGCGCCGGTAACTCGGATGGCAGGTGCTTGGAGATAGTCGAATCCATATTCCATAGTCAAGGCTAAGATCTCTGACGCAACACCAAACATGGGAAAGCCAGATTCAACAGCCATCAGATGGCCAGTCTTCTTCAGGGATTTTATCACTGTTTCAATGTCAAGCGGCTTAACCGATCGCAAGTTGATGACTTCTGCTTCGACTCCGTATTTGCTCTTGAGCTGAGACGCAACGTTGAGAGATAGACCAACACATCGGGACAATGTTACTATGGTCAGGTCCTTTCCTGGTCTCTCAATCTTGGCCTTTCCGATGGGAAGGACAAAGTCATCTTTCTGAGCAGCTTCGCTCATAGGGAAAACTTGGCCGTACATAAGCCTATAGCATGTTAGTTTTGACTGCTGTTAAGGCCGGTGGGAGCCGCCAAAAGCAAACATACTCGTTTTCAAGGAAGACAACGGGGTTAGGATCGCGAATTGCTGCTTTCAAAAGCCCTTTTGCATCTTCTGAGCTCCAAGGTGCGAGAACCTTCAATCCAGGTATGCTTCCATACCAGGCGGCGTAATCTTGGGAGTGCTGGGCGGCAACACCGGCAGCGAAGCCATTGGGTCCTCTGAATGTGATATTGCAGGGCTGGATACCTCCAGACATGTAGTGAGTTTTCGCCGCAGAGTTGATGACCTGGTCGATCGCTTGCATGGCAAAGTTGAAGGTCATGAATTCGCACTATGGTCAACCAAGAGTTAGAAAGAGCTTGGAGAAGGCAAAATATGAACATATTTATTCAATCCAATCTTTGAATTTCCTTACCACTGGGTGCAAACCAGCCAACGCAGCTCCTACAGCCAATCCAGCGAAGCCAGCCTCTGTAATCGGGGTGTCAATCACACGCTTATCGCCAAAGCGGTCCAAAAGGCCTTTTGTCACTTTGTAGCTGTGAAAGAGTCAGCCATGACTGTATATTGAATGGATACATATGCTCTAGTAAGCCCAGGCCGGGGATACTACGTACGCTCCATTATATTGCGCAACCTCTTCTCCGAGAATAAAGACCTTGTCGTTAGAAGCCAGTTCCTCGGCCAACGCTTCATTTAAAGCATCTCTGACCGCAACTTCTTTCACGCCGGTCGCATCGGCATAAGTTCGCTTTTGGTGTAGGGATTGCGTGCAAAATGTTGGTTGAAACGTTGAACGGAGCGGAGCGGAGCACAAGCGGGAAGATAGTAATCTGGAAGCTGGCCGGAAGAGTCTGTGAGCCGCCATTGCGAAGAGAAAGAGTGGCGAGAACCCGGAAAGGATGGAAATTGTGTAAGACTCGGATTGACAGAGAGTAAAGGAAGGGTTGAATAGAGGTGCAATCAACGAGAACGGATTAAAGCGCAAAGAAACTGTCCTTTCACAGGCGAGCTTGGCCTGAACCCCGTCGTTGACAAGTAACTTAACCACCAACGACTTTCTTTGGGGTTGGCCGGCGCTGCTTTTGGCTTAGCTTCTTGTTGGGTGATCCCAAACTTTAATCCGCGCCAAGAATACGCTGTATTTCCGTCCGTACGATACACCGCTGCTCAGCCCTTCGTTGCCTGCCGAACCAGCAATGTGCTGGCGGGAAAACACCACCATCGATCCTCGCTTTTCGCGTCTTCTCGCATGACAACAGCGTATACTAGAAGGTGAGAGACTAACCTGCATGAGAAGTTTGTAAGGCAACGATTCTTCTCTGTTAAGCTTTCATCGAGAAGCAATTGTGGGGCACGTTGACGGACTAAAAATTTGTCGAAGATACATTGGCTACAAGCAGCTTCGAGCCTGGGAGACAGGCACGAATTCCGGGCTCAATACACAGCCCCCGAAGTATACGAACGAAAGCGTCTGGGAAGGATGATCATGAGGATGTGGACGATTGTACCGAACATTCCACCAGGCCCCGGCAGAGAAGCATGATATGAAGAAGATGTGGTCCAACTTGATTTCCATACATTTCGCAATTTCAAAGGTACTTTTCATTGGAGGGATCAATTAGTTCTCGAATCCAGCTGCTAGAACTCTGTCCACCGGGTCTATATGACATATCCGCTTGTTGAATATCATGTGCGGCCCGCTCTTGGTGAATATAAAAGAAAGTGACGCTCCTATTTAATCGAAGGTTGAGAGGGTTTCTGCTGTAGCTGTGCAGCTGGGTGTATTGTCGGGGACAAGCAGCGTGTAGCTGCTAAACCAGGGAGGTTCGTTCTTCTAACGGCGAATTTTTTGGGAAGACACCTATGGGCTACACGAGACGAGTATTCAATCCTCAGCAAAACCCGCTTTACCATATTCAAGCGACGAGTATCCTGTTAAGCCAAATGCCGAGGTCGAGCCACCCCGTGCCGAGCTACATAGCTAAATGATCCAAATATAACTGACATCTCAGAGATTATGTGCAAACGTGAGGACGAGAAATACATTTTCCGATCAGCAGCAGATCGAAAGTTGTATGAGAGAGATGGTTCGTCACCGAGCGTTGATTAGTTTAGTTAGCGGGGTGGCAGGTTGCGGCGGGTTACTACCCAGGCGCCCCATGTAACCTGGTTAGACAGGGGGTTAGTCAGCAAGACTGCAAAAATAACCAGGTTTTCTGGGGGGTTGGTGTTGTATGGTTATCTTGGCAGTTGCATACTAGCTGGTACAGAGAGTGGTGCTGAGTCAGCTATTTGAACCAGTGAGAGTTCTTTATTACAGAAGTCTTTCAGACAGCACTATACAGCTGGAACAGCAGTATCAGAGTGCACCTATCAGATAATCAATCAACCATCTGTAATAGCTCAGGTCAGCAGCTGGGAATCTCAGAGAAGATTCTGTAGAGCAGACAAATATAGGTTCTGTAGATAGCTAGATGTCTATATAGTATGATTATACTATTCTCTATTCCATACAGGGCAGAGTGTGTGTATAGCAGTACTGCTCAGCACCAGCATTTAATATAACTGTGATACTGCCCCAATACTCTGTTTGTTTATATACACTATATCAATACATCATACAGCAGATAGTATCAGAATCAGTAAATAATAGATTAAGTATTATCTTAATAACAAATTTTCTTTTCTTTTCTTTCTTCTCTTCTCTTTTCTTCTTTTCTCTTCTCTCTTTCTTTTACTCTAAGTCTGTTTATCAGAGTCTTTATTGCCACTATTGCTTTGCTTCTCTTATAAGTCTTTCTGTAGATTATGCATCAGTTATTATTTATCAATCATACAATAGCAAGCTGACTGACTTACAGAACAATTTTATAATTTTATATCACTACAATATTCTTCACTACTAAGATCTTCACTCATCTCTTCCTTCTCTCTCTCTCACAAATCTGAGAAAGAAAATGTCTGTACAGCCCTGTATGTTGATGGAATATAAGAAGAAGATGCTGACTTATTAATATAGAGTACTTGTTTAATGGATTCTCTTTCATTCTAACTAGATGAAGCAGAATCTTGCTGAAGCTGCTGCCCAGGTTCAAACTAATAATTAACTACTCTGTCTTTTTGTTAAACAGAATCAGCTGGTCTTATATACTTACTCTCTTCAGTTACAGTAACTGCTTGCTTAATCAGAAAGAAATGTAGAGTTTGTTCTTAAATAAATCTTTCTTTATCAGATTAACATGCACCACCAGTCATATATCAATACAATTCTGATTCAGTTATGTGGGAGAACTTTGCACTGAAGCAGTATCTGCAACAGATGCACAGAGATAGAGTCTATAATTCTATTTTCATTATGCCACCATGTGTATGATTACTTTGGAGGCATATGCAGGAACTGCAAATAGCCAGACTATGCATTTCACTGCTCTCTGTATGGCAGGCCAGAATCTGCAGTGAGATATGATAACAGAGAATCAAGTTTGTACAGAGCTGCTGGCTACTCATATATATCAGATAGTAGAGCCAGTCTGAAACTGTCTCCTGTCTACTTAATTCTTCTTCTTGAGAATAGGACAGCAAATAATCTTATTCATGTTAAAATTAATTCTTCTTTACCCCACTCTGAAGATTCACTATTAGTCTTCCCATACAAGATTAAGAAGTCTGAGAAGCCAGAGAATGGCTCTCAGAGCAATTCTATCATCTTAAACTAGATATACATGAACTTTCTTTTCTGGCTTGTCTGCTGTTAGGGAAACTGGTTGTAGGTCATGTAGGTTTTCCCAGAATTAGAGATATGAAAGAGCTAAGTAGATATGATGCCTGCAACTGATGGAAGAGAGTTGTGTATAAAATGTAGAGGTCCCCTCACTTGAAGACTGAATGCTGGGGTTCTCATGATCCATGCAAATTGTGTAATCCTTATATGTTCAGTATTGGAGTCATGTGAATACCCCTGAATATCTGATGTCATCCAATGCTTGGTTGGTCTAGGTCTATGTTTGTAACACTATCCCCCCCCCCAGAGGCCTCAGACTCCAAGACATAGAGCCACTGAAGTAGTTTTTTGTA